TGATTAATTTTACAAAATGTTCAATTTATAAGACAAAACACTCTTGAAACTCTAACATACAATATATCAATAGAATGCTTGTTTTCTAAGGAATTTAATGATACCTTTGTTGATGACGTAGCTAGATTTTTCGGGGAGAAAAACAATTTTAAAATCCGACTATGCATTCGCTCAGTTTTGTGACCATGTCTGATTTTGACTTTTGGGCAATACCACAAGTTGGTATTCAGACTTAGAAAGCCTAGATTGATACCAATAACCAACCTAACGGCACACTCTGCGTACATAATATTTCCGTGTAAATAAATATCCTATATTACATAATACTAGCAATTGTTATTACATAATGCACTCAATTACTGTTGAACAACTTAACCGTATAGTTTCTCTCTTACAATCCCGTCAAAGTATCCGAAGTGTTGCACAACAGACTAAGGTTAGTTACAGTACAGTTGCCAAATACGGAAGGATTCATTGCTCCGACAGAAATGCTGGAAAAGGTGGCCGTCCTAAAAAGTTGTCTGAAGCTGATAAGAGGTATTGTATACGTCAGGTTACAAAAGGCCGTATAGACAATGCCGTTAAGGTTCAAAAGCAATTTTATAAGGATCTTGGTGTCATGGTTAGTGCTCAGACAATTCGTCGTACATTTCGGGAAGGTGGCTTAGGATCTATAGAAAAGCCTAAAAAGCCGGCTATTAGTCAAGCTAACGCAAAGAAGAGATTAGCATGGTGCATGGCTCATAAAGATTGGACTATAGTCGACTGGAAACGAGTTATTTGGTCAGATGAGACCAAAGTTAACAGATACAACTCAGACGGGCGTGTTTGGGCTTGGATTAGGGACGGTGAACAACCTCAACCTAGGCATGTCAAGGGCACAGTCAAGCATGGTGATGGTAGTGTCATGGTTTGGAGCGCCATTTCTTATGCAGGAACTGGAAGGTTATGTGTTGATTAAGAAGAAAAATAATATAAAAGAAAAATATAAGAAACAATAAAAGTCTGTGGAAACTTTGTTTAATTCTTTTATTTCAAAAAAACTGTCCTTTTAAAATTATACAAAATGGATCCTTATTTATATCTTCTGGAAACGGGTAAAACTTCTTGATAAAACTATATACATATCCAATAGATAATTATGAATCTTGTTTAACCTTGATAATGAAGAACCGGACTGATCAATTAATCTCAGCTGTCAGTTATGTTTCAAATGCTAATCTGATTCAAATAATTAGTTACCAATGGTATCTCAAATTAAACTAAATAAATTTTTTTTAGAACTTCAGAATGATCTCGAATTGATACAATATTGTTTCTTTATTGAAACATATATCTCTATCATCTTCTAATCAACTCCTCAAGTTTCTATTCTATGACTCTTTAGAGATTGTTTATAATTGTGCATAACCATACTGAAGATAGTGCTTCTTATAGGTAATTAATTTTCGATATTAAGTATTTTATATATTGATTAGCAACTATTCTTCTTTCATGTTTAAGACATCTATTACATAACATCTCTGTAATTTTATAGTTTCATTCTAACACAGGTGTGTCTCATATACTAAAGTAGATTAGTATCGTGTACATGAAGTGCACCACTAATATATGATAACATCATCCCTCTTTGATAATGATTGAATATCTATACTATATTTTGTAATACATCATCATATATACAACATTATGCAACATAGAAGGTAATATGGTCAAACACTTGTATAATGAGATTTTAGAGGATGAACTCGATAAAACAGTCGATTATGTGTGCGGAAAATTAAATCTCTGTAGAGATCAAGTAATTTTTCAGCAAGACAACGACAGTAAGCACACCTCAGATATCGCTAAAGAATATCTTGCATCTCAAGAATATCAAGTAATGAGCTGGCCTGCACAATCTCCAGATCTTAATTCCATAGAAAACATGTGGAGATTATTAAAAATTCGATTAAATGAATATAATATACCACCTAGAGGCATCAGCGAATTGTATGAACGTATTATCGAAATATGGTACAATAAAATTACTGTAGAAGAGTGCCGAAAGGTGATAGAAACTATGCCTGATCGTATTCAACAATGTATAAAAGCCAAAGGTTATTGGACTGACTATTGATGCCAAGTTTCTGTATTTGAAATAGTTCTTTAACATGCTCACAAAACTGAGCGAATGCTATCGTTGACTTTAAAGCCTTGTAACGTAGCAAATACTTGATTATTTTTTAAGACAAATATATTAATAAACTCGTAAAAACCTCACCTTTTATTCCAGTATTTTATTCATAAATACATCATATTAAGAAATAGATACTAAATAAATGATTATGTAATAAAGTTGTGAACATTCGCTCAGTTTTGTGAGTCACTGTATAAGTTACCAAAAAAATATGGTAGAAAAGCTACCTTTTGGGTGCTTATAGAATATCATTCCTACCATATTTTAACTGTCAAAATTGGTAATGTTGTGGTTTAGGTAGGTTTAAGTAATTAAATAAAAGAAAATAAAATAAAAGAAGATAAGACAGAAGAAGTACGTTGAGACTTGTCAATAAGTTTATTAAAAGTTAATTCAATACAAGTATTGTTATTAGTTGTAAGTTATACAAAATAAGGGTGAATAATGTAAGAGTATTTATATATTTTGTGGATAAGGATGATGAGTAATAAGAAGATAAAAATATAACAAATTGTATTTGATAATATAATTATAGAAGGATTACTAAGAGTTATAATTATAGATTCATGTCTTTAGTATATATTTATTTTTATAACTAATACGTGTATTCTGAGTAGAATCAATTATTACGCGTATTTGTATTATTCTTAGTTTACCCCAGTTTAACTTGTATAAAGTTATTTTTATAAATTTATATTCAGCAGAACAATAATAGAAGAAAGTATATTTTTAGATGTAGGACTTTTTATTAATTAATTATTTTTCTATACAAGGGTAAATATACTAAATATGTTTATAGAGAGAATTATTATACAAATGCACTATGTATTCTATTATGACTATTTATCTTATTGAATTAAGTTATAAATCTTACAACCATGACAGGTAACTTTGCTACCATATTGGTAACTTTTCTACCATATTTTCCGCCATAGTGAAGCAGTAGAAAATCCGTTATCTTATCATCTTGAACAACAAGTATTACAGCATCAAGAAGCTATACAAACCTATTATCCTTCTGGTGGATCGGTAACATCTTCAAGACAAGCACAATCTAGTTTATCTCCATCACAATTAATAACTCCAGAAAAAGTAATCAAGAAACGTCAACCTATCAAGAAAATAACTGTTGAAGTTGATCAAGAAAATATTTGGGATAAAATGAAAAGAACTGCTATAACAATTTCACTAGCAGAATACTTAGCAAGTAATAAGAAGGCCGCACAAGATATTAAACTAGGAATAGCATATTTATATAGAAGAAGAAAAATCACTACAACAACAAATGATCCGGTGGTTGTTAACAATTTGAGGTCTACAGGTTTACTAGATGAGGAAGCCTACAAAGACAAGGTTCAAAAACCTATTTATAACCTAAATACTTCAGATGGATCAAGCGAAGAAATTGGTAGTAGTGATGAGGATGAAACAAGCTCAATAAGTGAATCAAGTTTGACAACAAGTAGTGCTTTTGATGATGAACAAATTAGTGATACAGATGATGAACATACAATAATAAGCTATCCATATATTCGTGATACTATGAAAAAAGCAAGACCTACAAGAGTTTTAATACAGTGACTCACAAAACCGGCCCAATGTTTTGCACTTTTCCCTTTAATGATGTATTACTCGTTATTGGGACAAGCTACATACACAATTCTTATATCATTATAATCGTTGAAAAGCTCTCTCTATATATATAGTCTAAAATGGAAATAATATTTAGAACTCAGAAAGAAATTAAAGTTTAAAATCATGATGTACATTGGGCCGGTTTTGTGAGCATAAGCTAATTTTTATTTAATCTAATAATTTTATATTTAATAATCAGTCCAATGACCTTTAGCTTTAATAACTGCCTTGCAACGGTTTGGCATGGAGTCTATAACCTTTAAACAATCCTCCTTGGTTATCTTGTGGTACCATATATGGGTGATTCTTTCGAACAACTCTCTAATGCCCTTAGGTGGAGTATCATACTCATTCAACTTGCGTTTCAAAAGAGCCCACATATTTTCGATTGGATTAAGATCTGGAGATTGTGAGGGCCAATCCATTAGCTCATACTGCTGGCTTTTAAAATGCTCGCGTGCAAGTAAAGACGTATGTTTAGAGTCATTATCCTGCTGAAAAACAAGCTGATTTCTTTTTAATCCTGTTTCTTTACACACCATTTTAATTGTATTTTCAAGTTCATCCTTCAAAATATCTATGTAAAGCTGACCATCCATCGTAGAGTCAATTTTACACATCCATCCTACTCCAACACAAGTTACACAACTCCAAATCATAACGGAGCCACCTCCATGCTTGACATTCTGCTTGACATGCCTAGGTTGAAGGCGTTCATCATCCCTAATCCAAGCCCAGACACGACCGTCTGAGTTGAAACGATTTATCTTCGTCTCATCAGACCATATAACTTTCTCCAATCGTCGATGGTATAGTCTTTATACTTTTTAGCCCAGCGGAGTCTTTCTTTAATGTTTTTTTGACTGAGTGCAGGCTTTGCCTCCTTCTCCATAGATCCGAGACCAGCCGATTTTAAAGCCCGGCGAACTGTTTCGGCGGACACAGACTTGTATAGCTCTGCTTTGAGTGCTTTTTGGACTTGTACGGCGTTGTCTAGACCTCCTCTAGTGACCTTATGGACACAATAGTGCTTTTCAGTCTCCGTAAGTTTAATAGATCTACCTCCTTTTAGCGTCCCACGTCCTGGAAAAACCTCCTTTCTGATACGAGACACAGTTGCTCTACCCACCTTCACTTCATCAGCAATTTGTCGGTCAGAAATTCCGGCATTAATCTTGGCAATAATTGTGTTTCTTGTCTTAGTAGATAATACGCGCATACTTACATAAAAATGCTTATGTAAGTAACAAATAAAAAATGAAAAATTACAAAACTCACCTTACTTATAGTTAATAGGGGTCACTGGACACAATTTTCGCTATTATAATATGCTGGGTACAATTAAATACCAAATTGTGGTACTACTTTCTAAATCCTATAGTGAGTCACAAAACCGGCCCAAAGTACATCATGATTTTAAACTTTAATTTCTTTCTGAGTTCTAAATATTATTTCCATTTTAGACTATATATATAGAGAGAGCTTTTCAACGATTATAATGATATAAGAATTGTGTATGTAGCTTGTCCCAATAACGAGTAATACATCATTAAAGGGAAAAGTGCAAAACAGTGGGCCGGTTTTGTGAGTCACTGTAACTATAAGGAAGTTTTAAAGCATGGTGGAGGTTCTTTAATGATGTGGGGTTGTATAACATCATTTGGACTAGGTTACGCGTCCAGAATACTCCAAAATACTATGGATTCAGAATGCTATATTGAGATACTAGAAACCTCTTATATGGATACTTTAGCATACTATGGTCTGAATAAGACAGAGTATATACTTCAACAAGATGGAGATACAAAGCATACGTCTCGCATGACTAAAAAATGGCTTGAACGAAATCATGTGAAACATCTCTGTTCATGGCCACCAAATAGTCCGGATTTGAATCCAATCGAGAATCTCTGGCACAAGTTAAAGTCAAAATTAGGTGAATATCAAACACATGCAAAAAACATAAATGAATTATGGGAACGAGTTGAGGTAGAGTGGTATAAATTGACCAAAGAGGATATGGAGCCTTACTATAATAGTATGCCATCAAGAATTGAAGCAGTTATTAAAGCTAAAGGGGGCTATACAAAATACTAAATTTTAATACATTAATAAAAATTTATTATTAGCGTAACATTTTTTAGTTTCAGTCTGAGTTTAAACATACTTATAAAGCAATTTCCATTTTAAGACTATCAGCTTATAACAGGCATATTGTACTTTCTTTGTTCCAATATTCCTTTAAACTCGATAAGTTTTCAAAGAAGTAGAACGTGAATACCCAAATTCTCTGATTTTTTGGGACAATTTGTTCACTTAGTGTATAATTTGCTATATTTTTGTTTTATTATTACTCATCATCTTTATTCACGAAGAATCATAAATACTTTAATATTATTTTAGAATGAACTTGGAGCATTTTTAATCTTCATAGAATCTTATTAACAAATCTCAATGTACTTCTTCTTGTCTTCTCTTTTATTTTCTGTATCTCTCTATCTTTCTTTTATTGTTAACTGACATATAAACGAGAATACGACTGAATCCTGAATAAACGAAATAAAAATAATTATGAAAGAATATATAAGTCATGAAGTAATGTTGATATTCAAATATATATTTTGCTGATTCAAGTCACTGATCTAAGGATTACTTATTGGCTTTTATAAATATATACTGGGTTGATTAAGGTTTTAAATAAACAATTTATTTTTTGATCTTAGTACGGACTCCTATCGTCTTTTATATTTTTATTTTATTGGATCAAAGATGACCTGAATTCTTTATTAATACTATAAAGATAAGCATTTAGTATTGATACATGTAGATGATTGGATACCCGTAAGTTTTATATTATCTACATGATGTTACATACAGTATGATGTTATGGTTTTTTACTTTATGTTCAGATTACTTGTTTATCCTGTTTTATGTACTACATCTTTCATAATATTACTTATATTCATATTTGAAGCTTGTTCTATAACAAATACAGCGTCTACAATTGGATATGACTCAAATCCATGTGATACGGTATTTATTATACAATTTTTAAGCTATACATAGCATCGGAGTTTTAAAACCGCTAAGCCACTTTCAAGTGGTTATGTACAGAAAATCTCTATTATAAAATAAGATAACTAATTAATCGATAACAGTTCCTTAATTACTATATTATTTTAGTATAATTCAGTTCTCAATCGTATTGTTATAAAATAAGGAATAACATACGTCAGCTCTGGAAGATTGTTTTATTTAAAACATGACTTACGCGGGTAACACAAGTACTTAAAGTTTGTGAAAAAGTGTTTTTAGTCTTTACTCCAGATCCATAGTTTGAACTTAATAACAAATATCCCAAAACTTATAAATATATTTCATCATGATGCTGCTTTTGAGGGAATATCTTTGTTTTGTTCAATTTTTTGATTCTATTTATGCGTTGGTTACACGTGAATAAAATATGTAACAATTGAATCGTGGTACCTTTCTTATTAAGTATTTGCTCATATAAATATTTATCGATACTAAATATAATTGTTTTTCGTACCATTTATTTAACCAAGACAAGTCACTACGGTGCTAGTAAGCGTTCGAGTGACTTGGATCATGCGTTATAATTCCTATCTTTCATGTAGCTTAAGGAGCTAATCTATACCCTTTTATGGATTCGTCGGAATTTCATATCATCTGCATGACATAAACAAAGCTACATTGAAGTGACTGTTCTTTTCATTAATCTGACTTCTTTATTTATTTATTCATTTTTTTTTGATGAATGATCAAATAGAAAATTAAGTTAACTTTTTTTTTCATTTTATCCGTTTTTTGTCTTTTCATTCTTCTGCTTTCTTTTTTATACTCTTCCTATCTTTGAGTATTTTTTATTTTCTATTACAAGAGAATTTTGTAATCGCGATGGCAAAAAATGAATTAGCAGAAGATGAGTACGTAGTAAGTATAACTATAGACTCTGTTCAGGTGAAAAAAAAATTAACATAAATGCTTTTGTCTTAAAGGTTTCACGTATTGCTGGGATGAAAAATGTGGTAAGTGATATTAAATTTCCTTTTTTATTTTCTTTTGTTTTTGAATTCACACATTTTTTTTCTGTTCATCTACATTAAACTATAATTGCCTTTTTTTAAAAAAAAATTCTAAAATATGAGTGAAATTAAATATACACTTGTGCATTTTATTGAATCATTGTTTTTTTAGAATAACATTAGGTATTTTTTAGTAGAATGGGAAGGTTATGATTTGACTGAAAATACTTGGGAAGAAGAAGAAAACATCATCTCTGCTGAAACAATTGATCAATTTCTCATTACTTATAAAGAACAAAATAACATTAAGCAAAATGCTTGTATAAACAATATACAAGGCAAAATCTTTTTATCTGGTACGTATGATCCGGATATCAATGCTTATATTCCTATCAAAAGAACGACTGCTACACGACCACGCACAACAGATTTATCTTCTACATCTATTTCAAAAGCTAAAACTGTTACAATGTCTTCTGGGTCTATGCAAATAATTAAATCATCTACTGCAAATACCAAATCAGCAGCCGCTTCTGCTTTATCTTCTGTAGTTCAATATAATCGCTATAAAAGAACAAGAGTAAATGAACCTATGCATGAAACTGTAATTATAGAAAAGCCGTTCAGAAATGTAAAAAAAAAAAGAAAAAGAAAAAGAATGAAGAGAATGTACAAAATAAGCTTTGATACTTATATTTATCTATTTTATGTCAATGTATAATTTTAGAAGCGTAAATCGATACCTGAACTTAAGACATTAAAAAATACCATTATGAATTCTGTGGAAGTAAGTTTAAATTTTGGTATGTACATAAAGGGATATTAAAAATATATTGTATAGAATAAATACCCCATTGTGCTGATTCCCAATAAAAGAAGAGGTGCTCTACCCTTTCATGAAATTCACAATGTGGTTCCTAAAATAACAATAGTTAATACTATTGATAATGAATTGCCACAAAAATTTATATATATCGATCAACTAAAGTACACTTCACCTGTTCAACCGCCTGATCCAGCCTTCTTATTCGGCTGCAACTGTCCACATACCTATAACCAACGTACAGGTGCTTGTCGAAATGGCTGTCATGAAGGTGTCGTTAATTATGATGAGAACGGCATCTTACTTCTTAATCAAGGAACGGCCATCTATGAATGCAATCAGTGGTGTGCGTGTGATGCTGGTACTTGTAAGAATCGTGTTGTGCAAAAAGGAAGAAAGATTCCCCTTGAAATTTTTAAGACATATAATAAAGGATGGGGCGTGCGTAGTAGACGATTTATTCCTAAAGGAACCTTTATTGAAGAATATATTGGCGAAGTGATTACGATTGAAGAAGGTGATCGGCGAGGTATTCTGTACGACAAGCTTAAATGCTCTTATTTATTCGACATGGATTTTGCACGTGACGAACTAAATACTAAGTATGTTATTGATTCCTTTGTTTTGGGTAATGTAAGTCGATTCTTTAATCACTCTTGCTCGCCTAATTTGGATGTTTATGCTGTCTATTATGACAGTGCAGATAACCTTATGCATCGTCTGGCTTTCTTTGCTAAAAGGGATATTCAGAAAGGAGAAGAACTTTGTTTTGATTATAATGGCAGAAGGGATGTGCTTAATGAAGAAAATAATGATGACGCGTCGTGTTATGCTTGTCATTGTGGATCATCTGAATGCCGCAAGTGGATCTACTATTAAGCAATACTCTCTATATATTTATAATACATTTATATAATATACTTATATGTATTCAGTAGGCTTAAATTATACTTTTATTATTAAAACGATTTTCTTATTATGTATTTAACCAAAATAGATAATTAACTTCAAAAACAGACATGTATACAGTATGTAAATATATATATATATATACACATATAATGAACAAGTAAGAATTAGAATTATAATCTGTTTATAGTGGATCAATTAATGCTTAAATTTTATATGCTTGATTTGAAATACTTTCATTATTGCAGACATATTAAAATAAATTTTAAGTTTGTTTTCTTTTACATTTGAAACTTTGGTAGTTTTTAATAAACTGAGGAGGAAAGTACTTGAACCTTACATTACTCTTATGTTAATCGAAATACACTTGTGGTCTGTTTTATTTTCTTTGAGCAATATATTCACATAGGTTAAGTGCTTTGCTAATCAAAAGTTGTATATGGGTAATACATTCAATTACAATATTTTGTATACAATGTATAACCTTGAATATCTTCATTAATTTCTGGTAGATATAGAAGATATTTATAGCTACAAAATTAATAGTCTTCAAATATTATTCACACTAGTGATAGATTATTAATAAAATACATCTAACCTTTAATTGTATTAGGGCATCACGACCTTTTATTAGCAAAAAGAATATTGTATCAATAAGCAATTTTATAAATATTCAAAAATAATTATTAAGAAGTAACTTATACAATTTTAGCAACAATGGATCAAAGAACAAAAACTAGGTAATGCATATATTGGTGAGGATTAAGAAGATTGTAAATTAGGAGCCGATATATTTTTATTTTTTATTTTATTTTTTATTTTTTCAAGAAAAACCTGCTGATTACGTTTTCAGGCCAAAAATTAGTAGAGCTAAAATATGTAAAAACCTTACATTATCATAATAATTGATATATGAAGGACTAGATTAAAGATTCAAACTTATACAGATAAATTTTCTTGAAATACCAGAATATATAACTTTAAATACTATTTTTGTTTATTGACTATACATCAATAAATTTAGTCCTATAACATTTTGAAGGTAAGAAATAAAATCTTAATTAGTTTATTTTAAAAACACTTTATAAGGGCAGAGTTAATGAAACTTAAGTTGAAGATAAGCATGTTTATAATAATGGCATTTATAATTCAAAATTATCTTTACTCTTCAACAGCTGCTAAACTCTTTATATTTATCCAAAACAAGTAGCATGGCTATAAGATATTCAATGAGATAATATGCAACAGTATCCCTTATTTATGTTATCTTGATATCAGCTGTCATTCTTTTGTTTTTTCCAACTATACTGATAAAGGACAAAAATCAATTGCATAAAGTCATTATTATCCTAGTTCTTGCTGTTAATTGAATTTATACCTGTGACTAAGCCACATCTACAGGGATTATAAATTTTTCAGTATGCAACGTACTTGGTCACTCAAAACAACAAGAATTGTTTCATGCTAGTATATTAGCTATTTGCTCCTATACCCGACATTATTGAAGGTAGGGTTGTTTTTTTATTATGCAAAAATGGGTTTTTCTAGACATTGGCTGGTATTTTTATTTCATAAAATTATCGACTACCAGAAGAGCAAGCCTCTTATTAAGTATCATTATTAGCAAATTTAATGTTTGATGGAGAGACTTGACAAAATATTATTTTGAGCATTCACTTTGGTAGTATTTTTTTTTTTTTTTTTTTTTTTTTTTTTTTTTTTTTTTTTTTTTTTTTACAGGACTAAATTCATTAATAAAATGTAAACTAAATAATAACTTACAATCCACCCTAAACTAGGTCATATTTTAGTTATAAAATCAGAAATTGCTGAGAATTTGAAAAATTAGTTGAAGGAAAAAATATGTATATATAGCCATTATTTTCATTTTATATATTTACAGAAAATAAGAAAGGTCTGATTTTTTCTGAATGAAACTGACACCCATTTAATAGGATTATCAGTTATAATCATAATTATTTTAGTATTTGATAATATAAGCATTTTATTTTATACACTATTTCTTCAGCATTGTATAGTATACGTGATGACAACTTCTAATATAATTTGGAGCAAATTTTTAAATGAATATAATAATCACTTTTTTTTCTTTTTTTTTTTGGTAGTTGCTTAATCTGCTTATTGGCTTATTTTACATCTAACTTAAATATGCTATTTTTTGTTAATTCTAATACTCTGATAATATAGATTACAGATTGAATTTTCCATCAACACTGAATGATGAATGACAAACATCTCAAACAGTCACATTTACAGAGGATATCTTCAAATAAAAACCAACTTTTTATTTTATTTTATTTTAATCTTAATTTTTGTTTTTTATTTCAAGTCCTTTTTTTTTTTTTATAAAAATAAAATAAAATAAAAAAAATGTCTCAAAAGATTGGTACGTTGAAATATAGTTAAAAAATATAGTCAACTAATTTTTTATAGCTATCCTTTCTGTTTACGACAAAACCGGCTTGGTTGATTTTGCTAAGGAACTTCATGCTTTAAACATTCGTTTACTCGGTTCTGGTGGAACTGCTAGACTTGTTCGTGAAGCAGGCATTCCTATCGAGTAAGTTCAATAAAATCTTTAGATGGCTAAGTTGCCTTAGAGTTGTTACTGATATTATTTAGGGATGTATCTGTAATCACTAAAGCTCCTGAGATGTTAGGTGGTCGTGTTAAGACCTTGCATCCTGCTGTTCACGGTGGTACGCTAACTAACAATATAAAAAATTTTATTGATTTGTAAAAATTGATTTATTTTTAGGTATTTTGGCACGCAATATTGAAAGTGATGAAAGAGATCTTGCAGAACAACATATTGAAAAGATCGACATTGTTGTTTGTAACCTCTATCCTTTTAAAGAAACCATCGCTAAACCAGATGTCACTATCCCTCAAGCTGTAGAAGAAATTGATATTGGTATATATATATATACATATAACATATGCTATTTTTGTTACATTGTTTGATTAATGGTGTATAAGAATAGGTGGTGTTACTTTATTACGTGCTGCTGCCAAGAATCACGCCCGTGTATCTATCCTCTCTGACCCTAATGATTATTCTAAAGTTATCAACGAGCTTAAGGATGGTGAAATTACACAAGAGACCCGTAATATGCTTGCCTTAAAGGCTTTTAACCATACAGCCGACTATGATACTGCAATCTCTGATTACTTCCGTCATCAATATGCCCAAAATATCGCTATGATGCCTCTTCGTTATGGCGCCAATCCTCATCAAGCTCCTGCCCAAATTTTCGTAAAAGAAGGTAGATTACCTGTTGAAGTTTTAAGCGGTTCTCCTGGTTATATTAACTTTTTGGATGCACTCAATTCATGGGCTCTTGTCAAAGAATTGAAGGAAGCTACTAAGATGGCTGCTGCTGCTTCCTTCAAACACGTTTCACCTGCTGGTGCTGCTATCGGAACCCCACTCACTGACATTGAGAAAAAAGTATATCAAGTAGATGACTTAAAGATACCTTTAACCCCTCTGGCTAACGCCTATGCACGTGCTCGTGGTGCTGATCGTATGTCATCCTTTGGGGACTTTATTGCTCTTTCTGATAAAGTGGATGTTGCTACTGCAAAGATTATTTCCCGTGAAGTCTCAGATGGTGTCATTGCTCCAGCCTTTGAGCCTGAAGCCCTTGAGATCCTCAAAGCAAAAAAAAATGGCAAATATTGTGTTCTAAAAATGGATCCCACCTATGAGCCCGAGCCTCAAGAAATTCGTCAGGTATATGGTCTTTACTTAGAACAAAAACGTAATGATTACAAGATTGATGCATCTCTTTTCAAGAACATTGTCACCATGAATAAGGAATTGCCTGAAGATGCATTGAGGGATTTGATTGTGGCTACCATTGCACTCAAATATACACAATCAAATTCTGTTTGCTATGCAAAGAATGGCATGGTCATTGGTCTTGGTGCTGGTCAACAATCCCGTATTCATTGTACTCGTCTTGCTGGTGACAAAGCTGATAATTGGTAATAATATAATATAAAATGCCCTTTTTTTTTTCTTTCTAAATAGCTATTTATAGGTGGTTACGTCATCACCCTAAAGTATTAGCTTTTGATTTCAAGAAGGGTATAAAACGCGCTGATAAGTCCAATGCTATCGATCTTTACGTTACTAATCAAATTGGAGAAGTAAGTATTTGTAGATATTGCTAACTACATATACTAACTGGTAGTTTATTAGGGTGTAGAACGTGAGGCATGGGAGGCTAACTTTAATACAATTCCAGAAGCCTTGACAGCTGATGAACGTAAGGAATGGATGAGTCAATTAAAAGATACCGTTGTTTCATCTGATGCCTTTTTCCCCTTCTCTGATAACATTTACCGTGCTCATCGTTCTGGTGTTAAATATATTGCTGCTCCCTCTGGCTCAGTTCAAGATCAAGTTGTAATTGATGCTGCTAATGCTAATAATATGGTGCTTGTACATACTACCTTACGTCTTTTCCATCACTAAGCATTTTTAAATTGTGATACATAAATAAATTTATAATTTGCCTAAAAAAAGAATCCATTTTAAATGAGCGATGTTTATTATTATAAACCCACGCGGTCTTTTTTTTTTTTTTTTTTTTTTTTTTTTTTTTTTTTTTTTTTTTTTTTGCTTTTTTTATTATTATTACATTGAAAATAAAGATGGGACAAACTGGATCACAATTAGAAGACATGGTTAATTCTTCAAACTGTAAATAATTTTTAATATATAAATATTTATATTATATTCATATTCAAAAGTACTTATTTATTCTCATGAAAAAAAAAGTCTCTGCAGAGGAAATTCAACGTCTTTACAAACGTTTTATGAAATTGGATAAAGATAATTCAGGCTCCATTGATAAGGATGAATTTCTTTCTATTCCTCAAATAGCTAATAATCCATTAGCATCACGTATGATTGCTATTTTCGATGAAGATGGAGGAGGTGATGTTGATTTTCATGAATTTATTAAAGGTCTAAGTGCTTTTAGTGCCCGTGGTAACAAAAGAGAAAAGCTTGAATGTAAATGAAGTTTTATTTTTATACTAGAACAATTCAACAACAATTCTTATTCATGTGTTTACCAATTTTCTTCTTATAGTTGCATTTAAAGTCTATGATATGGATAGGGATGGGTTTATTTCGAATGGTGAATTGTTTCTTGTTCTAAAGATGATGGTAGGGAATAATTTGAAAGATAATCAGTTACAACAAATTGTAGATAAAACAATAATGGAAGCTGACAAAGACGGTGATGGGAAAATCAGTTTTGATGAATTTTTGGTGATGGTTGAAAATACAAACATAGCAAAGCAAATGACACTTGAAAGCTTTTAAAAATGTATATATGAAATTTTATTATTTACAATTATTATGATATTCTAATAAAGCCCTTTCTACATTGCCGTCATCATCATAGACGAGCACTCCTTGTTTCCATGACCCATATTTTAATCCAATTTCTTTGTTCTTTTCATATTCTCGTGCAATGTCATCGGCATTCCCCTTCCAGTCCCGATATAATTGAAGATTCTGTCGTCCAATTAATCGAATACACTTGACACGTAAATCATTGGTAGACTATAATAAGTATTAGTACTTTATTCAGCGTAAATATATATCTCATACCCATCTCGGTAAAAGATCTTTTGATATTTCTCCAAAATGGCCAATACCGTATTTTTCAATTCCCTGTATAAGCAGCCCCCTTTCAACTTCTGTCCATTTACGCTCTTCTTGTTTAACACCTTTTGGAGGACGAAAATAACTAATGACATGTGTTAGTAAGCATATTATAATATTATCATATGCTTACTCTTGATTTAAAGTGCCATCTGGAAAGATCATGTTTTTTGTAATTTCAAAATCAGGACGAACACAGAATTTAAGACGAAACTGTTTTACCCATTCTTGTTTTTCTTTCGTCAATCTATCTGCTTGATCTAATTCCTCCTCAAATTCCATAGGGTCAGTCTTTTGTTCTGCTTTTTCACACATTGCTGATCTTTAAACGCAAGTAAAAAAAAAAAAAAAAAAAAAAAAAAAAATAGAAATAATTAAAAAGCAAAAGTAAAATGTGAAAATTAAAAATTTACGTGTTTAAAATTTACGTGACGACGTATTTCTTTTTATTCAAAAATAATGTACTATTATATTTATCATTAGTAAGTGCATAGCAAGAATGTCATGCAAAAGGGGTATATATAGGCGTGTATTTATAAATGTATACATGTATAAATAATTCATTCCTTCATTGTCTGTCTAATCTTATATTGATTGGGATAGTTTTTGGTATTCTCAATATGAATACGAACAGAGTCATCGTAAGCAGACCACATGTGACCAATAAGTGCAATGTCACCGTTGTATTTATTCACATTCTGTAAACGAAATATTTAGCAAATGTTTTATACTGAATTAAGTATTTACCTCAAGTTTATTGTTAAGCTCAGTCATTGATTGATTAAGCTTGTTCTATATTAATAAATTATATAATTAAAACCTTGTTTATATATATATATATTTATAAGCATGTATATAAAACTGTTGGAATTTACAATATTTGCAACAATTCTTGCTAGTAAAAAGCTCTGTTGCTGTTCATGTGGATTTTCCATTTGCCCGATCAGTCAAAAACGGATAATAATAATAAAAAAAAAGTAAAAAAAAAAAAAATAAAAAAATAAACCGAGCAAATTCACAAATTTTTTTCTGCTAATTTTAATAGTAAAAGTATACAGCTATTTTAATGATTTAACTGCGGCCAAAAATAGCTAAAAAGTATGAATCTAAGATAGCTTTTAGGTACAATAGTACGATTAAACTAAAGAATTTTATTTTAAAATTAAAAAATGACCATTGAGCACATTGCATTGCATTTATATGCTGTTTTGTCCTTGTAAGATCGCTATGGAAAAAAAAGGAAAGAAAAACCCTTTTGGGATAAAAGGGAAAATGTTGAAGTGTATGTATAAGTGATGATAATTAATTATCAGAAAATCGTTGTTGTATTGAAAGAAGATGATGGTCAGAGGGTTCAGGGATTTGGGAGTGAGCTAGATAGTCCATCTCAAGCAGAATTGCACATATGGAAGGCCAGCGTATGAGCCAGTCATCAATTGATTTTCTCACTTTCTTAGTAAGGAATGTTGATGGTAATAGGTTCAAGGGACAAGAGGGTGAATTTTCAATAGATTTGGGGCATCTGAAGGCGGTTATGCATATGCAAACAAGAAAAACTATGTGAGCGTGTGAAGAGTTCATTTGGATGGAAGGGGCAGGCTTGGAGTTTACCAAAAGGTAACCAAAAGTCTCAAATACAGCGCTTACGGTCTCAATTGACGTAAAAATTAAAACCAAATAGCGGATTTTTGAAGTCAATTAGCGTTTCCTTTTTTTTTCAAATATAACTTTTAACATGAGTAACAACATTTACTTTTTAACAGAAGATGGTGTGGAAGCTATGGAATACATTATAGACGATGGTAATGAATTCAATTTGGAGGATTTAACAAACTTAAGCAAGTATAAAGAGTCAAATCTGACTCCAATTGAGCTTGATCCTGAGGACAAAAACTTGAAGAATAACATATTAGTTATTAATGAGAGAGTAGAAAAGGCAAAAGCTGCTAAATTGCGTGCGAAGAGTAGCTACGCCGCCTATACAGTCGACCAGAAAACATTGTTCCTGTATAATATAAAGATCAATTTTTTTTTTTGTCAGGTTGTCATTTATACATAAATAAATATTTATTGAAATAAATAGTTAGTTGTAATATCGTTTTATCATTATATTATTTAATTATAAGAGTGAAATAAAAGAATAAAGTTTCTATATCATAGCCGACAATTATTTCCGAGAAGTGTCAATTTGACTTGGCCTTGTACGATAAAGTAGTTTTTTTTTTTTTTTTTGAAAACGATAATCATTCGTAAAAACTTAATTTAGGAAGAAGAAAAAAAAGAAAAAAAAAAAAGAAAACTATATGTTAACAGCATTCGGCAATCGATGTAAACTAGTATTCTTGATATTTCAATTTACTACACGTGTCTATAACCGATTCTAATTGCACGTAATCCTCATCCTGTAACTCGTAACTAAGCGACTGTAAAAAACTGCTAGCTTTGACAGAGGTACTCCGCATAAACTCTGCTACGCATGCAGCTGTTCTAGACAGCATCCCCTCTTACATATCAGGTTTAGCAAGTGAGAAGTCGGCTACAAAATTTAATGGTGGAGCTATCTTGCTTCTTGCACTGTGGGGATTTAAAACAAAGTATTGTACTTTGTCTTTCAAGCAAGCTTCCAAGCACAGTTTAGAAATCTTCGACAATATGATCAATCAAAGTATCAGATAGATACTTTAATTTATCTACGCATGCGAGAAAATTATTTCTATATGACAACGTAAAAAAACGTAACATAGAGAATAGAAATGAGGACAGAAGAAAAAGATAAGTTAGCTGTTAAAAATTCGTTTTTCGTATAAAAACTTTGCACACATATGAGTGATGAGGAGAAGCGTGACATGCAGAAGACAAAATTGCTTTTTCTATTGTCGTGTAATAACAGGCAATCAGTCAGATTTTCAAATCAAAGCAATAAATAATCCTAGCTACGTGTTAATTTGTGGTTACCTGAGGAATCCTTGAAATGTCAATAGTAAGCAATTATTCGGTGTTCGCTATTCTACCGCAACTACGCTACTCACATAGTCTTCACGGCCACTTAACACAAAATGCGCCAACTATGCTTTCACTAAGGGTGTTATCAAAGGCGGTCATGAAACATATCATGCGCAACTATATATTTGTTAGATATGCTGCCTTAAATAACTCTTACAGTTTGCCTACGGCCCTCCAAAAGATTCCTACGTTACGATAGAAACATGAACAATGTTAAAATTGCTTGTAATTCTAGAGAAAAAAGAATAAGAAGTGGCAATTCAATAATAGAAAAAAAAATACGCGTAGATACCCCATGTACCAAGAATTCCAAAAAAAAAAAGACTGATTAAGGATGTTCCTGTTACGAGTTTTAGAAAATAGACTGATATTTAATAAATATCGTTGAGACGCACAAAAAAAAAGGTACACTTTGTTCATCAGCTGAACGACACAAAAAAAAAAAGATTTGTTTTAGTCTAAAGACTAAAAAAAAAGGCCATATTTTTATACTAATTTAGTTAGGGGTAAAAGGGGGGTGACTCTCTCTTTTTTCTTACGATTAAGAATTATTTTATTTATAACAAAAATTTTTATAACAAAAATTTAAACAACCCATGTGAGCATATAATACTGGCGTATTGGAGTGCCCGGGTCAGTTCGAGAAAGGATAAAAGTGTACTAAAAAACCTTTTGATAGGCAAAAGAGTAAAAAAGAAAGAGAAGGGAAGAGGAAAAGCAAGATATATCAATAAATACTAGATTCAGAGTTACGTAACCAGTTTACAAGTTTTGTACCAAAGGGGGCAGTTTCTGGAGGAAGTTTGCCATGATGAATATAGTCAAGTTCAAAAAGTATACGGCACATAGCAGGCCAACGAATCGTCCAGACAGGAAAGTCAGATGAGTTGAAAGCTGATGAGATTGATAGCATGTGTTTTTGTTTATTTGGCAGCTTATTCAAGAGGAAGGACAAAGGGTCGGGTTCGGTCAAAGGCATTTGTAATTGTCGATGCATATGTAGGCACCATATAGCATGAGATCTTGTGAACAAGGCATTAGGGTGATAGATGCACGGTTTAGGGACACTACCAGGTAACTAACCTGGGCGCCAGCAGACTATTCGGCTACGTTCTATATTTGACATAGGCAACCAGAGGATAGGATCGATACCTAGGGTAGGACGGCAGGCAGACAAGAGAACGGCATTCTTACTGTTTTGTCGATCACTAAGATTATCTTTCAGGTATGCTTTACAGATACCAGCAAAAGCACGAGGATCATAAGTATTATCGTCAAAAAAAGCAGTATACCGTTGCCAGATAGGTGTTTTCGAAAGCTTATACCATTGAGAATGGCTTGAAGAGGGGCGTATATGTGGTAAAAACTTGGAGACAAGAGCATCGTCTGGAGAGTGGATAGACCGAAGCAAGAATTTAGCTTGCAGGAGGTGAATACGTTCCTTCATTGTGGGCAGGTTGACCAAGTGCAGCATAACTTCAGTTGAGGACCGAGTACTACCGCCAAAAATTTTTCGGATACTTTGTGCTTGACATGCTTCTAATTTTGTGATTTGAGTAACAGAGACCGAGTTAATAGCGAGGCCATATTCAAGCTGAGTGTGATGGAACGTAAAGAGAAAATAAAAGAGAAAGAAAAGAAGAGAGAAAGGGAACAAAAGGAAGTATAGTTTGAGACTGTTTTTATTCAATTAAAAATAAAAAAAAAGAATTGAAAGTTAAAGAAAAAGTTAAAGATTATTTTATGTCTACACAACTGCTTGTATTTATATTAATGAATCCTGAATCAAAGAAATAAAAATAACCGTCAAAGAACATGAGTCATGAAACAGTGTTAATATTCGGATATACATCTTGTTGATTCAAGAGACTGATCTATGGATTATCTATTGGGTGTTATAATGATCTGATTAAGTTTTGAATAAAACATTTATTGTTTAATCTGAGTATATGTTCCTGATATCTTTTATGTTTTATTTTATTGAATCAAAGACGACCTGAATCCTTTATCAAGCTTATAAAAATAAATATGTAGAAATGATACGATGTCTTATAATTGATACATCTAGACAATTGGATGTCATCAAGTTTTATATTATTTACAAAATGTTCTATATAGAGCTTTATTTCATATTCAGGCTTATAGTCTATCCTGTTGTCGTTTAGGTAAGTTTAAGGATTAAATATAAACAAAAGAAGTAAAAGAGAAATAAAATAAAATGAAGACAGAAGAAGTACGTTGAAACTTGTCAATAAGTTTATCAAGAATTAAGTTCAATACAAGTATTGTTATGTTATGAGTTCAGTTATACAATATAAGGGTTAATAAACTAAATATGTCTATAGACAGAATTATTGTACAAGTGCACTATATATTCTATTATGACTATTTATCTTATTGAATTAAGTTATAAATCTTACAACCATGACATATTCTTTATTATGTAATTCATCTATTATAATATTACTTATGCTTATATCCAGAGCTTGTTCTATAACACTCCTGAGGAGCTTTGTTGTTCTTAGCTACCCAGCCTGCGTTGTGCGAACATTGATATTAAGAGACATTGCAGCAGCACGAACGCTCGTTCCTTTTTCTTCAACAAAATAAAAGAGCTTCTCTTTCACAGCATCCTTATAGTGTTTGTATGCTTTCGTTCCCTTATTCGTTTGCTTTTTGTCGTTTGGTAATGTTTTAGTTTTCGTTTTTATTTCTTTCTCGGGAGGCTTCAACTCTGTATAACGGTCGTAATTAGTTACGCTTTCGACTGGATACATCTCGTTATCAACCTCCATTTGAAGCTCTATCACTTCGTTTCCTTCCATGTCATGCTGATTTCCTAAACCGTCTTCAAAAATAATGTTCATCTCCTGAAATATCGTAAAGAAAGAGAGTTAGAAAAATACGCTAATTTTTTTCAATTATGTACGCTATTTTTTTTTTTTTTTTTTTTTTGAAAAAATGCGCGAATAATTTTTCCATTTGGTGTAATACATGCAATTATAGTAAAATTTTGGTGAAGTTAAACTTTCTTTGCATAAATGAATAAATCAGTCATGTGCCTAGCCTATTTTTTTTTGCTTGAAAATTTGTTTTTTTAAAGTTTAAATCACCAAATGGAGTGGGTTCCTATTTATTTTAAAATTTTACTTGGGAATATTTTAAGTGCTTTTTTTCTCTTTTTTTAATCAGAGATTTCCGCTATCCATTCTCCCTTTCATTATTAAAGAAATGAAGAGCTATAAAAAGCCTCAACAATCAAGTAGCAAGTCAACTCAAGGAATGAAGAGTATAAAAAAGTCCCAGAAACCAAAAAAGTTCCGGCAATCAAATAGTAGTCGACACAAAGAAACGAAGGAAACAAAATTCATAAATGAAAAGTATCTTTCAATAACCAGAGCTCCTTCATTTAACGATTTTGCGTCAAAGTTGACTGGTCCAATCGCTGTACACTCTATCAACTTTGGTTGTACCAACGCATATAAATTAATGCTCATTTAGGTTAAATATTATAAGACAGCTGTACTCCTGTATAGACTTCCTGGTGCTGCTCTACAAAAACAGTAAGTATAGAATTGTCAATGCATATAAGCTTTACACTAATCATTTATTTTAATATTATTCAGGCCTAAAACTACTACAATTACATTTAAAACTATCTTTAGCTTGACTTCTGCCTTGGTGAGTCATATATCCATTAAATGTTTTGTTTCTGTAACTCTTTTAACTAAAGATACAAAATAGATTCCTTGTAAAAACGATTTAATTATAGATGGGATAAAGACCAGCTCAAAATACGTGTTGTTTTCTAGTAATTTGTTTCACGTAGCTGTTCAAGTAGATGAAGTATTTTCAGGAGAAGAGGAAGGGGAAAAAACAGTTGTTGACGATAACGATGACGGGTATGAGAATGAGGAAGTAGAAGCCAACAAGAACAGTAGACATGTAGAAGAAGAGCAAGCGAGCAGTGTCGAAGAAGACATTGTAGATGACAGCAACGAAAACAGCTCTGTAGACGAAGATGTAGAAGATGGGGTCAACGAAGGTAATTCAAATAACAATAAGTACTAAAAAAAAGTGAAAGACTTTAATATATATATGTATATATATAATAAATAGCACACGATAAATTGGTTCAGTCTCTTATATCTAAAATCCTCAATGACAAATTCATTAAAGTATATTATGAGGTTAAAAACAAAAGCAATTTGGTACAAGTTTTATATCAAAAAGCAGCATCAGCGACACAAGACAGTAGTACAACAAAAGAATACGTAGAGTTTTTAAAGTTATCTGTTTCAAAATGTTTTAATATGGTGCATCCTCTTATTCGACAGCGCTCTGGCTCAGTGCTATCAAAAGATCAATTAAAAACTATTTACAAAGTTTGCTCTCATCACAAAAACAAGTTTGAAAGTATGAGTGTTCCCAATAGCTCATGTATTGACAAGCTTTTTGATGAACTAAAACAGTTTCAGCATGAGTAAGTAATAGAAATTGCTTTTTCCTACTTATCAATCTTGATAACCAATTTTTTTTGTTCCGTATAGTGTAAGTGATCATCCAATCAAGACATATATTGATAATGAAAAGAGCAAAGAAACAAACAAAAATAGCGATCATTATTTACTTTTAAAAATCATTGAAAGAAGGCAACAGTATTAAATAAAAATGAAATTATGCTTCTTGGTTAAGTGTAGTAGTATTATTAGTGGCTTATATATACATTTCTCTACTTAGCATTGATAACTTCAAAAAACTGGAAAAAAAGAATATTTCAGAGTCAACCTTTTGCAGCATTTTTCGAGACATTGTGGATGTGATACTTTATAATACAAATATAGAGATTGATGATGGGTAGATAGTATCGAAAGCAAGCAGAAGAATGGCCATTATAAATGAGTACGACAAAACAGAGTTTGGGCGAACAATTGACGTGCTGATACATCAAACGCATTATGAACATGAAATTGAATTATGTGGGATAGAGTTCAAAACTCAGGCAGCTAATGATACCTTATTGCAATATCAACAGTCAAAAAATATCCGTACTAACGCTACTATGCTGAACGACAACATAGGAATCACAAAAGACAGGTATGTAAACAATATTTACATGAATTGATGGGGTACCAGTGGCTATATGATACAATTGTCCAAACAAAAAGACCAAAGAACATGAGTCATGAAACAGTGTTAGTATTCGGATATACATCTTGTTAATTCAAGAGACTGATTTATATGGATTATCCATTGGATGTTATAATGATCTGATTAAGGTTTTAGATTGTTTGATCTGAGCTTAGGTCCCTGGTGTCTATTTCAGTGGATCAAAGACGATTTGAATCCTTTGTCAAGGTTATAAAAATAACTATTTTAGAAATGATATGATGTCTTATAATTGATATATCTAGACGATTGGATGTCAATAAGTTTTATATTATTTACAAGATGTTATATACAACGTTTTATTTCATATTCAGGCTTATATTTTATCCTGTATTATGTAATTCATCTACTATAATATTACTTACGCTTATATCCAGAGCTTGTTCTATAACAAGACCATTAATATCAGCTCACCAATTACACGAATAGTTAGCCCTCCTCGTTCCTCCCTCATTGCTACCAATAGATATTTTCTTCACCCCAAGCAACAAACGGTCCACCAAACTTTTCAAAACCATGCCAGTATAGTTATTTTGTTTCGTCATACAATAATTGTTTATGATATTGTTTTTATAGTTATTACATTTGCCATTCTTGTAGTTCAAATTTAACATAAGTTATTAACATCATTATTCATATCATAATTATTATTAAACTTGTAACTCTATTTAAAGTATTATAAAGCTTTTTGAACACACCTAGAAAAAACTTTTTAACTTTTAGTTCCCTTCATGCACACAAAACAACTTGCCCTAGTTCTTTGAAAGCATAACCATGCTTCTGATATGGGCGAACTTTATTATTAGACTTCTTATTTATTCTTTGTTTTTTATTGGGAGACTTTCCTTTTACTATTTTTTTTTCAGATAGTTTACAGTCCAAATATAATTAGTACTGTAATCGATGGGGGTGTGCTTCAATATCAATATCTGTCTCGAAGTGCTCCTTTATGCTTTCATCCACAAATTCACCTTTTCCATTTTCGTAAATAAAACGTATGCTAATTTGTGTTTTAAAAGTATATAAGCTTAGCAAAAGTGAAAAAGTCTTGCTTCATCTTTTTTTTTTTCTTCCTAAATTAAGTTTTTACGAATGATTATCGTTTTCAAAAAAAAAAAAACTACTTTATCGTACAAGGCCAAGTCAAATTGACACTTCTCGGAAATAATTGTCGGCTATGATATAGAAACTTTATTCTTTTATTTCACTCTTATAATTAAATAATATAATGATAAAACGATATTACAACTAACTATTTATTTCAATAAATATTTATTTATGTATAAATGACAACCTGACAAAAAAAAAAATTGATCTTTATATTATACAGGAACAATGTTTTCTGGTCGACTGTATAGGCGGCGTAGCTACTCTTCGCACGCAATTTAGCAGCTTTTGCCTTTTCTACTCTCTCATTAATAACTAATATGTTATTCTTCAAGTTTTTGTCCTCAGGATCAAGCTCAATTGGAGTCAGATTTGACTCTTTATACTTGCTTAAGTTTGTTAAATCCTCCAAATTGAATTCATTACCATCGTCTATAATGTATTCCATAGCTTCCACACCATCTTCTGTTAAAAAGTAAATGTTGTTACTCATGTTAAAAGTTATATTTGAAAAAAAAAAAAAAAAAAAAAAAAAAAAAAAAAAAAAAAAAAAAAAAAAAAAACTGTTAAAGCGGGTACTAACATTATCTGTTTATAGCTTGATATTATTCCCTTAATTACATTCGATATAAGTAATATTTATATAAATACATATTAGTTGCTCTCTTGTTTACTAAGGAATTCGTTTTTTATATGTTATCTCCTGTTGAACCAATTTCACCCCCTTTGCTCATCCGCAATTTATGTCCTCATTTTATTTTATTTATTTAAGCCTTTTTTAATTCAAATCAAGATTTATCAACAGCAAAATAATGTGACCGCTATATTGATGCAGCGGTCACTTTAAATTATAAAAAAAGAGAAAAGAAAAAAAAAAAAGAGAAAAGAGGATTTTAACTAGACTTTTCAATAAATACATATATAACATGCCCAAGTCCAAACGTAGTACTATTGGTATGCTTACATATCTACATATATCTATAATTTTTAATACAAAATATTAACACGCACATGTATATAGTTCCTTTAACTCAAACCAGCAAGAAAGGTCGTGAAGGAAAAGAAAAATTGATTGAAGATGTAAGAGTCTGATGATAAAATAATGAAGGATCTAATGAATAATGTATATACATTTATATATAGATTCATGAATGTGTAGATAATTATGATTATTTGTATTTATTTTCTGTAAAAGATATGCGCAACACTTACCTTAAAGAAATCCGCCACGATTTTAATGATTCTCGTTTCTTTTATGGTAAGAATCGTGTGATGGCTAAAGCTCTTGGAACAACACCTGAAGAAGAATATAAAGAAGGATTATCTGGCATTGCTAAGGTAAGTAAAAAGGAACTTATTTTTTTTTTATAACGACTAATCGTAATATTTCAATTGCAGAATTTAACAAGTGAAGTAGGTCTACTTTTTACAAATAAACAGCCAGAAGAAGTACAAAGCTATTTTGCTGAATTTGTTAAACCTGATTATGCACGCTCTGGTGCTATTGCTACTGATACTATTACGATCTCTGAAGGACCAGTAATGCGCGGCGTAGATCCCATGCCTCATAACATGGAACCTCTTTTGAGATCACTTGGTATGCCAACTGTTCTTAAGAATGGTATTGTTACCTTACTTGTTCCTTACACAATATGTATGGAAGGCGAAACACTTTCGACAAATCAAGCTCATCTTTTGAAACTTTTCTATCATCAACTGGCGGAATTCCGTGTGGAATTGATTAGTTGTTATCATAATGGGCAAATCCAACAGTTAGAATAAAAAATATATACATATTAGAAAGAGGAATTTAACTTATGGCTGCTACTTTGAGTTTATTGTTTATTAATGCCATTTTTTTTTTCTTTATTTCTCTTGAATCTTTTTATTATAAATAAATAAAAATCTATAAATTAATGCATTTCTTTTTTATAATCTAAGCCACAAATTTCATGTATTTCTATCATTTGTGCGATTTGGTGTTCCTTTTTTTTTTAATTAATATAATGACAACGACTAAACTTACACCTTATGGTAATAAACAAAATGCTTTAAAGATTTAAACTACTAAAACTTATTCATTTAGAGCAACAACGTTTAAAAAACATTGAGTTAAATAAAGAACTATTAGCGTCCTTAGACATTCCATCTATAAAAAATTCAGTTGTTACCACGTTTATCACAGGAACAGAGTAAATGATGTAGATGATTCCAAAAGTGATTTTCATTTACGCTTTTTTTTTTGTAGTGAAAAAACAACAGCAGCAAATAAACCAATGAAAAAGCTACGAAAGGCGTCTACAAGTATAAAAATAAACGGAGAAGAGAATAACATAATAGTAGAATATTAACTTTTTTTTTTCCTTTATTAGCAAAAAAGCCATTACCTACACGAAAATCATCAAGACTTCGAGGAGAACAACCTCTAGCAATTGAAATAGATAAGGAGAACAATATTGAGCTTTTAGTGGACAAAGTAAAGGTAAGTATTAAAATTTAACAACGAAGCGGTTACTTATAATTCTTTTTTAGGAAGATCCACGCTATCAGGAAATTATTGAGGAAGGCAAGCTATTGACAGCCGAAGAATATTTTAACCAGGACATAATAGACAAAGCTATTAAGACAGATGGCCATTTTAAGGGTTGGGTAAATCCTATCATTATTGAAAAATACGGACTTGAGGCATCAGCAGCAGAAGCATGGGAAAAGAATGGGGGTGGTACTTGGTCTATTGCAGATCCCACTGGTAATGGAAAAAAAAGAAAAAAAGGATCATCTAATGCAAAGGTAGAATATAAGATAGTGAAGAGATTTATGCTTAGTTTATATAAATATGTACGCATATATTTGTAGGCAGATGCTTTGAAAATGTTCAAAAAAAATCCAAATCAATATTTTTATAGACATAATGAACCTGGTGAAGAGCAATGGACGCATGAATGGTCAGAAGAAGAAAAAGGATTATTTTTAAGGGTAATGAATAGAGTAGACAAAAAAGAAGTGTATATTTATAACTTATGTATTAATATGTAGATTGCTCGAGAATATGGTTGTGGTGATAAAGTAAAGCAAAATAAACCAAGTAAATATGTTTGTATTTATTAATTATAATATTTAGTGGGGTTTGTTTGCCAGTTATATTCCACATAGGTAAGTAGAACTATACTATATAAGATTAAAACTAAAATGTAATATTGCTTGTTATAAATAGACTTGGATATCAGTGTAGTAGTAAGCTTATTGCATTTATTACTTTGCTTGTATGTTCTAAGAATTATAAACTAGGTTTTTATCGTCATGAAATCATCAAAAATGGCCTAGTAATTGATCCAAATTTTCAAGTAAGTGGAAATTAAGGGCTCTGATAAAAATAATAATGTGTTATTTCTTAGTTTACTTCTTCTGGAGAACCTATCTATGTTGGATCACATAATACACGTCGTTAAGTAATATGGTGTAAATATATGTATATATCTATTAAATAAAAATGAAGGGTTTGCATATAGTCAAGGTTATATGCACAGATACTTTTTAAACCCTGAGTGCACGTTATTTATTATATTAATTTAATTTTTTTATACCCTATATTTATATGTATATGTATGTATGTATGTATGTCTGCGTAATATTTTTTTTGCTATATATAGATGTTAAAAGAGAAGGAATGTCGTATTTTATTATCTGTGGTTAAAAGCCATGTGTATTTAACTTTCAAATAATATTAAAAATGAAAGAGTAGTATATTATATACTCCTTTATAACATACTTTCGCAATAAACTATATATTAGGAGTATATAGGGCTAATCATAATATAAGATAAAAAGCTTAAGTTAAAAAATATATATACATATTTATATAGATATATACATAATGTGCTAAAATTTTCTACATGTATGAATACTATGCTATTATCTGTTATTAAAACAATTTACCTAGCTATAGGCGGATATTTGTTTCGAAAATTTTTGTATGCTGTGTCCTCTACCCGCGCTTTTCTTTATGTAAAATGATAACAATAAAAATAATAAGGGAGAATACTGTTATATGATATATCAATAATATAGTATGTCATTATAAGGCTTCTTTATTGAATATATTGCATGACAATGTAAGGAGAAAAGCATAATTATTTGTGTATATTTATGTATTATTTTTTTTTTCTTTCAAGAAGCCTAAGAGGTTCTACCTATTCTCTCCCTTTTTAGTAAAGAATATATAATATGATAACAGATAAAATAAAACTTCTCCTCATTTTATTAGTTTTCGCTCTACAACCTTTTATAGAAATGTGGTGAAACTAAATTCTTTATAATCAAACTTTAATATGATTGAGTCAGTATGATGATCATAATAGGGGATAGCATTGGTTCCTGAATGTAATAAATAATATAGCAATCGAATCGAATATTAACAATCTGGTATATATCAACCATTAGCAAATTATGCACAGTGTAAAGTAGTTAATAATAATATGTTTTCTGAAGCTATTGTAAAATACCCTGTAGGTGTTTATTATGTTTAATATTATTTTATCCAATATAAATTCTCCTATTGACATAATATTATAGTATATTATTTAAAAATTCTGTATTGTAGGAGAATCAAATCCAACCTTTCAACTTATTAAACATTGTAATTAGGGGAAACTAAAGAGAAGTATATATATATACATACATATATAATATCACCAAAAAAAGTACCCAATATTTAATTTTAACAACTAAAAAAAAATGGATATTCAAGACTTACTATGTTCACAGCAATCTAATCAATATGAAGTAGAGCCCTTCACATTTATACATCGACGACAGCCTTCTTGGTCTTCCTCTTCATCAAGTAGCTATACTTCTTCATTTAGGTCTCCTCAACAACAACGTACGCCCTGGTCGTTTCATGAAGATCAACTACTTCAACATGGCTACGAGCAAGGGCTATCCTGGGCTATGATTTCGACTCACTATCTACCTCATCGTTCTCGAGGCTGCTGTTGGGGACGCTTCAAGACATTACAAGCCAAATCTCTTGAACAGCGAGATTGGACTTGCGTACAAGATCAGCTATTGTTTATGGCTATTAAGAAACATAGCCGTTTATTTAAACAGGCATGGAAAGCAGTAGAGCAAGAATTAAATGTGGATTGGAAGGAATGCGAAATGAGGTCTATAAAGATATATGCTACAGGTGTTAAAAGAAAGTATTTATTACATTATTAGAGTACACCACTGGGTTTTATATACTATTTCTTTTTATGTATTATGATTTATGCTTATTATGTTGGTTATTCTATATGAATATGTTTTTCTTTATTTCCATTTTTTTTTTTCGTTTTGTAATTATTCTATTTTGTAATTCTTTAATGCAAGTAATAACCCGATTTTTTTTGATTTTTGATTTTTTTTTCAAGAAAAAAGAAAAATTCTAATTTCCTTCCCGATATTCGAAACCATGTTTGATAATAAAGAACTATTATACTTCATATTCCTCTGTCTTTTCCCTTCTTTTTTTCTTCTTCCTCCCTTATAGAATTCGATAATGTTGATTCATTTATTTATATTAGTATTGGGTTTTGTACAATATTCATTTGAGATTTCTTTTCAAAAGACTACCATCCCCTCATGTTCGCTGTCTGAAAATTATGACCCAAATAAAAGACCTCATATAGCCATTATATCACATGACTCAGCTACGAGGACCTTTACACAAAGCCCAAAAAAAGGGGCCCAAGATGCGGCTAACATCCTCAATATTCAACTTGATTGGAATTGTCATTATATCAACTCTATAAAAAAGATGAAAGCCGATATATACAGTGCTGTCGATAGTGTAAGTTTGTAATTCATTTATTTCAAAAAAAAAATTTACATTCGTCTTATTATATTATCATTGTAGGGTGTTGATGGCATTATTGTCACTATTCCAAATATCGAAATTGTAGAAGCAGTCCAATACGCTACATCCAAAAATATACCCGTCCTTGTCTTCAATGCAGGGCTTAAATATGCAGAACAATTAGGCCTTACTCGAATCCTTCAAAAAAATACGGAATCCGGCGAATACATAGGAGCTGAGTTATTGAAACGAGGTTATAAACAACCACTTATTCTACGGTTTACGAGCTTTGACGATGACGCATTTGATAGTCGGTATTTCGGTATTACAAGAGCACTTGGATTTACACCTGAATTGATAGCTATCACTGATTACAACAATACAGCAAAATCGATTACTGAGGTTACATCTTACTTGATAAATAATGAAAAATACGATTCATTAATTTCCCTAGGTGGTTCTGTAAGGCATTAAAAGAAAAATAAAATAAAATAAAGAAATATAATAGAGATGCTAACCTATTCTATTATATTTGTAGCTCGGGACAGATATTATCTCTAGTGCTGCATTAAATGTCCTAAACTATAACACAAGCAGGAAACTTGGTGTCGCATTTTTTGACACAGGAAATTCTGATGATATGCTGTTGTTATTTCAACAACATCAAGATGTCTTTGGTATTTCACAACTGCCCTATCATCAAGCTGCATTACCCGTCTTTCTTATGTATTTAAGGGTAAACAAAAATAAAGGCAGAAAAAAATAAATAATAGTTGAAATCTAAACTATATTTAATAGATCCTGACAGGCTATGATGTTTTTCGAAATCAAACTATCGAAACAGGCCCTATATTAATTACTAACGAAACATTATTAACAGTCTTGGAAAACGAGAAAACAACATTGCTTCCATTAAAAAATAACAATGCTGACGTTGGTGTCATTTTGCCAAATGCACAAGGAGACACATATAATTTTGCTATTATGGCAGGTATTAAGGACCTTGCACGTAAACTGAATTGGAATGTTTGGAATGTCAATGAGGTAAGATGAAAAAAAAATGAAGAATATTTCTGGCTAATTTGAATGATATAAACAATGCAGCAAGATGTACTTGGTAACAATTAATAACAAATGAACTTAATTATTACGTAGTTAACTTCAATTTTATTTTAGGTTATACAAGTCAACTTAAAACTGAAATAGATTATTATCAAGCCCAAAACATAAAAGGCATTATACTTCAAACCAGTGATCCAGAATTACTTGAATATACTGCTCAAATAAGCAATGAAAATGAAACGCCCGTAGTCTTGATAGGCACATTTCATGAAGATTTGAATTATTCAAATTCAAAGTAAATTTTTATACGCAGACACAGTTAAAAAAAAAATACTTATTCTCAACAATGTTGATAGGAACATATTTTCAATTTCAAACGATATAGCTAGTATGTCAAAAGAGATTGCACAGAGTGTTTTTGACTTTAATTCTGTTAGTCCTTTATGTATCTCGGAGCTGACTCCTTGGAAACAAAGCGATTTTTGCGAGGATTTTTATAGTAATTATAGTGCAATTGCTTCAGCTGCAAATAAACCAGTGGAAATATTACCAGTCAACAAAATCAATATTTCAACTACGAGTTTCATGGATTCTGAAGTAACTAGAATTTTACTTCGACTCCATAATTCAGGATACACTCCAGACTATTATGTTACACTATCAGAGCATACATTCAATATCCTTAATTCTGTAAAAAAAAATATATTGATTGGGGGGTTTTAAGATGAAAGTGTTGATTCGTTTTTTTTTTTTTTTTTTTTTTTTTTTTTTTTTTTAGCGTATGCTGAAAGGCTATTTGAACAATTCAACTACCATAATAACAACAGCAGATCTTTTTGACCAAGTTCAAGCCTTTTTAGACAAACGAGTATCACGATTTTGGTTTTTGAACACGTTTTCCATGGGATTTTTATCTGTCATGAATATTTTATTTTCAACAATGTTGACAATACCTCAGCCATGGAATATGAGCGACATATCAACTACACAAGTAACACATATTTGTCCTGCAGGTTCCTATTACTATGAACTTTCTACCAGCTACTATTGTCTAGATGAAAACAGTCAAACAGTCAGGTCAGTACGATGTGCTTCCTGTCCAATCAATACCTATAGTAAATGGGCGGATATGTCTGAATGTTTACCATGCCCCTTTGGTATGTACTCAGACAAAGGATCCAGTACGTGTCATACTTGTATCAAAGGTGACATCAAAAGCAGTAGTAATGACTACTGTTTACAGTACTTTGAAGAACAGTATAATGATCAAAAACAACTTTATATAACAATCTTTGTGCCAATTGGTGCTTTATTGTTAATTGGACTATCAATATTTGGATATTGGTGGTATAAAAAAAAGAGGCGGTCAGCACATTTATTGAGTGATGAAACATGGTTATTGACTTATAAGTCATTAATGAGGCCACTTCTGCCTCATTTGCCATCAGCGCCATCGATGGATTCACCACTAATGTCTGAACATGATAATATGATGCCAGTAACAAGTTATGTAGCCCCTGATCATTCAAGTCCTCTTTTCCCATATCTGCAACAGCAGCAACAGCAGCAACAGCAGCAACAGCAGCAACAGGGTGTGATTGAATCTGGACTAGTATTTACAAATGAAGTTACCTTATCTTCAAGGTAAGTGGGAAAATAAAATGTGTTTTACATTTTTGACCGTAAACATGTAAATGGTATTGATTATTGTATTAGTGTTAGATCTTCTATTGATCATATTGAGAAGAAAGATTTTGTCTTGGAATTTACAGTTGGATATCAGTAAGCTTTATATTTTTATTATATATACATATACTAACCGAAACTTACTATTAGTCATAATTTACCCGTTTTTATCAAACAAATTGGATTTAAAAAATTAAAAATAGATGATTCTATTCGTGAAGAAGTAGCATTGATGAAGTTTTCTAGACATCCAAAGCTAGTCGAATTTATTGGTATTTGTGCTGAGCCCAATGCTACGTTTATAGTAGAAGGTAAAAAAAAAAAAAAAAAAGAAAAAAAAAAGAAAAAAAAAAGAAAAAAAAAAGAAAAAAAAAGAAAAAAAAAAGAAAAGAGAAAGTTGGGATTATTTAACCCAATTCACATTAGAGTACTGCGCAAAAGGAACACTAGCGGATATATTAGCTAATTCTGATATTGATTTATCATGGATCTTTAAATTTTCACTTATCAATGATTTATTAGAAGGTAGCTTTTGTGTGTGTGTATGTTTAAAAGCTTATATATATATATTTTAGGCTTGGACTTCTTACAACATTCCCAGTTTATCTATCATGGCTGCCTAACTTCATTTTCCTGTCTCATTACTGGTAAATGGGAATTAAAAATTACAGATTATGGATTACAAAGGATACGTCGAAATCAAATTGATCCCTCCGTATATTTTGCGCTTCGAAAGAATTTACATATGGATAATAAAGAAATTATATCTGAACAAACTTATCTTCTTCCCGACAGCGAACATTTACTTTGGATTGCACCTGAAGCTGTAACCTGTACATCAGTAGGTTTTTATCTAATTTGCCCGACTAAGCGAGCAGATATATATAGGTAAAAATGAATAAATAAATAAATATTGAATTTTACTCATACATATGTTTTGATAAATAGCGTTGGGGTTATTATCAATGAAATACTTACAAGAGAAAAGCCATATCAAAAGCTTCTAAATCAAGGATTATCGTATGAAAATATATTTATGCGTATAGCTAATGAAAACCTGAGGGTGTCCACACAACCAGTTGGAGAAGATGAATATTCTGATAAGATTAATGCAATTATTTATGATTGTTTACAATCTGATCCAAGCTCAAGGCCATCGTGTTCTATGATTAGGGTAACTAATGCTTGCATTATACATACATACATACATACATATGTGTATATGTATATACTTTTTTAACATACTAATTATTTTTTATTCATAAAATAGCACCAAATAAAGTCAATTGATCCTTATCTTACACAATCTAATGATGTTGTAGATAATTTAGCAAATTTGGTAGGAAAAACTATATAAAGCTTCAATATATATGTATATATTACTCATTGTTTATCATGATAGCTTGAAAAATATGCAAATGACATGGAAAACTTAGTGCGTAAACGAACTGCCAACTTGCAACAAAGAACTTTAGAATTAGAAGAAGAACGCGCACGTACTCAAACTTTATTGCAAGGTTAAAGAAAAAAAAATAATAATAATTTTAATATGCATATAGTTTACTGATACAGAAGAAAATAAATAGATCTTAAAATAGCAAAGGAAGTAGCCGAAGCTGCAGCTGCAGCTAAGCAAAATTTTTTAGCCAATATGTCTCATGGTAAGTTCTAGTATATGAAATTTATTGTATATTTAATTGTGTGCTTTAATAGAAATTCGTACGCCTATGAACGCTGTTATTGGAATGTCCCGTATATTAATGGAGAGTGATTTACCAACTGAGTTATATGATTGTGCGGAAACAATTGAATCTTCAGGTAAACAAAAAAATATATACATATATGTATCTGTATATCGATATATATTTATAAGCTAACTTTTTTTTTTGTTTCTTTTTTTTTTTTTTTAAAAAAAAAAAGGTAATCATCTTATGGCACTTATTGATGATATTTTAGACTATTCAAAGATTGAATCCGGAAAGCTTTCACTCGAAAAACGAATTTTAGACTTGGTAAGCATTATAAACCGTTCGTAAAAAGAATGAATGAATTTTAATAAATTTATAGGTATTTGTAATTGAAAGTGCTGTAAAGCTTGTCGCTCCCACATTCTTAGATAAAGGGTTAACTCTGTGGTACGAAATTGATCCTAATATACCAATTCATATTTATGGTGACTTGGTACGCTTACGTCAAGTTATTTTTAATTTACTGTCGAATGCTCTTAAGTTTACAAAAATGGGCTACGTTCGTATTTTAGTTGAAATGGGACAACAGCAAGAAAAGGAAGACGATAATATAATTTCTCTTTTAGTCTCTGTAACAGATACTGGTATTGGTATCCCGAAGGACAAACAAAACAAACTTTTCCAATCGTTTTCTCAAGTAGATGCATCTACGACGCGTAAGTTTGGCGGTACTGGGCTTGGCCTAGCTATTAGTCAACAGTTATGTCGTATGATGGGGGGTGATATGGTAAGACGATTTGTTTTATATTTATTTATCCCTAAGCAACTTACTAATTTTAACTTTTTTTTTAACGCTTTTAAAGTGGGTTGAATCTGAAGTTGGGAGGGGCTCAACATTCAAATTTCAGGTTTTATTAGAGAAGCAAGTAAATAGTTTAACCTATAAAGAACAAAATCATCTTTGTGAGCTAGTATGCAATAACCCATTGGTTATTACGCAAAAGGATTCTGCTAAACAAGCTTGGCAAGGACTTATACGCAGCTTACTTATAGAAAATGTTCAAACTATGGATTACGATGAAGTTATTGCATATATTACTCAAGAAAACCATTTTGATCATTCTGTCATTATTGTAGATACAGACTTTGATATTATTGACTCTCTTGATTCTCAGCCTACGACAAGTGAAATGGTCATCAATAAATTAAGGAGTACATATCCAAGTTTAAAGAACATTCCTATGCTTTGCATCAACGATATTAGACTGATAAAATCGAACAAAAAGTCATCGCCTTCGATAAACGGTTCACAAGCTCGCTCTTTACCCAAAAATATCACTCCACATCCGGAAGAAAAGGGTGATCCTACAGCACTTGAATCTATGGATCGTAAATGGAATCTTTATAAACCCATCAAAAACTCCAAACTAATTAGCATCATACGCCATATGTCAACTTTAAATCACTCTGAACCATCTCCAATGGTTGAATCAAAAGATAGATATCATAAAACACAGCATTTTACATTTTCAGAAATTAATTTAACTTTGTCTGATATTTTATCAAATAAGACAACATTACTTGTAGATGATAACCCAATAAACCAAAAGGTGTTATCGAGGATGTTGAGTAAGATGGGTCTCAAACCACAGATTGCACAAAATGGACGAGAGGCCTGTGAGCTAGTATCAAAATCAAAAGTAGATCTTATCTTTATGGACATTTGGATGCCAGAAATGAATGGACTTGAGGCTACAAAATGGATAAGAGACATGAATAAAACGGATGGTAATAATCCATACATCATAGCAATGACAGCATGTGTGATGGCAGGTGATCGAGAAAAATGCATAGAAGCTGGTATGAATGGATATGTCAGTAAACCAGTACGCAAAGAAGAGTTAGAAGCAGCGTTGTGTATGTATATTCATACACAAATTAATAACTTAGTAGTACCCAATGATACAATATGAAAAATAATGTAAATTTATATAATCTCTATACTTTTAAAAATATATTTATTTGAAAAAAAAAAATAAAATTTATTATGAAAAGTTAAATATTAAGGATTTATACTTTAATATTTATTAAATGGAGCTTTACTTCTAAAATTCTTTGAGTCACATTCCTTTATATATTTGTAGTCAGCTATTTTGCATTTGGCTTAATAATTTTGAACTAATATCCTACTGTACCTTTTGTACTGTACATTAAATAATCGTATTGTGTACGCTAGAGAGAAATTTGACTATTTATATCTTTTCAATTTAAAAAAAAAAATGTATCGATGGGAGTTTTTTTTTTTTTTTTTTTTTTTTTTTTTTTTTTTTCAAGTGGCTAAATGTTCGTGTATAATACTTGGATATAATAAATGTTAACAATTAAGATATATATCATGTAATTAATGCTGTAATTGCCCTTATGAATTGTCTTCTCTTATTAGCAGAAAATGAAGTATATTCTACAAATGAAAAAAGAAAATTTTTATTTTATAGCATCATGAACTTATGCTTATACATAGTAGATAGAGTATTTATTAGTTTTGAGAATGCGCCTTTCCAGTTGGATAAGTATAACATTCAATCGATTCACGTTTCATTTGAATAGAGTATCCAGGAGCTAAAGGAGCTGTATACTTGCCATCCTTCATGATAACAGGATGAATAAAATGTTCATGCAAATGGTCAACATATTCTAAGGCGCGTCCTTCAGTTGTACCAGTAATGCAAATGTAATCGATTAAGGATAAATGTTGAACATATTCACATAAACCCACACCACCTAAACCATAAAATAAGACTTAATATATATGTCTATACATCTTTTTTAACAAATAATACAACTAAAGAAGTTTACCTGCATGTGGCCAAACGGGAATATTAAATTTCTTTGCCATTAAAAGAATAGCCAAGACTTCGTTAACACCTGCTACACGACAAGAATCAATTTGACAAAAATCAATAGCTTGAGCTTGGAATAATTGCTTGAAGATGATACGATTTTGAATATGTTCACCAGTAGCGACCTTTGTATGAGGGTAAAGACCTTTACGGATTGTAGCATGGCCAAGTACATCATCAGGTGAAGTAGGCTCTTCTATAAATAAGGGCTTAAAGGTTATAAGGTCTTGCATCCAATCGATGGCTTCTTGAACATCCCAAACTTGATTAGCATCCATCATTAAAACACCCTCTTCACCAATTTCTTCACGAATTAATGCAGCTCGACGAATATCTGCTTCGCGATTACTACCCACTTTTTGCTTAAAATAATTGAACCCTTGTGCCTTGGCTTCACGGATCAATCTACGTACCTTTTCATCACTATAACCTATAAATCAAAGCCATTATTCCATTTGATCATCTATACGATACGTACACTACTGTATTCCTGTTCTTACCTAACCAACCAGCAGAGGTTGTATAACTAGGATAACCATTAGCAAGTACATCAGCCTCACAGACAGCCTTTGTAGCCTCTCTTTCACGCAACATTTGAATAGCTTCTTCAGGTGTTATCACATCAGTAATATATCGAAAATCGATACATTGTACAAATTGTTCAGGAGTCATATCTACAACCAATTTCCAAACAGGTTTATTTTCAGCCTTTGCCCAAAGGTCCCAAATAGCATTGATAACTGCACCAGTAGCTAGATGAATAACGCCTTTTTCAGGACCAATCCAACGTAACTGAGAATCACCTGTACAAATTCGATGAGTAGCACGCATATCTTTTACCAAGTCACATAATTTCTTATTTACAAACTTAACAGCAAGTTCTTCGATCGCACTACAGACAACGTTATTACCACGACCACAAGTAAAAGTCATACCATGACCTTCAAAGCTTGGAGTATCCGTATAGAAAATGATATAGGCAGCGGAATAATCAGGATCCTTATTCATTGCATCTGAACCATCTAATAATTTTGATGTAGGGAAACGTATATCTCTAATTTCATATTTGGTAATAGTAGAGTTTATTAATTTTTGCTGTGTCATTGCGTATAATATGACTATATATTTTTTTTTCTTATTGGATTTAAGTAAGTCAAAAGAGAGAGAGAGAGAAAAAAAAAAAGAGTATTTATATACTATTATGCAAATAAGGTTTTCAAACTCAAATTTTAACTTTTATAGGCACGGGGAAAAGGACATTATTTAATTTTCCTAAAATGGATGACGGACACTTTTTATTATTGTTGTTTCAAATTCTGTGAATTGTTTAAACGATACATTATATCTTTGCCTAATGTGTATACAACTAAGCTAGGTACAATAATCCAAAACCCATTAGGAATCTATATCCATAAATGATTAGATTAGAATATATAAATAATTATGTAGAAGTGATTTTATCTTACAATCCATAAAAATATAAGATCTTTCATCGTATTATGGCCAATATGTTGATATCCAGAAAATGGTTCTACAAGCCAATATAATATCGTTTTTGAAAGTGTCATTAGAGCAGCAGAGAAGCCTATTAAATTTGCCTGGCCTACATTCACATTTTTTCGCAATAGCCAAAGATATAGAAAATTTAAAAATGTTTCAATAGCATTCATTACAGCTAATAAAAAGTAGTATTATTATTATTAGTAGTAGTAGTGGTAAAATATAATTTGAATTATTACCTTGAGCGCCTGTGAAACCATCATGAGAATTAAAAGCAGGCAATCCATAGAAATGATCAATCTGATTTTTATTAAATATTAGGAATTTTAGTTTAACTCGGTATTTTTTTTTTTTCCTTTTAAGGCCCTGCTAACTTTTTATTTTTTATTTTTCATCTTTTAGTGCTCACATTTGGTTTCTGTCATTAATAGCCAAAGACCATAAAGTAACATACCTGTCCATAAAGATTATAAGGTTTCCAAAGAAAGTTCAACGATCCACCTTCCATGCTATGAGGTCTATAACTAATTTAGTTTAATCTTTATGGAAATAAGCTTTACCTCATACCTTAGTAAACAATATCCGAAATCCTACAATCACAATAATAATGTTCAAAACCAAATGAACTTTTTATTTTATTTTATTTTCATTTTACCCATGTTACAATTAAAGAGCTTAAAGATACCCATATTTTAATCCAAAGTGGTACCTCGGACAAGGAATTTTTTATTAAATGTTGGTTCGTGATGGTTGTCATGATTCTCTTTGAAAAAAGGAGAGACGACAAAAATTGACTCCGGAAAAAAAAATGTATTGCTAAAGTCAGCGTAAGTCATAATAATCATTTTTATATGTACACACATATTTTTTTTTTTTTTTTTTTTCATAGATTGATATAAAATAAACTTAATTTAGCCATCATTAACATCTCGCGAAAAGGCACGGATTTTAACAAAATAAATAAATAAAATAAAAGTGTTTTATAAACATGTTACTTGAATTACTTTCACATTAGACTTCTACTCTATACTATACATACCAATCTTAAAAAAAAAATTATTGATAATACTACACATAGTTCGATATAGATAAAAGAAGCTTTGTTAGAATAATACGAACAAATTCTTAAATAAGAAAACCCCTTTTTTTTACTATAAATATTAAATTGAACGATAATAATTATATGAAGGTTATATTTTTGAGAAGGTAATATAATCATATAGTAGTGTACCTTACAATGTACATAATAGATGACCATTTTAACATTTCAATACTCACATAAATAATGTTTATAATAATAACATAGATACTAGGTGAAATATGTTTCAAAGTTTATCTACCTTTTGGAATGGCTGTCAGACTATGAACGTATTGACTTTGATTAAAAGTCATTCCTGATGTTAAATGAAGCTTATAGTTTAATAACATCTGTAGTTTATGTATTTTTTTTTTTTTGTTATACAGTTTACTATAAACAGACTGGTAAAGTATATGTTTAAGTCAAGATTGATTACTCTAATGAAATGTCAAATATAAATGCTATAATGGCAAAAAACCTTGGAGTATCTAATATAGATTAAGTCTAGGTATTAATTGTAAAAAAAAAGGGGGCCAAGAGAGGGAAAGAATTAACAGTGTATTTTAGAATTTATATAGAAGATATGAACGTCTCTTATAATAAAATTTTGTCTTTAACTCATATAAAATAGAAGGTAATAATAATAATTGGTTATAAGAACATTTCAGTATGCTTCTTTGATATTATTCTCTTGTATTATACACCAACATTATGATGTAGTGTCTTCCTATATCTTTTATTTCTGTTTACTGGTATTTATATTTGAATATAAATGTATATAGGTTTATATACTGCATTCATTCAAATTTGCTAATGAACTTAGGTAGAAAAGCAAAAAAGAAAAAAAAAATAATAGTTTGGCTTAAATTAGAATGAAAAAAAACAGTTAAAAAATGTTTAATAAATAAAAACTTTTAAAGTAACAAGTCATCAAAAGCAGAAGACTTCTTGATTTGCTGTTGTTGTTGTTGTCGAATCGGACCATTGCTTGAATTATTGTTGGAATTATTAGCCCAATTGTTCCATTCAGCATTAATACTAGCATTTTTCAAAGAATTCATTGAGGGGCCCTGTGGTTTTTTAGTAGTGGTAGACTTTGTACCCAAAGAATCTAAACTAATCAAATTGGATGCTTGAGACCAGATTCCCCCTATAGGTGAAGTGTCAGAAGCAATAGCTGTGGTAGTCGTAGTAGTTTGGTTTACAGTAGTGGGCTGTTTAGTAGTTAGTTGTTCAGTAGATTTGCTTACAGTTAGTGTATCAAATGCTTGCGATAACATTAAATCACGTCCCTGTGATTTTCTTATAGGATCAGATGGTGTTGTAAATGTATTCTCTTCACCCAAAAGATCAAAAATATCTTGTGATTTTTGTGGTGTTTGATGAGGTGGCTTTGGAGGTACATTATTTGATTGCGTGGCACTTACAAAATCATCAAAATCATCTAATATAAACATATAAATTATGACGTTCCCCTTATGCTAAAATTTTATTTTTACCATCTTCATTTCCAATGGTAAAGTCTCCCCAATCATCATCATTTTTATTGGTACTTTGAACAGTAACCTTGTCGTCAAGATCAAATAGGTTCATTTCTTTAGCAGTCTTTGGCTTCTTAATTTCTTCTTTTTTAATACTCTTATTTTGATTCTGTTTACTTGTAGAATCAGATGAATTACTAGTTTCATCGTCATAACGGCTGGGCCTTTCTTCATCATAAAAATCGGCACTATTGCTGCTACCATAATCACTACCAAATCCCTCATATCGACTACTACCTGAATACATCATACCACCCTCAGATCCTACACCAGTATACTTGTTACGATTCTTTTTTGCCTTTTTACGTTCTGCTTTAATCAAGTCAACATCGGCCAATAATTCAGCTAGTTCCTTTGCACGATTACGTACTAAATAGAATAAAGTAAGCAAAAAAAAAAATGTATATATTTATATAAATAAATGTATATATCAAAGAAGAATATCACTATTTACCATTAATACCCTGATCTTTTCCTTTATCATCAATATAATGAAAGTTCTTCATCATCTTTATCATCGATATGTGTGACCTTGCGTCATCAACTACTCTTTCCGAACCATTTTTGATAAGATACTCTAAAAGAACAAGGGACTACCAAAAAAAAATGTTAGTTTTCTAAGCATAAAATATGAATACATTACTTTATAGATTTGTCTCCATTGCTTGGCTTCTTTTTCAGTAAAACGCTGATATATGGTGGGCATGATTTCATTAAAATATTGGCTAACATACTAAATTAAGAATGATGATAAAATGATGATAAAATGATGAAAATCTTACAAATTAAAAGTGCCCTGAGCAATTTCCTGCATTAGAGTACTTGATGCTCCCCATGCTTCGTTATTGGTTGCTTCATGGACTTTAGCTTCCATTTCAGTATAATTTAACACAACATTTTTACTACATGAAGATTAGCCTTTTATACAATTTTAATGCACATTTATTTACACTTTATTAATAACATCCTATTTAAAAAAAAAAAAAAAAAAAAAAAAAAAAGTCAATTTAAAATTAGGTATTAATACAAATAACAGTACTCTCACTTCCCATAATTCGGGAATTTGCCAGTTTAAATTGAATGAATTCATTTCACTTGAACAAACAAAAAGAAAAAAGAAAAAATAATTAAAATAATCATGAACTCCTAATATTATATTTTAAAGAACGATAAAATATTTTTATTTTTATTTTTAAGCGATAAGCTCAACAACACCACCGGCAGCCTTAATCTTCTTTTCAGCAAGGGCAGAGACGAAACGGGTACGAACAATTACAGGTTGAGAGATCTTACCCTTAGCCAAGACCTTACCATAACCCTAATAAGATTAAAAAAAATAAAATAAAGGTGAGCATTATAATTACTTTAAAAAATAAAATAAAATAAAATACCTTTTCAAGGACATCAATGACAGGAACCTTTTCGGTATTCTTATATTTTTCACGAACACCTTCACCAGCAAGGGCCCAAATTTGGTCAAGGTTGACAACAGGACGCCAGGTAGGGTTCTTCTTCAAGTGGAAGTGACGCATACCGACCTTACCAAAGTAACCAGGATGGTACTTATCCATGTTGGTACGATGATGGTGTTGACCACCAGCAAGACCACGACCACCAGGATGCTTTCTGTGCTTGCCAATACGACCGTGACCGGCTGAGACGTGTCCACGCTTCTTTCTGTTATGATGAAGTCTGGTAGGCTACAAAATAGGAATTAGTGACTGAAAGGAATAGAATAGAAAAAAAAATAAAGTATAATGGGGAGGGAGGGAGGCGATGAATTTTTGTTCAAAATTGATCTGTCTTATGAATTAAATTAACAAGCATTGGATTTCTAATTCGAATGTCCTTGATTAATTAAAATTCCATAAACATTTATTATACTGATAATCCATTTAGTAATCCATCTCTTATACTGTAATCCATCCATCGCTCATTATATTCATATCCCCATTTATGCTTTAGGTATGGATGCGCAACTTACCATTTCGGTTAAAAGAGAAAGTTCCTAATCATTTCTTATTTTTTTACTTTTGTCTGTTGTAAATACTGAAATGAAGTAAATTAAAAGTCCGTCGACTCATCATGGTATTGAGACGAATCGAAAAATTTTCTGAGACAAAATGAGTTAAAAAAAAAATATTTATTATAGTATTTATGAAATGAAAGTACTAGATGAAAAATATAGATGTATATATGTCTTATTACTGGAAATGTTGTTTGTTTATCCTACATGTAGTATTCATAGGCTTTTTATTTTAATAGAAGTTAGCTTAATATAATATTCATGTAACTTTATTAAACATATATGAATGTAAATATATAAGGAATGATAATAATAATAATAATAAATAAACGAATGTTGATATGCTTTTTTTCTATTTACTGTACACACGAACTTAATTGCTATAATTGTATCGCTGATCCATCATGGCTGATCCTCTCCAACCACTCTCCTTATCAATCCAAACTCCATTCTTTTTTGACATATCTTGTCCTTGTATCTCATTTGCCCACACTCTGATAGCATCTAACATGATCATAATCTTTATTTCATTTCCACTAAATACATCTTTAATTGTATATTGACCATCCACTTGCACTCCCTCACGTCCCATGAATTTAAAGGCTGCTACGATATTATCAAGCATCATAACTGATAATGAGCCACCTTTTTGTTGTGATGGACGACGTATTTGCTTATGACTAATGGCTTCTAATAGCTCTATCAACGCATCACCATTACGAAAGGCGCTAGCTAAATCAATCACTTGTCTATTAGCTGGTAAATAACCATTAATCCAATTTATATAATCCTGAGCTTCATTAGGTGGAAGGCTCTGATGCTGTGGGTCAATTAAATCCTCTTCCTCGTCAAGATGTTGTGGTGGCGGAGGTGATGTAGTAGAATACTTTGATGAAGATTGAGGATACACTGTAACAATCTCAGATTCCTCTTGGTGCTGTTCAATTTCTTCTTCTTCTAACATTGTCATTTCTACCGATGGTTTTATTATTGGTTGATTTTTATTATACATAATAACTGAGGGAGGCCTTGGTCTCATACGACGTGCAACATCTAATGATACTGTCGCCATATGATTTGATGACATGACTGGTGCTATTATTTTTTTTTTTTTAAAAAAAAAATATATACATATACATATATAAATGTAAACATTCATATATAATTTAGTAAAATACATTTCCAATATTCAAGTATAAAACTACCTCGGAAATCTCGCTCAATAGTAGCTTTCATTAACTTCTTGATCCATACTCGCATTGTTTCTTCAGTTTCTGTATAAAACAAAAACGTGCGTTCTCTGTCGTGTTGCGCTTTAAAGCAATATTTGCCTGTATGAATTGTTTCGTCTACTATTATCTTATAGCCTCGTAAATTGATAATACCTTTCATTCGAACATCTTTAGGACTCTTAAAGTAAAAAAGATTAGTACCCTTTAGAACAAACCAGCGTTTATTCCATGTTTTATATTTATCGCTTTGCTTATGAAGCCATCCCTCATGTTCAGGAGCTTGGAATGTGGTTGATTCTGTATTATCATTAAAGGAGGAGACTGACAGTGTATGCGATTTAGCAGTTTGTCTATTATTTAAAGATAAATAAATAAATATGTATGTATGTATGTAAGGAAAGAAAGGAAAAAAAAAAGGGGGGAGAAGAGCTATATATATAAAAATAGTGTAAACTTACATTGGACTCATTAAAGGATGAATACCTGAAGATGTCTATACAATAAACATAATTTCATAAACATATAGAAGAATATATATACATATATATATTTTTTACTATTTAACTTACATCACTCCAATCCGTCTTTATTGGCTGACTATTGATACTGCTGCTAGTGTTCTGTGTTGTACTGCTGCTCAATGTACTACTGGGGTAATTATTGATTTTTCTTGATTCATTTGTTCCTGATGACGATAATGTGTTGGACCGACTCATACTACCTGATGACATACTTGTGGGTGAGATAGGTCGATGAGGTGGAGGTGGAGCCTTTCGTGGAAACTGATACGGTGTAGCTGAATCTGATTGAGAATTTGAGCGTCTTATGGATGATCTACTAGTTGGTGGTCTAATAACAGTTGCTGAAACAGATGCATTAGGAGTAGGCTAATCAAAAGTCATTAGGAGACAAAAATAAATTATAAAGTGTCTTTCAATACCTTTACGATATTATGATCTTCTTTTAGACTGTTGATAGCTTGCATCACTTTGTATCGTTTACCAAACGTACTAATACCTAATTCTTTCAATGATTCAATATTTAAATCAAGTAAAATATCACCACTAATTTCTTGATCTAATCATATTAATAATAAATCAAAACTTTGTATCAGAATGGCTACACACCCTTTTGATTTTTTTTTTTTTGTTACCAATAAAGTTGATAGCTACTGAAGCCAATCCTACTGACGTTAACCACTCTGCTACTTGCTCCATGTCCCAATTCTCTACTTTCTCTTCAATTATTGCTGTAGACTTTTCAGTTGATGTATAATTCATTGGAAAAAGACCAGTTTCTCCATTCTTATTTCGTCCCTAATCATTTATTTAGTCATTTTACTGTAGTATATCTCCCTATTTTTTTTATTATTTTTTTTTTCTATTACAAACCTGCCACCATCCATCCAAGTACTTTTCATCCTTTTCAAGAACTGTGATTGGTTCTCCAGCTAGAAAATTTATTTCGTCTTCATTTTCAGCCTCAAAATCATGTATTGCATAGACTACAGTTGGTATCGTCATAATATATAAAGGAGTGTATGTAAAAAAGGGAGTGAATAAAAAAAAATAAAAAAAGTTAAAAAAAAAGAAAGATAAAAAAAAAGAAAAATAAAAAAAAAGGAGGGGAGAAGAAAGTGGTGTTTTTATTATTATTATTGGAGAAGAATTTATACACTTAACATTGTATGTGTAACATTCAATATATACTACAACAAGGCTTTAGATATAGTTTATATTGATTGTACAAGTCTACAAGTCTATAACCCTTACATAAGCGCATCATTTTATATATATTTTATATGTTTGTATATTTGTTTATTTTCTATCTTTTATGTCGCACCCAATAGTCCTTCTAATGTTGCATTATTGACTGCTGGACTCATATCAAGTAACGTTGTTAAAAATTGATATATTTCCACATTGTAAAATGCATTTAGGATAGTTCCCTTATTATACTTTTGACTGATTTTAGGCCCCTTAGCTACAAAAATAGCTCTCATCTCGGGTGCTAAATTATCATATCCATGAATGCCTCTAGGTCTATAATCCTTATCTAAACTAACATTGAAATCCGTACTACGAATGATTGAATAACCTACATCCGGAACAAGTAAAATAGGTGCAATACGTTCTGTAACATGATAATGAAATCGCTCTGGTATCTCATTTCGTTTATAAACTTGAAAGTGTGGATCAGGTGTACGAGCCATGTATTTTTGAATATCATTATATATTTGGTCAACTGCATCTAGTGGGCTATCGGATTTGGGTCTTAGTCCCAAGAGTGGCCAAGCTTCTCTTTTACTTAAATAGGATTCAGTTTGAGCTGACAGGATTTCGTCATAAAAGATCAATCGTGTCTTATGTGAAGCAGCCATACCATGATCACTAACAATAACAACATGAACATGATTATCTAAATTTCGTTCTTGTAGCCCTTGCATCAAATATCCAATAGCATTATCCATATCCGACAATACAGCGTTCAACTATACTCAATCATAAGTTTTAATAATATAATATGTATATAAATATATGTATATGTATACATATATACACACATACATGTGTATTACCTGTTTTCCATCAGGCCCTCCTCCATGTCCCTTTTGGTCTACTTGCGGTATATAAATCGAAATTAGTTGAGGTCGTTCATTCAGGGGCAAATCTAACCATTGGAATACCATATCCATTTTGGATATTGCTGAAACTTCTCTTGAATAGGGTATATAGTAATCTGCCGTTGGCTCTACATTCGACCCAGGCCACATTATCACGGCTGACTTCTGTTTATGACGTTGTACGGTTCGCCAGATAGGTTCACCACCCCACCATTTAGGATCGCCACTGATGGTTGCATTCTTATGTATAAATTCCTCATTATAAACTGGATCAAAAAATTCATTAGCAACAATACCATGTGATTCAGGATATAGCCCCGTAACTAAAGTCCAATGATTTGGAAAAGTAATAGACTTATATGATATAAATTTTTTTTTCTTGTTAAATAGATAAATAAAGTTATAACTGGCTTACTGGAAATGAGGGCATCATATACTCTGCCCGAATACCTTGTTCAGCTATATATATATATATATATATAAAATACATATACATATTTATAAATTTATCCTTATCATAATATGTATTTGTATATATATTTTTTTTTCGTCTTACCTATCTTTTCTATATTGGGAGTTACTTTTCTTTCTAAATAATCATTTCTAAATCCATCGAGCGAAATGTAGATGACAGTTTTATCGAAATAAGTTGTACCATTAAAATAATAAGTTGAGGGACTTTGTCTTTTAAAAAAATTAGAGTCAGTAACAAGTAAGAGCATGCCTAAAAACAAACATCCTATCAAGAAAGTATAAATGCGACTACGATATGTCTACTAAAAAAAGTTAATGATCTGCAGTAAAATCGGCTTTCCCTCTTTCTCTCTCTCTCTCTCTCTCTCTCTTTTGTTTTAGTCTTACAATTAAGAATTGGAGCCAATTTGGGAGTTGTTTTCTATTCGGCTTCAGGTATTTTCCATCATTTAATGTCCCAATTTCGATCACTTCACTATCGGCTAATAATAAGTTTTGTTCATAACTATCGTTGTTGGAATCAATATCCTCCCTGCTGCCATACAACTTTTGTATATCTTGGTTGCTTTTTCGTGTTCGTAAAGAAAAATCTAAATGAGGTGTAATCGCGGGTATAGATCCAGACATACTTTAACAGACATTAAAAAAAAAATAAAATAAAATAAAAAAATAAAAAAAAAAAGTAAAAATTAAAATAAGAGACTTTTTTTTTTTTCCTTTTTTTTTGTATGATTATAAAGCGTAGTCGTAGTATATTTCATCTCAAGATTACCGAAAACACAGTATGCACCATTGAACATGTAACTTTGTTATTTATATTGATCTATTATTATTATTAGGCTTTACGAGTAGTTTTATATGTAGCCAAAGATGATATTGATTGGTATAACAATAACGATTTGCATAATCAAGTCTTAAAAACACTTTATCCTGTCATTTTGGATACTTTACTAAAAGAACAGGAAACATTAAAGAAACAATATGAATCAAGTCAGCGTATCATTTATGGTAAATTATAGATTTAGATGAGACTTTATATATTATTTTTTTTTTCTTTTATAACTTTTATGCATTTAGAAAATGGTTTTCGTATCTTGTATAGATTCACATTACGCAATACACATCAAACTTTAATAAAAACAGTAAAGCATGGCATAAACTATAAATACATGTATATATATTTTTTCTTTGGACTGATTGACAGTATATTATTAGGAAAAGAATTTCATATTCAATGAACAAGACGAAAAGCCTGTTCTTAATACCTTGTATAAATCGCTTTCCATTCTGCCATTTCAACTCTTGATTTCTGTTGACAACCATTTAGCTGATAATCAGCCTACTTTATTAGATACTTATTTATCATCAGTTATTTAAAAAAAAAATAATATTTATTCTCTGTGTGTGTGTGCGTAAATAAAAATAGTTATAAAAAAAAATATGCTATTCTTTAAGTCGTTTTGGAGGGTATAAAGAGGAAGAATTTTATGGTATTTTAAGACAATCTAGGTCGTTTTGAAGTTAGATCCTGAACCTCTTCTTCTTCATCATCACTAATCAAATCAATGACATTTATATCGGCTGTAGACTTTTTTATTGTTTGCTCATTATCATCTGAATCTAGATCATCCAACTGAGTCATTTTGTATTGTGTGTGATCTTGTGTATACTCAATTTCTACAACATTCTTTGGCAACTCTTTCAGTAATTTTTCTGTCAGGGCGTCTCGTGCCAATGACTTTGGTCCTACTACAGTACTACAGTGTGGACATTGCCATACAGGATTACGTGTCTTGTTAACAATTAAATATCCTTCTAGGTCAAAACAATCCACATGTTTACAGTTTTGTCCACGTACAGGTTGTTTCATTCGCTTCATTGTGATGGGACACTTGAGTCGTAGTTTTACCGATTCTTGAATAACCATAATATCATCATCATCATTAGTTTGATTGTTGCCTAACAAATTGTCGATCATTGTTTCACTATCTTTGACACTGATTAATGTATTATGGACATGATGAAGGATCCAATTTTCACTAAATCGTGTATGAATTTGTACACTAAACCGAAATGACTATATATTTATATGTATATAAAAGTAAGTTTTTAATCACTTTCTTTTCTTTTCTTTTTTTTTTTCTTCTTTCAAATATATCTATCTATGCTACTTACACAGGCGCATCCAAACTGATGAAGTCCTAGTGTGTTTTCCCCAACTTTTATTAACTTTGTTAAATCAAAGGGTAAATCTTTTCCAATATATGTAACTTGTCCATTAGGCGACGTATGTTTTTGTCTCTGTTTATGAACATGAATATTATATACATGAATATATTATATATGCTTTATTTACCTTTTGTAAATGAAGTTCTCGTCCATTTAATTCTACCCTGACTGATGCGGGCCAATCACATTTCCTTTCTGAAGTATTTGAATACCATGCATTCACGATATATGTTCTGGGTAATACAGTGTCAGTCTTGTTGATTTTTAGATCTGTATTTTTATATAACAGACGATATGTTTCAGAATTAATATGAAATTGCTTTCGTTGAAACTCTTCATCATGTATCAGCTTGAATGGCTGAATTGCATATCCAGTCATAAATGAGAAATGCGCAAAATCACCTCCAGGTAAATAAGATATTTCATTTTTCGAAGGTAGTAATTTCGGGATAGGAACAGGAATAGGAATAGGAATAGGAGCAGGAGCAGGAGACGTCTCAATAACTGTTGGTATGATGATACTTGATGCCGATGCTGATACTGTTGTTGTCGTTGTCGTTGTCGTTGTATTGCTAGCATAACTATTTGGTAATATTTTATTAGGTGAATTTACAAAGGATGTACCTATTATTGGTGAAATGATGATTGAAGACGAGGGAGGAGGAGATACGGTAGTATTGAATGTTGTAGATGTAGGTGTAGGAGGATTAGATGACGTAGGAGGAGTGACTGGATTAAAGATGGCAGTATTATGAATAGTACCATTCGTAGGAAGCCAATATGCTTGTTGTTGTTGTTGTTGTTGCTGAGACTGTAAGTGTTGAGGATCAAATTGAGGGCTTGATTGATGACTTTGCGGTTGACTGGATTGAGAGCTTGGTTGTGGATTGAACTGTACAGTTGATTGGGGACTTTGTGGAGGTCTTGTATAATTTATTGCTTGTGACGTCTGTTGAGGCACACTATTAACTATAGTTGGATGCCCAAAAATAGGCTGACTAGTAGCAATAGGAAATTGTTGCATTCTTTGAATAAGTGCAGCATTTTGTTGTTGAAACTGAATTTGGTGTTGTCTTTGTATATGTTGTTGTTGTATTTGTTTTTGAAGATTATTGTGCTTCTGTAAGTCTTTTTGTTGTACTTGAAAATATTGATGCATTTGCTGTTGCTGTTGCTGATGCTTTTGTTGAAATTGTTGAAGCCTAAATATTGCTTGCTGGGACTGTTGTTGTTGTTGTTGTTGTTGTTGTTGTTGTTGTTGTTGTTGTTGTTGTTGTTGTTGTTGCTGTTGTTGTTGATGCTGCTGCTGTTGCTGCTGCTGTTGCTGTTGCTGCTGTTGTTTTTGTTTAATTTGAGCTACTCTATGTGCTTCTACTTGTGCTTTTTGCTGTGTTTGTATTTGTATTTGAGCTTGTGGCTGTTGTTGCTGCGCTAATGGATACATTTGCTGCATTCTTTGTCTATTTTTTTCTTTTTCCACCTGTGTCATAGGATTCAACATGGATTGCTTGTTTTGATTAGTAATAATGATAGGATTTATATGTGGTGACTGACGTGGAGAGACGATAGGAGAAATGGTAGTAGTAGGAGAAAGAGGTGGCGGTATACTATTTGACTCTAAAACTGATTGCATAAGTGCATTTATATTGGTTTGAGTGTTATAAACAGATTTATTAGGAGGTTGATAAATAAGCTGATGATTTGCAGACGAGTTTGTATCACTTGGTCTTCGTTTAAAAACAACATTATACAAATCAGAGTAGTATTTCTTTATCGTATCTAATCAACAGGATTAGGACAACATCTTTTATTCCCTATTTTTTTTTATTTACTTACTTTGCCCTCTCTCAGATAATCCTTGACACATACTATTCGCTTGTTTTAATACTTCTTTACCGGACCATGGACCATATTCAACTGCCTTTTCCGCAATTGTTGCAATACAATTTAGAAGAGCAGCTTCATTAAATACATTATACGCACGACTGTCTTTTAACCATTCTAAAAGTTCATCACAAGCTCCACCGAAAGTAGATAACTCACGTAACTCTAATTCTAATTGTATTAATCGAGTATTGTTTTTCTCGTAAATTCGTTTATCTGCTTCACTTAAATTCTGAAAAGATGGATGTTGATTACTCAAATCATGTATTGTACTATTATTTGAAGCTGGTATCATATTTTCTGTATGTGCTATATAAATATATATATATATATATATACATATATGTAGGTATAAGTTAGTAAGATACATTGTCAAGATGACGGCAAAAAAAAAAAAAAAAAAAAAAAAAAAAAAAAAAAAACTTTTTAAATTACAGAATGAAATGTTGTTTAGCGACCGATTTGCATTGATTGAAGTAATACCTATGATCATTAATATCTTAATTAGCTTATGAATTAGATTTAATCATGAATTTTTACATGATCAATTGTCTATCTATAATACCTGTATGTGAATCACTAGAGTTCATTAAATAATAATAAAAAAAAAAATATGTGTATGTCAAAAATGGAATCTAAAAAAAAAAAAAAAAAAAAAAAAAAAAAAATTAAACGCTAATTTTTTTCCGCCACTATCAAAAATAGTTTAAAAAAACACGTCATCAATTAAAAATCCGTTATTATAAAATTGGATCAAAAATCATTTTGAAATGTATGAAGAATAGACAAATTAAACAATTTAAATAAGCTCAAGATAACTTTGAAATGGATCGTTTATACCAAATAAAATAAAATAAAATAAAATAAAATAAAATAAAATAAAATAAAATAAAATAAAATAAAATAAAATAAAATAAAATAAAATAAAATAAAATAAAATAAAATAAAATAAAATAAAATAAAATAAAATAAATAAATAAATTATCATCAGTAATCAAACTTCGCTTTTATGTAAATAATGAAAATAAATAAAAATAATGTTTGAACTTAATAATCGCGTCTCAACTCCATTAACAAAATAAAGTAAGGAAACAACAATTAACATTGCTATTAGCAAGGATGAAAGCCTACACAACTATTAAAAAAAGCCATGTAATTTTGATAGTCTTGTTTTCAGAGACTATACTTGTTGAGTTACTATTCCCATACATGTTGTACGTACAGTAGAACAAATAGAAACAGATACATAAGAGATAGATAAATGTATATCTGTATTTTGTCATCACTCATCTAGAATGTAATAAAATTACGTGTATTGGAATGCAAGCTTCATACAAAATCTTTATTGGTAATAAGTTGAATGAAAATGTTGAATACCATTGAGAGTCATACTTCCACGATGAAGGTTGAATACTATACTATCGTCATTAGTTTATTACTCATATTTTACTTTTTTTTTTAGAATGGCAGAGTCTAATTCTTCTTCTACAACTCAAAGTAATTAAGCAAGTAAGGAAAGAAATAATAGGAAATTTATTTTAATTTAATAACAAAACTAAAAATTATTATTTTTTTTTTTTTTTTTAAGGGTATATTTAAATTTTATTTACAAAAATAATTAAAAAAAAAAAAAAGAAACAAAGAAACAAAGAAAACTTAGTTTCTTTGTTTCTATTAAATATAAAAATGTTAGTTTAATTTGTATGTAAAATATTTGTAAATCAAAAAAAATATTACCTTTGAACAATTTGGGGATGAATTTTCATCCCCAAATTGTTGCTTCCTCTTTGGAGGCGCCAGCGAGGATTGCCCAGAAGCAGGAAAAGACCTGGGCTTCTTGACTGGATAAGGCACTTTGAAAACCGGGTCAGCTACCTTATCCAGTCTGTCTTTTCCTGCTTCTGGCCCGGTGACGGCCTTGGACTTCTTTGTTGATGGGGCCGTCACCTTCTTGTGGAGTCTACGATGTTTGCAATCCTCGCCAAAGAGCACCTCCAAATAGGATTTTGTATACATCATGAAAGCAGCACCTGTTTCTTCTTCATATTCAACAAGTGCTGCTTTCAATGACTGGGTTGCCATGGGGAGTTCTTTGTTGATTATGTTCCTGGATTTTTCTTCTTGAAGAAGGTAACCAGGACCATACCTTCTTTTGTAATCAAACAAGCGACCAGGGTTACTTGTGGCGGCCAAGAATTTTGCTTGATCCATTTGCAGCTTGCTATATTTTTGGATGCAAATGGATACTGAGGAACGATCTTGGACTTTTGTTTGAAGATGTTGAACTTCTTTTTTGAGCTCGCCAAGTACCTGATCGCTTGTTTGATCTGTGTATGCAGGACTAAAGGTATTTCTTTGATCTTCACTGAAGCAAAGTTGATCCCATAAACTTTCAAGTTTTTTGCGCTCTGTTTCAATGAATTCACCAAGATGTTCATTTTTTTCTTGCATTCTTTTTTGAAATTCATTTTCCAACTAGATAAAATAGTAGAGTTAATTCATCTGATTGAATTTGATATATGTGTCAATTAAATACTTACAATATGAATATTATCAACGTTTAAGCTTTTACTCTTCATTAAGAATGTATTCACTTCTTCTTCAGGAACATTCAAGATTTGCCAGAGAGGCTTCAATGATACAATGATTTCTTCTTGATTATACGAAATAGTTTGTCTTTGACGCTTCAATTCAATTAAGCGAGCATTTAAATAATCTTCAAAGGCATCAGATACGACATCATCAAAGTCTTGATCAGTTGAAGAGGATTGTTCTGTTGATTCCTTTGATGCTAGTTTATTATAAAATTCAATGACAAATTGATCTCTTTCATTTTGAGCTTGTAAGCCTAATTCTTGTAACAATTGGACTAGTTCACCAGATAAATGAAAGGCAGTTTCTTTTCTTGACACCAATTTTTCTTCACAGCGTGCAATTTCATCTTCCAAGGCAGCAGCAGTAATATTTGAAACATCAGTAAATTCTTCATATTCCAATAATTCATTAGTATTAGCAAAGCTAGGCATTATGTTTTGGAGCGTTTCCAAATTAGATCGCAATTCTATATCAGATAAGAAAAAAAAAATTAATAATTAATATGCATACATATATTAAAAAAAAATTACCTTTGACTTGCAAAAGTCTTTCGTTGTAACGATGTTCAACGTCTTGTTTTTCATTTTTGAAACTATTCAAGTTTTCCAATAAAGACTTGTTTGTATCCAAGTAAGCTTCATCAGTAGCAAATTCACCCAACTTTTGCTTATATAAGAAGATCTGTTTCTGAACATTATTGATCTCTTGCAATATCTGTTGCTTTTCAATGGTAACAGTAGCGATCTCTTGATTAATAAGTTGAAGAGTGTTTTCCATGACTACTTGTTGTTTTTGTTTCTTTTGTTTGTCATCAAGACCAATTTCATTATGCAACGTGTCAAGTGCGTTGAATTGAGTTTGGAAATGAGAGAACATCTCTTGAAGAGAGTTAAAGACGAGTTGAGAAGAGTTTGAGCTCATTGTAAACAAGATAAAAGTTAAGAGTAAGTAAAATTTAAAGAAGAGAATTTTGAAAGATGTTTGATTTTTTGAAGCTTTATAAAAAATAATTTGTATAAGGAAAATCAATAATGAGAAGAAGGAAAAAAAAAAAAAAAAAAAAAAATAGCTTTTTTCCCCTCTTTTATTCTAATTTTCATGACATTTTTTTTGAAGAGCTGACTATCAATTGTTTATATAATACTCCTTAAAACCCTAACAGGTTTAATTATTGCTTATAAATAAACTTGGCGAATCTAAGCAATAAAAAAGAAAATCTAGAATAAACTTTAAAAAAAACAATAACAATAACAACAATAACAATTTAATTTTTATTTCCTAAAGCGATTAAATGCATTTTCTATCTTTCAAATCTTTCTTATCTGTTGTATTCAATCCTTCTAAAGCTTTATGAATGTTTAATGAATGCCTTTTTTATTTTTTTTATTTTTCGCTTTTGATAGCTTTGATTTCATTAAAAGGTCATTTAGATAAGCATGTACCTTTAAGGCTATTGTTTAAATTGGTTATCTAAGGATAAATCTGTTTCAGAGTTTTAACAGAACAACATCTATTTGCGTGTAACATTAACAGTTGGTCTATTTTAAACATCGTCATTTCAATAAAGTCAAATTAAACAACAAACAAGTATAAACTACAAATTTGCCTGATAAAAAAAAAAAAAAAAAAAAAAAAAAAAAAAAAAGAAAGATAAAGAAACAAAAGAAATAAAAAGCAAAGTAAACTTTCATTGACTTCTTTATTATAACATGGCTACCATCAAAGTCAATGAAGCATGTGTTATAAAAGTACATGTTTGTGCTCCCAATACGTTTATCTTTTACTGACTTTATTATTTAAAATCTATCTTTTTTTCTCTTTCTTTCTTTCTTACTTTATTTATTTAAAATGATAGAACGTCGAGTGAATAGCTTACGTTGGTCTCGAACTTTGAGTAGAATTCAAAACAATAATTCACTAATAGATAATAACATAGTACAAAGGTTTACAATACAAACATACATATTTATTATGATTAACAAACAAGTAATTAATTTTTTTCTTGAAAAAAAAAATATATATTCATATATATATTTCCCCTATAATACACTTAGTGATACACATCCATCTGATAATTTGAAACAATCATGGCCTGCACAACAAGACGAATTAAATGCAGTGCCAAGAAAAAGAAATAATTCACTTATTCCAGTAGAACTCATGATGAATAATAGTGGAGAAGGTGGTAGAGAATGTGTTGCGTTAGCAACCGTATTTGGTGTACCTGAATACATTGACTCTAAAGTCTTTTGGGAAAGACAACGTGATGAATCAAAAAATAAGCCAGTCCAACAACATCCTATTATTATTTCTGTTAATCATGAATTAGACCCAAATCAAACTTTATCAAAACTTGATATTGAACACAACGAAATTCGATCTAAATTGTTTATTTCGTCCTACATGGACTCTGTTCTGGACTCTGTAGGTTCTAATGATCTTTTAAAGAGTCCATCCTTTTTAACTGAAACACCAACACCGTCACCGTCACCGACACCTACTAAAAGCTTCTCCTTACCTCGTATCCCTTCTGTTAGTCTATTTGATGATGTTTCTATAGAAAATAAAAACAACTCTGTTCCACTTGAATTTACAGTGCCTAAAGACTGTTCTCAGATAGATCAAACAGAAGTAGAATCTACAAGCTTCTCTAGTACGAAAACACCTTTACTTCTTGTTGGACCACCAGAGATTTTTGACTTGATTTTGTCAGACCAGGATGAACGATTCATCATTTGGGGTCCCGATCCTATCATACTCTCTTCTTCAATGGCAACGACCTCCTTTGAAAGATCATCATCATCATCATCTTATGCAGTATTGTGTAATAATCAAAATAAGCGACCTGAATTAAAGGGGTTCTCATCTAATATCACCATGAGTCAGAAATCATCGTTATCAAGATTTAAATCCTCGTCAGTCAGATTACCAAATTGGTCTGAAACTCTTAAAAAACGTTGGCAAAATTCTTCTCACTATCGTCAGCAAAGTATGTTTATTAAAAGGGCATTAAAACAAAATAATGAAGATGATGTGACAAATAAAATCGATGAAATACCCAAGGTGATTGAAGCAGCTACCATTCATAAACTTGTAGAGAAATTGACAAGTACTTTAGGTATTATTTTTTTTAAAAAAAAAAAAATCAGAATTGTTTCTTAACTTTTTATTTTATTTTATTTTTTGGTCTATTTTAGATTATACATTTATGACAGATTTCTTTTTGACTTATAGAGACTTTGTAACCTCAGAGGATCTTTGTCAACTTATTATATCAAGGTTTTATTGGGCTTTAAAAAATGATGATGAATCAAGAAGAATTGTTAGAATTAGGTATAATTCTTTTTTTTTTTTTAATATGTTTCTATATATCATGTCTCATTATTTATTTTTTTTTTTTTTACCATAGAACATTTGTAGTTCTTCGTCATTGGTTAAATAACTATTTTGTTCATGATTTTGTTGGTAATAGAGCCCTTCGTATCCTCTTTACACAATTTCTTAATTCTCTCCCTTATCATCCACTCATTAAACAATCATTACGTGATCAACGTATTGTCAAGATTTTAAAATGTGTTGTACGACGCTTAAAAAAGTTGTATTACAGAGAATCATCGCATGTCAAGGTCATCGCACCTCCTCCACCTACAGCTGAACAAGAACAAATGAGTGAACTCGTACGTGCAAAACTTTCTCAGAGTGCGATTAGACGAAGGGCAGCAGGGATCGATTTTAGTAGCGATTATCATGGTAACATGGCCATTCAAGATACACGTTATGCCCCCGTTCTTGTAGTCGGTAGTCTTCATAAGAAACCCTCTGTAAGCTTGATAGATTCTGGAGTCGCTGATTTTTCACCAAGTCAGTTAGTCAATAAATTATCATTCAATAATAATAAAATTCAAAATAATAACTCTAACTCTATTAAAACAGATCAGACTCCAACTCATCAAAGTCAACTTCTTGTCTCTCATTCTCATACGGATGACATGAGTTCTTCTTCTATTAAAAGATCAATGATGGACGATCCTGTCGCTTCTTATGCTGATTCACTTGAAAGTGAACTTACTGCAGGTGAAACAACAGTATTCAATCTATCCGATGATTCAGATGACGATTTTGATATCTATCATGATTACTTTCATCATGTTGAAGAAGAAGATGAACTCGATCGACATTGGCTACAAGAACAACAAGAAACGATGGCTTATTTCAACTCTTTTACTGATATTCAACAACTTCCTTCTTCCACACTACTAGATGCATCGCTTGCTTTAAAACAAAATATAAATGAAATACATAAAGTGGAGGAGACAAATTCGGACAAAATTATAAATCAAAAGGAAGATAATGACGATGATGATGATGGCGATCAGCAACAACAACAACAACAACAACAACAACAACAACAACAACAGCCAATATTGAAAGTACGTCGTGTTCCATCTGAGCGTTGGTGTAGATCATTAGATAATTCTACTGTAGATCCTCAGCCACTTCCAAATACATCTTTACCTGTTGAACTTTTAAAGGAACTGAATCAGGATCTTGAGCAGCATCCAGTGATGCCTATCATTGGATTATCAAGAAAATTATCTAAAAAAAGTATTGAAAAACGAAAGAGTGAAAGGAGTCTTCAGGGTTCAACCCCTTCTTCACCCCTATCAACAGGAATTCAACAGTCGTCAGATAATATTCCAGAATTACCCCCTTTACCACAAAGTCTTGTTCATAGTGATGTCCTTAAATTAGTCAGCAGATCGTCATCATCTACAATAAAGACAAAAAGAAGATCCTCTATGAGTGTAAAAGAGGATATTCATTTTGAAGCAATACCCTATGAGAGAACACAAGTTATGTATTCATCTGAACGGAAGGAGGTTGCTGCTAATCATAATCAACCTAAACTATCAAAGGTCTTTCATAAGAATAATCTGGATCAATTTGATACTACTACATCAAATGATAAAGAACAATCTCTCATTCTTCAATCTGATATGCTTGTTCATAGATCTGATGCCATAGATCATGGGCAACAGCAAGTACCTAGTGGTCATTTTGTAAGCTTAATTGCTCAACGTCTGAATATGGATGATGATGATGATGATGATAACATATCAATAGCTCATAATAATCTAGCTGCTACTGATCATCATGATGATTCTTATAGACTAAGTATGATGCTTATTCAAGATGAAGAACGTAGGCAAAGTTTTGAACTAAGACGTAAACGGGGTGCAAGTATTGATATGATAGACTACATACGAACTGGTAAATCTATACATAAATCTGAAAAGGATGAAGTGGAGGCACAGGCAACAGACAATAGTATCGTCGCAACAAGTTTGACATCTTTATCTGAAAAATCAATGACAACACCTTCATGTTGTTTGTCATTTGTTACTTCTGATGTGGCGACAAATCTGGATTCACAGGTTCAAACGGCAATAGCTCCTAATGATATCGTCAGTATATCATCCTCATCTAAAGAAGCAGGCCCAAAAATCATGGATGAAAGAGTCCTAAAGACTCTAACAAAGTGTACATCAATCTCAACTCCTCTTCCTAGACCTCTACTATCTACTAGCAACAATTGTCAACTAAACAGATATCAACCCTGTTTTATCCTTTTTTATAGAACAAGTAAATTAGCGAGTCAACTATGCTATATAGAACGAGATGTATTAGTCAAAGTTGGATGGGAAGAATTGATTCATTGTAGATGGACTAAAATGGATCCAAACGGAAACGTTATTCAAGTTACAGAACAAAACTCAACAAATGATACAACAACAACAACAAGACAACGAACCAAGGAACAAGGTATTGAACAAGTCATTCAACGATTTAACACTGTTTGTCTTTGGGTAGCCTCAGAGATTGTAACAACGAAAAGCATACATGATCGAGTCAAATTAATTGAGAAATTCGTTCGATTAGCAAAGGTAAAATAACAATTAAAAAAAAATAGATAAAGTTTACCGTTATTATTCTCACTAAAACTATTGATTTTTTTTTTTTAAAAAAACACACACATACAAAGAAATGCAAAATATATTCTAATTATGCAACCTTAGTTCAAATTTTATTGGGTCTTCAATCACCTGCCGTGGCACGACTGGAAAAGACATGGTCAAAAGTGAGTTCTAAATGTCAAAGGGAACTCGCAAAATTGACTGAATTTACATCACCTATAAAAAATTGGAAACATATTCGAGATAGCATGACAGAAGTAGCTGAAGAATATGGTCATTCACCTGCTGAAGTTCAGGTTGAATTACCAGGCACTACGCGCAAAATGAAAAAGACGACACGTATCAAGATGCCCTTTGGTGGCTGTATTCCATTCTTGGGCATTTACTTGTCAGATTTAGTCTTCAATTCTGAGAACCCAAAGTTCTTGACACCCCATTCTGATAATCAAAAGATTTATAATGCAAATACAACTACCAAGTTGCCAGCTGAATTGTTAGATCAACCTTTAGTCAATTTTCGAAAGCATCGTGTGATAGCTACTGTGATTAAACGAGTCTTGGTCTTTCAAGGACTAGCAATGCGATATTCATTTGATGAAGACCTTGTATTATTGGAAAAATGTAGAAATATTCAGGCCTTAGAGGCCTCTAAAATTAGAGAATTGAGTGCTTCTCTTGAATAGAAATCTTTATATACATACTATTAATTATCAAATAAACATTATTTATTCGACTATTATAAAAGCTTTTTGCTACCTGAACAAGTTCAGATGTAGGATATATTGGTTCCTTTTTTTTTTTTACCTTTGCGTTTCGCTTCTTTTTAGTGTATAGCACTTGTGTACAGTATAGTATTGGTTATAGACAACTACTATGCTTAGACTCTTGTAAATAGTATCAAATTCGAATCTATAATCATTTAACGATAAAAGTCTTTACTTCATATTATTTTTTTTGGTAAGACGACTCCCTTATTAGGTAATAAAGAATTACTTGCACACTATTTTATAATCATTGCTAGATATTTACTATCTTCTTCCTTTTTGTTGAATATAATAAAATGAGAATAAAAGTAATATAGTATGTTTCTTTAAACGAATTATATACTAAAAAAAAAAGTATAATAATTGCTTCAAAGTCGTGTATGCTTTTTTTTATCTTGTTTATTAGTTGAAAAAATATAAATTAATTTAATCCTTCTCAACAATTCTTTGTAAATGTTCATCAATCTCTTCAGTGGTTAATGTACGGAAGTCAGTATCATCCTTATGAACAATACCAATTTCAATCTCAGATGCCTTAAAATCAACTGCCAACACAGTAGATAATGTTGTAATTGCAAGCTATTATTTTATGATATAAACGTACATTAATCGTTCTATTTCTCTTATATTCTCTTTCTTTCTTTCTTTCTTTATATATTATTTTGTTTACCTCAATGGTATCTTCCATATTCAATTCAGGATTCTTTTTCAATTTCTTTTCCAAATGATTTAATGCTTCTTGTTGTTTAGCACCAGCTGCTGTTGCTCTATAACCAACATAATATCCAGCAGGATCGCATTTATATAATTGAGGTCCCAATTCATCATCATAACCAATCAAAATCATTGCTACAATCAAAAAAAAAAAAAAAAATAAAATAAAATAAAATATTAGGTATGTTCTATTTGCAAGTTTACGTTTATAACTTACAAACACCGTAAGGTCTCATGGCAGCTTGTTGTGTATAAACTTGGTTAATATTAGCTACACGTTTAGCAAGCATATCAGTGGGCATTTCATAGCCATATTTATAACGGAATTCAGCAGCCTCTTGACGTGCCCTTGTAACTTGTGAACGAGCATCAGCTATAAATCCGTGTTAGTAGCTCGATATTGTTTTGACAATTTGGTACTCTTACCAATCATGCCAGTCATGACACATCCAATTTTAGGCGTTAATTTAAAAATATGAGTAATAGTAGAAGGATCTAATAATTTATCCTAATAATAAAAAAAAAGTTAATGGAAACATGTGTGCATTTAAGAATAAAACTTACAGGAACTTTTCTTTGAGTAATTATAACGCATCCATCACGACCACGCACACCAACAGAAGTGATGCCACTGTTTGAAATGGCTTTAAAGGCGTATTCTAATAATAATAATAATAAAAGTTAATAATAGAAAATTGTAGTTTTTTTTTCCGACTAGAATCTTTACCAACTTGATATAATCGACCTTCAGGAGAGAAAATTGTAATATGACGATCGTAACCTGCACCTGATCCTCGACTCATTTTTTATATTATTATGAAGAAAATAGCAAAAGAATAAAAAAGGGAAATCTTTTTTCGGCAAATATACAGAAAGTTTTGGCCCTCAGATGAACGCGCGTATTTTGTATGACACGCAATGGCGAGTAAGTCGTCAACGTCATCGCGGTATTTTAAAAAAAAAAAAAAAAAAAAAAAAAAAAAGAGTAACTTAAAAATCGCTCTTTTAAGAGCATAAATATTTCTTTTTTATTATTATTATTATTATTATAAACAGTTTAAGATCGATGTCGTTTTGAATAACTATTTTTACTAGCGTTGCTAGAAGCACTGTCATAACTAGTACTTCTTCTTCTTTGTCTTTTATTACTATTACGAATAGGACTTCTACTATAGCTTCGATTCGAACTTGGACTAACACTTCGACTAGGGCTTCTACTACCACTTGAACTTCTACTACGACTAGGACTATGGCTACGACTAGGACTATGGCTACGACTACGACTACGACTACGGCTACGGCTACGGCTACGGCTAGAACTTAAACTCCTAGTTTTATTTCGACTATAATCTATAGTATTTCTTCTTCCATAGCTACGGCTTCGACTATTACTTCTACTGCTTCTACGGCTACTTCTGCTTCTGCTTCTACTACTACTGCTACTTCTACTTCTGCTTCTACTACTACTGCTACTGCTGCTTCTGCTTCTGCTTCTGCTTCTGCTAGTACTGCTACTGCTGCTTCTGCTTCTGCTTCTGCTAGTACTGCTACTACTGCTTCTACTGCTGCTTCTACTGCTTCTACTGCTGCTTCGGCTGCTTCGGCTGCTGTCACTATCACTATCACTACTACTATCACTATCTGATGAATAACGACTTGATTCAGAGTCTGACTCCGATGATGAACTAAAATTGTATAATTTAATTACCATTCTATACAAAGCCTTGTTTTTTATTTTTCATTTATTACCTCGATCTCCTACGTCGCTCCTTTTTCTTTTTTTTTAAAATTTTATCGGCCAAGCCTTCTTTTGATAAAAGTTCTTTAGGTAATTCTGGTTGATACAACTTGATGGGCTTCTTTAACTGTTGTGTACGAGTAGGACGCACTTTATAGCTTCTTTCTTTGTTACATTCATATGTCTAAATAGTATAAATTTTTAAAAAAAAAATAAAATAAAACTTTGGATTAGTTTATTGTTCTTACCCAGTGTCCATATTCTAAACATCGTTGACATTGCGTTGTCGTAGAAGCCTTCTTAGGCGTACCCCGATATCTAGGTCCTGTTCTATACATCAAACAAAGCGAAAAAAAAAAGCATGTAACAAAAAAAAAAAATTGCAATTTTTTATTATTATTATTATTATTATTATTTAAAAAATGGGTCACGTGTTTTACCATGACGTGCCAACATCCCACTTCTTTTTTTGGACTTCAGCCTTTTTCCTCGAGGATAAAAAAAAACTTATTTATAGTTTCCTTTTTTTTTTTCTTTTTTGTTTTCCTTTTTTTTTCTATAATAAATTTATAAGAAAATGGTAAGCTGTCTTTATGTTATAAAAAGAAAGAAGGGGGATAAAGACACACAGTAAATAAAGTTCGTCAGGGGAGGGAAGGAGGGGAATGATGAAGCAATTAGGATGAAGGAAAAAAAAAAAAAAAAAAAAAAGCTGATTACTCATTTATATATATACAAATATAGTCTTCTGGTGTAGCAGTTAATGACCAATGTCTCGAGGTCTATCAAGACCTTAAACTTCGTAAGAAGTACAAGTATATTATCTTCAAGTTGTCTGGTAAATTATTTTTTCCTTAAAATCCTCGTTTTTTTTTCTTTTTTTTTTTCTTTTTTATTATTTTGCTAAACTCGAAACTTAATATTCCCTTTTGATATAGATAATAACCAAGAAATTGTTGTTGATAAGACTTCTGATAATCTTGACTACGATAGCTTCTTGGCCGACCTTCCTCCAAATGAACCTCGTTATGCCGTTTATGATTTCGAATACGAAAAGCCTGGAGAAGGTAAAAGAAGCAAGATTACATTCTATGCCTGGTAAAGTACAGTTAAATTTGTCTATGCATTGTCGTGTAGATTTTAAAACGCGTCTTTTTTTTTTTCTCTCTCCTCCCCACCCCCACCCCCCTTTTTTTTAGGATCCCTGATACTTCCAAGGTTCGTCAAAAGATGTTGTATGCTTCCAGTAAAGATGCTCTTCGTAGAAACTTGGTTGGTTTAGCTATTGAGATTCAAGGTACAGATGCCTCAGAGGTAAGTTTTTTTCTTGGAAAAAAAAAAAAAAAAAAAAAAAAAAAAAAAAAAAAACTTCTCGTACAAAGTTTTGCCCAAATTAATACTGTTTGTATTAGGTTGATTATGAAGCTGTTTTGGATAAGGCTAGTCGTTCTGTTTAAACATTATATAATAAATAAAACGATAAAAAGTGTAATATGCACATAACAAATAGTGGAGATGGTTTTTTTTTTTCGTTCCTTTTTTGTTTTCATTATTTACGAGTTTTTTTTTATTATTTATTTATTTATTTATTTCATTTTAATACTATTCAGAAATAGTATGAAAATAATTAAAGGAGTGTATGGTATATATTGCTAAGAAAGGGAATAACAATGACAAATTCTTTTTGCTAAAAGTTTCAAAGAAAAGGAAGCTATTGAACAGGAACAAACATAATTATGGGACGCATGAAATTGCTTAAAAAATAAAAAAAAAACAGGGTAAACTGATATTAAAAAAAATTATAAATGAAAGGTACAAATCTCTTTGTATACGTGTCATTTTATAAATTAAACTTGTATTTATATGGTTAATTTACATGTACTACATACATTTAGATCAAGGAATTCGGTTTTATTATTATTTATTTTACTTTAATAAAGCGATGTCATCTTTAGAATAAACATGATTTCATGTTATTTCAACTATCCCCAACTTTTTTTTTTTTTTTTTTTTTTTTTTTTTTTTTTTTTTTTTTTACTTGAAATATGCACACGATTGGAATATAACAGAGTTATTTAGAAAATACGCGTCTTTATGACATTTGAGGGTCATTACCCATTCATGTCAAACAATGGTACTAGTGCATCCTTATTTGTTAGCCTCTTTTGATTATCAGTCTTATTTGATATTATTTTGATCTAGTCTTTGGGAGCTCATTTTCAAGACTTTGTTTCAGCATCTTTTATAACTTTTGTGAATTATAATGCTTCAAAATCGTTTCTATTTTCTTGGATGAGCTAATAAATTTGGAACCTGTCCTAAAAAATTATAATTCGAAAAAAAAAAAAAGTAAGATGTATCTTGGAATGAATGATGAATATTATAGCCACATCATTATGTCCAACAGAATAGGTGTATAGTTTGATGATATAATAACTCAAGCTTTTCTTGGCATAAACTATAAGCTAATAGTGAGTAGAGACAAAGGATTTCATTTTCAATATGCGAGTAATCCTGCCAAGTCACTCTATAACAAGATTGCCTTGCAAATAGTAGTAAAGTTTTTTTCTTCTTTTCATTCTAGTTTACTCTAATTATCTACTATTTAAATTTAATCTTTTTTTTTCTTTTCTTTTCTTTTGAAACAACTGTAGCTGAACATATGTATGATAAATTAGGAAAACTCAAATGAATAACAATGCTTCTGACCAATAAAAACATTTAAACTTCTTTTCCTTAAGATAAAGACAATACATAATACGATGAAAGAGGAAGAAAAAAAAAAGATGCCAGGAGTATTTTCAACTCTTTAAAGACTACAAAGAACGATATGTATAGCATTCATTTTTTTTTATTTTTTTTTTTCATGTATGATAGTCTGTTTTCTATAGAATTTTGTAACTTTAACAAATCCAATATTGTATGCATAAAAAAGAAACATGGATGAGTTAAGAATTACATAACTTTTAAATCTAATAAGAAGTCTAGAACTCATCTACATAAAAAGTATATGTGTACAGTGAATTTCTTTAGATTCTTTATAACATTTATAGAGAATGCTTTTAATACTAGCTATAATGCCTTTTTTTGTCTTTGCAGCATCTTTATCCCTTTAAATACTAACGCAAGGATTTTCTTTTTTTTTTCAATCTCCACCTGTATCTTTTGTATGTTTATAATTTTATTACTTATCCATCTTTTGAAATAAGAGTCTTTGTATGTTTTATTGTATTTTATTATTTCTTTTTAGGCTTATATAAGATCACATACACAGCGTGTTCACTTGACAGGTATCTCTAACTAAATGAAACGAGGCATGTAAACAAATATATATTGTAATCTGTACTTACTAAAGAGAAAAATAAAAAAAAAATAAATATACATCCAAGTCAACATATTGAAAGGGAGTTTTCGTATATTCAGGCAAATTAAAGCAAAAAAAAAAAAAAAAAAAAAAAAAAAAAAAAAAAAAAAAAAAAAAAGTAAACTGATCATTAGCATTTATCTTAAATACGTTAGAACTATGCATTATAAAGTCACAATTATCAGTCCAAAACAGAGGAAATATCCATCTTCTTTTTAAAGTCTTATACTGTACCTCCTCCTCCCCCCTTTTTTTTTCTTCTTTCTTTAAATATTCACTATGTCTGGATTTAATTAATTCTTACTGAAATCAAGCAAGCGCTCATTAAATACTTTAGATACCAAGGAAGAGAATGTTCCCTATTTATGCCTATTCATTTTAATTTGATTTCATAGTGTGATACCATCGCTGATTCAAGATATTTTATTCCCTCATTCTGTCTCAGCTAATAATAATCCTTCAAGAACGTAACCCAAGTACAAGTGAGAAGACTTATGTGTATGTATTAAGTAATTCCTGTCAAATAGATAATTGTTCTTTTGTAGTACATCATTTAATTTGAAGCAATTATGAAACATTCTTTTCTTCTTTTAGGACTAATTATACGGTCCTTACAAGCCTTTAGACCCTCCCTCCTCTTTGATTAAATAGTTCAACTCACTTTGGAAGAAAGAAAGAAATATACTAACTCATATATGTCCCGGTTCTTATTATTTTAAAACGAACACATGTCTTGAATAGATTTATGGAGTATCCAGTTAATTTCAAGTAGGAAGCAAATTTTTATTTTTATTTTTTTTAAAGAAAAAAGGGGGGTTTATCATAATAGGCATTAAAATAAGTAAATATTACTTTTTATATAAAGACTATTTTGTTTTATTCCTTTAATTCTGGTATAGGTGAAAGACGTATATTTGCAACATTCTTAAGGACACATTAGAAATACATAAAATATTATTAAAAGACGCGTAAGAAAAGATACATTTATTGTATTTTATTTTCATTTTTATTTCATATATAAAAAAAAGTGAATCCCCAATTCGTCAACAGTAATAATTACTGCAGTCCAAAGGTGGCCGCGTGGAGGCTAGGATTCGTTGCACCTTCTTTGTTCTTGTATTTTTTATTTTTACTAGGAGGTTAGAAAAAACCCATAACTATCACAATATGTAACGCCCTCTGAATCAACAAGACACCCTATCTTGCCCTCCTTGAATTAGGAGGACATTGTAGGGTGTCTTGTTGATTCAGAAGGCGTTACATAAGTAGTAACCATGAGAAAAAGAATTTCCTCCTAGGGCAGGGAAGAAGAAGAAGAATAAAATAGTATTATTTAATGACTTACCTACAAAAGAAATAGTAATAATAAAGAAGAAAAAGAAGAAAAAATAACTTTGAATATCTACTTTTTTATAAGAATAAGGAGGTCGTTGTTGTAAATTACAGTCACAATCATATGAAATCGATAAGAATATGTGTTACCCCACATTTAATACACACACACACACAGTTACATTATTTAATTTTCTTTCTTTCTTATAAAAAGTAACAATGTGTAGAATAGTAAAATGTTGTCAATTTTATATCTTCTTTATGACTATATAAAATGTGTTTATGTTAAAGAAAAGAAAAGTAAGTAAAATAAATGTCTTTTTTTAATCATTTCTTTATATTTTCATGAAACTTATTTTTTTTCCTTTTAAGGTATTCAATAATAATAAAAAAGGATTTTCTTTCAATGTGTATATACTATTTAGCAGGACATGATCCTTTTTCTTTTAAATCATTTTAGGGCTTTAAATAAGCATGACATGATAATACTTCTTTCATTAAAGAAAAGAATAAAAAAAAAAAAAAAAAAAAAAAGTAAATTGTCCTTTATCTTGTATGAATACTTTGTAGTAACAGAAAGAGGCTTTCTAATGATTGGGTTGTGATAAGGTAAAGTATAATGATCGTATATTGGTATAATCTATAGCTATGCTAAGAAAAGTAGCATATACTATGCTTATCCCTTTTTAATGTAGAATTGATATAACAGAGAATGAATTCTATTTTACTTGTGTTTTCATGACGTATATCCAATATAGAACCTTTCATTCATAAAGAAATGATACATTAAAAAGATAGCAAAGAATAAAGAGACAAGCCTTTTTTTTTTTTTTTTTTGCTGATAATGATATATGTATGTACCTTTCAAATATCTGTATTCGTTTCATTTAGAGCCTTATTTATTTGTAGTGAATAAAGGACATATAATTGTAAAAATATTAGAACAGCTTATTTATTGTTCTCCTTTAACACATCTCGTTCTATATAAAAAGGATTGTAAACGAATTAGACTCGAGAGTAGCAAAGGTATTTTTAATTTGCGTATGATTTATATAATTTTCCGCTTATTAGAAATCAATCTTCTAACCTATTTACTAAATTCATAAAAATCTGATGCGAACACTGTTGTTATCTCGATGAACTGAATAATTGATTCTTTTTATTATTTTTGGCTAACAGTACTTGTCGTGAGTGTTTAAGATTGCTGAGATCCATGATTAATAAGGTAATGGGCATTTCTTTAATTAAATGTAAACAATGATAATTATTTTGTATCACAATTTAATACATGTTACTGCTGTTACAACGTGAATAAATACGGGGTTTAAATTAATCATGTTTGACTATAAACTTCAATATTATCTTCAAGTTGAGTAAGAGTCCAAGTTTATAAACCATATAAAAAGATGTAGTTTTTACAATATAATCATAAGATTTGCTAATGCTGCTGCTACTACTACTACTGCTACTGCTGCTGCTACTGCTGCTGCTACTACTACTACTTCTACGTCTACTTCTACTTTTTCTTCTTCTTCTACTACTACTACTACTATTACTACTGCAATTCCATATAATAGTCCATTTAACTTGACTTTTGTAATTCAGCTAAATTTGGTGGTGGTATTTTTTTTTTTTTTTTTTTTTTTTTTGATAATAGATCAGTAGATAATTAAAGATTTGTATGAAACATGCGCTAGATATAAATATTTGGTAATACTGCACCATCATCATATAATAAATGATAAACGACGACGACGATGATAATTATTTATAGTTGAAGCTAGTCCCTCTTTTTTTTTGTATACACCTTTTAAGATTTTTATATCTTGTTATGTTTATCAACTTTATAGACAATTTCGAACTTATCAAATGTTTAAGCCATTTTTTTTTTGATAAAAGTTATGAGCACATTACTTTCCTTATGCGACAAAGTAGAGTTTAACATATCACTGAAACATATTAAAAAGTGGTTGTATTACATAATTGAATCTTCATTTATGTTTATTTTTTGAAACAATCCAACGTCATCAACAAATGATATTCATTCTAAAAGACGTTGACTCTCTACCTTAACTATTCAATTGGGTATATACACATGCTTCATACCAACCCAATCAGTCCATATGAGTTCATTCATTTAGTTGTCTACATTATTTAATCAATTGACTTGTTCTTTTATCAACGGCCCTCACTACTCATTCAAGCTAACAATAAGAAAAAAAAACATGTCGTGTTTTCCACTGAAGAAATCATCTATTCCCACGACGAATCTTATAATAAGGTCCCAGTCCATTTTGCTGTCTCCGAATACTATGTTATTATTTTTGCTTTTTTGCTACTGCAGCTACAGCTACTCTTACTGCTAATACTACTTGGTTTCATTGATCGTCATCCTTTCTGTTACTAAAGAAGATGAAAAAAAAAAACTCCATACTCCACTCCTTCCTCCCCCATAATTACTGATTCTCTTCTACTCTAATCATCATCTTTAGTTTATTCTGATATGGGATTTATCTCTTATAAAATAGTATACACTATTGCCCTCCTCCTCCTTTTTCTTGCTGTTGATTGAATAAATGAATTCCCGTGTAGTTTATTTCTCTCTATGGTGTGTGTGTGTGTGTGTATGTTTTTTTTTCCTTAAAAGAGTTCAGAAATGCACTTTTGATAGAATGAAACTTGATTTCTTGTTCATTTACTAATAAAGTATTTATTGGAATTAGGAAATAAACCTAACTTGTGTTAACAAAGACTTTCTTTTAGAAATTAAATAGAGAACCCTTGTCTACTATGTCCTCATAAAGAATCTCTTTATTTTTGACTTTTTTTAATTTTCGATTTTATTATTTATCTTTAACAAAAGAATTAAGGCCTTTATATATATGCATATATACATGAGGCATATCTATTATTATCTATATGTAATCAACAAAGGAAGTTCTGAGTTTCAAGTTGGTAAAGAAGGTCTTTGTTGATCATATTTCCATGGGTTTAAAGGAGGCAAGTTAAAAGACGTTTCGGTCGCTAATGATAATTCTTGTTTATTAAAATCTTTTTGATATTGACGATCGGCCAGCGATGCCAACATATCTAAGGGAGGCGATGATTTACGCGGACTATCTTCTTCCTTTTGTTTTGCCCATTCAATATCATTTTCTGTATCTTCTTTAGACAAACCTAATGTTAAAGAACTAATCATCGTAGGTCTTTCAGGAGGCACCCATTCAGTTAAATGATCTTCATCTAGCGAAGTTTGAACATGATTTGAATAATATTCTTGTTCTAATATATTAATTTTTTGTTGAACTTGTTGTATCATATATCGTCTAAGCGCCAACTTTTCCCACTATAAAAATAAATAAATAAATAAATAGATAATAATAATAGATTTGAATTACATAAAATTGTGAATAGGCTGCATATTTTTGAGAATGAAAGAATTTAGTAATATTTCCTTCAGCGAGTGATCTACGCATTTTCGCAACATTTAATCTTTTGGCTCTCTTGGTTTCAATTTCTTTTAATAATTTATGATATTCTGAATGTGATCCATCTCTCACTGCTTGTTCAAGCTTATCTAATTCATTTAATCTATAATAAAGAAATAAATAAATCCCATTCAATTGTTCCCTTTTTTGTTTGTTTGTTTGTTTGTGAAAAAAAAAAGGATTTTATACCTTTCTTTAATAATAATCTCTCTTTGTGCTCTTTTTGCTTCCTTTGCTTCCTTTGATAATCGTTGAGTTGTATTTCTAGTTTCACGTTCATTTTCATCTTTATTATTATTAGAATTTGTAGCTAGCTTCTTATGATGATTGTTATTGGTTTTCGTAGTAGTAGTCTTTCGTTTTCTTTTTTTGGTGTCGCTATTTGTTTCATAACCACTCGATTCAACAGATTGAGACCGCGTAAGAACACGTCCACCATTAGTGTCCGTAACAGGTGAGCCATCCTCTGTTACAATAGGTGATGTCGATCGAGTTGACTTGGTACTTGTTCTTCTTGTCTGAATATGATGTCGACTTGATTCTTCTACACTTGTATCTTCTATAATTTTATTGTTCATATTTTGAGACATATACATATATTAAAGAAAAAGGGAAAAAAAATAATTAAAAGAAAAAAAAATAAGGGAAAGAAAATAGGGTAGATAAAAAATGTGTGTGTATATATATTTAAATAAATAAATAAATAAATAAATAAATAAAAATAATAAGGGAGGAGAAGGAGAAAGTATTAAAAAAAAAAGTACAATAACTTGAACACTTTTTTTTTTTTTTTTTTTTTTCTGAGTTAAAGTTTTTTTTTTTCTTCATTTTATTTGCGGTTTGTGTTACAAGCTTTTAACGAATAAAGTTGTCTATTTTAGCTGCTTTTTTTTTTTTTTGCGTATCCAATAAAAGTGAGACTTGAATCAATAACGCGTCTAACATGAGTTCATTTTTATAATAAAATGAAAGGTAAGATATTGATGTATATATAAAATAATATAGGAAAAGGAGATTACGTTGAGCTTTTGTGTAAGGAATATAACAAAATGATATTTTCTAGTAATAGTTGTCTATGGTGATGAGTTATTTACTATATATCAGGGACAAATAGACATTTTTTTTTTTTTTTTTTTTTTTTTTTGAAGAGAAAAAAAAAATCTAGAATTTTATTTTATTTTATTTTTTTCGAATTTCTATTATTATACGCTTATTTTAGTTTCTATAATTGATCTTTATCTGAGCCAACAAACTTATACAGCAAGTCAATTTTATTGTAAAAAAAAAAAAAAAATACAAGCTAGAATGCATGATTTATGTACAAATAGATCCCTTTTTTTCTTTTTTACTATTATCATTGATATGGAGTGTAATAGGGTAGATTTTCTCTATTATGAATAATAATATACTATTTTGTTCTTGCTAGTAGTTAATAACATGATTGTATTGTATATATTTGTATATGTTTTATTTAATTTCATTTCATTTCTCTTTTTAGTAAGGCTGAGTTGAAGTCTCTCATCACCCACCTTTCAATAATCAATCTATTTTGCTGTTTGTTCATATTTTCTATTGTAGGGTCATTGCCAACTATAAATAAATAAGAATTGTAAGTCACCCCATCTCCTCCTCTTCTTTTAGAGAGCATCGTTTTTATTATTCCTTTTTTTTTGAAGCAGTCGCGATGATGATTGAAGAATCTCGATTTGTAGCTCAGCTTTATATACAAACACACATTTAAGATAGGATCGTCTTCTCCTTCCTATTTTACACACAGTTTGACATGCAGCTTATATTGAATACCATTTATATATAAAAGGTAAACAAGTCCTTATTTCAATAGGTGATTCTATTCCTAGCTACCCACTAACAATACCATCAGAGAGGTGTATCACTTACCCGTGCCTCCCCCCCCTACACACACACACACACACACACACACACACACACATACACACACTTACATACATACGAAAAGGTCTTTTATCTATTCATTATTACATGAAACTAGTTATACTTAAATATAAATCGAACTCTCCCTCCCCTTAAAGAGAGCAAGAAACTACTACTATTTATAATTATTCTTTTTCTCCTCTAGATTCACTTTTATTTGTTTGAAAGACTATCAAGTAACATATCAGACTCTATACAAAGTTGTTTATATTTTTGCCACAACATGAATCCATTATCATCATCATCATCACTATCTTGATTGGGTATAGGTGAACTGCTTCTACTCCCAGTATGAATACCACTAATCTGTCCTTCCAAATAAATCATAATCAATGTATTCAGCAAATCTCCTTGACTTTCTGTTAACTCACTCCATTGCTCTGTAAAAGATAACCATAATTGACCCAGGGATTGATAGAACGGATCTTGTGTAATATTATCAGGTCGAATGATTGAATGTGCTTGATAGGCAATTCGTATGCCTTCTTCTAAGCCTCTTGTTCTGTACGATGCATGAAGTGCCTTTTTAAAGGCATTTTCATTTAATATCTATATTAGAACAAATAAATATGTATTCATTATGTCTGTATCAATTTATATTTTATATATACCTCAAGACATTTTTTACCATATTTTAAAATAATGGGATAAAATGATAAAGTATCTAAGCCTGTATAATCATTACAGACTTCTGTATCCAACATAATTTGTGTTTTCCATGATGCTTCTGCTCGTTTACTATCTAAAAATCCTTGTAAAGCACGAGAATAGTCTTGGTTTACAAAATAAGAAAGTGACTTGACTACCATTTCTCCAATTTTCAAATAAGCTCTATATTCTTTCCAAATCGATTTTAATTCTTCATCTTGCTCTGATGCCTCTTCATTAATCACTACAGCATCCCCTTCCTATACATACATACATACATGTATATGTAAACAAAAGAAAAGAAAAACTTACATACGTACACACCCACCCACACATTTTACTAGCTTTTTTTTTATTACCTTTTCAGTCGAATAAAACAAATATAAATGCTCTAAACTTAATTGATTTTGGGCTCTCGCTAAAAAGTTCTCGAAACTAAACATAAAAAAAAAAGTGTCAAATTGTTTCTAAATGTATGTTGATGATAAATGATCTTATGTTTTACCTCTTTAGGAATCGATCATCATCAGAAGAATAACTTGACACTTCAACAATCTTTGAATTAACACGATTTTTGAGTCTAGATCCACTAAATGAATAGTGATGGGCCTCTTCTGTTTGTCCTTGATTCACTGCTGTACCCACAGAAGAATCATCCAAAAGGATGGATGAGTCCATAAAATGAACTGAATCAGATGACGTCTTTTCTATAAATCCAACATCATCATCTGACGTAGTAGTAGTATTAGTAGTTGAAATTAACATTGTATCTTCCATTGGATGATCATGTGCATATATTTCTTTTGTAAATGATTCATTATCCACTTGAATAAATTCCTACAACAGAGAATGTATCAATCTTTTTTTTTTTTGTTTTTATCTCTTTCTTTACCTTTAGAGTATCGGGTATACAATCATAGAGTTGCTCTTTAGTCACTTTAGGCAATGCATCACTGACATAGATGAAAGAAAAGGGTGGGATGGGATCATTCAAGATATCTTGCTCAGTAGCAGGTGTTACAATTGCATCACAAAACTTGAACCATCTACCTTCAGATAAAGACGTCTCTACCCAAATATAAGCCCAATAATGTCCTGTACCACTCTTGCCATCATGATGAAAGGTGGCTCGTAATTGATAGGCTGTCGTCTTCATGTCATCAAATAATCTTTCTATTTGCGCCTTCTTCTCATCAATTACTTTCTCGAGTCCAGCTAATCGATCCTCTATCCATTCTCTTACAGACGTCAATACAGACTCTAAATCATCTATACGCGTTTGTTGTTGATTAAAGTACTCAAGTGTTTGCTCAAGTAGGTTGCGTTTATCTATCTTATCCCCTTTCAGTTTAGTAATCTCTTGTTGAGCGCAAAGAATTTGTTTTTGATATTGATCCATTTCTTGGAAACCCCTTAAGGCTCTCTCCTTGTTCTTTGCTAAATAACGATCCATATAAATTGTATGTTCTATCTTATAATCCTGCTTTATTGACTTTTGGGACATTCGATTCTCCAAGTTAATAAAGAGAATAGGTGGTATTTGTGTAAACGATGTAAACTTGAAAGAAGAGGATTCATCACTTTCATAGGATTCATAGATTAATGGGTCTAAACATGTATGGAATGAATTGGCTGATGGTTGATCAAGGTTAAGTGTTAAATAATAAACTTCTTCATCTTCATAATCATCCCCATATTCTATTCTTGCCTTCAATAGGAACAAACTATCATGACAATGAAAGAAAACCGTCTACAACTTAGAATATATGTGTGTATGTATGTGTGTGTGTAGGTATGTGTGTGTGTAGGTATGTGTGTGTGTAGGTATATGTGTGTGTATGTGTGTGTATGTGTGTGTGTATGTGTGTGTGTATATATGTGTGTATATCTATCTATCCATATATGTATATGTATATATATATGTATTTTACCTTTTAAATATGGGTATATAATCTATTAAATTATCTGAATGTTCATCTGCTTCTATTAAATCGTGTATCATCATATCCAAAAATGCTAGATATATATCATATAAATGAAAAATTGAACCCTAATTAAAATGTGTTCTCCTCTATTAACTACTTTTACCTTCATATGTTTTATCGCTTGATTCCCATCCATTGGCTGTCAACTTTGTATTTAGGGCTCTTACGTAATGTGATATATTACCATACTGTCGCGTGGAAAGGTTTAGAAATGCAAAACACTTTTGTAATTCGGCTAATGACTTGATGCATTTAGGCATCAGTCGAGGTTCACTTTCGATTTGTCCTTCTTCTTCTATTTCTTGAATAGGTGTTGTTGATTCAACAATAAGTGGGGGTAAATCACTTTCAACCATGGCTTCATTAATACTGCTGCTGTTGCTTGATACGTCGTTATTTAATGAAAGTTGAGATAATTCTTGTTCGTCAAAGGTAATTAAATCAGGAGAGGGTGTTATCTGTCGTTTTGTAATGACTTCTTTCATAATGTAAGCAGAGACTGAGTCACCAAATCCTTTCCAATAATTACTTGGACCACCCCATTCATAAGGAATAGGTCGAAAGACGAATACTATTTCTCTAAATGCAGTAATATGGAAAAGGGCTTGTATAACGATAGGTGAATAAGCAAAATTATAAGGAGGTCTGAGCCCAATTGGCCTAAGATATTGAATGAGAGTTAATGTACTCATTTTAATGAAATTTTAATGTATATAAATTTACAAATCATCCAAAGCTTTTCTTTCATTTGGATCTTCGGGATCTTTCCACCAAGTGAGTGAAAATTCATTGTTTTTAGTAGTAGTAGTAGTAGTAGCAGAAGTAGTAGTAGTCGTATTCATGTTTTCCTGTTGAAAAGGAACTACACTCCATTTCGATAAATCATAGTGTTGTTGTGGTACAACAGCAGGTGGCTTCTCTTCTAATGTATCAAAATTATGCATAAAAGGAAAATGATTGAATTTTGATATGTGTATATTTAGACGAGTATACTTTTTTTTTTGACTTACCTTGTGGTGTAGAAATAGGTGATAAATAAGCTGTTTCTTTATTGTTATCATCAAATAAAGCTTGGTTTTTTTCTTCTTCTATGCTTAGACGAAGAGCTAATTGTTCGTCCGTTTCTAAATTGGTCTTTAGACAAAAAAAAAAAAAAAAAAAAAAAAAAAAAAAAAAAAAAAAAAAAAAACAAGTCAACAATGCAATCATTATATTCCCCCCTCTCCCCCATTTTTACTTTACCTCATCGGTATCATCGTCACTTAAATCAGCACCAGAGAATATATAATCAGCAGCTCTTGCAACATCGTTATTGTACCTCTGTTACTAGAATTTTAATAAACTTGAATGTAAAGTTCGTTGTAACTCACTTACAGCTAGTGCTTTTCTGGCTTGACCTCTTGTCACCCCCTTTTAGAATAATAATAATAATAATAATAAAAAAGAGAGAGAGAGAGTTTAAAAGAAAACGAAAAAAAAATATGTATATACATTAATTTACAATTATTAGTAGTGTCATTAAACAAGAATATTTACTAAATCTATTAATTGCTGTATAGCATCCTCCATTTTCTAATTTAATATTTATTTATAAATGTATTTGTGTATATAAAAACAACCAAGAATTGCTGTGAAGAATTTCTTTTCATATTGTCCTTTTTATCATCGCAGTTTAAATTCTCGAAAGAAAAGAAAAAAAAAAAAAAAAAAAAAAAAAAAAAAGAGAGATAGAGAAGTAATGATTATTTTAAAAGCTCTGGAGACAACCTGTGTATTTACTAAACAAAACTTCTGGTTTCTTATAATAATGAATGATACGTTAACAATATACATAATTACCTTACCTCTAAGATTTGAAACACTGTTCATCGTTGCTCCGTATGATTTCCTACTATGAATTGCTTTTCACTGGTTCCTAAGCGTACCCCCATTTATGTCACTTTTTTTTTTTTCTTGCATGTATTCCTACAATAGATAGCTGAAACGAATATTATAAAAATAAAACCTAGTAATAGTGTATGAAATACACTCGTTTGTTTGTTGCTTACTTACAACGCATAAATTTGGTTCATATATACACTTTATTTATATTATAACGTAGCCTCTTATCTATTTATACAGCCAAAGCATAATCTAGTTTATCACAGAGTTGCATTAAAAAAAAACTTATCAACAATTCCATTATAAACATTCTCAAACACTTCAACCATTAGCATCCATGATAGTAAAAGCTTTCTCATGCTATACACTGTGTGGAATACTTGTACTAATAATGACAGGATAAATTCATAACATTATGAGCAAAATGACGTCAATCATAAAATAAAAAATGAAAATAAAAAAAAATTGGACATAATAGAGACCTGTCAGCACTCATAATAAAACTTTCTACTGTATCTTATTGAATGTTTTTTTTTTAAAAAAAAAATGTCATAACAGACAATATAACAGGCAAAAGTATTTAAAACCTAGTATAAGCAGTACACTAATAATAAATTTCAATATATTTATTGATTTTGTCTAAAACAAAAATTTTACTACAACTTTGCAGTGCAGTAATAATAAAGGAGTAATTTATGATTTAAAAATTTCGACTCTACAACTAAACATTTTTTTTTTTTTTTTTTTTTTTTTTGTTCTTTCTTTCTTTTTTTTTCCCCCCAATATTTATAATAAAAGAAAATATGAAAAAGAAAGAAAAGGTATTATTATTATTAACATGTACCATATTATATAAGCTTAAATAAATGAATATAATAGGTTTTACTAATGGGCAAAAGCGGGTCTGGAAAGACATCTATGCGTTCTATTATCTTTAGTAATTATATTGCTCGAGATACGAGAAGACTTGGAGCAACAAGTAAAATAAATAAGACATAGACACACATTATATATCTGGTATAACTCATTTTAATAACTTTAGTTGATGTTGAACATTCAAATGTAAAGTTCTTGGGTAATCTCGTTTTAAATTTGTGGGATTGTGGAGGGTAAGTCAATGATGATTCTGCACTAGTACTCCTCCTTTCCTCCTCATTCCTTTTTTTTAATATTTTGCATAATAGTCAAGAAGCGTTCATGGAAAATTATTTTGCATCGCAAAGAGATAGAATTTTTAAGAATGTTGAAGTCCTTATCTATGTATTTGATGTTGAAAGTAGAGATTGGGAAAAAGATTTACATTATTATCAATCTTGTTTGGAAGCTATTCTTGCTAATTCAAAGGAAGCTCGTATTTTTTGTTTAATACACAAAATGGATCTTATACCAGAACACCAAAGAGATCAAGTAATGACCCTTTTTCTCAACGACACTATTTAGATGATTTCTATTAAACTTACCTTTCTTTTTTTTTTTTCTTAAAAAAGATCTTTGAACAAAGAGTAACTGAACTTCAAAAACGATCTGAGCCATTGACAATTCAAGCATTTCAAACATCAATCTGGGATGAAACATTGTACGCTGTATGCCAACGTGAATAATATTTAATTGTAGTCTATATACTTATTTTTATGTATAGGCTTGGTCTAAAATTGTTCATTGTTTGATTCCAAATATTCGTGTATTGGAATCTCACTTGGATAATTTTTGTCGAATTTGTGATGCAGATGAAGTTGTATTATTTGAAAGGACGACATTTTTAGTTATAGCTACAGCTGCCACTATTTCACATCAAGATCACCATCGATTTGAAAAGATTAGTAACATTATAAAGCAATTTAATCTTGGTTGCAGGTAAAATTAAAACCAAGTATGTAAGCGTTAATCGTATATATGCATATATGCATATAATTTAATTTGTTTTTGCTATAGTCGATCACAAACGAGATTTAAAAGCATGGAAATAAGAGGAAGTAGCTTTACTGCTTTTATTGATATTTTGACAAATAATACATATGCTATGGTGATTATGTCAGATCCAAATATTCGTATGTATTCGCTTAAATTTTATATCAATTTATATATTTATATTTATTTATTATTAATATACTCATTCATATAGAATCAGCAGCAACTTTACTTAATATTGAAGCAGCTAAAAAGCATTTCAAGAAATTGGAAGCATCAAGATAAACAGAATATATGGACACAAATCCTACCTAAAAAGATGTTGTATTATAAATTTGAATATAATCTGCCATAATAAACAAAAAAGTCATACTTTTAAGTGGAATTAATCCTTTGTATATAATAATAGGTCTCATTGTTGACTGTTTCCATAATGGTTCATCTTCTTGCTCTTTTAAAAATGAAAAAAAAAAAGCTAGCGTTGCCATAACAATAGCCTAATAATTCGAGCTAAATAAAACTCGAATGAGTCCATAATAACCATGAACTTGCTACTCTCTTTATAATTCATTCAATTAGACTAAAATATAAAAGCTTTTCTTTTCTTTTCCGTATACAGATATGTAAATACATATATACATGTCTCATTGTAAAATATCACAGCACTCTTTTAGTAGCCGTTGTAATAATAATAGTATCTTTCCTTTAACAGAAGAAAATTTAGCAATATACACCGAATATGTGAGTTATAGAACATGAAACTAACTATAATATGTGTATACGTATGTATTCATCTTTTTTTTTCTTCATTGAATATAAGTTACTTACTTTGAAAGAATCAAGAATGCAAATTACAGAAAAGTATATACAGGAACAGAGACCCATATTAGCCACAGAACTGTTATTAGAAGAAGAAGAAGAAAGAAAGAAAGAAAACGCTCTATTGGAGTCTACGTACAAGATAACACCTCAGGATTCACAACAAGGGCTACCTATCATTTTATTACATGAAGATCTATCTTTTAATAATAAATCAAAGTGGTTAAAAAGGAAATGGATGAAATGGTTAAGCAACAGCGCGTGGTAGGTCTTGGACACTAGACACTACTACGAAGGATCATCATACATTACTAATTGAAAAAAAAAACAAAATCAAAATCAAAATCAAAATACATCTTCCTTGATGATGCCTATAAATAAATTTAAAGTACTTGTATTAAAATATCCTGAAACAGTACAACCAACGATTGTAAATTCCTTGTATTATTATAAAATACCAAAAAAAAAGAAATAAAATACATATTTATCGCTTTATTATCCCCTTTCTTATTCTTTTTTTTTTCTTTTAAAGTAGAATCGTACGACCTTCATCATTACTTTGATGAGCTAATTCAATAATACGTATACAGTTAGCACCATCTTCAGGCTTCACTGCTAAAAGATCTGGATCGCCCTTCAAGATGGCCTCTGCCACGTTATTATAAAAGGCTAAATAGTCACCCTTTTCTGTATCTACTTTACCCACGATATGAAGACCATTCCATTCACTGTTAATCGTACCATAACGTTCTACGGGCTCAATACCATAATCAGCATCAGAGGGGACTAAGCCGGCCTTTAGTTGTCCCTCCTGTACATCTAACCATTCCTTTCGATAAGAGCCTTGCATACCACGTAAATTAAATCTAAAGACAGGCTCATGACGTGCCAACATACTCGATCTTAGAATCGCTTTCAGATTATTTTCGTAGCCGAGAATGATGGTGAAATCATCAATGATGTCCGTATCCCTCAGTTGACGTTGATTACATAAGACGGCAAAGACAGATTTCGGCATACCAAATAAATGTAAGGCTTGGTCAATCAGATGTGCTCCTAGATCATACAACATGCCAGACCCTGGCGTATCCGTCTCCTCTCGCCAACCTGTCTTGACATAATTACGGAATCGATCAAAGTGGGATTCATACTCTACAAGACGTCCTAATTGTTGTCCCTTCACAATCTTTTGAACTGTTAAAAAATCTCCATCCCAACGACGGTTTTGATAAATACTACAGATACACCCTGTGTCCCTTGCAACCTTACAAAGTTCTTCTGCTTCTTCTGAAGTCACTGTGAAAGGCTTTTCAACAACAACTAAAATAATAAATAAATAAATAAATAAATTAAAAAAAAAAAAAAAAAAAAAAAAAAAAAAAGTGGATCAAGAGTGAATAGGAAATCATTCCTTACTACGGACTTACCATGTTTTCCAGCTTGCATAGCTTGAAGTACTAATGGATAATGAGAATCATTTGGTGTCGTGATGACAACTAAATCAATATCTGGATTTGCAAAGAGTTCTTCTGCACTTTTATGAACAGTTATCCATGGATAAATATCCTTTGATTTATCACTTCGACGTTCAACTACTGCTGCCAAGTGCAAATAAGGCGAAGATGCGATTAAAGGACAATGGAATACTCGGGCGGACATGCCTGAATAATAATAATACACACACACACACATATATATATATATATATAAAAGGTGAAAGCAAGTTTATTAATAAAGCAGGCCTGCTTCGCTAATTTATTCGGTTTTATTATTATTATTATTATTATTATTATTACTCACCAAACCCAATAACCCCCACATTAACTTGCTTGTCAGACATAATGCTAATAATAAAACACACAAAAAATATTTATAAATATATTTATATACGTATAAATATATGTGTATAAATATAAAAAAAAAAAGAAAGGGTTTTTTTTTCTGCCTCAAGAATTGAATGCTTTAACTTAAGTGACTGTTTTTGGCTATAATTAACTTTAAATTCATTCCCCTACAGTCATTGCAGATTGATGTAGCAATAGCTTATATGAATGACTGTAGACAGTATCGTGCTACATTGGTATACAATGAATAAATTACATAATCACTTTTTCTGCATTTTACTATGTAATAACTTTATTTTATTTATTTATTTTATTGAATATAACTAATGACGATCATACATTTTATTTGACCCTTAATATATATAGTTGTATTGCTTATATGTTAGTGCGTGCGTGAGTGTGTGTGTATGTGTTGATGGATATTTATATATAAAAAAAAGAGCAAATATTAACGCTTCTTTGGTGTGCGAGGCTTAATCTCTTCATCTCTAACAGCATGTAAATAAATCTTATTTGTATTTGATGGTAATGCTTGTTTATAGCCCTGATTTAGATATGGATAAAAAGGTATTAAAAAACAAAAGAAAGGTCTTTATATATTTAGCTTTATAGCATTCCTTACCTTTGACCAATCATAACTAACAGCATAAGCAAAGATACTACCATTTCTATTGAAAGCTGTACAGGCAATTTGTCCATTACTCTTGGGAAATGGTTTCAAACGCTGCTTAGAATCCTTATCCCAAAAACTAACAGTACCATCTGCGCCACATGTAGAAAATGTACCATGAACAGGATGAAAACTGATGTCGTTGACTGCATATACATTTTTAGCGTCATCACGATGACATTTGAAAGAGAAATTTTTACTATTGAAATGGTTAGGAATTTATAATTCATCTATTTATATTTAACTTACGATGCATCCTTATCCTCTACATATTGAATACCAACTCTTCCTTCAATTGAACCAATAGCAAAGCCTTTACTGTCAGAAAAGCATGAAACAACACGAGTTTGCCACTTCAAAGGCGATGCCAATTGCTATATATGACGTTAATCAAATTAATATCTTCTCTTATTAAACGAAGAGGGATAGTCATATTATGACACATACCTTGAATATAACAGTAGGATTATTTAAATCAAATATACAGACATGTTTTTCTGCAGTTCCAACCACCATTAAAGGCCCATTTGCATCCATAGCATAACAACGTTCAGGTAGTTGAACAGTACCCACAGGAGTAGGACTTCTGAGATCCCAATACTTGAGTGTCTTATCCCAACTGCCAGTAGCTACAACGTTACTTTGTTCTAAGAACTTGATGCATTTAATCGTGTCGTCATGTTGAGCGATTTGTGTTGTCTGTCCTGTAGCAATATCAAACATTCGACCTGCTTTATCAGCACCACCTGAAACTACTTTTGTACCATCCTAAATAATATGTGTGAGTTAACTATATTCTCATTACATTATACATATATATATAAAAAACAAAAAAAGGGAATACGACATTTACTTTACTCCAACTAACACATAATGAAGGAGCTTCATGAGAAAATGCTGCTTTAGGAATAGTAGCGCCAGAAGGTTGAACTTCATAAATACGAACCTATTTAAAGTGTTAAATATATTTAATTTATAACGCATATTTTTTTTTCTTTTCTTTTCTTCCTACTTGATTATCCCATGAAGAAACGGCTAAAAAATCAGCTTGTGAAGAGAAATCTAAGTCAGAAATACCGTCGCTAGGTGGTTGAGAAACCTGTGGATTAAAAAAAAAAAAAAGGAAAAAGATCAATGAGATTAAAATACATGTACTTGATTAATATATGATCTTTACTTCAAAATCTTTAGGATCTAACATTTATAGTTTAAACGCGTAGTTAAAGAAAAAAAAAAAAAAAAAAAAAGAAAAAAATCAACAATTTTTTTTTAATGTAGTAGTCCGAGAGAAGCAGAAAAAAAAAAGCAGTTGTGGCGGAATTAGGATAAATAAACTTTTTTTTTTTTAGACCAGAAGACTATACGATAACATAAAATAAAAATGATCGATGAGCACATAGCAGTTTAATTATGCTATACTGCTCTTGCCAGTTCAAAAAAGAAAAGGTAGGAAAAAGCCTTTTAGGAGTCAAGAAGAAATCAGAAAATATACCAGTCTATGACAAGAACAGCTATTACATTACTTTATCACCAAAACTGACGGCAGGAGGAGGAAAAAGTGCTTGATGAAACAAATAATACATTTCATATGCATACTGTTGGCTAACAAACTAATTGAGGAGAAGAGGGCCGTGAAGATTTAGGTTTCTTTAGAGGAAGTTGGTTGAGGGAAAAGGAAAGTGAATTCAGCTATAATGAATAGTATTTGGAGTTGATAGTGCAATATGAAGACATTTGATAAGGTATTCATAGGTAAAATTATCATATGAATGATAAAGATATGACCGAGAAGCCTACCAAGACGCCAATGAAGGATGCAGCCACGCTCAATATGGGTCATTGGTAACTAAAGGATTGCATCCCGCTCTAAAGAAGAAAGATGACAAGCAAAAATCAATTTGGTGTTCATATTATCGCTGCTAACTTGTGAAAATTGTTGATAAAGCTGCTTGAAAGTACGACAATCTAAGATATTTAAAACTGGAACAATATAATTATCAGAGAGAACGTTTTGTAAATTTATACCCATGTGAGCGGCTGGTGGAAGTATGGATATATGGCAATAGAAATTATAATCAAAAATTTTTTAGGCAGTTCCACCGAATAAAGAAGAATGTTTGCTTATATAATTGAAACGCGAACTACCATCAATGACTGCTAAACAAGATGAAGCATTACTTTAACTGAGACTCGAGATGAGACATAAAATATACGGTGAATACAATCATTTTAATAGGGTTACAGGTTTTTTTTTTCTTTAAAAAAAACAATGGTTGTTATTTAAAACACTAATAACAAGTCCGTATTTCAGGTGAGATTGTATTATTTGTATATAAAGGAGCATAGAAAGCAAACGATCAAAATCTTTGGAATGAACACTTGATAGCATTAATTTAATTCTTAGTCTTCATTGCCTTATTAATGTTCTATTTCCTTTTCAATGTGCTCCCAAAAAAGCCCTTAACGTATGCAGTCAAATGTTTATATTGGATATTTTTACACACTTTACTGCAAACAATAGATAATATTTGACACTCTACCTACCATGCAACTTCTACTCCTTCACTATCATTCACCAACTCTCATTTTACTCTTTTCAAATATACATGACAGCAGACTAAACTTTCTTAAATTATACTTTTGATATTGGAATATACTGTAATGCTAAAATTGAAAGAGCAGAGAGCATAAGAATAAAGAGCATTGCTTCATATTATCTTGCACATGAACATGTTGTATCGTGAAATTCTGTATTTGCTTTTATTTCATTTTTTGAAATGCATCACTATATAAAATGGCAGGGAATTCAAAAAATTGTTTAATCTTGTCAAAATACTATTCTTGAGAACCAATATGCCTCGAAAAAGCCCTAAGATCACTTGATTAGTAAATCAAAAAAAAAAAAAAAAAAAAAAAAAAAAAAAGTAATTTCAGTTAACACAGAAAAGAATAAAATACTATTTTAATAATGAAGATGAATATGACTTAGTGAGTAAGATAATAATCAACTTAGCTATGGTTACGAAGAATAATCTTCCATTCACAATAGTATATCAAATGAAATTGTTCCTTTATTTATATACATCTTTCTTCTCTATACTTTAATATTAAAACAGTATTAGAACAAAAATAGATAAGTATGATAATAAAAATATTTATCCTTTCTTTTAACCATTGGATATTTTATTTGTCACCAATTAGATTTCATTAGAGGTGGGAATAGATGGCAGTAACATGCTACTACTACTACCACTGCTACTGCTGACTTCTAAACACTTCTAATATAAAAAGGGCCTAATTTTCCGGGGAAATTCTTTCTTTTTCTTTTTTTTTTGTATACTATATCATTAACAATGGTTGCTGGTGCCGCTGCTAACACTGCAAAGAAATCTTTCTGGTCTATCTGGTATAAACATGAAATTATCCCCATCTATTTTGTTGTTGGTGGTGCCTGTGGTTTAGCTGGTTGGTATCTTACTCGTCTTGCTCGGTAAGTTAAATTAAAATTAAAGTTTCTCTTTGTTTGAAATCTAAGACATTTAATAATTATATAGTGGTCCTGAAGTTGTTTGGGATCGTACTAACAATCCTTATCCGTAAGTGTCCCTCTCTTCTTTTCTTAAATGTTGAATTATTTACTTACATCTTTTACTATTATTATAATTTCTTTAGTTGGCAAAACATTGACCAGGATACCCAGGTTAAATTTATGACTGTCAATCAAAAGTTTGACAAGACGTAAGTTTTAGTAGAACTTTTTTTTTTTTTTTTTCAACAAGACAAAAATATATACTCATAAAACCTCTACTTCAATAGCTATTCCCGTGATCGTCTTTAATGGCACTGTAACTATAGAAGAAGATTAAAAAAAAGCCCTCTTCCTCCTTTTTTCAGTATACATATAAAGCATTTATTTGTGAAGGAAGGGAAATTTTGTTCCAAATACTTCTTTAAATTTATTTATTACATAGATTTACTTTATATTTATGTTTATTTTTTTTCTTATACAAAAAATAAAAATGATGCATTACATTCTTTTTTAATTAGTAAATATCAATATTTTTTTTTTGACAATAAAAGTCCAATTGAGTGCGGATATTTTACATACCAAAATTTGCCTGGACCAGTTCACAACACATAGAATAAGAGAAAATCCCCCCCCTCATGGGCTCAAAGGAAAAATGTAAAGAGAGAGAAAAGGAAGAGAAAGGGAGATATATGATATTATATCTAATGTTTTTGATTCCAATGTATGATGAAAGGGAAACCTATAAAGAATGTTAAAAATAAAGGTGAGAATTCTTAAAGCATTACTATATTATATCAACTCTACAAGTAGTTGTAAAGTTTGTTAGAAAAGGACCTAATATTGCTAGCTTAGAAAGTGAGTTGAGAGATTGGTTAGATAACATATTGAGGATATATGAAACAGACTCAGCAATAGTTGTAGAAACATGTGTAGACTGGAGTATATGATATGGATTATAGTGAGCGTGTGCTGTCGACATGAACAAAGTTTGAGTATTCCCACCAGGTAGTCGTCCTAAACACCATTATGGAAACCGACTACATTCAATAGACAACTAGATAATTTGATTCAAGGATAGAGTTGGGCGATACACGGACGATAATTCGCTGTACTTGGGTTGAAGTGTCTGATGAAAAAAAAATCCTGTTGATATGTTATGAAATACGGAAATAGTAATGAGTCAGAGAGAAGAGAGTCTTGGTGAAAGGTATTAAATCTATAGAATTAATTTGACTTGAGGTTGGAAATGAATAGTAGTAAGTACGTAAAATATATATCATTAAGAAGCGAAAGTGAATATAGAATAAATCTGGCTTGCAGTATGGTGCATCATTCTCATATGAAAGGTAGTTGGCTACATATATCACATTACTACTTTTGCTCGAAAAGTAGGAGAAACCACCTAAGATTGCACATAAGCAAGTACCTTGGAGCTTGTTCTAAGTATCCATGTCAAGCAGCTATGGACTTCAAAATAGCCAAGTTATATTCTAATTTGAGATCGCACCATTTGCTTATAATGCATCACCGATAGTAATTTGGTAAAAATTGGGCGTATTGACGTCAATATTTTTGAGGACTTGCAAGAAAAAAAAAAAAAAGTGGTTAAATTTATTTAAACAAATGTCCAATTGATGACGGAAGTACTGTATTTCTTTTTTTTTTATTGTTTGGCTCTTGAGCCTTTACTTTAATTCGTACGCAAAGTTAAAAAAATAAAAACTGACGCACAAATTCATTGAAAAGGCTGCAGGATGTCTGTAATTTAAAATTTCAAACAGACCGACAAGTGATATGTAAATTATATGTAATGTAACATTGTCAAAGAACACCACGAATATTTAATACATGTATTTTAGGAAAAAAAAATTAAATGTAAATATAAATATATATCTCAACACTATAGTAATAAACCTATTATTTTATATTATACAATAAGCAGGGAGGGAAATGAAATTTATGAAGAATTACATTATAAACACTGTAAATATTTTCCTTTATATATATGTATATATAATAAATGTACAAATTTAATGATATAAGGGGTAAAAAAAAATAAAAGACGTTAGAATATTAAGTCTTACTATTAGAGAGTAGCAGAATTACGTCGTTTTTCGAGTACATCTAAATCAACAAAAGGCATAACAAATGATCGTACATCATTATCTATATCTAATGCGAGTCTATACGTCATTTGATCCAATGCATGGCCTGATTCACCTGCTTCATTGACCGTCCTAGATGGAGCAGCTATTTCACTTAGTTCACGTCGAAAAGGCTCTATCATATACATAACATTTATATAAATAAATATTTTTTTTTCTGAAGATAATAATCAGTTTTACCATTCGCATAAATAATAGAAACTGTACGTGAGGCTGCAATACGAACATTAACAACAGGATCAGTAGCCAGAGGTGCTAAACGAGGGAAAAAGAATGAGGCGAAATCAGAAGCGCCTATACCTGACTCAACAAGTGATTTACATATTTGAGCAAACCTTTAAAAGATAAAAATAAGTAATTCTTCCTTTTTTTTTCCTTAAATAAATTTAACTTACACTAGTCTATCTCGGTAACTTTCTGATCGTGCAAATTCATCTAGTCGCTCCATAACATGACTTAATAAAGCAAGAGCATAATTTCGTTTATTTTCTGCTATATCATCTCCATATCCATCGGTTTGTGATAAAGATTCACCATCTTCCTCAACTGCATGTTTTACAACATCCATAACAACAGGAAATATCTTTACGCCCGTTTCTCGGATCGCTGCAAATTCATCATGGCAAGCACGGACCACTAAGGGTAATACATGTTCTACTACTCGAGATGCATCAAAGAGGGTTGTAATTTGCATTAGTTGCTCTGCTAAAATATTTCTTAGGTGCCAATTAGTTGAAACGCCATCCCAAACTTCTGCTAAAATTGGAATATATTCGTTTCTGGAACTTGCTTCTAATGCTCCAAGAAAATCAGCCAAATGTTCAAGGACACCTTCTTTGACATCGTCTAGATCCATTAAATAGAGAGCAAATATCTGCACAAGGTCTTGTTCAGTTTGTTCAGGGCCAATAATTCGAGCAATATCATGAAGAGAATGTGCAAATGTACAGCGTACCTTAATTTGATAATCCTTTGTAAGATTTAAATAGGTCTCTCTCAGATGACTCTTCCAATAACTTGCCCCAGCTGTTAATACAACAGCAGGGAAATTATAAGCACAGAGATAAGTGCGATCTACTTCAAGTTTAAGCATTTGATTATTATTATTCGAATTGGATCCTAAAGATAAAAAATATTCTAAAAGCTCTTCAGGTAACTTGCCAGGTGCTCTTGTTTTTTCCCAATCCTCAGGTAGAAATTTAGAAATAAGCTCGCCTATAATATCTGCCATTGCATTACGAACATTACGTGAAACATCGTTGGGAAAAGTCTCTACACTTGTGATTGCTAATGCGCTTTTAACTGGTTCAGAAAGTACACCACATAATTGGGGAAGTGAAAGGACACAAGATCGACGTACATGCCAAATTTGATCTTCAGCAAACATACGAAATAAAGGAAGCTATATACATATATATACATATATATGAGGCTCAGATAAATAATATGGACTCTGTTTTTTTTTTCCTAGTATTAAACTTACCAGTCTCTCATTTGCTATTGCATGATTTACTACTTCAGCCATATTGCCAATTGATAAGGCTACTTCTTTTCTAACATAAAATAATGGATCTGTTGCTAATTTTTCAAGAATAGGTAAACACTCTGTCACACATTTTTCTGCATCAAAGACACTTATAACAGCTGCAATCAACTGCAAAAGGAAAAGAAAAAGAGATAAAAATAAATAAATAATAGCAATATATATTATTACTGCTTTACCGAAATACATGTAATCTTTGCTAAGCTAATGACACCTTGATCAATATCGTCTTCAGACGAAGGAGGAGCATGATGTACATTAGAGGAAGTTTCAAATCCAGGCGCTCCAGAAGATCTTCGACGTTCCAAACTAGAACCTTCATCAGTAGAAACACGATGATATCTTAATGCCTCTAATCTGCTCTCTTCATCCTCTTCTGTTTCTATTTGAGGAGGTTTTTGTTTACCATCTATAATCATCACAAGTCCTCCAATAACTCCCTTAAATATCTCACAATCAATGACTTGGGAAAAGAATGGATTTTGATCTGATAGCTGATTTAGTTCTCTCAAAACTGAAACAACTGCTTGTTGTGCTAGGGCAGCTACCCCTGAACTTTGGTCTAAATGTAATCGAATAATCAAAGGTACAAATGTCTTTTCCTGTGGCGTAGATGGGTTTGAGGTTGAAAATAAGGCTGGCACATTCTATATTTAAAATTTAATTTATAAATAGCTTATCCTTATAATAGACTGTAAAATACGTTACCTTATAAAAATATAGTAACAAATGATTAAGTTCACTAGCAAACGTCTCTCTTACAGTGTCATCATTATCACAAGCTAATTTATCCATGATAGGTAGAATATCTTGGATAGCTCTATCTATAGTTATTTCATCTAATGCATTAGGTAACTCTTTTGCTAATGAAAGTCTAAGTATAATATTGCATAATTTTTTTTTCCTTTTTTTTTTAGTTCTATAACCTTTTTCGTCTTATCAAAAGAATATTACCTATTAACCAGTTCATCATTATCTTTGAAAGCATATATGCGTTCAAGAGGTGACATATTTTCATTTACTAATAATTCGTCTTCCAGTTCATCTTCCATAGATTGATCTGCTTAAAAATAAAATAAAATGAATATATAAAAATAAATTAATAAACATTACAAGATGGTTTCATAATCCTTTTTTTTTTTTCAATAAAAAACAAAACAAAATCTAACCTTCAGACATAGTATGTATTAGTAATGCAGTATCCTCGGATTGTATAGCTGTTATAAAGTCTTCTTGAGGAACAATTTCAGATTCAGGTATGTCTTCATCCTCTGTTTCAAGTTGGTTTTTTTCTCTAGATTCATTATTGACATGGTCAAACATTTCCATATCTTGTTCTTCATATGTAGTGTCCTCATCATATTCATCACTGGAAAAATCAAAACCGAGATCTTTTGATTTAACAAATATGTATATAATGTATATATAAAAAGAAGAAATAAATATTTATCGAATGTGTATTCAAACATGCGTTTTCAGCATCTTTTTTCTCTTTTTCTCTCTTTTTTTTTTCTTTTTTTTTTTGCCTAATTTACCAGCCATTCGTTCTAACTATTTCTTTTTAAAAGTGCAAAACTGAAATATATTTTGAAAAATAGGGAAAAAAAAATAACTATAATAATGGAATTTTTAAATATAATAATAAATCAGAGAATAATAAGTTATTGTTTTAGCTTTTTTTTTTTTTTTTTTTTTTTTCCTTTGTCTTATGCTCAACTATTTCCTTTTATATTATTGGTTCTTTTAAATTGCTACTATTACATTTACACATAAAGAAAAGTATTATTTGCCTATTTCATCTGAGTATGTACTATGCAAATAACAGTTTTATGCTGAAATATACTAGATGGCATATATGCCTAGTAGTTTGTCTGAACAAAGTTTTTTTTTTTCTACATTATACAGACTGTTAAAAAAAAAAAAAAAAAAAAAAAAAAAAAAAAAAAAAAGAGAGAGAGAGAGAGAGAGAGAGAGGAATTCCTTTTTACTTTTATTATTATTATCTAGTTTGCAATTATTCTTATTTTCTTATTCATTAGAAATCATCAAAAGCAAAAAGCGAAAAGAAGACACATATCCAAGTTATTGGGATATTACACCTGTTCATGATGGTCTGAATATTCCACAAGCAACAAGTAAAAAATAAAAAATTGACGAATAATAACAATACATCTGTTCATGCTATTTCAATTACCTGGGATGTACATCAAGTCATGTTCTTAACTCTACAAATTTAGTGAATAGCCTCGACGTAAACCCTCCTTCTTTAGCCCTTAAAAGTTTTATTCCCTACTGTACCCATTTCTTTAATTAATTAAAAAAAAAAAAAAAAAAAAAAAAAAAAAAAAAAAAAAAAAAAAAAAAAAAAAAAAAAAAAAAAGAGCAGCTACTGTGAATTCAGAAGGAACAAAATAGGTTAAAAATCAATTTACTCTTTTGCCTAATTTTCGTAGAGAAAAATATGTGAGTTTATAACAATGAATTCCATTTCTTTCTATTATATCAAATTGACGGATCAAAAATTGTTAGTTTCCTTTTTGAGTAACTACTAGTTTCCCATTATTTCATACAAATAATAATAATAAAACTTATTACTTCTACTTTGAGTATTATTTGTCATGTTCTATAGTATGATTGTGTATGCATTTCATTTTTTAATAGAAAAAAAAGGCTCTTAAAAGTGCACATAGACCAGTCACAATCCCTGGGTAACGAATTTTTTGGCAAAAAAAAAAAAGTGATACGGAGAACATATTTCTCTCTTTTTTTTTTTTGTTATTATTGCCCATATTTATATTAAGTTATTTGCATTTTTTTTTTCTTTTTATAAAACTAATAGCAATGTCAATGAAAAAGTTACAAGGTAAAAGTTTAGTAGTTAAAACCATAAGCAATTACCTACTTATTCTTTTTTTTTTTTCAATAGCCGAGATCGATCGGGTCTTGAAGAAAGTTGGTGAGGGCGTAGAGACATTCGATAGTATATTCGATAAAATACAATCCACTAGCAATACAAATCAAAAAGAAAAATATGAACAAGACCTTAAAAAGGAAATAAAAAAACTTCAACGTTTACGTGACCAAATCAAAACTTGGTTATCATCGAACGATATTAAAGATAAAACCGCTTTAATGGAAAACAGAAAACTGATCGAGTCTGAGATGGAACGATTTAAAAATGTGGAACGTGAGATGAAAACAAAAGCATTTTCAAAGGAAGGATTGTTGCAAAGGGAGCGTATGGATCCAAAAGAAAAAGAAAAAGCAGACGCGTGTGAGTGGATTTCAACCACTGTGGAAGAACTTTCGAGGCAGATTGAGATGGCGGAGGCAGAGGTCGAGACATTGCAAGGCACTTCTCGAAAGGGAAAAAAGGATCATGCTAAAGTAGAACGAACGAACGAGTTGGAACATTTTATTGAACGTGATCGATGGCATATTAATCGATTAGAACTCATCTTAAGATTACTTGAAAATGATCAACTTTCTCCTGATCGAGTAAGTTTTAGGCAAAAATCAAAATCATTGATAGTCATAATATAATTCTATACAATATATGTAGGTGCTAGCTTTACAAGATGATGTACAATATTATCTTGAATGTAATCAGGTAAAAGGCGTTTTCATTGTTCAGATAACTATTTTTTTTCTAATATTTAAATTTTGTAAAGGAACCCGATTTTGAAGAAGATGAATTAGTGTATGATGACTTGAATCTTGAAGAAGAGGAAGAAATGTATAACGTTGGCACTGAAGATTATCATGTAACAACAGAAGGTAAAATAAAGAAGAAGAAGAAAAATGATATTTTACTAAGCAAAAGTTTAACTAAGATGCGGAAGAAAAATCAGTATCGAAAAAACCAAAAGAAAAAGAGAACAATGACGAATTATCTTCACCAGTTTCTATACGAAAATCAACTTCAGCGTCTAATAATTGTAAGTCTTTATATATATATATATATGATATAGCCATAAAGTCAAACTAACAGTTTTGATTTTTTATGTATAGCAAAACCAACAGTAGCAAGTAGTAAACCGGTAACAACTAATTTGCCAGCAAATAAGTTATCAAATAATGTTACTGTTACGTCTGTTGTACCACCAGCAAATAATCTGAAATATGCACAAGCAGCCAGTATTGCTGATAGTCCTAAAGAAAAACGTAAATTAATTTCTAAACTCTTATAATAAAGTAAATTCTATTACTAACTATTACCAAACCAAACCAATTATAGCTCAATCACCAAAAGTAGTTGTTCCGTCTGCTTGGTCAGGACCTATTAAGATTGCAGATCAAATTAAATCGTCTACTGCGCCTGCAGGAGAGAGTAAAGCAGAGGTAACTGAAATTGTAAATAAAACGCCACAACAACAACAACAACAGCAGCAGCAGCAGCAGCAGCAACAGCAGCAGCAACAGCAACAGCAACAGCAACAGAAATCTATAACTTCGTCTGCGCCAGGTGCGCAGGTCAATACAACTTTGAATAATGTTACAAAAACGGTAATTTTTTTTTATTTTTTTATTTTTATTTTTTTTTTTTTTTTGTAATTAAAAAATAATCATGTGTTCTAATAATTGTTAAAGTTACCAATGGATGCATCTTTAACTCAGCAACCAGGCGCAGAAATTGAATCACGTTTACCTAATTCATTAGCTGACCTTGCAACCTCATTTGAAGCCATCAAAGCAAAGGCTACTTCTGGGAATGAAGATATACAGTATACAAATCGTATGTTGGACGCAAGTTTACAATTTGTTCCTGATTTAATAGATTCTGAAAGGTTAGTAATGCATATATATCACCTTTATTTTTTATTGATTATATATTATATAGACCTAAAGTATATCAAGCACAAACACCACAAATAACACCAGCTTATTATCCTCAACAACCTTTAGCTATTTTTGACAATCCAAGTTTATTTGAAAAATTCGATATGGATGCGTTATTCTTTATCTTTTATTATCAACAAGGAACTTATCAACAATATTTAGCAGCAAGAGAACTAAAAAAACAATCCTGGCGCTTTCATAAAAAATACTTGACTTGGTTTCAACGACATGAAGAGCCTAAAACAATTACAGATGAATACGAGCAAGGAACTTATATTTATTTCGATTACGAAGGTGCTTGGTGTCAACGAAAAAAGACAGAGTTTAGATTCGAATATCGTTATTTGGAAGACGCATAATTAATTTAACACGAGATTTATTATTAATAATATAATTTTTTTTTTCCTAAGTTATTGATATTATTAAAAAAAAATAATTTTTATTAAAATTTATGTACAAAATACAAAGAGAAAAAAAGAAAGAGGGAAAAAGAGAGACATAGACAGACATGACAAAAAAAAAAAAAAAAAAATGAAAAAAAAAAGTGCAAACTATTTTTTTTTTCCCTTTTCTATATAGAATTATAACAAATGGTTCTAAAATTATTTATTTTTGTTGAGGCTTTGAAAGTGCTGGTGTACGACGTTTGAGGTCAGTATTTGGTGTAGGTTTGGTAGTTTTGTTAAATTCTTTATCATCATCATTAACATTCACTTTAACACCTGGAACAGCTTCTGTCTTTGCAACATTATTTAAACGACGTTCTTCGTCTTCCATAGCACGACGATATTTACCATCAATAAGAGGTTTAAATGATTTGGAACGAGTTAAACCAAAATTAGTAGCACGAGGTTTACGAATATCAATATCCATTTCAGGTAACCACCAAGGTAATAAGGGCATACGTTCACGGAAAAAGTAACAAGCACCATGAAGATATTTAGAGAAACGAGGAACTTCATGAACTAAATGGGAATCAACTAATTTTGTTAACCACTCAGGAGGTTCTTGACCTAAATGAGTTTGTAACTTGGTCTCTAGAACTGCATATGGGAAACGACAAATTTCAGTTTCGTCTAAGTCTGGGAAAGGATAATCGATACCAACATCAGGACGACGCCATTCACTTTCCTTTCTGCGTACCTTATCCCCCATATTATCTTCACGAATGAAACATAAATCAGTATCTAAACTTACTCTGACACGTTGGTCACCGGGAAGTTGGAAGGCTGTACGATTATAGAAGGCACGAAGGACAGGCTTCAATCGTTTTTCTTTCAAAGATTTTTGAACACCAGTAGCAATAAAATGTGTATCCTTACAGATCTGCTCATCTACGCTCTTTGCCTTCAAACGTTCAGTAATTTCATCAGGAGTAAGTTCATATTCAACAAACTTTTGTACATCATCATAATCAAGTCTAAAACGATCCTTCACTGAGGCACCCTCTAACCATGAAGCATGATGTGTCTTACGTTCAATAAAGACATTTTTAGATTCCATAGGACCATACCAACGGAAACGGATAGCTTCAGCACCTTCATCACGTTGAAGACGTCCAGTATAAAGCTCGAAGTCTTCATTATCATAATAAACACTAGAGATAGCAGAATCAGAGGCTTCATATTTCTTATCCTTATTAAAAATCAATACAGGAAGGTGTAACATGATAATCGATTTAACTTCAGTCACGTTATCCGGATGAATCCAATACTTGGCTGTAGCACGCTCAAAGGCATTCTGATCACCACCAGCAGCAGCATTACCAGAGCGAGGCTTACCTTGAAGACGACAAAGGTCATGTAAAGCAGAAATATATACAATAGCTACATCAAAACGTTGTTTATCAAGAGGCTTAGAACGCAATTGAGGAATAAAATCTTGTTGAAGACGAAGACCAGTCCATTTATCATGTTTTTTAAGAATCTTTTGGAAACCAATATAATTTAAACGAGTAAATTTAGCAAGATCATTCACGTCGAAAAGAACTTCGGTAAGAGCATCATCCATGATATTCCAGTTTTGTTCAGATGACCAAGAAGGGTTATTCATGAAAGTTTGTAAAGTTCTTTCACAATAACTAATTCTAGCCTCAACCTCTCCAAGTTTAGCGGTTATAAAATCATATACCTTTTCCAATTCATTCTCTAATAGATTAATAAAATCCTTCTCATCTTGATCAGTCCAGCCATGATCAAGTTGTCTCGCCTTGAGCTCAGTTTTTAATACGTTGTAATTGATATAAGATAAACGCCATGGGGCAAAAATACCTTTTTGAAGTTGCTCGGCGAATTTCATTTAAATTATATATAATATATACGAAAAAAAAAAAAATAAAATTAAAAAATAAAAAAATAAAATAAAATAAATAAAACAAGTATTTGTTAATGTGGAAAAGAAAAAAAAGAAAAACAAGAAATATCTTGGGACATAATAAAATAAGAATACCTAAAAATAGATAGCCTTTTTTTTTTTGTTGCGAAAAAAAAAAATAAATAACTGAAACGGTATTAATATTCAAAGTCCGACAGTTTACCATATTTTATACAAGCTCAGCCGTGGTTGAGTTTTTTCTAGTGAAGATTAAAGAATTTTGATATTAACGGATAAACATAAACTGTTTTAAGTCAATTGATTAAATATATTATTACAGAATTGAAACGTTAAATCATGTCTCCGTTTTGTCCAATATATTTTGATCTCTTTTGATAAATATTTAATTAAAAAATAACTAATTAAGCTTGTATAAATATGGCAACATAACGCTTACTCATGATTTAGCAATAGGTGTAACTTTCTAAATACATAAAAAGTCCAAAATATATTTTCGATTCATTTAAAACTCCGTACACCAGCTTTTTTTTTTGTTTTTTTTTAAAAAATTCTCGGTTCTTTATTCTATTATATTATATTATACAAATCAAAAACTTAAATGGTATTATTATTAGATTGCTGTTCTGTTTTATTATCGATCCCCAAGTAAGTATTTGAGCTTGGTGGATGCTCCCAACGAAGTATAAAGTTTAACTATTTTTTTTTAAAAAAAAAAGTAAATGTTATTTATATATTTATAGATATATATAATACATGATTTAAACAAGAATTTGATTCTTACCACCATTGCACCTAATATTAAACAACATAGACCAATAGGGCCATAAATATCATCATATCTGACATCAGGACGAGTTGACATTTGATAGGCTCGTAATCGATATCTGAAAAAGGCATATAAAGCAATAACAAGCGAAATACCAAAAAATGTTCCACCTGCCACTGTACTTACATAATCACCAAAGTTAAGTAATGTTAGAGCTGCTGTCAGAATCAAGGCTGCAAACTGTAGCCAATGAATAAACGTTCTTTCATTAGCAAAAAATAATTTAGGCTCTAATCGATGTCCAACCGGCTTTAATTTCTTTTTCTTTTTTTCAGTCTTTTCTTTTTCTTCACCCATTTCGATCACAGCTGCTGTTCGAAGTGCATCCTTTTGATTGACAGTATTTATGTCTTGTAACATATAACTCATTGATTGTCTACTACGTTTATCGTTATAAATATCTAGAAAAGAAGGGGCGCGATGATTTTTAGAAGATTTACTATTAACACGAGAACGTAATTCGTTTGGCTTGCAGGTAGAAGAATCGAATGACATATAACTTGTAGAATCAGCAGCAACAGCAGCACCACCATCACCACCACCAGCAGCAGCAGCAGTATCCTCTACCTGTACTATAACTTCCTTATTGTTATTAACGGAGAATAAATCCTCTGTGTTCTCCTTTTTCTCCTCATCATTATCAGAGGTTGCATATTTTACTAATTTTTGTTGATCTTCATCACCATCATCATCATCCGATTTTATTCCAAGTTGAGATTCTAAATATCCCATAAGATTGATACGACTGTGACTAGAGGATTTTAAAATCTCATTTGACCCTTCCATCATCCATTTGTCTCGTTTCTCTACGTTACGTATATCAAAATCAATCTGAGATAACCACCATGGTAATAGAGGTAACTGTGAACTCCAGAATTGTGCAACACCATGTACATATTTAGAAAAGCGGGGTATTTCATAAACAAGCTTTGAATTTAAAAGGTCTGTTAGCCATGAAGGTAAATCATCGATGGCTTGTACCTCTAGTATGGCATACGGGAATAGATAAACGTCGTTTTTATCGAGTGATTTAAAAGGATATTGTATATTATCTTGATACCATGTTTCAGATCTATCACAAGCTTCATCTTCTCTTACAAAGGCCATTTCTGTATCCAGTGATACAACTAATGAATTGCTTTGAGAAGATTTAAATGAAAGATGATTAAAGCTCACGCGTAATTTGGCTTCAAGACGTTTATTCACTATTGTTTCTTGAATTGACCGAGCAGCTATTGCGTGAGATTGATCATTGGCTTTCACTAACTCCAACTCCTTTTCAAAACTGTTCCCGTTTCCCATTAAAAAATCTTCGATTTGATCTTTGTCGACGGCTATTTTTTCTGACATAAGCTGAGCGCCATGACTTGTTTTTGTAAATGTATTGTATTCGATAAAGATGTGATCTACTGATGCAAGCTCCCCATTCCAGTAACATTGAATACTTTCATCAACATCATCATATTGAAGACGAGATGCATAATGATCAAGTTTGTCATTATCAAAATAAATTCTTGTTTGACGTTGTTCATGTTGTTCAAAGTCTTGAGATGAATCGTCTGTATAGAGTGGCAAATTGAACAAAAGGATTGCTTTGACTTCTGTTATATTTTCAATATGAACCCAATAACGAGCTCGTCGTCTAACTGTTTGGGTTTTACGCATTTCGGTCTTACAACACGTATCGATAAGGGAAGCTGCCCTTATTAAAAGTGAATCAAATCTTTGAGTGTCAAGGGGTCGTGTTCTGATGATTTCTACCAAAAGAGGACTGCTGTCAATAAGTGTTAACTGATTATGTTCTTCAATTAAATTTTTTAATGCCTTAAAATTAAAACGGGTATATCGACTCAATTCGAGTACTTCTTGAAAGATTCCTTTCGATGTTTGTTCATCCAACATACGCTGGCAATATCCAATCTTTGTTTCAATCTCACGTTGCTTCTTATTAATGAAAATATCTACTTTTTCTACTTCAAGACGAATGGCAGATTCAAAATCCCTTTCATCTTTTGTTGACCAAAGACCTTGGTCACAAATGTTGTACAAGCCGTCATAAATGGCTTCATAGGCAACGTATTCATTCTCCCAAGGTTTATAAATATTTTCCTTGAATTCTAACAAAAATGACATTTTTTCATATTCAAATAGACGAAAGGAAAAAAAAAAAAAAAAAGAAAAAAGAAAATAATTGTTATTTCTTTTTTTTTCGATTGAATGTAAAATTCTACCAAGTAAAACAGAAGTTGATAATTATGGAGGAAAGACAGCTTGCGTTTCAGAGCGCTATTTATAGAAGAAGAAAAAAAAAATACAAGTAGGAAGCAATTGATTTCCTTTTATTTTATATATTCTTTCATGTTTATTATTCTTTTTTATTAAATGCTTTAGGCTTTTCTTAAAAATATATTGAAACGACAATCATTATTGAACCTCTTAAATATGTAGTAACAGTGAATAAAAGTATGTAATGGCAATCTTAATATGTTTATTCTTCCTTTTTTTTTTTGTAGAGAGGGTTTTGCAGTTATTCGTTTTTATATGTCAATTCTATATATGATAAATATTTCACTCACTATGGTGCTATCCTATATCATATTATTGAGCTTAAATACACGTATGTCAAGAGCCTAATACGATTTATTTACAATCACTGACAAGTACACTAAACTATAAAAAAAAAATACAAAAAGCGAAAATTGTCCAAATTTAGGTATATTTATATATTTTTTTGTTTTGGTTTTTTTTTTTTGTGTTTTGGTTTTATGTGTGTGGTTTTTTTTTTTTTTTTTTGGCTAGCGCGGATTTTTTTTCAATTGAAAATAATAAAAAAAGAAAAATTACATTGTGGCCCTTTGTTTATACAATGAGTCACTTTCTTACTATTCTTGTGAAACAAATGTCTTGATTTTACGTCATATTGTATTTCCTTTTTAAAAAAAAAATTCTTTCTACAAAAGTACTCTAAAAATAGAATTTAATTTTTTTGAAAAAACATTATCATTCGCCATCTATAGCATAAAATTGTTCTTTTAGAATATTGAGTGTATATTTTTTATCATACTTTATATTACATAAATATACCCCTACTATCATAATTTCGGAAGTTTTATTACGGGAAAAAAACCTCGGCCCATAATTATCAAAGGATAGTGTAAACTACAATTATTATTTTTTTTTTTTCATAAGGTGCAGATCAAATATTATTAATAGAAAAGTAAGTTGTATATTATTATAGAAAAATATCGGCTTTCAAAAAAAAAAAAAGAAAAGATGTGGAGTAATTACATTTGAATCCTTGTTAAAGACGATCCTACTTCTTTGGTAAATAAAACATTGGATTTATACAGAAGGAGTGAATAAGAAACTATATTTGAAGAAGCATAAGAATACTCTTAATATTCGAATCAGATTGTAAATATACAATGATTTGTTTGCATAGAAAAAAATAATTTGGGGAAATTATGTATCAATAAAAACAATGTTTGGATTTACACAATATGTCCTACTTTATAACAATTACAATAGAATCTTTACAGCAAGTATATAAATTTGAAACAATTAGGTCAAATTTTATTATTTTTTTTAATTAATTAAATATTTATTGTAAATTTAAGAAAGTATTTGCTTATTTTAAAAGCTATTTTTTATTCCTATGAAATGATTGGACTAAATTATATAAAAGCAATACAACCGTACTTTCGTCTTGTTAACTATTGTATCTTAGCAATTCCTGAATTCTGGGTCTATATAAGGTAATCCAATTAGGTTGAAAATATCCTCCTCTGATCGTACTGTACATTTTTCCAATTTATTGTTTTCTTTCAAAGAAATCCCTTTACTGCTTATTAAAAGGTTCTTTTCCTGTATATAATAAAATATTAGAAATGTATAATTAGTATGCTGATTTACAGAAAAAAGGCAGTATATATACATATATACCTTTCTAGCATACTCTTTAAGAGATTTCTCAAAATAGCTTGAACCCGTCCAACTTAAGATAGCAGTATATAATTCATTACGGTTTGTAATGATCAAATTAACCTGTCGACAAATTCTACTTGAAGGTTGTAAAAATGCACAAAAGTACTATATATTCGAAATCAATCATAAATATGTATACATATACGTGTATGTATATATCTATGTATGTATATATATATATATGTGTGTGTGTGTGCCAGTATTACCTTTTCAAAACCATCGAGCATTTGATTACTATCAAATATTGAACTGATTGCTTTTTTACCCTTGTTATTCTTTGTATCTGAAGTAGAATGCCATAATATGTATTTTATATAGTCCAAGTCGGATAACCGTTGTATTAATTGATTCGAAAAATTATTTAAAGATGGAATATTATTGTTTGTTACAATCAAGTCAAGGCTGTTGATAAACTCTTTACCACGTCTGTATTCAATTTAAAACATGTATATTAATATGATTAGTCAAGTAAACAAGTGTATATGTATTTACCTGTAACTACCAACAGGAACAATCAGGCCTTGGATATCAATAAAATCCACTTCATATCTTATAATTTTAATTATCTCCTCAACATCTTGTCTACTCATCCTAAAATAATAAAAATTATTATACACATGTATATATAGATAGAGAAAGAGACAGAAAGAGAGAGAGCTTATATAAATACATCATACAATTGTTCAAAGCTTGGTAACAACTGAATACCTAAGCGTATTGTTGGTGATAGATTATGTTCTTTGTCAAGCACCTCTTGTAAGGTACGGTATCCTTTATTCCACCAATAATTTGCCAGAGTTGACTCTACACCTATATTTGACTAAAATGAGTACTATGCTTTAAGGAGGAAAAATGACTTGAATTTACCAAATACTTTAACAAAAATACTAAGAGTCCTAAATTTATCATGGGACAATAATTGTTTTGCTTCTGATATTACTCCTGTCTTTAAATACTCCGAAATAATTTGAGATATTTGTCGGCCAATACCTATGATCTGTATGGCTTCCTCTGATGATTGAATATTTCGGGTATACATCTGCTTATCTTTATTCATCATATGCTTCCTTTACCTAATCTCTATATAAATTTACCTTTAAGGCAGCAATTGCACGCTGATAATATAATGCTTTATCACATTGATTATTTAATATTCTTTCTCTTTCAAGGATCATTAAAAATGATATGAGCTTTTTGTTATATTTTGGTTCATATTGTGTTGGACGAAAACAAGCGTATTTCGTATTAACAAAGCTGGGATCAATAGAGATATCTATTCATAGATAGATAGATAGATAGATAAATATATGTATAATGCCATGTATGAAAATTTTAAGTATAAATGTATATCTATATTTTTTACTCTCATCACTAGGTTCTTTTATTGGCCTAAACGAGCGGATATATATTAAATCATGTCTTTCTCTTATCTTCCACTTCCACACACACACACACACACTCTCTCTCTCCCTCTTCTTTTTTTTTCGTTACTTACACAGGAATCTCGTCGTCAAATTCGAGCTTTTCATCTGGAAGTTCTTTAGCCCTTGTATTCAATGTTTCAAGAGAACAGGATCCAGAAACTATATAATTAGTGATTGGTATATCAATTTTACTTTTTGGTTTGACAATGGTATAATTGGCTATTGAAAGTAATTGTCGTGATTTATTACTTTTTTTAAAAAAAAAATAAAAAAATAAATAATAAATGAAATAAAATGAAACGAATCAGCTTGAATTATATCTTACCAATCCTTTATCCATTGAATATCTAAAATAGGAACCTATATATTTATTAAATGATCTTAAGGAGAAAGAAGAAGAAAAAAGATGATATCTATTTACTGAATGGTTTTTAACACTTTCATTTATTCTTGAAGGAGAAGTGGATGCAGCAAATAAATAGTTGGCATCAGCTTGTGTACTACAAAGATATCCACCTAAGCATACCCGCATTATGAAATAAAAAAAAAAAAAAAAATATTGGAAATATACAATCATAAAAATAAAATAAAGGGCTAACCATTTTTCATGAATAAATTAGAGTAAAATCGTATATCATATCCTTTTAGCTTGTTAAGAAGAATATAACCCTTTATATCTTCAAAAATCCTCTTTGCCATCTTTTTATTTTTAAAATGAAAAAAAAAAAAAGAAAAGAAAAAAAAATATTATATATGCATAACTGCTTTTATCATTAAAAATATATACATACATGTTTAAATAGATTACATAACAGTAGCATCATTAATGATTAAAAGAGATTTTTTTTCCCTCTTAATATTATAGATTATTTTCTGAAAAAACTTAGCTCTCTCATCAAAGAAAATTGAGAACAAAAAAAAACTTTTTTATATTGAATACTTTTACGATATTTAAATAATATACATTAACGCTTTCCTTTCTGTGATGCTGAAGGCAGTACTCTTCTACGCCTCTCTTGTGTAGATGTTATTTGTGAAGATGTAGCTGCTGGCACTGATAGTACCGATGTCATGTCTCTATTATTATCAGCATTGTCCTCTTCTTCACTACCGCTTGAAATAATATAACTAGTTTGGCTGCTATTAATGCTATTTTTTTGTGGTTGCTTTGAAGACGAGACTGCTGCTCTTTTACCTCTTGCTCTGGTGAATTGCTGACTTGTCTTCAACTCATAATCATCATTTTCTTCTATCTCAGTCTGTCGTCTCTTTTTTCTATTATCCTGACTACTAGTAATTAACTCTGTTCTTCTTTTCTTCATTGATGTAGTTGCAGATGAAGTTGGTATAATTGCAATATCATTATCTATATCGTTAATAACATGAGTAGCTGTACTATCTATGATTTGTCTATTTTGAGATTCTGGAATGGATCGTAAAGCGATATCATTATTATTAGTTTGAAGTGAAGGTAAAGAATCCTGTTGTTGACTACTTTCTTTCAATTCTGATGCTTTACGTTTAATATATTCTTCTGTCAATTGATCCTCTGTCAAATCAGATATATTATTTCTTATTAATGTTACTGATCTAGTCACAAAATTTCGAATTGCATCTTTATCATTCTTCTCCACAAGTGACATCACAGCCTCCTCTAAGCCTGTTTCAGGCAAAATAGTTAAATCATTCGAAAGCATCTCACTTACAAGATTCTCTACTCTCAAATTATCTAGTCTTTCAGGGATAGCAATCGTCACGTCAGAAATAATGTCTGTCGCTCGTCGACTATTTCTCTCTTCTGGATGTAATTTTTGAAACATAAGCATGTCCTTTGGATTTGCAACTCTATTAATAAATTTATGTCCAAATTGTTGTGGATTAAATTTCTCAAACCCTCCAGAATAATCAACACGAATACGAATAAGTGGTAAGGGCATCTCTATATCGCCTAGATTTTCTAATCGATAAGCCTCTCGTTGTTGTTCTTCCCAATCTATTCGAGCACGCTCGATAAGTGATTCAACTACATCTTCAAGATAGGATTGAGTACTAGCGTGATCTGAAGGCCGTAAAGTCTCAACACGACTTAAAGAAACAGATGTAAACTGAAAGGGACGTACCGTCCTAAGTCGAATTTTATCAAGGCTATACTCATGATGTTTATTGATTTGCAACAGGCCAACATATTTTGGTTCTGATTCACCTTGACTCAAACTTGTAGCCACAGAAGAGCCTGGTTGTGTGACAGCAAAGGAATGAAACTCTTCTGGTGTAATACGACATTCATGCTCATGTCCCCAAAAAACTAAATCTAAAAAGCTATCAAGAAATTCTTCTGGGATATGTGAAGTAGGTCCATGACGTGCACGGTTTTGATGAAAGACAAAGAGATTAAATGTATCGAGCCATTCACGATGCTCACCGTCCTCTTCTGGTTGAGGCCTCATAAATTTCACACGTCCAGCACGCCATTGACGATGCAAACGTTCCTCTCTGATATTTCCAAGTCCATAGAGAGCTAATCTAGTATCGCCTTTTTGCATCAAAATGGGTTGAATGACAACATCTTCAACACTTGAACTTGCACCAAAATAATTCACCATGCCTGCTACTGATAATAAATGTAAAGCACATAGATTACCTACTCCAGAGGGATCATCGTGATTACCATGGATTGAAAAGACAGGAATACTGACATTAAGATTTTCGTCAAGGTAGTTGGCGGTTGCAAATTCGTCTGGGAAATTGATGGATTGATCGCTTGCAATCCATACTTTGCTTGGACGATCGCCAAAACAATGACGACGTAGCATCTTCATGGTTTGGTAGATACATGAACGAGAAGGGCGATTATGATGAAAGAGATCACCACCTAAAAGAATAAAATCAACCTTTTCTGCATCTGCAATTTGAAGAATCTCTTCAAAGGCGTTGAATGAATCTTGTCCTCTAATAGGATCTTTTTCGAGATAGCCAAGATGATTATCAGTTGCGATCAAGATCTTGAAAGTATCATTATCATTCTCGTCGCTTAATTGTGACATTTTTTAAAAAGAGTAGGTTGAAAAAAAAAAAAAAAAAAATACTCTATTTTTTTCTTTTTTTTCTTTTTTTTTTTTTGCAAAATTATAATGTGTGTATGACTGCTGCGTAACGAATAACAAGTATTTCAAGTCAAGATAGCTTTTTATGCAAACTTATTATCTAGGCTAATTTGCTTTTTGAAGTGAAATTAAAAAGAAGAAGGAAAGGTTACATAGATTCAGTTATTAATTTAACCAATTAGTAGCCAGAATTAATAATAAGAACTGGGAGATAGAATTCTATTATAAAACAAGTTGTCTATAATAAAGGCTAAAAATGTGAGTGATAGGGCGCTGGATAAATGAAAGAAATAAAAACGTTAGTTAACAATGCTGTTATACTACATTTGTACCTAGTTATATGTACCTTTTTAATAGAGAAAAAAAAAGGGGCATTTATCTCTGAACAGTATTTAGTAAAGGATAATAAACATTAACTAGCACGTTGAAGAAAGGCACATGGATAAGTATTCAAAATATTAGTACAACTAATAACAATACTAATAATATAGCAAATACGAAACTAATACGAGAAAATAAACTAAATATACAAGTACAGCATTGGCTTAATGTGCGTAGAATAGTTGTATAAATAATTCTTATATCCGGTTGAATGACAAAACTACACCCATTGTAAAACAGCATTATGTTGTCAAATTTAATACTATACTAATATCATATCAACACTATTCCTTAAGTAAAATGTAATATATAATGGTTTATAAAGGCAACTATAAGCATAGTTCAATCAAAAATAGCTTGACTTTGATCTTGCTTATCTATTCAAGCTATTTTACTTGCTCTTATTTGATTAAAAATTCTTGGTTATTTCGTCTAGTAACAAATATGAAGCAGTCTAAATATATTGCCCATCTCGCATTACTCTTTTATAATAGGTATAATATTATTTGATCTATAGCAGAATCCTCGATTCTTATTATTAATTATGGATACTAATTGATTAACTGATAGCAAAGCCTATGTGAGCTTTTATTCTTCTATTTTTACATCAAAATAATGACTATGCAATGCAAAAGGACTTCAAAATTCTGCTTTCTAATCGTGCTTTAAAATTTCATTTTTTTTTTTAAAAAAAAAATAAAAATAAAAATAAAATAGACATAGCATCAATAATATCAGTTACTGTAACAAGACAAGCATTATATCACTGTATACACTAGTTTATTATATTTTGCTATTTATTATTAACTTTATAATATTTTTTATCTGCTTTTATTTTATGAAATTTGAGCGGCACAATATTGAGGAGGGAATAAAAAAAACCTCCATCAAGTATCTTGACTGATTCCAGTTTTTTTTTTTTTTTTTTTTTTTTTCACTGTAATACAGTGACATTATTAGATGACGGGAAAAAAATAATATTTTATGTTGGGTACTTTCAAACTAATAAACATGTTTTCTTTTTTCTTTTTTTCTTTTTTCTTTTACAAAAAAAAATAATAATAATGCCTGAAGACATGTCTGCTCGTGATAAGAATTGGCAATTTTTCCCGCAAACAAATAATAATAATAGTAAGTTTAAACTGACATATATTTGTTTGATTAATTTTTTTTTAACACATACAAATATACTTCTAATAGATGATAAACAAACAAAAGATCCACGGTTAAAGGTAAAAGAGAAAAGCTGTGGTTACCCTTTTTTTTTTTTTTTTTTTTTTTTGTTTATGCTTTAACACTTTATTATTTCCTTTTTTTTTTAGCCTCATGCTTTGAAAAAAAATACAATAATAAAAAAGCAGAAATTCGGAAGTTTCATGGGAAAAATACTTCTTCAAAGTAATAATAAAAAATCAAGCTCTGAGAAAGGAGGAGTTGAACAGCAAAAAGCTTTAAAAGAAGAACCTTTTTCTGGACTTTTTCAGGTCAGGAAAAATCGAATTGAACAATCTAATACCTGTCGATCAACGAATAGCAATGCTGTGGAAATAAAGTTTAGCTTTAAAAAGGACTTGGCAAACTTTCCCCCCTCTGTTAAAAACTATCGCATTGTTAATGGAAGGAAAACACGCTGGGATATTCAAGATTCTCCTTCTACACAGCAACAACATGCCGATGAGAAAAACGAACAAGAAGAAGATGAAAGCAGCCATTCATCTGATGAGGATACAAACTCTATTAACACCTTACAATCTGATGACGATGTATTAGGTCCTTGGATTGAACTTGGCATGATTGATCCTATTACTACTACTACTACTACTACTACCCTTGATACAGCTTTAAAAAAAAATTGGCCCGCTGATGTCTGTCAAGAATGCTTGTCACACAATCAAAGCCGAGGACCATTTGAGTCCATCAATTTATGCGCTCAATGTAAAGTTGAATGGAATTTTCTTTTTCGAGACTTGGAAAATAAAATGAAAGGTTTTTCGTCATTGTCATTGGATAATAATAATAAAAAAAGAGTTGAGAAATTTTCATCGAAATCTACTACTACTACTACTATAAAGAAATCTACTATTATTAGTAAGCCTAATAATAATAATAATAATCAAGCTACTCATACCAACAGACAAAAAGCGATCATTCCGCCTACTAAATCAAATCATTTTCAAAAAGCAAATAAAAAAATAATGGCATCCAAAAAGAATCAAGATTTATTGCTAAAGAAAAAACCTACAAGTGATCACATCACAACAGGAGCATTTTTGACACGAAAGACGGCTTTAACATTAGCGGATCCAGAAAATGGTTTTTATCCTAATCCATACGGCTTTCTACATCACCAGCATGTTGAAGTTTTGAATATGAATGGGCTTTGGTATCTTGGAAGGCTTGAGATGATGGATAAGGGTAAAGTTAAAGTAAAATATCTTGATTGGGACGATCAAGAAGAATGGATAATTATGGGTAGCCGACGTTTAAGAATAGCAGAAGATCAATCTATTATAGCACGTGAAAGTCAAAATAAGATGTCCAGTTCGGAAGATATAATTGATATTGTTAATGTAGATAAAAAAGGTATCCTATCATATTATATAAATAGCACTTTTTATAATAATGTCATTTTATATATATTTATATATTTATATATATATTTATATACAGATAATATTACATCGCCTTTAAATAATAAAAAGGAATTATTAAATAATTCTACACCAGTTTCAGTAAATAAAAAGAAGCTAGATGATGATTATATATCTCAAACTTTAGATAAAGATCCTATGCATATCTTTAATAATAATGAGGTATTTATGACTCGAAAAATGGCTCGTGAATTAACAGATCAATTTGGATTCAAACCAAATCTATTTGGATATCGTCGTAACCGTCCTGTAATGATTACTTCTTTTAGTGGCTCTACAAAGAAGAAAAAAGAAGAACATTTGGGTTTTTTAAGAGAAATGAGCCAAGACCAAGTGCGAGTTTGGTACCCAGACCTTCATCTTTCTGAATGGCTTCCTATTGGCACTCGTCGAATAAGAGTCATGACGGAAGAAGAAGAAGAAGAAGAAAAGGAGAAGGCTTCCTTAATCAATAAGGTCGATTTGGATATTGAAGAAACAGCTCCTTCGTCTCAAACAGTTATAACTTCTTTAGCAGAGGAAACTCGTACGAAGGATGATGAGAATACTGTAGTACAAAAATCAGATACAAGTAATGAAACTAGCGACACACCTATTTCAGTAGTAAAAAGAGGCAGAGGGAGACCAAGAAAAAAGTCATCCACAATAGATACAGGAATAAATCATTCTATTATAAAGCCAACAAAATCTCAAAGGAAAAATAAAACAGAGGTATCGACTAAAAAAAATCTGAGTGTAATTTCGTCCATAGAAACAGATACTAGTAAATTTCCTTCAACGCTATCAAATAACAATAGTATCTCTTCTTCATTTACTACTGCCTCAACTGAACAACAGGATAAAAATTCCTCTTCTTCAGTTCATGAATTCTTGACTACAGGAGCATTTGCAACAAGACATACTATGCGACAACTTCGGGATGAAAACGGATTTATTCCTAATCCATATGGTTACAAATATAAATTGGCAGTTGAAGTCCTCAATACACGGTCAGGGAAAGCTAAGTTTTGGGAACATGGAACATTAATAGAGATGCGGCCCGGCCAAGTTAAAGTACATTATGATGGGTGGGCCGATATTTATGACGAATGGATTAAAGTGGGTAGTCGCAGAATTCGCATCGCATCACAAGAAGAAAATAGTATATCAGATATAGCAAACTCGAATACTGCTGATATAGGGAATACAGATCTCTTAATAGCAGAGCAAAATCCAGAGTTAGTAGAGGAAGTCAGGAAAAATCGAAAGCATCAGATCATTCGTCCTGAAGATTATCAAAAATTAGGTTTACTTGTCAGCTTAGATGAATTGGCTGAAAAGGAAACAAAAAAAAGGAAAAAACGACAGGAGAAAATGAAAGTCCAACAACAAAAACGAAAAATATCAGATTATCAACATAGTGATAGCAATGGTAGTAGTGGGAAAGAAGGATCGGATAGTGATCATCAGTATACTCCAGTTAGTAAACAAAGGACCAAAAAAATTCGTACAACAAAAAAGAAAAAGAAACATCAAACATCAGCTTATTCTAACCATCATAGTTGCAAGCATCATGCCTCAACAGAGACTGAAAAGATAGATACCATTTTAACAGAAACAGATGGAGCACAGCAAAAAATAATCTCCCTTCGACTCGCTCAAGCTAAGGCCTCTGGAAGTAGTCAGTTTGTGGCAAATGTTTATGGTTATGATTATATGCAGCATGTTACTGTACTTCATTTTGATAAAAAAGTATATGAGGGAAGACTTGTAAGTATTAATAAGAATAAAGTAAGAGTGCATTATTGTGGCTGGCTTGATGCCTTTGATGAATATATCACGCTTGGTAGTAGAAGAATACAGCCTATTGAAAACGATCATGAAGTTGTATGTCTTGAGCCTGGTTATAAAGAAAGATACGAAAGTAATAACAGTATATTGACGGAGAATATAGCAACCACTGTTGATCCATGTTGTTGTCATAAGGATCAGAAACCACATACTATTAATCGATTTAGTAGAAAAAGGCTAACATTAGATGACGCGAAACTTAATGAAACTTCAGATAATGATAGTGTAGAATATCATAAAGATATGATAAATGCTGATGATGAAGAAGGTAAAAATAATACAATTTCCAGAATAGTTAATTATGTGCTAAAAATTAAATTAAAAAAAATATATATATATATACATATATAAATACATATATATTTGTATGTAGTTATTGAAACTGAGAATTGGAAAGTTTATTGTAACCAATGCAACATAGTTATTAAGCAGTTTAGGTATTATTGTACTTATTGTGAAACACCATCTCTTGGATATGACTATCAAAGCTTTGAACTTTGTCTTAGGTATATTAAGCAAATACAAACACTCACACCCATATGTATATAAATCGTTATCTTATTTCTTGACTTTATTCGTTGTATAGGTGTTTTGATCAAAATTTTCCTTTTTGGCATGAACATCCTAGATCCAGTTTTGCAATTCAAGCTGTCATTGACGCAGAGATAGGGCCTAGACCAATTAAGGGAGAACTTGTGACAATTTGGGAAGAAGATATTTTAGATGAAACACCATTAGAGGCATTGCCAGATACAAATGAGCCATTAATAAAAGATGTAAACGTGATCAATGACTCGTCATCTCAGGGATTTGTTACTGCAAATACTATCCAGGAAACTAATTCGAAACATCGTACTGAAGAAGAATCAATTGATGCAAGCAAGGTTTTTACCGGAGATGCTCCTATAACAACAGATCAAGGATATAAATATCTTAAAAAATGGAGACGTAGAAAAGTATGTGCATTTTGTAATGATGATGATGATACTTCTGAAGAGCTTGGTTCATTTATAGGTCCTTTTATTATTGCAACATTTAATAAAAACGGTATTGAGAAGAAAAGATCATTTTGGGCTCATGATGCGTGTGCTCGATATTCACCTGAGGTATTCTGTACTCCTGAAGGTAAATGGTATAATGTTACTTTAGCTTTGCGTAGAGGTAGAGGCATGGTAAAAATCTTTTTTTTTTTTTTAAGAATTTATTTGTTCATCTAAAATTAATTTTTTCTTTATTATAATAGAGATGCCATAATTGTAAAGAAAAAGGTGCAACTATAGGGTGCTTCGAATCAAAATGTTCGAGAAGCTTTCATTTACCATGCACTCAGAAACCTGTTAGCTATTTTAAAAACGGTGTTATTTTTTGGTGTGGCATTCATGAAGCTTATTACAATAAAATAGGTACATATCAATTAAAAACATAACAAAAAAAAACAATATATTAATAGCTTACTATAGATACATATGTTAATATTTTCAATTGTGATGGCTGTAATAAAGAACTTGCTGATGAATCTTGGTTTACATGTGTTCCATGTTCGCAAAGCTATTTTTCTTCGTTTGATCTTTGCATGGAGGTAGAGATTGAAAAAAAAAAAAAAAAAAAAAAAAAAAAAAAAAGGTAGAATTTATACATATCATATTGATATTGTTTGTAAAATATAGTGCTTTGAAAATTTTCCTAAAGATCATCCCCATAATGAAGACGAATTTGAAGAAACATGTAAGACTAAAAAAAATTACAAAGTAATAGAAAATAGCTGATAATACTTAATTGATAGCGTTTGCCATTATAAAAGAAATGGAGGCGCAAAAAGCTACAGAAATTGCACGTGAAAAAGAAGAACGCCGATTAGCAAGTAAGTTATATGCATACACATATACATATATAAATATTTAATTTTACTGAAATATATGCATGCTTTAGATGCTAAGAAAAGAAAGAGACCTCTTTTTCCAAAACGGCGACGCAAATTAGCAAATGGTTCTTTACCTGTATCTTGTTGCTATTGTGGAACATATGATGCAGATAGTTGGCGAAAGGGTTATGATGGAGGTGTCATTATGTGCAATAAATGCTTTGAGTTAGCCCTATTAATTGATAACGATGGTGAGCCTCTTCCAGAAGACATGCCTCTTGTTATTGAAAATGATAACAATGAAACTCAAATAATGCAACAACATCGATTACAAAATCGATATGTTTCTTCTATTGAAGACTATTCGCATAAACCATATCTGACTCGTGATACATTATCATTAACTAAATTTAACGAGTCACCTACTAGTATGCGATTAGCTTCATACGAGCCGCAACCAAACCAGCTATTTTCTCTCGTCTTTGATTCAACATATTTTGATATCCCTGGAAGGGCCCCTCGTTGGGCTTCACATTCAGGCACTGATTATCATGGTAAAAAAAAAAAAAAAAAAAAAAAAAAAAAAAAAAAAAAAAAAAAAAAAAAAGAGAGAGAGAGATAATTTTATTGTCTATATTCTAATATATTTTAATTTATTAGGTACATGGTTACCGCAAACTGTTCGTAGGTAAGACATTGAATTCTGATTAATAATAGTTATTATGCATAATATATACAAAACACAACTTATATTTAGGGCTATTCTGAAGTATACAGCTAAAGATGAGAGAATATTATCTAATTTTTTGGGAAGAGGTAAGCTTAGGGTTATAATAAGAATCTCATATACGCATTACAACTATTTGTTTTTGTAGGTACTGACGCTATTGAATGCTTTTTGTTACAAAGAAAGTGTTGTGGTGTTGATATCAATCCTGTAAATAAAATAATGATATTATTATATATAAAGCCTCGCTTTAACGTAACTTCTCTATGTAGTCAGCCATAACGTTATCTCAACGTAATTGTTGCTTTGAAGTACCTCCTGGGTTAACAAGTGCTGAATACCGCCCAATCATTGCTCAAGCAGACTCACGACATTTATCTGGTGCTCTATTCACTGATGAATCTTACCATCATATTCTTTCTCATCCACCATATAAAGACTGTGTAGCTTATTCAACTCATTTAGATGGTGACCTTTCGAGGTAATGTATATTCTATTTTATCTTTTTTTTTTTCGATTTGATAGACAATCCGTTATGATAAGGAATATACATTTATATTTATTTTTTTTTTCTTTAGATTCACAAATATTGAAGAATTTAAATTAGAGTATATAAAAGTAGTGAAAGAAAGCTGGAGGTAATTTTTAATCTCGTAACTTAAACATGAATATATTTTCATTATTTAAACAATGCATATAAAAATATAGGTTATTAAAGATGAGTAGAAGATTAACTTTAGGAATTGGTGATAACAGAGAACATTGTTTTTATATACCAGTTAGCTTCCATCTTATACGCTTGTATATTGATCATGGATTTGAATTGGAGGAATTGGTAAGCACTTAAATGATATAGACAAATAAATAAATATTTACTGTTACTTTATTTTTTTTTTATTTGGGAATTGAAAAGATTATTAAAAGACAACGATATTGCTCAGCATTCGGTTTAGGAACATACTTATGTGTCCAGTTTGACTTTTTAGTGTTCACACATGAGTTTATAGCAACTTTTAAGAAAATCCCAATGGAAAACATTAACCGCATGTTGATTGAGGATAATTTAGACAATGGTAGTATTAAGTTGTTTATTAAACGAATGTCAATGAATATATTATTGACTTATACATTTGTACAGATACTAGCGAAATAATCGAAGTCAGACGTACTTTACGTGGAGTTCCTTCTTCTGCCATCATGAGGAAGAGCAGAGTGATGGGAACAGTATGGATATTTAAACCAACAACTAATTATAGTTTTTCCCAATTATGTGTCTCACGAATGGTAGAAAGGTTTGGTAAAGATGATGGCAATTGGGAATATATTGAACTAAAATTAAAGGTTTGCTTATTTATAAGAATAGAAAGACAAAATTCACTCACCCTGCTTTTTATTAGAAGCAGCAAATGCACTCTGCCATTTTAAAAACAGCAAATACTCAAACAGGGGATTTAATAGATAATGGAGGTATAAAAAAAAATAGATAAGATAACATTTTGATTAAAATCAATTTTATAGTCATCAAAGTGTTGAAGAAAAATGGAACAGCGGAGACTGAAGAAAAGGTTACATTATCAGAATACGAGCAAGAACGTTTAAAAAGAATACAAGAAAACAACAAAACACTACTTAAATTGGTATATCAATTTCGTACAGAATAGATTTATTTAGACTAATATTTATGTAACATACTATAGGGATTAATATCTGAGCTTAGTGAAGAATCTGAAGATGTTATACATTGCGATACAATGATGAATAAAGCTCCATATAATGGAGGTGATCTGGTATTAATGGTGACAGGTCATATAGAACCTATTCTACCGGGCCAAATCAATTGTTACAGAAAATCTATAGTTTCACTTGCTAACGAAGCTATTGATAAACTAGCCACTAAAGGCATGTTAATCATAGGCACTCAGGATATTCGTGATCCTATTACAGGAAAGTTATGGCCACTAACGATGCTTGTTCTAGAGGATATCGAAAGGGCATTAGGTTGTAATGTTATAAAATTGAAGGAAATGGTTGTTACAGTACCAGATGGTTATTCAAAAGATAGAAAAACTGAGTACGAGCCTGTACAGGAACAAGAAGAAGACTTTATAGATATTGAAACCATTGAACATGATCATTTACCTATTGTGCATGCTATTTATCTTGTTTTCCAAAAATTATAATAATCTTTACTATAAAAATATAAACTGTACTTTTTAATGTGCTACCCTTCTTTCTCTACTTTTATAAATTATATTTTATATTGTATGTACAAACTTTTTATTTAAGCAACACCTGACCTTTCTTTTTTATTAAAAAAGAAAGGAAAAGAAAAAAAGGTCTCCACCTTGATTAGTCGCAAATCAACTCTTAAGGAAGGCTTTGAAAATTTTCTTCAGAAATTTATTATCTCTCTCAGTGATAAAGATTTAATTAACTATCTGTAAATATCATTTACCGTATAAAGCCTGTCATTTGTATGCTACCTATTCGACTAATGATACTCTGTGTTATTTGTCTCGACGCTAGTAAATGACTTCCTTTTTAAGAGTTATGTAAATAACATGAATATATTTTATTAACACTCTGAATAAATTTTAATCTTATAGCAGTTGATATATTACTTAAATAGATATTAGGTCAAAACATTTCTTTGATGACAGTTGTTTATAATATGCACTGTGTACGTGTGAAATTTTATTGTATGATGCACCATATAAAGCTTTACTACAGGTTGTGCAGAATATTGTTATAGATTATGGCATGTTACTACTATATTCCTTTTTCTTTTTATTTTTTTTGACAGCGATGGCTAAATAACAAAAACTAAAAAAAAAAAAAAAATGAAACTGCTAATATTTTAAATAACAACAAGAATCGGGTAGAGTATGAGATTGGGAACGCAAGAGAAATAAGAGGAATCAGCAAACCAGGTTGTTTTCTTGGCGAATTGGGGAAGATCCAAGACGAGTATGATGGTTTTTTTTTTCTTCTTTTCTTTGGTAGCTAAGTCTAAGTTCAGTATTGTCTTTTCTACTCTTGAGATAAAAAAGTATAAACTACTATTCTCAAAGAATCCTATTGTTACTGATGTCATTTTTTAGGCAGTTGAAGATGGTTATTATCTTTTGTTCATTATTGATTTTTTTGACTCAATAGGGCGCTTTAAAAAAATAAAAAGTATGCGTCGTCGGGGAATCGAACCCCGGCCCTTCGCGTGGCAGGCGAAGATTATACCACTTAACCAACGACGCGAGGTTAAGAACCGAGTAAGGTCGCGCGTAAAAAAGGACGTTCTTATATATCAAATTTCACTGCAGATAAAGTCTAATTTCACAATTGTGAAATTTTGTGAAATTAGACCATTTCACAATTGTGAAATTAGACATTTCACAAAAAATTTTGAAATTTTGGAAGATTAAAAATTTTTTTATACCAAATGAAAGAGAAAAATTTGCTCATTTTGAATATGTTAATTTTTTTTATTTGGTTAAGAATTGATAGAGATATTAGCATTTAAAGATTTGTTTAATGATTAAAAAATATAACAAATTTTTGGGTATAGTCTTCTTTACTAGAAAATAAATTTAGAATCCCGACATTTTTTTTTCTTTAAATTTCATTGGACAAAAATATTTTTTTTTTATTTTTTTGAATAAGTCATCAAATATAAGCGTGTGTTAGCTGTGTTATATTCTGAATTCAAAAGAAGTTGAAAAAAGATAATTGTAGCAATAATTCATTCAAGATGAATGTTTAAAATGTAAAGTCAAAGTAAGTCTTTTTTTTAAGAAAAGGTCAAATTATTTAACATTTTCAAAAAAAATTTATTAAAAAAATAATAAAAATTCAACATGTACAGTAATGAGTTATGTATAATGTCAATTGTTAAAATAAAACTTATATTATTACTTTACAATAAATTACTTTATCTAGTAAGATTAATTTGTCGTAGTTGAACATAATGTCAAAATGTCTAATTGTCATTCCAAAATCAGCTTGAATGTAGATGTAAAAATTAAAATATACACTTGTTAAAACAATTAAAAATAATAAAACTATTTATTATTTTTCAAATGTAAGATGCATCTTCTCTTGATTGTTAGTTTTTTTTTTTTTTTTTCTGAAGAATGAGTAAAAAGAAACTCAATTTTTTAAGTTTAAAATACAGCAATAAATTTAATCGTCTGTAATAAAATTATTTTCTTCTTTTTTTATTATCTTATATTGATTATTAACAATTCAAATTAAATTATAACTTCATTGCAACATGTCCATTCAATTAAACAAAGACCAAAGAGAATGCAAATGCTCAACTTGCTCTCAAAGTGAGTTGGGATATAGGGTTGTCCACAGACATACAGCCCGTATACATCAAGAAATTGATGAAGGTCTTGCAGATGCAAATGCAATTGAACAAAGTAAATAAAAACTATGCATTTCAAATGTTATAATTAATAAATGCAATAATGCTAACTTTTTTTTTTGTTATCGTGTTAAAGATGTTTATGATGCAAATGATGATCTAATTTTTGAAGATAACAATGCCATTGATGCTATTGAATTAGAGGATATGGATTATCTAGAAGGAGAAGAAGATGTAGTTGAATGTATGTATTACCTTTTAAAAAATAATATTGCTATGATAATCTTTATATAAATTATTTATGCTAACTTTTTTATTTATTTCATATATAGATGAAGCTAATGATAACTTTGCAACTAACGATACAAAGTTATTCAACATTAGTGAAAATGAAGCTTTACCTTACTTCATTATGATTTTCTTGACATTCTTCCAAGCCAATAATTTAACCATTACGGCTACAGAAAGCTTGTTCAAGTTCATGAATGCTATACTTTTTCTACTTGGAATTAATTATGCATTCCCCTCTAAACTCCAAACAATTAAATCTAAAATTTCTGCTAATTATGCTAGCAAGGGTATTTATTTTATTTATTTATTTATTTATTTTTTTTTACTAATACTAATTTCTCATTATAATAGATATCAAAAAATATATTGTTTGTGAGAAGTGCAATGCAATTTATGTATACGAGGAAGTTATCGATAATTCGAATACAATTAAAAAATGCAGTAATAGAACACTTCCCTCGTATGCTAATGGAATGAGAGCACGATGCAATCATCCATTAGTAGTTAAAAATGCTAGCAACGATTCGGTCAAACCAATCAAACGTTATGCGTACAACTCAGTAAAGGCAACTTTGATGAAGTTTTTCATGCGCCCTACTTTTGAGCAAAAAATTGAAGAATGGAGAAGTAAAACTGTAATGCCTGGAATGATGTTTGATATCTTCGATGGTCGATTTTTTAAGGAATTCAAGAAGGATGATGAAGACGAACCATTTCTTCAAAAAGAAGGTTCATTAATGTTAAGTTTAAATGTTGACTGGTTTACTCCAACTCAAGGAATGAAATATCACGTAGGTGCCATATATTTGATCATTAATAACCTTCCTCGTAACGAGAGGTTTAAAAAACAAAATATGATTCTTGTTGGCTTGATGCCTGTCCTCGTGAAGCTGCTCTTTCGGAAATTAACCATTTCCTTCGACCTATGGTGGATGAGCTCCTTGAAATACAGTGACTCACAAAACTGTTCACACTCTCCGAAATTTTATAGATATGCAAAAATTGACATTTGAAGTTAAAACAGTAAATTCACATATAACATACCAATCGAAAGCTTCAAATCTGCTTAGTTTGTATATAATCATACTATTTTAACTGGAGGACTAAGGAATCTAGAATCTGGCTTTTAAATTAACATGTCCGTGTAAACACTTTTGTGGCCGTATTTTAAAAAATTAAAAAGTCGTTACCACAACTTGGTTTTTGATATATATCGGACTGCCACTTAGCCAGCATTTAGCTTCTTGTATCATTTTTACTCTTTATTATTAGGTTTTAACTTCAATATATAGGTACGTTTATTGAATATGGCTGCAATTCCTGTAGATCAACGTGATAATGTTATTTCTCTCTTGAGATCTGGAGTCAGCACAAGAGAAGTAGCTAAAAGGGTTGGAATTAGTCTTGGTGGAGTATCCAAAATTGGAAGACAAAATTGCTTTAACAGAGTTAAGAATAAAGGCGGAAGATATAGTATCTTGACTCTAGCAGATAAAAGGCATTGCGTTCATTTAGTAACCAAAGGACGTCTAGAAAATGCGGTTCGAGTCCGAAAACAACTGAAAATGAATTGTGACATTGATGTCAGTGCTGAGACTATTCGTTGAGCCGTAAAGGAAGCTGGTTTGAGGTCTTTCGAAAAGGAAAAGAAGCCTACCCTAAGCGGTACAAATGCAAAAAGGAGGCTTGAATGGTGTCTTGTGCATTGCAATTGGACTATAGACGATTGGAAGCGTGTAGTATAGTCTGATGAAACAAAAATAAATAGGTTTAATTCTGATGGACGTGTCTGGGCATGGATACGAGACGGTGAGACGCTTCAGCCGCAGCATGTCAAGCAAACACGAATGCATGGTGGAGGCGATCTAATGTTTTGGAGTGCCATTACCTACGCAGGTGTAGGTTAGATTTGCAAGATCGAAGGAATAATGGACCGCTATGTCTATAAAAGCATTTTGGAGGAAGATTTGTCATATACTATTCAGCATACATGTGAACAATTGAACCTCAGACGTGACCAAATCATTTTCCAACAAGATAATGACTCAAAGCATACATCAACTGTAGTCCTAAAATACCTCAATAGACAAGATTATCAGCTTATGGACTGGCCTGCACAGTCTCCTGACTTGAATCCAATCGAAACATGTGGTGTTTATTAAAGATTCGTCTAAATGAATACGATACGCCTCCAAAAGGCATGAATGAGCTATATGAACGAGTAGTACATATATGGTATAAGGTAATCACTATAGAAGAATGCCGAAAGGTTATTGAAAGTATGCCACGTCGTATAGAAGAGTGTATCAAGGCGAAAGGTTACTGGACGAAGTACTGAAACCTCAACTTATTCACAATTAGCAGTTTCGTTAGGGCCTCACAAAACTGTTCACGCTGTATACTATAATTTGAAAGCCGGTTCAATAATAATTAATAAATTTTTTCTAGTAAACTTTTCTATACATAAAATGTCCGAGTCTTAAGCTCTCTAGAAATATAAGTTTTATATACTGTTGATATATAACATAATTAATAAATGTCACTAATTATGTAAAATTTGCAAATTCGTGGACAGTTTTGTGAGTCACTGTATACATTAGAATGAGACCAATTTCTTACGATAAAAAGATGGATATTTTAGCAAAACTTAATGCTGAAAAGTCTTATAGAGATATTTCTACAGCAATGGGGTGTCAACTAGGACAATTAGCAAATTGCCAAATAAAATCAAGTTGAAGATTAACATAAAAGAAGGTAGACCAAAGACGATTATCCCGTTACTTGGAAGATTGATTGCGCGATCTTTTTATACTGGTCATTTTATCACTGCAGTGGATGCTGCCCGGAACTTACATGGTCAAGGGTATGATATTTCCACACAAACCATTCACAGATTCCTAAAATCGTCCGACTTGATTCGAAGATTAAGAAATCTGCATTACCATTGACGAATGAGCGTAGACGAAATCGTCTAAAATGGGCCAAAGCTCATAGAAACTGGATGGTTGAGGATTGGAAAAAGGTCGTCTTTAGTGACGAAAGAAAAATCAATCGTTTGGGTTCATGATGGAAAGCAATGGACATGGGTTAAAAAGGGTGAACCTCTAAAAGACCATAACGTTAACTTTAAGTACAAAGGTGGGGGTGGAAGCCTAATGTTATGGAGTTGTTTCACGCAACATCGCAACATGGTCCTGATTTTATTGCCAAGATTGAGGGCGGAATGGACTCGCAATTATATTGTGAAATATTAAAAGGTGACTTTATGGAGACGCTCAAGGATTATGGCCTTTGTAAGAAAGATGTGATCCTTCAACAAGACAATGATCCGAAGCATACATCCAAATATACAAGAAACTGGTTCAAAAGAAATAAAATAAATGTCCTTGAATGGTCATCATACTCACCTGATCTAAATCCAATTGAAAACCTTTGGTTTTATTTGAAGTGCAGGCTTGCTGCCTATGATAGGCCACCAAAAAACATGGATGAGTTATGGGAGCGAGTTGCTGATGTTTGGTACCATAAAGTTACAGCTGAACTATGCTTAAAACACATAGAAAGTATGCCAAGACGTGTTGAAGCAGTAATTAAAGCAAAAGGTGGTGCTATCAAGTACTAAACATAAAAAATGCGTTATTCATTTCATTTTTCAATAAACTATTCGCATTAAATTTTTATACATATAACTTTTAACATTATTTTTTCAAATAAAAACATTATATAATGAATATATGCTATAAGTATCATCAAAAAGAGGAGACTTCTGTCTTTCTGCTAATATATACTATATTGTACTTTACTTAATAAATAGACGAGTTGTTATTGCCGATTTGCATAAATTACCTAAAATTCTGAAACTTTGCCACACTTTTGTGAGTCACTGTACAGTTTTTGTATAATCTTTAATAAACTATACAAAGTTTTCACAGACTTGTCTTCTGTTCATTCTTTTTCCATTATCTTTTGCTAATCAAAACATCTTTTTTCTGTGAACTACTCTAACATTTCAAACATTACTACAGTGACTCACAAAACCGGCCCAATGTTTTGCACTTTTCCCTTTAATGATGTATTACTCGTTATTGGGACAAGCTACATACACAATTCTTATATCATTATAATCGTTGAAAAGCTCTCTCTATATATATAGTCTAAAATGGAAATACTATTTAAAACTCAGAAAGAAATTAAAGTTTAAAATCATGATGTACATTGGGCCGGTTTTGTGAGCATAAGCTAATTTTTATTTAATCTAATAATTTTATATTTAATAATCAGTCCAATGACCTTTAGCTTTAATAACTGCCTTGCAACGGTTTGGCATGGAGTCTATAACCTTTAAACAATCCTCCATGGTTATCTTGTGGTACCATATATGGGTGATTCTTTCGAACAACTCTCTAATGCCCTTAGGTGGAGTATCATATTCATTCAACTTGCGTTTCAGAAGAGCCCACATATTTTCGATTGGATTAAGATCTGGAGATTGTTAGGGCCAATCCATTAGCTCATACTGCTGGCTTTTAAAATGCTCGCGTGCAAGTAAAGACTTACGTTTAGAGTCATTATCCTGCTGAAAAACAAGTTGATTTCTTTTCAACCCTGTTTCTTTACACACCATTTTAATTGTATTTTCAAGTTCATCCTTCAAAATATCTATGTAAAGCTGACCATACATCGTAGAGTCAATTTTACACATCCATCCTACTCCAACACAAGTTATACAACTCCAAATCATAACGGAGCCACCTCCATGCTTGACATTCTGCTTGACATGCCTAGGTTGAAGGCGTTCATCATCCCTAATCCAAGCCCAGACACGACCGTCTGAGTTGAAACGATTTATCTTCGTCTCGTCAGACCATATAACTCTTCTCCAATCGTCGATCGTATAGTCTTTATACTTTTTAGCCCAGCGGAGTCTTTCTTTAATGTTTTTTTGACTGAGTGCAGGCTTTGCCTCCTTCTCCATAGATCCGAGACCAGCCGATTTTAAAGCCCGTCGAACTGTTTCGGCGGACACAGACTTGTCTAGCTCTGCTTTGAGTGCTTTTTGGACTTGTACGGCGTTGTCTAGACCTCCTCTAGTGACCTTATGAACACAATAGTGCTTTTCAGTCTCCGTAAGTTTAATAGGTCTACCTCCTTTTAGCGTCCCACGTCCTGGAAAAACCTCCTTTCTGATACGAGACACAGTTGCTCTACCCACCTTCACTTCATCAGCAATTTGTCGGTCAGAAATTCCGGCATTAATCTTGGCAATAATTGTGTTTCTTGTCTTAGTAGATAATACGCGCATACTTGCATAAAAATGCTTATGTAAGTAATAAATAAAAAATGAAAAATTACAAAACTTACCTTACTTATAGTTAATAGGGGTCACTGTACACAGTTTTCGCTATTATAATATGCTGGGTACAATTAAATACCATATTGTGGTACTACTTTGTAAATCCTGTAGTGACTCACAAAACCGGCCCAATGTACATCATGATTTTAAACTTTAATTTCTTTCTAAGTTTTAAATAGTATTTCCACTTTAGACTATATCTACATAGAGAGCTTTTCAACGATTATAATGATATAAGAATTGTGTATATAGCTTGTCCCAATAATGAGTAATATATCATCAAAGGGAAAAGTGCAAAACATTGGGCCGGTTTTGTGAGTCACTGTATAATGAACTCTTCTGGTGCTTCTGGTGCTTCTGCTTCTGGTTTGACTGTTGACTCTATGTTGAATTCTGGTTTGGATGCTCTCCTCGAAAATGGGACTCCTCTTTCTTCGGTTGCTGGTGAGGTCTCGAATACTACGGGTTTGGATAGTTCTTCCATGATGGTAGATAATGCTGGTTAGGGTGTTGCTATTGGTGGTTCCATGTTGCCATTCGCCGCCGAAAAGGCAGGACAAGATGAGCAATTGTTGGGGGACAATCTTCGTCAGTTAAGAGCAGAGATGTCTACTCGTTTACAAGAATTTGCACAAGCCCGCAGTAAGAACGATGGGGTTGCAACTCAAAACACTCTCAGGTCCATTAAACTCATCAAACAAAGTATGAAAAGTTTGAGGGAATATCAAGAGACCTTGAACGAGGTTAATCCCCGTCAAAGAGTTAATGAAGGCATGTCACTTCCCGGAGGACTTGCACTTAGTAGAAAGGACTTACCAAAGTTCCAACTCGCCACTAGTCTGGTCAGACCTTTTCCCAATGAAGAGGCTTTCGAGTCAGTTGAACATTTCTTGAGAACATTTGAAAAGGTCATAGAATCATCTGGTCGACAGATAGAATTCGTTTGAAGAACTTTCTTCCCATTGTGCCCACCAAACTCTGAAGACGCTTGATACGAGACTAATATGAAGAACGCTCACTCATGGGTGGAGGCCAGAAAAGTTTTCAAGAATGGTCATAGTTTAAAAAATGCAATACGTTAATACACGGATAAGGTCTTCACAATGAAGATGAACCCTGGAGAACCTCTATTAGATTATTCTAGAAGGTTTCTACAAGCTGTGTTCTATGCTGGACTTTCCAAGGATAACGAACGTATTGCTGATAGGTTCTTGGCATCACTTACACGACCGGTACAGACTGTGATTAGGATGCCGATGGTAAACGCCAGAGATGATTTTGGTTGGACCGTCGAACGTATGACACAAATTGGTAGAGATGTTCTTGGTGATGACCCGCAAACTTATGCAGAGTCTACCCAATATGTCATGAGGAATACAGATGGTGTTCGTGGAGAGAAGATGCTCAAGAAAAGAAGTGCTTTCTCGGGGAAACAGATGGATTATCATCGTTCGAACAACAAAAGATATCACAAGAAGGCAAAGAAGATGAAGGAAACCAAATCATTCTTTTGCACTCATCATAGCCGTAACAGTACTCATGACACCAAGGATTGCTTCACCTTGAATAAACGTGCCGCTACTATGACATCTAGAAACAAGGATGCTAAGATAGCAGGAGAACAAAATAACTTATGCTGGAAATGCAAAGAAGAACCATGGAGCCCGAACCATGTTTGTAAGGTCAATAAGCCCAAAAAGGTCTTCGCTGCCAAGAAAACCCCAGAAACTGTTGAGACTTCTGAGTTGGAGCTAGAAGAAAAGGCCCGAATTGAAGCTGAACGAGACTTCCAGGAGGCTGTTTCCACCGATATCGATTCCCAAATGGAGGAAATCAGTTATGATTGTAAGTACACAAACAAGAAACAAAACTTAGAGAGTAAAGTGAAGAATAAAAATTCATTCAACTTACTAACGCCTATTTTGGTAGAGAATACAAAGCTCATCGGGTTAGTTGACACCGGTATCGAAGCTAGTTTCATAAACATAAATAGTTTAAACAACAAATTAAAAATAAATAATTTAAATAATGGCTCTACCTACAATTTCTTGTCTAATAATAGTAATGTTTCTTGTATTGGTTCTACCGATTTGTTAAATTTTAAATAAACAAATGGTATTACTTTCAAACATTCATTAGATGTGATGAAGTTTAACAAAGGATATGACTTTGATATTTTGTTGGGCACTGATATTTTACCAAAAATGAATATTGGTTTAACTGGAGTAACATACAAAATTGGTGGTGAATTCACACATTCTGATGTAGCTGCCAATGATGAAAGAATTTTTGAAAATGTTAACATCAGTTATGATGGTAAAATTCAACTTGATGATTCGCCTGCCGGTACTCCTGAGCAAAGAGCAGAATTCATGAGAGCTATTAAAGAGGCTATTGGCAACAATAAGAGTATTCCTATTAGGCTAAAGCAAAAGATAGGGTCCTCCAGCATTACTCATGACTGAGATACTGTCAGAGCTTGAAACGTGGCATGTTGATAGAGCTATTTTTTAGCATCTCAGAGCAGTTTTTTTGGACTATTTATGATTATTTTTCATGGAGTAATCAGCTTTCAAAAAATGGCCAAAATAGGGCCTGTTATAGAACAAGCTCTGGATATAATCATAAGTAATATTATAGTAAATGAATTACATAATACAGGATAAACCATATGCCTGAATATAAAATAAAACTCTGTATATAATATCTTGTAAATAATATAAAACTTATTGATATCCAATTGTCTAGATGTATCAATTACACTAACTCAAAAAATGGTTTCAATGTTTTTTAAAAATTCACTTTTTTCCTTTTTTCTTCACATCATTAAACTGAAACGGCTAAAAATTGAACACAGTAATAGTACACATATATTTCCATTTTTGGTAGAAATTTCTTCATAGTCACGTGCTATACGGTCAACTTACTGGCTTTAAAAAATGATCACCCATTGAAACCATTTTTTGAGTTTTCTATTTTTTTCTCATAAATTTACTGATTTTATGTATATGTGACTGCTATTGAGAAAGTAATTACTATGAGCATGAGGGACCCTGTAGGTATTTTATTGTTTGTTCATCTATTCATTTTTCTCCAATTAAGAATTGCAATCTATAAAAAAAACATGAAGCCCATTTCTGTTGAAATTAAGCAAAACATTGAATGTCTTCTTCGTGATGGCGTTCAATATAGTGACATTAGTAAGCGTACAGGTGTCTCAGTTGCAATAATTAGTCGCATTTCGAAAGAGATCGGCATTACTCGAAATGCCCATCATGGTCGTAATGGAACATTCAGCACTAATGAGGGTAGATTAATATTACGAAAGTTTGCAACTGGTCAGTTTACTACAGCAGCACAAGCAGCTAGGAGACTTCAAGGAGAAGGTAAGAAAGTAAGTGCGCAAACTATTCGTAATCTCTTGAAAGATGGAAATTTCGAATCTGATGTCAAACCGTCATCTGTGCCATTGACATCTGAGCGAAAAAAAGAACGACTTCAGTTTGCAAAAACGTATCGTAATTGGACTGTACATGACTGGAGAAGGGTTGTATTTAGTGATGAAACAAAAGTGAATCGTTTGGGGTCCGATGGCAAGATATGGACCTGGATCAAAAAAGGAGAGCCTCTGCGGGACCATAATCTGAATTATAAATACAAGCATGGCGGAGGAAGTATATTTCTTTGGAGTTGTATTACTAGTCAAGGACCCGGCTTTATCACTAAAATTGAGGGTGGTATGGATTCCAAGTTATATTGTGAAATCCTTGAAGGCGATTTCCTCGAAACACTGAAAGATTATGGGCTTAAAATTGAGGATGTTGTTTTTCAACATGATAATGATTCAAAGCATACATCTAAAATGACTACCAAATGGCTTCAAGATTATCATGTTGAAGTACTTAATTGGCCAGCATATTCACCAGATTTGAATCCTATAGAAAATTTCTGGTATTTTTTAAAACGCGAATTATATAGTTTTGAAGAACCCCCTAAAAGTATGCATGAATTATGGGAACGTGTAGCCAATATTTGGCACAAAAAAGTAACGAAAGAGATGCGTCTTAAGCGCATTGATAGTATGCCGAATCGTATTGAAGCATTCATAAAAGCTAAAGGAAGAAAAACAAAATATTAATAAAAATTATATTATATTCAAAAAATGATTTCAACGGATCGCTCATTTAAAACCGCGATTACGCAAAAGTAGCTCATGTGACTGTGTTCTTTTTTTGTATATTATTGCCTTATTAGTCAAAGATTATTACCTATGCGCTCTACAATTCTTGTCCGTTTTTTAAGTAATATAGACGTCATAAACTCCATAAAGTGAAAACATTGAAACCATTTTTTGAGTTAGTGTATAAGACATTGTATCATTTCTAAATATTTATTTTTATAGCCTTGACAAAGGATTCAGGTCGTCTTTGATCCAATAAAATAAAACTATAAAAAATATCAGGAGCATACACTCAGATCAAACAATAGATAATCCATAGAAATCAGTCTCTTGAATCAACAAGATGTATATCTGAATACTGACACTGTTTCATGACTTACCTTTTTTATTTCTTTGATTCAGGATTCATTACTATAAATACAAGTAGTTGTGTAGACATAAAATAATCTTTAACTTTTTCCTTAACTTTCAATTCTTATTCTTTATTTTAATTGAATAAAAACAGTCTCAAACTATACTTCCTTTTGTTCCCTTTCTCTCTTCTTTCTCTTTTTTAAATATTACGTTCCATCACATTTTTATAGTTTGAATTCTTATTTTATTCAATGGTTACTATGAATCCTGACCTTACCTCTTCAGATCTCCTGAGAACAAGCCCTCAGAAATGGAAATAGACTCTACTGTGGCTGGTGAAGAAGTCAATTCTAATTCTAAGTCTACTGGTAACCCCTTTTCTGAAGAGACTACGGACCTTCAAAAGGATCAAGATCTAGATAATCTTCCAATTGTTAATACAATTCCTGAAGAAGCTGCTTCCAATGCTGAAGCCGTATTAGAAGCAATGAAAAAAAAAGCACCATTCTTTTCGCCAATTATACTGCCTTATGTAGAAAAGCTCCTGATTCCCCAGAAGCCTATTACCAATTCTTGGAAAAATTAACTCGTTTCCAACAAGCCCATAATTCTTATAAAATGTCCACTGGTTCTCCTGCTGCTGTTAATACTATGCCTACCATTCGTGCTGTTGTTCCTCCTGGTCTACCTAAACTACAATTTGTTGTGATTGTAGTAGCCTTTATAATTAAGTTAATAGAAATAAACCATCATTTATTACATAATAAAGAGGTTATTCAAATTAAACTAATATATCGCGCTTCACAGCATAATATTCATTCTACTCTCAGTTTTGATAATAGTCATTGTTTGAGTATTCGAGCATTAAAAATAATTATATACATTACATTATGTAATAATAATAATTCAATAGGATTATGACCGTTATATTCAATTACATAATTATTTATAAGTCATACATATTATATATAGATAGCTATAAAGATAAATATTGTTATGTAATAATATCTTATAGGATAATAATAATAGTAGCATATAAATAATTGGTGTTGCTATAGCTGACATATTCACTGTGAATTAATATTGACGCGTCGCTTACCCCAGAAATAATAATTTAATATTTTTAGTAACAGCGACAGCTCAGGCAGAAAAGAATAAAAATAGATTTTATTGTAGGCAGAATTATTCGGAAAAAATATTTATGACTAATGCTTTATTATAGCAATATTTGCTTATCCAAATCATAGTTCTATTAATATCACTTACCTTGCAAAAACATATAAATAACCCTTTACATTTTCACATAATTTTTCCTCGTACAATTTTTGTATTATTTTCTTAATAAAAAAACTACACGAAGTTTTCACAGACTTGTCTTTTGTCTTTTTCTCTTTCTTTAACTTTTTGCTATCAAAACACTGTTCAAATAGACTCCGCACTTTTAAACACTGATATTAAAGCAATAAAAACTGTTAACTTTTTAATGAACATTTGTATTAGAATGCCATTAATTTTCTCTTTAAGACAATATATAATTTACTACATCCTTCTATACAATTATCGCATATAATTTGGTTACAAAGTTACAAAATGGAAACATTTGAACAGTTTTGATCCTTACTGTACCATCACACAAGCCTTTTAAATCAGACATAAGCTTACGCTCTTTTTCACTTTCACTTTACCATGTCCGGCTTTATTGATAAGTTAGAAAAAATACAAGGATCGGACAAAAAGGGTGTTTAGTAACAGAGTAATCTCTTTTTGTTATATTTTTCTATAACTTTTGAATTTGTAATTTAAAATGCTGGCAACCTGTCGATGTTGAAGATTGGGATATTACTGATTTCGATAAACGAATTATTAATACTAAAGACGTCAGCAAGAGATTCAGCCACTTGCTTTTCAGTAATGATATTGTTTTGCGTACAAAGATAAGGAAAGAGAAAAAAAAAGAAAAGACAAGTCTGAGAAAACTTTGTATAGTTTATTCAAGATTAATAATACAGAAAATGTACCCCCAGAAAATAATATGGAAAAATGACGAGTGGTATTTATATGTTTTTGTAAGGTAGGTAATATTAATAAGAGTGTGATTTAGATAAATGAATACTGCTATAATAAAGCCTTCATGCACAAATATGCACAAATATTGTCTCCGAATAAATCTGCATGTAGTATGCATATTTCTGCCTGAGCTGTTGCTGTTATTAAAAATATACACGATTATTGTCTTTGGGATAAGCAACGCGTTAATATTAATTTACAGTAAATATTCCCTCTATAACAATATTCAACGTTACGGATGTATATATAATACGTATGACTTGTATAAATAATTATGTAATTGACTATAACAGTCATAAACCTATTGAATTCTTATTATTACATAATGCAATGTATATAATTATTTTTAATGCTCGAATACTCTAACAATGACTATTATCAAAACTGAATGTAGAATGGATATTATGCTGTGAAGTACAATACACTAGTTTATTCGAATAAACTCTTTATTATTTAAATAAATGATAGTTTATTTCTATTAACTTTGTTGTAAATACGACTACAATCATAACAATAACAGATGAATTACATAATACAGGATAAACTATAAGCCTGAATATAAAATATAACTCTGTATATAATATCTTGTAAATAATATAAAGCTTATTGACATCCAATTGTCTAGATGTATCAATTATAAGACATCATAACATTTCTGAAATATTTATTTTTATAGCCTTGAAAAAGGATTCAGGTCGTCTTTGATCTAATAAAATAAAACTATAAAAGATATCAGGAACATATACTCAGATTAAACAATAAATTTTTTATTTAAAACTTAATCAGATCATTATAACACCCAATAGATAATCCATAGATTAGTTTCTTGAATCAACAAGATGTATACCTGAATAATAACACTGTTTCATGACTCATGTTCTTGGATGGTTATTTTTATTTCTTTGATTCAGGATTCATTAATATAAATACAAGCAGTTGTGTAGACATAAAATAATCTTTAACTTTCAATTCTTTTTTTTATTTTACTTTTCTTTAAAATATTACGTTCCATTACACTTCGAACACTTTAATAACTATAGCATATCTTATTCGATAGTAACAAGCACTTTTCTAATTTACATCTTATCTTAGACTTCTTTAACAATTCTTATACATATCCCATCAATTTAAATTCATAAAAAATAAAATCATTGACTTTCAAGCTATTGTTCGGTCTCGTTGACTTCTTTTGTCTTAATATTATTTTTTATTTTATAGTATTTTTTATTTGATATTTTAAAAGAAATATCACAATGTGCTCATAGATTGTTTTATAGATGTTGATTTATAAAATAATAAAAATAAAAATGTTTAACCGTATTATTTTACTTACAAGCCGCTCCCAATGGTATAAATTAATCTCCAACTCTCTTTGGCAAAAATGTAACCCTGTGCTGGATACTTTGGATAGACGTGTTTTTAAATCGCTAAAATAACAATTTCTACAAGAAAGTTATGTCACTCTCCGTAATGGTCCAAATGCCCAAACGACCTCTACTTGTCGTCCAACCTTGGTAACTGACCCTATTTTATGGCTCCCAATAACACGTACGGAGCGTAGTCAGGCACTCCGCTGGTGTCTTGGTTGGCTCCCTGGTGAAAAACCTCATCCCTATCTCTTCCACTCTGCAGTTAATCATTTTCGTGTCCATGCTACCGAATGCCTGCACATACACCATCGTTTACAAATGCCTGGATCTATCAAAGACCCTCTTTCTTTCTTACTAAATTTATTACTCCTAAAAAAAATAAAAAAAAGTCTCATCTATCTCTTCCTGGTCTGTACGTTGGCCTGGAATTTGCCTGATCCTACATGAATTTGATCATATTTTCCATAGTGAAGATCTTCCTCCCCCTCCAACTGATGTCAGTGCTAGTTGGGTGAAATGGTTGCAATGATAAACATGTTAGTGTCTCTGTCTTGTTTCTGGATTTTTTTCCTTTTTATCTATCTTTCTTTCGTTTTACTTTCCTCCTTATTATTTTTTCTTTATTCTTCAATACTTTTTTTTTTATTTTCCCTCTTGACTCTTAGGAGATTTTTTTTTAACTCTTAACTTCGCGAACTGGTTTGGGCAATACAGTTATTTAAACTATTGCGCTTATTATGACCACTTAATAAATTTATCATTCAACCGTATTTCAAAAAATGACCCATCTAAGTTTAAAAATCTGACTAATCGAGGGTGGAAAGACTGTACTAATTAAGGATTATTATATATAAGCTCTACGATTTTTGTCCGTTTTTTTCAAGCAATAATAGACGCATTAAATCTTATAAAATGAAAACATTGAAACTAATTTTTTTTTAAGTTAGTGTATCATTCGGTCACATATGACTCTGATCTAAATACTATAAAATAGTATGTAATAGATCATCATATATACAACAGAACTCAAAAAAAAAAAAAAAAAAAAAAAAAAGAAAGAAAAAAAAAAGAAACATGGAGGATTTTTTATGAATAAATCTATTATGTTTAAGAGCGCTTAACCTTAGAATAGCAGAATAAAAAGGATAGTTTATTTAAAAACAGATAAGAAAAGTATTTAATCGCAACACTATAATTATCATCCTTATCCATAAAATATATAAATACTCTTACATTATTAACCTTTATTTTGTATAATTGAGTTAATTCATTTTTTTTTACCTTTATCTTAATAAAGCTTATTGACAAGTCTCAACGTATTTCTTCTCTCTGTTTTATTTTATTTCCTATTTATATTTTATTATATTCTTACCTGTAAACCACAACATTAATAAGCTTAAGGAATACGACATTTAAGACTTTATAAAAATATAAACGATACTGCGCTAACTGAAAAAAACAAACTGTATCAGGTAATAAGTGTATGTTAATTTTTCAATTAAGCTGAATCAAAGCTTCATCTTTTGATGTATCTTATTTAGATTGTTTATTATCATATCCTCTGGATCAAATATTCCCAATATAGGACGAGACATTAATAAAGCATGCTTGTTGAAAGAAAAACATTGAATTACCAGACTTGTATAGTTTTATGTATATAATCCTCAAAGAATCTTCTCTTCTATTTATTATTTTTTTTCTTTCTTCCTTCACAAGTCTAACATCGATGATGCATAACTTTTTAACAAATGCCTACGCATTACAATGATTGTTATGCTCTTTTATAATTAATTGGAGATATTTCTATTATTGTAAATGAGCTCTACATCCTTCATCAGTCACAAGGTAGAATCAATGGATTACATTACACATTTTCTTTATTATTATTTTATAGCACTCAATAATTATAGTAGTCCTTATTATATGATGGTTTAACAGTTTCAAAACGAAATATTATTTTGATTAGACTACTTAGTTTAGAAGAGAGTCTTTGACATGTATAAGTGTACTTTTACGTAATTTGTTTTCTTTTCTCTCAAGTCTAATGAAAACGAATTGTCATACTACAAGAATTTACCTGTTTATGGATCAAACACATTTTATTTATAGTATATATTAAAAAGTCAATAAGGAAAATATATATAAGCTTGACAGTCAATATTAATTCACACACACACACACACACTCTCTCTCTCTCTTATATATTAAACAATCATGGATATAAAATCGACAATTCGTATTTTTCATCCTTTTAAATTAATAAACTTGTTACTGTTTCTTTTTTTTTTCCTTTTTTGTTTATCTGAAATTAAGGTTAATCTTTTAATTCAATCATTTCAATCCAAAAAAAAATGAATATTATCGTTTTCCTTAAATAAATATAGTTTATTACGATACGACAAGAAAGGAGGGAGAACAATAAGATATATATAAAGGTATGATTAGGTATTTCTCCAAAAAATATAAATAATGTAGGTCATAGGAAAAAAACAAAGCATTTCTAAATAGCAAAGGATTCTCCACAACCACAAGTACCTTTCGCATTAGGATTATTAAATACAAAATGCTCTGATAGTTTATCTTGAACATAATCCATTTCGCTACCAAGCACTGTAAGAAGCGCTTTTGAATCAACTAATACTGTAACTCCTATCAATTAGCATACATTAATAAAAACCAAAAAAAAAAAGAAAAAGAAAAAGAAAAAAAAATATAAGCAAATAAAAACTGCGATTTGCATCATTTACCATCTTGATTAACTATTTCATCGAATTTCCCTTTAGAATCTGTAAATTGTAAATCATATGCATTTCCTGAGCAACCCTTTTGTTTGACTCCTACTCGAAGATATCGAGGGGTAGACCCTTCAGTTAATGTTTTTAATCGAGATACCGCTGCCGGTGTCTATAAAAATATATTTGTTAACTTCTTTCATTAAATTTGTAAGTAAACCTTTTTAAAAAAAAAGAAAAAATTACCAATGTTAAAGCAGCCTTTCTTAATCGTAGTCTTGAATTATTAGATGTTTTTATTGAATTGGGAGCAACTTGTCTTACAATGGCACCAATAGACATTTTTTCGTAGCAAAAAAAAAAAAAAAAAAAAAAGTGTGGGGGAAAATTTATGAAATGTGAAGGGGGTGTACATGAAATTTCAATAAGATTTAAGGCGTTGTGACTTGCATGAACCGTTTTCAGCTTTAAAATGTGTCAATTACATAATAGAGTGGTAAACGAAATGTAGAAACATCATAAATGAAATTCAGGTAATGCATTAATTCAATTTAGGCAAGAATGCTGTATTATTAAGAATTTTGAAAGGAAGAAATAAAATCAGCCTTTAAAACAGCAAATAAAGAATATGTTTATTTGGAAACCACTTATCTCGAAAAAATGTTCACCTTATGAACTAAATTGTCATAACCCCCCTAAATTAAAGTAGTTTTGGCATGGATCCTAAACCACTTGCTATTGAAGCTTCTTTATAAAAAAAAAATATCAAAAGTGTACGTACATTATTGGTTAAAAGCCAAGCTCAAAAAGCACATTACTTTTAGAAAAAAGATATTTAGAACTATTCATCATTTATTTCAAAAAAAAAAGTAAATAAAAAAACTTAACAAGTTAGCTTGAAATAAAGAAAAAGAAAAACCATGTTGAAAAATGGAAGAAAACTTATTATATGACTCTCTCATTAGCAAAATAACATTCTCTTAAAATAGCCTCAATTGTGTGCCATTATGCTTGATGCATTTTATATATTTGGAAGGCTAAATCCCCCCTCCCTTTAATTTTTCCAATTTCGATATGAGAGTTTAAGGTCTAAATGACAAAATACCATAAATGTAGATTTTGACTGTAGTGCAGATACGTGTATTAATATATAAGAAGATATTATAATGATTATAAATTATATGCGAATGCAAGAAAAAAAAAGATGGAAAAATATTGAGATATGACAATAGTTTACGCAAAGAAACGCGACTTATATTCTATAATTTATTGGCATAAGGTACCTTTGTAGAAATACATATTTACTGGTTGTAAAGAAAATAATTTATTACAAAAGAGGCAATATAAATTATACGGTAAGCATAATGTGTTTTTTCTTTTCTTTTTCTTTTCTTTTATATATTTATAAGCACAACAAAATATGAATATTAACAGTAGTAACAACACCAACAAAATCAGCAATAGTAGTAGTAGTAGTAACATCGATAATACTACTATTTATAATGTTCTCCTTACTTTAAGTAATCAACTAGCCGAGCATAATGACTTGCTACGTCAATTACAAAAGCAATTAAGTGAACAATTTGTGTGTAATTCAAATCAAAATCATTCATATTCTCTTGAGCAGCAGAACGCAAGTAAATAAGTCTGTTATTTTATTCTATTTATATCATTTTTTAATAAAATAACCTTTTTTTTTTAATCATCTAGTCAATCATAAAAATAAAGTTGCTGAAGTCATCGCTGAACCCAATTGCAGAGGTCCAAGAGACCTAAAGGCTAACCTTGTTAGTACTGTTACTAATGGTAAGTATCCTGGTACAGTAGCTAGAATTAATGTACTGTTACAGACACTACACAAAGACCAGTACGGCCAAAATGCTGTTCTCTCTGATGAGCAGATCAATATAAAGCGTCTTGTTTTAAGACATTTGGCAAGGCAGATGAGACATAAAATGGCCAATGATGGTATTAAAGCAACTAAATGGAGTCAAGTAGCAAATGACGATCAACTTTATTACGAGTTGAAATTGGAGGAGGAAGCTACTGAATCAGGCATCAATATATACCGCTGTAGGCAACAATGGTGCGCTAAGCTATTGTTGCAAGAAACGTATAAGACTCATACTGAAATTAGAAAAAGAAGACGACAACAACAAGTATGTATATAAGTTTATTTTTGTATAAAAGCTTTCTTTATTAAACATACAATTCGTGGTGTAATTTTAGGCTGTCAGTGATTCCAACAACCATAATATGATTAAAGAGGAACCATCGTCACCTAAACTATTATAATGGGTATCAAAGTCTAAATACCATGATACGAAAGATATAAAGACCAGAAAAAAAAAAAAGAGAAAAGAAAAAGTTTACAGTTTAAATTAATAAAGCAAGTAGTAAACTTGCAGTGTTTGAACTCAATATTCATAAGTAAACCGACAGATTATACAAGAAGTTAGATATTATTGGGTTTTTTGGCTAAAATTGCGAGCTTCCTTCCATTAAATTATAATTATAGGTAAAATATTAATACCTTTGGTCATTCTCTACATAAATTTCATTAACTAAACAATATATTAATGTAAGCAATGTACATTGTTTAGTAAATCACTTTATGCAAAACTAGCTACTCTACTCTACTCTACTCTACTCTAATTTTGATTCTTTGTATACATATATATTTTATTTTGATGTTGGTATAAGTAATATAATATAAATTGTAATGCTCAAGTTATCTTTATATATGCTGTAAATATGTATATATATGTATGCGTGTATATATAAATGTATATGTATATCTGTATATATTATTCAGATAAGGATGCTTCTTGATATCCTTTCATTTTTTCAATCAATTTCATTGTAAGGGGATCTGAAAATCCAAAAAACTAACAAAATAGGATGCTAGTTAACATACATTGGAAAATTCAATATTTTATATGAATATGTATTAAATAAACTTTACCAAGGGCCCGCTCACTCGTGTATTGCTTGATTTACTTTTAAGACATGCTTCTGTCCATGGAGCAGTTGGTGTATTTCCCTTCCATCCTATATTTTTATCAGCTAGTTGTACTTCAAATATTGGCCCACTATCTTCATTAGGTGGTGATAAGATGCCCATTACATAATCATTGCCAAAGTGAGATTTAGTTGCCCTATAACCAATTGGATAAGGATGTTTATATTTGCACTATAAAGAAATAATAGCTCATTAGTTTATAGATATCTCGTCTTGCATAGATCAACACTTTACACCTCGACTACTCCATGATTTAGAACGTCCCTTCCCTGTATTTAATTCTCCTAGTTCCCATATTGTTGTTCCTATACTTCTCAGTGTCAATGGGACATAAATTTCATCAGGCAAAGAATGTTCTATATCAGCTACTTCGACCGTAGCAGTTGGTACACTTAATTGTCGAATACGATCATGGTCATCAACAATAGCACTTAGTTCCGTCTACTCAAAATAAAAATAAGTATTTTGATTGTTTATCATACTTTGTATTCATTTTTTACAATTTCTTCTGGTGTTTCACCTCGAATTCTTCTTGACAATCGCGTCGGTTGTTTTGGTGTTGGTGTTCGATGTCTGTATGTTAAACGTCTTTTTTTCATATTCGCTTCAGTGTTAACTTTAGGAATATCCTAAAAGAGAAAAAAAAATGAAGTTATTATATGTATTGTATATATATATATATATATATATATGTGTGTGTGTGTGTGTGTGTGTTTTACAGCTGCTATACCACTAGTTGTTAATGAAGTTAGACCTAATTCCTTTAATAGGTTTTGGTTTTCTTCCATGTTCAATTTTCGTTTTAATTCATAATTGCTATTATTAAAAAAGTAAATATAGGAGCTATAGGGGAAGTTAACGTGTGTACCTTAAATTTGATATTGTCATGGTAAATGGAAACTTTATACAAATATAAAAGGAACGCCAACTAAAGAAAAAATTATGTTTAAAGTTATTTTTTTTTTTTATTTTTTTTTAAGAAAAAAAAAATTGACGTGACTTTTTAAAATGATAAGAATTGGAGTGAATAGTATGAGCAGTGTACATGTTAAATAAATAAGGTCAATTATATTAACTATGCATCATATATGCTTATTTACAGTAGCATAATGAAAATAATTTTGGCAATTTGAAAAAGGGAACCAATGAAATTGGTGGCTTAGTTATTTTTGTATTATAGACATGAAATACGGCTGTTGTTGTTAAAGGAGATTATTATTTATTTATTTACTTTTTTTTTTTTTTTTTTTTTTTTTTTTTTTTTTTTTTTTTTTTTATTAAGAAAAAAAATTTATTTTTAACTTAGTCAGTTTTACACGTCGTTAGTTTATTTTATTACATATCTTTATAAATAAAAAAAACGGGGATTTTTTTTATTATACTATTCTTGTTTTAGAAGCAACTTTTTTTTCTCTCTTTTTTTTTTTACAACAGCATGCAAAGTGCTGACATCAGGTTATTATCAATCCTAATAAAAACTCATTTTGATGTACTAACATTTTATATTTTGTAGACCTTTAAAAACTATAGCTAATGATCAACAAGGCGATGAAGAGGAAAATCAAGATACGACAGGTATTTTTTTTTCCTTTCTTTTAATTCTTTATACATGTATAAATATATACTTATCTCTTTAATAGATGTTCTTGATGAATTAACAACTACAACCCGTTTTAATGATCTCTCTCTATCTCCAACACAGATAGAATTACTTACAGATTGTCCTACCACTTATAACGATGACAATGACAATTACTACTATCATTCTCTTCCAAAAAACAATGATGACGATGGCGATGACGATGACGACGACGATACTTCCATCATACTTCCCTCTGCTACAGCAGATGCTATGGAAACTTACGTTAACATTAATGAAAATATATACTGTGGAACAGCTACCGGTAAATCTATTGCTGAAGAAAGCATGCCATGTGAATGCAAATATAGACCTGATCTCGATGATCCTATTGCTGCTTGTGGTGACGATAACCACTGCATCAATCGCATGATGTTTATGGAATGTCTCGTTGACGACTGTCCATGCGATCGTTATTGTAGAAATCGTCGTTTTCAGTTAAGACAGTATGCTCGTGTAGATGTAATTCGAACAGAAAAAAAAGGATTTGGTCTAAGAGCATTAACTGATTTACCAGCGTAAATAAAACTCCATTCATCAAAAAACAGACATGTTGCTGACGTTTTTTTTTTTTTTTTTTTTTTTTTTTTTTTGTAGAAATGCATTTATCATGGAATATATTGGTGAGGTTATCACAAATTCGGAATTTGTTAAAAGGACAAAGGAATATGAAGCAGCTGGATTAAAGCATTATTATTTTATGACCTTAAAGACAGATGAGGTATGGATCATTAATGCATCATCATCATCATCGTTGACTAATGCTTGATTGTGTAGATTATTGATGCAACAAAAAAAGGTTGTTTGGCTAGATTTATTAATCACTCATGTAATCCAAACTGCGTAACTCAGAAATGGGTAGTCGGAAAGCGCATGCGTATAGGTATCTTTACACGACGAGCCATTAAGGCAGGATTAGAATTAACTTTTGATTATAAGTTTGAAAGATACGGGTAATATCAGCTAATACGATAAAGTATATACAAACTTTATTAAAACTTTGTTCTTTAGAGCTGTTGCACAGAAATGCTATTGTGGTGAACCGAATTGTAAAGGATTTATTGGAGGATCGTTAAAGACAAACGACGATATACCTACAAATGAGCCTAATCTTATCGTCAATGATAATGAATCTAGTAGTGGCACAGATGAATCGAGTGATGAATCTAGTATTCAGTCTGATTATGATAACGAGGATGAAAAACAACGTAAACATTCTGAAGATATGACTGTCACTTTAACACAGAAACGATTATTACGAAAGATGCGACGTACTACTGGTTTACAACAGCCTGATGAAGTTCAGTCGTTCGTTAAACGCATGTTGGACTCAGTAGGTAAACCTCACCTAGTCCTCAAGCTTCTTTATCGTTTACAAATTACTGACAGCAAAGAAATCCTCAAGACCTTTTTGCGTCTTCATGGTCTGAAGATGCTCAAATTCTGGCTTGGCGAGTGGAAACAAAACCAAGAGATTCTTGTTAAAGTCCTGAAAGTTTTACAAACTCTACCGTTAGCTAATAAGAATGGTTTAGAGGATGCTAATATGTTTAATGTTGTGGGAAAGTTGACAACACATGATGATAAGCAGGTGAGAGAACTGTCTGTCTCATTGTTGGCCATTTGGAGTCAACTTAAGAGTGTTTATAGGATTCCTAAAAAACGTACGAATACTAGTACTGAGGAAGTAATGGAGGAAAAACAACGTTACAATTCTAGTCGTGAGTTCTTTGATCCAGACGATGATTATTTTGAGTATTTATCGTTAGATGTGGATGCTGCGGAAATTTTATGGAAATGTGAATACCCACCAAGACCAACGATACCAACTGCTCCTCGAGCTATGATTGATGCTTGTATTAAAAACGGGTATTTTGCGTTTGGTCGTAATGGATTTTTCCCTATGATAGAAGAGGAAGAGCTGCAGCAGTATCAACAGCAAGCAATCTCACCTGTTGTTAAACATATCAGACCCATCACAAGTAAATTAAAGCCTCAATCAAAACCACAACCATCACAGTCACCACAGTTACCTCAACCACCACAGCCGTTACCACCTAATTGGAGATTTGCACATGCAGAAGATGGAACCATCTATTATTATAATCGTTTGACCAATAAGACACAATGGGAGTTTCCAGCAATCGAAACACCAACGTCATCTGCTACTATTGAAGGTGTTACTAACCCATCCGATCTTGAAGAACTGGTTGAAAAAACTATTGCTGAATCTAAAAAAAAACGAAAGTTGATAATACGTAGTGAGACCAATAGCCCATCACCATCCAAACGCTCGCTTGACGAAATCGAACTCAAAAAGGAAGTAGGAAAGATTGTAACCAAATACCTAACAAAACAAAAGCATCTATGGAATAACGATAAATTTTTATTTAAAGAACTAGCAAGAAAGGTATGTTTTTTGTTATATATATATATATATAAAAGAAGAAAAAGATATATACATGTATACATATACATACATTACAGAGTTCTAAACTTTCTTTTTAGATTACACATCATATTGTAAATAGAGAAAGTCAGTCATCAAGAAAGCTACAATCAATTAATAGTGTGCGGTCTAAAATTGAGAAATTTATTGATACTCATGGTTCTGAATTGGTAGTAAAGGTACAAAAAAAGATGGAGACTACAAAACCAACAACCGGCAAAAGTAGTAGTCCACCACCATCATCAGAGGAGTTATCACCTGATAAACCACCAATCACTAATACTACACCTATTTCAGTCAATTCATCACCTCTCTCGCCTTATTATGAACAAAGATCACGAGCTTATTATAATCGCTATAACAGTCGTCCACCTTCACCTTATTACCATCGAAGATATTATCGACGATCATCACCATATCGTTATTATAGGAGAAGAAGGTCATTATCAGATGATGGGATGTATAGAACAATTTAATAGAATCCTATTCTTTTTTTTTTTCGTTTTAATTTATAATATTTGTGTTCATATATGTATACATATTTTCTTCTTCTTCTCTTCCCCTTCTCCCTCCCTAATATTGTAAATAATTTAATTCATAAAATTGCTTATAAGTTAAACAATTATAAGATTTCTGATAATTTCACCGTGTAAAGTGGCTTGTATTTTATCTGTAGCTTTGTTAAATTCTTCTAATGGCTCGATATGTATCATTTGTTTCTTGTTGTGATATGTCTTTGTAAGCAACAAACTATCCTCTCGTCCCTTTGTCATGAATACAATGGGTGATTTCTTTAAAAGAAATGAGGGTACACCAACGACCCTCAGCGGATCATCTTCTATGCAGGCATTATTGTTTAAGAAAAGCACAACCTTGGCTCGAGATGGGATTTGATCATGTAACGAAGACTGAGGGTCGAATACTTTCATCATCACCATCCATACTGATGTATCCCCATCACTTTCTAGAACATCATCATGTGTCACCAACCATGTACCAGCACCAGTACCAGTAGTAAATTTCTTATTTTTATCATTAGGCTCTTCTTCTCCCATGATTTGTACAACCACTATCTCATAACTTTGACTTGCTGTCATCCACTTTAGGCTGTATTCACGACTTGCATATCTGTAATGCCGTATCTGTGTTGATGAAGACCAAAAGACAAGTTCAAAATCGTTAGCAGCATGTTTGACTATTGCTTCTAACGGGACCTTCACGTCTTCTTCATCACTTTTTTATTTTTTTTGTAAGATTTTTAATAAATAGTTTATTATAAAAGCTTTTCTATTTTTTTTTCTATTTTACCTAACAATGAATGGATTTGCTTTTTTTTTTAAAGAAAAAAAAAGAAAAAAAAAAAGAAGAAAGAAAGAAAAGAAGACAATAAAACAAAAAAACAAAACAAAAAGAACAAGAAGAACAAAAAAAAAAAAAAATCAGGGGAAAGAAGAAAAAAAAAAAAGATTACATTATGTCAGAATAGGGTATATTTGCAGTACAAACAAAATTCTACATGTATATAATATCTGGCGCTTTTTTTTTTTCTTTTTTTTTTTTTTTTTCTTTACTAACCTCTTTTTAAAAAATACCCTTGAGGCTTCAACTCAAGTCGTAACCCGGAAAGTGATTTAGCAAGGTATCCACTAACCTTGTTCAATTGTTGCTCCATAAAAAAGATACGTTTTGAGGGTAACGTTTGGTAAGGTAGAGCACAATATCCATGCTGCGATAATGGCAAGACAGGAGCAGTGGTACCTACAATTTGAGTTGCATAATCGGTAACAGGTTGATAGGGCATTGAGCTCATATCTAGATCACCAGGAATAGAATCATGGTATTTTGGGCATTGTTCATTCACAGCTTCTGTTGATCTAAGGTAGTGTCGAGATAATGGAAGTATATGTCCTTCTGTTGTAAATACAAAATTCGAATCCATATGATTTAATGGGTGATCGACGTCAAACAATAGATATAGATATTTGAGTGTTTCACTTAACATGAACGATTCCATTCGATCCTCTAAGCGGCCTGTTGTTACATCACCGATTGTCGCAAATCCACACGGTAGACGAGTTCGGTTATTCAAGTCCTTTACAATCATTTCTCCGATTTCTAAATAAAATGGATCGTGTGTGGCTCGATAGAGATAATAAGTTGACTCTACAAATTCAGGACGTAATGGGTAAAATCCTACATCTACCGTCCTTTGGTAAAAGTTAAAGCGTTCAGGTAAAGCATGATATTTTTTCCACAAGTTATAGTAAACAAGATGACCCTTGATTGCTCCATTTAAATCGCCTGCTAACACCTGTAAGCCTGAAAAAAAGGCTCCTAAACTATCAATCCAATACGACATTAATGAGCCATTACTCATATGAACGTTACGATAGAGATACCCGGTGCGATCTCTGACATAGCGCATCAAGGCTTGATAAGCTTCATCGAACATGGTATAGTATTTAGATTCACCAAAGAGTATATAGGCTTTCAGCATATATTCAAAGATAGAATCAATACCAGCCCCGGTTGAGGAAGCAGTATGGATCCATTGACCTGTTTGGATGTCAATTACATTACCTAATAAATTTAGTTCCGATCGTCGTTGCCATATATTGTCTAAAGCAAGCTGTGCTGCTTGTTCATAGCGGGGATCTCCTGTAAGTCGACTAAGGACACCAAACTCTAGGATTAGCGAGCCTGCACCTGCTGTACAAGTCTCAGTTGTTTCAGTAGTAGGTACACCATAACGCAAGTTAACACGTGGATAAGGAATATGTGTTCTTTTTGAAGCCCAAAAGGCAGGCATAAGACGATCAGCAACATTTTTGGCTAAAGACAAGAGTTCATTATTGTAACCTGAAATGGTACGATTAAACGCTGGGTCAGTTGCTAATAGATGTGCAGATAACTATATAAATATATGTGTATATAAAAAGAGAGAGAGAGAGAGAAAGGAGTAAGAGATTGAACAATAAAATAATCGAATAACATACGAGGCCTCCTAATGCTCTAATGTTCACTTCAAAAACTTGTACTTTATTATCTTGACTAAATGAAACCGTTTCTATCACTCGATTGACAGCATCCTCAAATTCCTGTTGTGTACCGATAATCTAAAATAAAATAAGATGAGTACATCAAAATTGGCATTCCATATTTCCGAAAAAAATAAAATAAAATGTTACAGCTAAAGTATCTAAAGTATCTACTAATGTTAAGGAATAATCTCCTAATACATCATTCACATTGATGTTTAATCTAAATATAAAAACAATGTTTAATCTAACCATCAATAATGTTTTAATCATATACATACGGATTAGCTTTATCACTTCCTCGACCTTTACATTCAAAAGGATTTAACTATAAATTACATAAAACAGTGTAAATATATTAAAAACTCGGGGTATTTAAATATAAACCTCATCTTCTGGGTATGCATGTTGCATGTAGTTATTCCATCCATGATTAAACATCTCCTTTGTTAGTTCCCTAACATGTAAAAAACGGATTAATATACGTATTTCTTTTTTTTTTAAAAAAAAATAAATAAATAACGATATTACTTCAATTCTAAAAGTCTCTTTTCTGTCATAAAACATTGACAGCATGATATGAATATAATAAAGAAAAGAATAAAGTCATTATAGAGATTGTTAAACATAAGAAATAAAAAGTGAAAAAAAAAAAAGTTTAATAATTAATGGACTTTATTTATTTAATTAAATATCCGCAATATGACATTATTAAGATAGTAAAGAATAAGCTGGGTCCTATTTCCTTAATAGCACCGCTTACTTCTGTAGCTGTAGTTGTAGCTGCATTAGTAGTAGTAGTAGTAGCTGTATTTGCAGCATTATTACTACTAGTGGCGCTACCGACTGCGGCAGTTGTCGTGGAAACGGGAATTGTCATGGAAGTAGTAGTAGTAGTAGTCATATCAGTCGCTGTTGTATTGTTAGCCGAGTCAGGATTGAAATTACAGATAGCCTTTTTTGAACCAGGACAGCAAACATCATCAATAATTCGACAATTATCTGCACAATGAGAAGGGCAAGCGGGGTCTTCACGCTTTAATAAACCCGCTGTAGCAGAGGGGCATAATGACATGGCACAAACAATCTCAGGAGCAGCAGAATTGGATTCACTAGATTGACTAGCTACCAAACCAATAAATAAAAGTAACAATATTCCAATTTTCATGTTTAGCTTGAAGAAAAAAAAAAAGGAAAAGAAGAAATAGATATAAAAAAATATTAGTGTAATTTGCTTTATATTTTTTTTTTATTTTAAAACGTTACACATGATATTACTCTTTCTGCTTGAATTTGCCTTTTTCATATTGCAAGCCTATTAACTCTCTAAATTTAAATTTTGTGTAATGCTCTTTCTCATAATCCCATGCTAGTAAATTTTAGTAATATACAAAACAAGCATCTTTTTTCTTTTCATATTATTGTACTATTAATTAAAGATATAATAACTTGTCTTAAACATATACATATTCTGTAGTTTTTTTAATATGTTTTCTCTTTTATTATGTTGGTTTATATAAAAAATAGGTTCTTATCGCTTCATTACACCTTTTTTTTTTTTTTAAATCATTCATAATTTACAAGAATTAAAATAAATAATTTTGTCTAATTACTATTTATGAGAACTTTGCTTTTTTTTCCATTCCAAATATTCCATTGAATGAGTAGGCTTTGTTTGGGGTATCACGTTTAATGGAGGTCCAGCAAACCATAACACAGGTCCTTCTGCTTGTCGTTTGAATGAAGCATCTGTAGTATTCCATAAATAACTATTATTTAACACATTTTTTTTTTAATATTTCTATACCTAGTTCTGGCTGTTTTGTTGATTGCATTTGGGCTTGTTGTGAAGGCATTTGTGTATATGGATAAGAATACGGCTGTTGTGGCTGCATCCACATCTTTAGATCGTTTAATAATAATAAAAAAAAAAAAAAAAAAAAAAAAAAAAAAAATTAAAAACCAGTTATAAATCAAAAATTATCCTTTTTTTATTAAAAAAAATTTTTATTTTTTTTTTTTTTTTAAACGATGGGACGAAAGCAGACAACTAGAAATCAGTTGGATGAGGAAATCGAAATTCAAGAAGGACAAGTATATGCTCGTTCTTTAGGACCAAGAGGCAATCATCAACATGAAGTCGAATTTATTGACGGGTCAAAAAAATTAGTGACCCTACCACCTCGATTTAGAAATGTTGTTTGGTTAAAGCGAGGTAATTATAGGAATTAATAATAATGATAAGAAGAAAAGTTAAACCCTTTATGAAATAGGTCATTATGTTATTGTTGATCCTAGTGTTGGTGTATCTGAAAAAGTAGCAGGAGAGATTGTTCATGTACTTTTCCCAAAACATATAAAAGAATTAAAAGCAGCAGATAAATGGTAAATCTAAAATAGATCATTTATTGTCAATATTCTTATAGTATATATAATAGGCCTGTTGAATTTGATAATGAACCAGTGATAAAGTCAGTAGAAAACGAATATATAGATAACAGTGATGATGACTTGTTTGTAAATAATAATAGACCCATAATGTCAGATACGGAATCCTCTTCAAGTGAAGAAGAGTAATTAGGCAAATTACCTAATTTGTAATTAATAAATATGAATCTGTAATAATAAGAATTGTGTAATTCTATCTCTCTTTTTTTTTTCTTTTTTTTCTTTTTTTTTTCTTCTTTTTTTTACATAAGAGCATCACTCAACAAAATTCATCAGCACCTAATGTCTCATAAGCATATGTATTAATTGGAAAAGAAGTACCATTGCCTTGCCTATATAATAAAATGATTAATTACAACAATAGATAGCCATTACATATATTTACGTTTGCTTATTATAATGTATTGGTATCATCTTGCTCCATAATGGTCCTTTTCCAAGTACTTGTTCCATGTTCTTTCGTGTTCCAATATCCCATGGATTAAAATATTTACTTCTCATTACATCTCTTCTTCCCAATCTATAGTTTGTTTTCTCATAAAATTCAATAGTTGTTCGATTCTTGATTAACTGTCGGGTATGAAATAGAGTGAAGGGCACTAGAAATAAGCCAAAGATACCTGACAAAAACACAAGCACTGCCCAATGCACGAATGTTACTATACTGACCGTCATTACTCTATTCAGTTGACTAAGGAGAGCTGGTAAACTAGTTATAAATAAAAAAAGGCAATAGAAAGTAGCATATACTAAAAAGAGATAAAAGAATTTATGATTTCCAAAGCCAACACAGTTGTTAATCCAAGGACAGTGATGGTCCATTCGAAGAACACAGCGTTTACAAAGTCGACAATGGTGTGTTCGGTCATATTTTTCGACTTGACATTTTTGACAAAAGCGTTTATTACCATCTCTCTTAACAGTAATAGGCAACATAGGGTGATTATCTGATAATTTATCATCATCATCGTGATCCAATAATAGGCCTACTCTATCTTCTCCATCTTGTTTATCTAAGTCAATCGTATATCCAGGTGATGTTTGACAAACAGCCCAATAGCTCCAAATACATAAAATAAATAGAAGATGGTAAACGAATAAATAAAAGCAACCTATAGATAATGACAATAATAAGGAAGGAAGGAAGGAAGGAAGAAAGAGAGAGGATAATTATAACTTTTTTTTTTACCTTGAATAATATGACCTTCTTGAATAAGACTAAGACATAAGTGTACATTATAAGCCCAATAACTCCATAGAAATATAATGCTTAATAAGATTACTGGTGATGCATTCACAATTCTCATAACCCATTGTTGAATTGTCGAACAAGATGGACATTTCATTTTAAAGACAATAAAATAGACTTTTTTTTTTTATAGAATCATAGAATAAATAAAAGGCTGTCGGAATATAAATTTAGAATACATCTACATATTGTTTAAAAGAACAATAAGTGTTCCTTTTCCTTCCATGTTCCATATTTTTTACATGTATTTATGCTTTAAAAAAAAAGAGAAATTGGCTGTTATTATAACAGCTGCATAAGGAGCCTTTTTTTTTTTTTCTTGTTGAAGCATAATGTAATTAAAAAAACAAAAAAAAGTCAGATAAATTTTCTGAAAGATCGCGTCGCGGAACTTGATTAATTTATAACTTTTATTTTTTTCGCGTTATACATTAACGCATTTTTTTTTTTTTTTTTAAACAAATTAGATCATTCAAAAATAAGAACATTAATCTCATCTTAAATCATGTCAAACCAAGCGTAATTCTTTTTCATCTTATTTTATTTAATATTAAATTTGCTTTTATGACTAATCTTCTTTCGTTAGACTACAGTTTTGCAGTACACCAACAGACGATCATAATATCTTGGAGCGATCTCCTTCAACTTACGATGATCTCGCATTACTCAAAGATCAACTATTGATTAAAAAATATAACTACACACAGCAATATGCTAACATGTATTTTGTAAGACTGCTCAAATTACGACAAACACTATTAAAAGTGGCTTCTGAGAAATGGGACTCCCTGCCAGGTAAAGTAGCATTATCTATTTTATATATGTATTGTATACTTCTTCTTCTGATTCTTCTCTATTAGAGAAACCTCGTTATGTTAAAAAGATTCTGGACGTAAAGCCAGGCGAATTATGCTACATGTTCGGCACAATCTATCTTGAAATGCCCGAAAAACCTAATGTCATGAAAAATTTAGAAGATGAGGTACATGAAATTATAAACTTTACAACAAAATCATGAACTCATCCATAAATTAGGATTCGATCGTTAGACCAGATACACCTACTAAATATAGGAGTGATGATGATGTAATTTCGTTAGAAGATGAGTCAGGGCGTGTCGAAATTAAGGGAATGTGTCTTAATAGAGAGTTTTTAGTGACGGGTATGGTAATAGGTATCTTGGGTAAAGAAGTGTCGACAGATGCATTTGATGTTATTGATATTTGTTTACCTGGTATGCCTGAACAAGACCCGATACCCCAAACACCAGGTAAAAAAAAAAAAAATGAAGAATTTATAAAAAAATAAAGCTATACTATGCTCACCATATTTCATTTAGCTGATAAATCTCCTAAATTTGTGGCTCTCTTATCGGGGCTCAATCTTGGCTCAGAAGAAGAGTTAGACATGCGTTCACAGTTATTAGCAGAATTTTTAGCAGGCGAGTTAGGTAGTCTAGAAGATGAAATATCAAGCTCGCAGATATCAAGAGTTATTATTGCTGGTAATTCTCTGACGAAATCTACAAACAAAAAGTCGTTAAATTCTATAGTCGTAAATATTATTTTATTTTATTTTATTTTTTTTGGACATAAGAAATAAGCAGTAACCATTTGCTAATGTATATACATTTTTTTTTTATAGAAAAAAAAATATGGTTATGATGCATCAACGTTTAACGCTTCACCTATGTTACAACTTGACGAGTTACTAGAAGATATTTGCTGCTCAGTAGATCTAGATATCATGGCAGGGCCACAAGATCCTGCACCTATTCATTTTCCTCAACAGCCTATGCATCCTTCTATGTTTAAAAACTCACATCGACTTACCACCTTTCATACTGTGACTAATCCTTATTGGTGTCAAGTAGATGGTATTAAGTAAGATTCATATAAGGCTTATTTTATTAGAATGCATATATTTAAAACTATCATTTTTTTTTTAGATTCTTGGGTACTTCAGGTCAAAATATAGATGATATTTACAAATATGTGGATTCTGAGGATCGTTTAAAGATGGCAGAGATTTGTATGTATTGGAGACATATGGCCCCAACAGCACCAGATACACTATGGGCTCATCCTTTTGAAGACAGAGATCCCTTTGTAATTGAAACATGTCCTCATGTTTATTTTATTGGTAATCAACCTCAATTTGAAGATAGTCTTATACAAGGTAAAGATATCTTTATATGTATATATATGTATGTATATATCTAATTTTATTTTATATGCTTATTGTTTTGTTTTAGGTCCTGAGGGTCAGAAGGTGAGAGTGATATTAGTGCCTTCCTTTTCGAAAACTGGTATTATAGTTCTCGTTAATTTAAAAACATTAGAGTGTAGTACGATTCAGATTAGTGATAAGGGTCTTCGACTTGATGTTATGGATGAATCTTAAAAAAATAATAATAAAAAAAAAATACTTCACTAAAAAGTAAACTTATACGATTAAACTTTTTTTTTATCGGGAATTACGTGTTGGCATAAACAAATAGTGTTTAAGAATTAAAGAAAAAGAAAAGGTATTGGTATTACTTATTATATGTAAGTAAATAGGAATATTAAATGTGATAAATATATCTATATATATGAATATGTATGAGTAATAAAAAAAAAAAAAGGCAAATGGCATATAATCTTCAGGAAGATAAAATGAAAATAAAAAAAAACAAAAAAAAACTCCCTTTAAGCATATTCGTTTGCGGCTTGTATGAAAAGAAAAGATATATTTATAGAGGGAGAGTTTAGAGAAAGTTACCTTATAAATATTAAAAACAGTTAAATAAACACATTAAAAATTTATAGCAATTGCAAAGAAAACCCCCTTTTCATAAACATTTCCTAGCTAAAACATCTTGAATTGTCATTATATTCTCTAGTCGAGATAGCGGCGCTATCAAAAAAAAAAAAAAAAAAAAAAAAATATACCCGTAAATTAGCAATATTAAGGATTAAAACTGTAGTAGCCGCTATCGCCACTTCTTCTTTTCTGGTGGAGATTAGTACTTTTTATCTTCGTTATATCAGGTCCTAGCATCATTTTTATTGGTCAAAAGATTTGAACTTGTTTGAATTTCTAGTACAAATTCTTCCGCAGACCCCCCCTCCCTTCCTTCTCCACTCTTATTAAAACAAACTTTTCTACTATTATTTATTTTTGACATGCTCGTCAGATCGCGGATATTCTCAAGGCAAACAAGCATACGATTATGTCATATTCGACAACAGCGATTAATTTGTCAAAGACAATCATTTCATTCCTCCAGAATTAGACAACAACGTCAAAAACCATTATTTAGTAAGCCTATACGCACATATATAGATGACTTTATAGTTAATTCATTAACTTTGTTTTTTTTCGAATTAGATCAAGTAGTTGATAGTTGGAACAATACAAAAATAAAATGGTACCCTATCCCTGTTGCTCTTGGTCTAAGTGTTATTGCCTTTATTCAGTATCGTCGAGTCATCGCACGTGAATCTCAAACAGAACCAAAATATGTGGTAACTGGGCCATGGCAGGTAACATAACGTTTGTTAACTTTTTTTTTTTACTATAATGAAACTCATCATTTATATTTTATTATCAGGTCCATTTAGCAGCTGTTTTACCATTAAGGACTATATCACGCTTATGGGGAGCGTTTAACTCTTTCACCATACCTACCCCTTTACGTCCCTTTGGTTATAAACTTTATAGCTGGATATTTGGTTGTAATTTAGATGAAATGAAGAATCCTGATTTGTATAGCTATCGTAACCTGTCTGAATTCTTTTATCGTGAGCTCAAGGAGGGGGCAAGACCAATTGATGAGGAAGCTGTATTGGTGTCCCCATCAGATGGCAAAGTATTACACTTTGGTATAGTGCATGGACAAGAGATAGAGCAGATCAAAGGCGTTACATACAAATTAGACGCTCTTTTAGGAAATGATGTGAAGATACCCCCTGCAGCTAATGATGCTATCTTGGGCAATATGCCTCACTACGTTGATGAAGAAGAATTCGCTAATGTAAACGGTATTGAATATTCATTAAATGATATCATGATTCAAGGTTCTGCTCAAAAGACTCAATCTAGTGTAGGCCCCGATGGTCTCGCACGCTCGGAGGAGACAAACGGGACTGATAAATATGCCCTCATCCGTCTTGCTGACGTTGAGCCTACCACCCCATCTAAAGCCGTTAAACCAGGTCATGCTCTATTTTTTTGTGTTGTCTATCTAGCACCTGGCGACTATCATCGTTTCCACTCACCTACTAACTGGGTCGTTCAGACGCGTCGTCATTTTGCTGGTGAACTCTTTAGCGTATCTCCTTACTTTGTCAAACTCTTACAAAATCTGTTTGTATTAAATGAAAGAGTGGCATTACTAGGTAAGTGGCGTTATGGCTTCTTTTCAATGATACCCGTAGGTGCAACAAATGTTGGATCAATCAAGATCAACTTTGACGAAGCACTTAAAACAAATCGTAAAGAAGATTTACCAATGGGAACCTACACTGAAGTAACCTATAAGAGAGCTAGTAGAATACTGGGTGGCAAAGCATTAAAGTATGGTGAAGAGATTGGTGGTTTTTATTTAGGTTCCACGGTCGTTTTGGTGTTTGAAGCACCCGAGACATTTAGATTTGCAGTAACAGAAGGACAAAAGATTAAAATGGGAGAAGCAATGGGATATGTATAAATAAAAAAAAAAAAAAAAAATAATAAGGAGGGAAGATCCCTTTTTTTTTTTTAAGTTTAAATTGTGGGTGTGTGTTTTGGAATCAATTTTGTGTATGTGTATGTAATTTCTTTCTTTTTTTTTTTTTTTTTTTTTTTTTGCTTTATACGTATATACATATTTATAACAACATGACTTCATATTGGTACTCTACAAATGGCCTAAGTCATCGACGTTTATCTAATAGTCATTTGACAGTTTTAGATCAAGCTTATGAACAACATGCACGCATTCAAATTTATGATGATGAAATGTTTGGAGAAAATGTTATTGCCATTGCTAATCCTTATCAAGGCACAATGACAGCAGGAGATCTTCATTTCGGATTATATAGACAACCACCTATGTGGCACATGAGTAATATGAGTTTGGATACACTAATATTCATGGATACAGAGGCGCTCAACAGCGGCCATAAAGAAGAAAATAATGCAGCTATTCAATCTGACGGTAAACCCAAGTATAACTTTATGATTCAAAAAAAGATGGTATCTTTGGAAGAAAACTGTATTTGTTGCATAATTAGTTGATTTTGATTTTTGATTTTTTCATTATATATTATAATAAAGAATAACAAATGTTATAATGTATAATTTGGATTTCATAAATAAGGAGTATTTTTTCGAAGAAGAAGATGATAATGCAGTATATTAAGACATTTGATTTGGATCATTCACTCTGAGATCGAGATGGTTGACCGCCTGCTTGTTCACAACGATAATAACGTTCGCATCCTTTTAGGCAAAGATCTTTCGCAGTACCATAATTGTATCCTTCTTGACAATCAGTCTCTCGACCCTGACATTCTGCAATTACAATGGGCCATGCATAAGGCGGTATATCAGGAACATAATTCTACATACATAGAGTTACTACGATTTATCTCCTTTTATATATAGATATATTAAAAGTAGGTATACCTGGCAAACGTATCCCCATGTCATTGTTTCTCTTATGCAAAAACTTTTAATAAAAAAAAAGTAGATGAGGCACTCAATGACATGATTCGTATTATACTTTTTTTAAAATTAATGTTGATTGTTTGCATTCGCTCTATAATATGTATTAAATTTTCTGTAAAGAAAAAAATTCGTTTGTATTGCTTATACTTTGCAAAACTCTTCTTGTTGTGTACATATCATTTCTCGTTCAGACATATTTAAATCTGTAATTTTCCATGCTGTAATAGGCAAACCAACTAAAATGGAATATAATTATAATGTTATATATTTTATATCATATATACTATCATATACAATATGTGAGTGATTTGATAATATCTTGTCTTCTTGATTATTAAATTCACCTAAATTATTGAATATTTTTGTAGTAGAATATGCAAAAGCTGTTGTTATAATGTAAATGCATAAAATATAAATAAATACCACAAGAAAAACACATGCAGATTATATCGTTATAAAAAAAAAATATTCTTTTTTTTTAATAGAAAGAAGGAGGTATATATATTTATATACATATACATATTTATATAATATGACATGCTCCTTTAACTTATCAGAACTTTTTTTTTCTTATTCATTATACAAGCTTCTGCTAGTAAAAATATCAGATAAGTTAGAGAGAGAAATAAAAGGAAGTTGACACCCTTATAACAATGGTATGTAACATACTAATAAAATAAGAAGCTAAAACCAGAAGGTACTTTTATAACGTAGCTTTTTTTTTTCCGGCCAAAATCAATAATGAATGTTGTATTCCAGCTATTGTACCAGCTTTAATCGCAACAATTCATGTTACTAATACATATATATATGATCTAATCTTCCTATCTACGCATGTCATTCAGACGTAGGCACTAACAAACATCTATAGCTTTTATTTTTAAAAAAAAACAATATTAGGAAATGCATCATCACTAGTAGTTATATACAAGTATACTCCTAGATTAACATATACTTGAACATTTTTAATTAACATGAAGGATAATCTATACAAAATTCTATTTTATTGGATGAATGTTTTGTATTCTTAATAACTAACATAACAACTCAGAGAAGTATATCTTACATAATGATATATTTGAAATAATATATACATAAATACTTATACATATAAATACTCTTTAATAATAATAAAATAAAACGATAGTTAAAATATTCAGTTAAGCTCGTGAATAATCAGTATTTGATTAATCATTTAAAGTCTTATTTTTATTGTTAAAAATACATCAATGATAGCCTTATAAATTTAACTCTAATAGGTACTATTGACAGTAATGAGGCTTACACTTCTCAGCTACGTATTTATTTTATATAATAAGTAAACATCATCATATGTCTAAAAGTTTACAAGTTTATATTATATATTTCGATACTTATAATAGAATTAAAAACAACAACAACAAGATAACCGTGTCAGATATGAATCTAATGATAATTTAATTAATATACTAGTATCGTAATGAAACTATCTTTCACTTACAATCACCTCAAACAATTATACACCATTATAATTATTAGCTAAGATATATGAAGGATAATGCTATAGGGCAAAAATAATAAGTAACTTACTGTTGTTACGGATAGATAATAAAGTTTCTAATTAATAGCTTGGGATATTTATGTGTATATTTATATTTACAACTAATAAATTCACAAACGATAATAATAATACTGTATCTTTACTTTCTCTATATTTTATGAAAAATATAAAATGACAGTGTATATTCATTACTGTGTTAGGTATACAGGAGCTTTCCTTTTTTTTTTTTTTTTTTTTTTTTAAATATCATCACCTAATTTAAAAATAAAAGACAAAGCAAAAATCATCATACAGGTTTATTAAAAAAAACAAAAAGAAAATAAAAAAAGAACTCTCCGGCGGGGAATTGAACCCCGGTCTCCCGCGTGACAGGCGGGGATACTCACCACTATACTACCGAAGACTCGCTTGAGTTGTCAATTTAAATAGTAAATATAAACCCGATTCAACTCTCTGTGGTCACTACAAGTAATGAGTATATCTTGTAAAAAATATAATACAGGATATAATCAAATTTTAGCAGTGATTTTTAAATGTTATTATTTTGATCACTTTTTATTAAAAAATGTTTAAATAAAAATAATATTATATTTTGGAGGTTATAATAGTATTCATGTATCCAAAAAAAAGTATATCTCTACTGCCATTTTCTATCATTTTATTTAATTTTTAATTTTACAGCTATTTTGGCTGTAGACCAGGAATTTCCTTTATCCGGCATTTCCGCCAATAAAATTACATAAAATGAAAAAAAAATAAAAATTGCGGATTCTGAAAAAGTACTTTAACATTTTTTTTATTTATTTTTCATTTTTTTTTATTCCCCACAAATTTTATATGCGTAACTTTAATTATAGGCTTATAAAATGTAAATTACATTTCAATAATGTAAAATACATTGCAATTGTTTCAAATCATACTTGATGTTTTTTTTTCTCACTCAAGTTTTTACCAAAAAAAAAATAGTACACGTAATATAATAAAAATATGTATTATAATTATATAAATAAAATAAAGAATTTTTATTATATGTAAATAAAAAAAAGATGTTTAATTAAATTGCATTCAATCTAATCTATTTTGCATTTCAATTAGATCGTGTAATGTGTTGATTTATTAATTGACTTTAATTTTGAAATGAAGAAAAAAAAAACTAATTGCGAATGTAAATTAAAGCAATTCCATTATTAGTGATTATATACATTCGTTTACAATTAGTGAATTTAGAGAAAAATAAAAACAAGATTTAGCAATTATATAATTAATGTAGTTGTGTTCATTTCAATTAAATTCCTTTTTTTTTTTAAAAAAAAAAAATTCAAATTTAATCCCCCCTAGTAAAATTATTTTATATTTTACTTTTTTTATTCTTTATTTAACAATGACCAACATTACCGACATTGACAAATGCAAATGTTCTGCAATCAGCTCAAAAAAAAAAGCCCTAAAGACTTTACTATATATTTTCAAGAGGTAATTACTACAATTACAAGAGTAATGACATCTCCATTGTTTAATGAAGATGACATTGGTAAATGAATTAACACATGTAATTAACAATTCTCAAATATTTTTAGTAAAGGATATTATTGTTCAAAGTAACAGAAATTTTGAAAGGTAAAAGATAAAAAGTTAGTGCAAAAAATATAAATGTATTGCTAAGACTTTTTACATTGTAATATAGAGTTTGCTGCTATTCAATAATTTAGTTCATTTTATTTCAATAGCGGACCAAAAAAAATTTTTTTTTAAAAAAAAAAGAGGTAATCACATCCTTTTTTCCTTTTTTTTCATTTTTTAATACATTCGTTAAACTACAATTTTTTTATTGGAAAAGATGTTTATTCTAATATTGATAGCTATTACTCTTTTTTATATATGTATTTAAATTATAGGTCTTTGTTGATTATTTCAAATTGTAAGTATTTACATTATTTTGAAAATATATGTATCTTTTTTTTAATTTTTCTCTTTTCTTAAATCAAAAACAACTAAAATGAAACAATTAAATAGGTATGTGTTGGTCTTTATTATGCAGTAGCAATATTTGATTCAGATCCGCAACAAAGACTTGTATTATTTATCTATTGAAAAAAGGTATATAAAATAACACCTTTATCTTTAACTATTTCAATATGTGTATTGATAATTCTTTATATAACAGGGAGGTCAAGTACAAGTGTACATCATTCTAATGTAACATTGAAAGGTATAGTGTGGGAAAAAAATAATAATACCCGAGATTTAACTAATATTCTTTTCTCTGCAGCACAAACATAGGTCTAGCCTTTTGTATTTTTTTTTTTTTGGTAAATATGATATTTCTATACTTTATCATATGTTGGCTTTTATTAATTATTTATTCTATTAATAGTGTATGCTTCTTTTGTAAATGGAATACTTTTCTGTTGATCACTTCAATTGCTACTATTTTTTGTTTTTGTTCTGTATGATAATCCTTGCAATCTCTGTGTTCTTTTTCTTTTTTTTTCTTTTCCCCAAAGGGTTCTTTAATCAATGGCCATGTTATCAATAGAATATATATTCAAGGTAAGTGTAATATTTTACATGTAATGCTTATAGCATACTCTTTTATTATTATATCATTTTATTATATAATTTTATTATTATTATTATTATTTGATATGTACCAATTTTTTATGTAATAAATAAATAAAAAAAAAGTAAATAAAAAGCCACATTTTTTGTAAACAATGTATTTAATAATGTCCAATAAAGAAAGGCAATAAAGAAGCCTATTTAATATAAACAAAGCCTAAAAGGGAATAAAATACCATCTATATAACCCAATAATGTATAACCATGTTTTGATGAGTCATGAAGCATAAAGCCAATGATAAACAACATGGTATGTAAAATATTAGCAAATGAAAAGCAATTATAAAGTACAGGATTTAATCAAAACTTGTAAAAAACAGTACATGAAATATATAAACCCTGTGTGTATCTTGTAGAAAAAAGTACAAGAAATGTTCAAAACTTGTATATATCCTGTAGAAAAAGTGCAAGATTTGTTTATATCTTGGTTATATCTTGTATGATTTTGAGGCAGGATTTATACATATCTTGTACATATATCTTGCACATACAAGAAATGTCTAATTCTTGTAGTACATGATATAGTGCAAGATATAATCAAATCCTGTGTTATATCTTGTAAAAAATATACTCAGATGATTGCAGTGTTAACCGGTAAGTCAAAATAAAATAAAATTTAAAGAAGATGTTTATTTAAAAGACAAGATCAAAGATAATGTTTATTTCATTCACATCAAAATCGTATTTATACTAAATAAAATATTGTAAAATATTATCTAAGTATGAACGTGTTCCAATAAGATTTGAACAAATATTAAAAGCCTTAAAGAAGTCTTTACGTGTTAACATGTTTCACTTTGGACCCTGTTTTTACGTAACCTTTTGTTATTGGTAATGGGCTTGAATTTCATTTTCCGCTTGGCTTCTTTCCTTAGACGAACATCTACTTCTAATGGTACATCTTCATAAGTATTATCAGGCTCGACATGGAAATAAATTTTTTATTATATTCATAGACGGTTTCTAATAAAATTAGCCAATCAAATTGCTTGAAATTTGTGACGTTTAATTTGTATCGTAATTATTGAAAGTAAGTCTATAGAGTATTTGGAATTTCATTTATTTTTATATGTAAAGATTTAAAAATAATGACAATGAACATTTTCTTAATTTTATAAAAAGGCTTCAAAGAAACAATTTGTTTTTGCTTTCTCGCTTATCGACTATTTTGACGTAATTTACATATTAGAAATAAATAAAAAAAAGCTACCTTCGTTAGACTTCAAACAAAATCCTGCAACTTTACACACCTATAATACATACATATTTATACATATGTAGTGTTATTAAAATTATGACACTTTCATATTTCACTCCCATAAATAATAACAGAGGATTTTATTTAGACTTTTATAATTTTATCCTTTATTAAATAAAATTAATAAAGTGAAAACATTTTTTTTTTTTTTTGTAATAATATATAATTAAAATTAACCATTATTTATTATACCTTATTAAAAGAATTAAAATAAATTAAACCTCGGCAATATATTTGCCTGCTTTCATAATTTTAGTTACATTGCAAATTTTAGCCCAATACAAAACAGGATCTACACCTTGTTCTAAAGTCAAATCAGTCAATAGTTGACCTTCCACTTCAAATCGGGCAGCAATTGGCTGAGGAGATGCTTGTTGAAGTGTTATAAATTGTGCCTTAATTACTAACTCATTTTCAGGAACATCGTTACTGATTTGACCAATATGCCACCCCATTCTCTTCTGCGATAAAATGAGCTCACCTGTAGGGATACTTGAAGCATTTTGAACATCACTTGTTATAGAAGTAGCGAAAATAACGTTGCTCATTGTTGAAATATTAATATTTTTATGATATTTAACTAGTAAACGACTTTTATCGAGGTCACATTTCCACATAGGTTTTATGATGAGCGGTAAATAGTCATTATTTAACCTTGTTTGATATTTTATGCACATAACATGCTCATTCACTCCTTCTTTGTCATAAAACAAATGTGTATTGATTTTGAAAATAGTATCATTCACACTATATCCATCCAATACATCAACATAGTCTGTTGTCTCAATGGATTCTAATCTTTCATTACAATTAAGCTTGAAGCAAATTGGTATCTCACTTTCTGTGGGCCCTTTATACTGAATGCTAATTTTCCCCCAAACAAGAATATTTTCTGATATACCTCCCTTAGAAAGAGCATGTATTGTTTCCGTAACATTAACATCAATTGAAGGCACCTCATGCACTACTTCATCTAATTTTTCTTGGCTTGCTTCAAATGGATTAAATAAAGCTGAGGATGAGGTTGATATTATTGGTGTTTCATTCACACTAGACTTATCACTTTGAGAAAGTGGCTGAACTTGCTCAGCAACAGAATATAATTGAGTTGTCCTTATTCTATTACATATGTTATGAAAAGAATAGATCATAGTATATATATGTGTATATAGTAATAGACTTACTCCCTTCGACCACGAGGCTTCCTTGTACTTAATCCAGCTACATTTTTCTAAAAATAATACACATACATACAAACATTTAATTATCATTATCATTATCATTACTATTGTTATTTGTTTTACTTCTTTTAATAAGGTGGAAACTCGTGTAAGGGCAACAGCAGATTGTGAAGCATCATTCTCTTTTATAGTTTCATTTTTAATGTCTACTCGTATACGTGGATTGCTAAATAAACTATCATTATTTTCAGGAAGTTAGAGCTAAATATTAGAATCATTCTTCCTATCAAAAAAAAAAAAAAGGATAGCTTACCTTCCACCTTCGGAACTCACATCCTCTGTATCTATCAATGAATCATTAGTTGTATTTGTATCGCCCATCCAAATTTCACGATTGGGTGGAGGAATAGAATAACCTTCTTCATCAACTACAATTAGAGGCTATTCAAATAGAGATGTTAGATCATTTTTATTCATGAGTTATGTTATAATACATACTGGCTGTGATGAATGTATGTCAGTAAAACTGTTATTTTTTTCAAGTGATGAGTTAGATAAGGTTGCACTAGTATTATTATCTCCTATATTGTGTTCATTGGGCCCTTTGCTTGACATGTTATCATTATCATGGTATTCTGCTGCTGTACTATGTGTATTAGTTGAACGAATACTGATGGATCCAGCCATATTTTCCTCATTATTAGGAACATGCGGGTATTCTGAAGTTTTCTCAAAACACGTATTATACTCATTCTGTGAATTATTAGGAGATGACTTTGTCTTACGTCTCATTGAGACAAATGATGAAAGAACTACACACCCATATTTAGTCTTACTTACTTTTCATAAATATATGTATATTCAAGTACTTACATCTCTTTTTCTCTTTTTTGTAAATGATGCAGATGAGGAGGTGAGTTTTGATACTTTCAAGCTCGTGCTTGAAACTGAGGGTTCTGGAACAATATTAATTAATTGGTTGCTATTTTCAGTTAATGGCTCTATAATGGTTGGATTATTATAACTCATATTGCTATTAGGATGAGTGTGATGCGTACAGAATGCATCTATTTCGTCATTCACACTTAAGCTGGTTTCAACTGCTATACTACTCTCTGCTAACTATCAATTTATAATTAATAACTAACATCAATAAATAAATAAATGAAAAAGAATGAAATGATAGATACAGATTATGTAATAACTAAACGTATGCACTAGTCTTATCCCTTTTTATTATTGTTATTCTATTACCTTAATAATCTTTTCAGCGCGAGATTTTTGTATATATTCGAACTTAGAAATCATGTTTTTTAAATTCTCTAATCTAAATTCATCGATATTTTGATGTTTCTAGTAATAGTATTTAGTCTGTATTATTAAAGTATTTTATTAGTTGTTATAATACCTTTAAATATTCTGGAGCATCTCTATTCCATTCTGCTAATTTCTTTTCTTGCTGCTTCATGTATTCAGCAACTTTTCCTTCACTTTTAGTACTTTTCTTGTGCTATTTAATTAAAATCATTATATTAATTTGTGTGTGTATGTTTTTTTTTTTTTTTTTTTTTTTTTTTTTTTTTTTTTGGTATAATATATTTTACTTTTTGGATTTTATTTTCCAAATCATCATATCCTCGAGCAATTTTTTGAAGATGACTATTTAGCTTGATACAATTCTATTAATATTTGCATTTATAAACATAACGATTATTACCTCATGTGTATCAGTATAGTCAGGATTATTGAGAATAGACATTTTTAATGGTTTTTCAATTTGTTCAGTAACTATTGTGGAATATTCACTATGAATAGTAGCTAGTTGAGAAAGCTCATTATGAAGAGTTTCCCATATTGGTAAAAATGTTCTATAAATAATATTCATCAGTTATTTTTTTTTGGATACTGTTTAATCAGATTTTCTTTTACCCTAAAGCTGATTTGTTTGAAATATAATTTTTCTTCATTAATTTTGCAATACTTTTAGCATATGCATCTTCAATTTGTGCTCTATAAATATGTGTATATGAATATATAAGTTGCTTAATAGATATTACATTCTTTGTTATATTTTTTTTTCTCTATACCTGTCCTTAAAGTATTCCGCAAATTCTTCATTTAACTTCAAGGCAGATAATAAGCGAGCATGCGGGGAATCAATCCCATTCCTGGGATAAGCAGTCTATACGTATAAATATATATGTATATGTATCTTATATGATTAGCTACACTGCTGTTCGTAATAGTATATTGGAAATATGTATATAAGCATACGCTTAATTTGCCTTACAATAAATGTACTGACATAAGAGCTTTTTTCTTTAATCCCAATTGTCATGATAATTTAGAATGGAAGAGAAAAAGAAAAAATAAAATAAAATTCTGTAAATATATTTAAAAGGAGAGAAGAGGGAATGGAATGGGAGAAGAAAATAACAGTGGTGAAGAAGAAGAAAAAAGAAGAAAAAAAAAAAAGGGCCTTAATAAATAATTTAGCCAACCAATTTCTTCGATTTGTGAGAATGGTGTACAAAGTTTCATGCTTTCTACATGCGTAAACAAATCTTGATAAAATATGTGCAAATGAATAAACTAAGATACTTTATTATAAAATGAAAAGAATTAATACAATCTACAAGTTCTTTTTTTTTTCCTTTTTTTTTTTTTGGAACTTCTTCTAATAATCTTTGAACATATTTTATAAAAAAGGTGAAGTTCCACGAGGAAAATTGCACAAAAAAAAAATAGTTTGTATAAGCTGACTCTCATATTTAGGCAGAATAATGATCCTGTTAAATCAAATTATTAGTTATTATTTGTATTCTGTTGCAAATTCATGTCAGTATTAGATGGATATATAGGAACAGGTGGAAGTAGTTGAATAGCAGCTAAATAACTTGGTGGCTCATCTACAATTGTTTCATAGTCAGGTAAAGCAGGTACACTGCCTTCTTTATATTCTTCTCTTGATGTCACAATAATTGGAACACTTAAATGACATTCATAAGCTCCTTCTTCAAGATCACGATGAAATTTAAAAGGGTTGAAATGATGATGCATTGTAAGTGAATGACCTAAATGTCGATCTATTTGGCAATTGTCATCATCATTGTTATTTACTTCTGACGAACCCACTTCATTCTCTCTGAATCTATTGTTTCCTCGAAGAAGTTCTTCATGTAGCTTTAAATTAGATACTTTTACAGTATTTGTTTGAAATGCATTCATTTGCTCCAAAGATGTAGAAACAGAATATGAGGATGACAAAGAATCACTCGATGTTGAATCAAAGGACGTCTCTGATAATGAAGATGAACGGCTTAATGAGGGTGAAGAAGAATGTTCTGTGTTGAATCTCATATTAATTGGGGAGACAACAGACAGTGAACTTGAGCTATTGTGTTGTTTCAAGGATAAATGAGTTAAAAATGATTTCCCACCATTATTTATACTAGTATCATTAGTGTCCGTTGACTTTTTTTTTGATACAATATGATTAGTGCTTATGATCATTCGAATAACTAAAAAGTGGCGAACGATGATAAGACTTGCACTATTATCTGTATGAACACGAGGATAAAGTCGAAATATAGCATTATAATTATGTAATTCGGTTGGATTATATTCTGGATGTTTTGAAGGAAAGAACGTGCTGCAACCCAGTGGATACCGAACTTCATCACAATAGGAGGCTTGATTGATTAAAGAGCTTTTACCTGTTGTTCTATATTTTATTTTTTCTTGAAGACCACAAGTTACCATTTTGAGTGAATATTTTGTGGGATCCTTTAGCTGAATATTAAGTCCTAATGCTAATAATCCACCTTCACAATAAACCATAGACGGCGCAGTGGCAGAATATGTAACGATGTCAGGGTGCATTTTCCCATGTATTACTTGTGTATCTCGAGCTAAAGGATCAAGGTTATTCATTAAGCATCTACGAATAATGACAGGACATGCCGTATGAATATCTGGGGTGAACATACTTCGAGTAGCGGTTGCGCTCAACTCATATTCAATAGATCCATATTTTCCTTTAAAAGTTTGTGGAATAGTTGGTGGAATATTAAATGAAAATGGAAATTTATATGTTCCTGGTTCAAATTCAGTTGATTTTAGAGCATGTTCATTACCAGTACTGTCAGCTATTTCATTAAAATGAACAATTCGTTTCTTATATATACTACGGCTCTCTGATCCATCAGGGGTAGGTACACCCATACTATTTGTAGTTCTAAAACTGACTTGACATATTCCTGTTAAAGTTGTATCAAGTGCTTTTATTTTTATATGATGATGTACATTTAAAAGTAATTCGCCATTTAATGAGCATCCTTCAGATACATCATGAGCAAACCCTCGTAAAATACCCCGAAAATCTGGATTAATTTTTAAAGTTAACGAAGCGTCTTCAGATTTATGTAGTGTTTTTATCATAGTTTAATAAAAAGAAATAATAATAAAGAAAATGATGCTATATTATAATTTATTTTTGTCTTTTAATGTTAATGGGTTATGTTTCTTTTTTTTTTTTTTTTTTTTTTTTTTTTTTTTTTTTGGTTTGTTTTGTTTTGCATAGTATATATACTCTAAATATTTTGAATTTGAAACTATCAAATTTCCCTTATTTTCCCATGTTTTCTACAAAGACAGAAAAATATACGAGTAATCCCTGACTGTGTCTTGATTCAATAAATTTAAATAATTCTAGACGTCAAATACTAATTATGAAGTATATTTGATGAATAAACTGTCATAGGCCATAGTTTGAAAGAACAATAGGGCATTTGGTTTATTTGCTTAACATTTATGCCGCCTTATTATTTTAATTGATAATCATCTTTTGCTCCGATTGATTCGATTTGTAACCTCAATAAAAAAAAAAAAAAAAAAAAAAAAAAAAAAAAAAAAAAAAAAAAAAAAAAAAAAACTAATTAATTTGAAAGTATGTTAATTCAATCATGTTACAGAAGTATTACCTTCATTGATACATACTTGATCTAATATGGGGATATTTATTCGAAGTTTTCTTACCAAACAAATTATATAAAATGACGTGTGTGTGTGTGTGTTTTTTTCTTCCCTAAAGCATTTATTTATTTTTATCTTTTTGCATAAAATAATAAACTGGGAAAAAATTGGTAACTTATTTTATAATTCTACAAATGCAACTTATTATTCCTAAGGTTATTATCACTTAGAAAAGCTGCCAAATATACATTTTAAAGCTCTAAGAGTCTATTAAGAAATAATAGTAATTAGTACTCTTAAGGAACTCTGGTGCATATTAGTTTCAATAAAAAGTGAGTATGAGCTCATATGACAGCCAACGATTATCTTTAAAGAACAAGTGTAGTGTCTAAGATAGACTCTTTAATTATTTCATTTATACACAAACTCGAAAATAGTTTACCAATAAATAAACGCATATCTTTTACATAATCAAAAGAATACATTCAAACCACTTTGTATGGGTCAATAAAATAATATATTCAAAGAAAATGATAACTAATGATGATTCTTAAAAAATCTATAAACAGTTATTAGTGCCTATGTCTGTATTGTATACTTAAGCATGAAGGTTAAATTATTTTAATATAAAATAGCTATACTTGAAGCTAGTACTACAACTGTAAGATAACAATAATGTTAACTTTATTGTATACTTGATTGATGGTAATCTAGTCTTTATAATAGCACACTTACATAGTTTAGAGATATTAATTTTTACTTAAGCTTGTAGGTTTATACTCGGGAAAAAATGTGTCACAACATTGAAGAAAGAGATGTACCTTGGATATTTAAACTTCGATATTATACTGCAAGTCAACGAGGTAAATGTAGGTAATAATATATATATATATATATTGTAGATATATGCTCTCAAAAGTAGAATACTGAAATTCAGAAGAAAGAATATCAACAAAAAATCATTAAAAAAAAAGGATACAAATACGTTCTATATCGTTAAGTCTATGATATCAATTATAAATGTACTTGATTAAAAAAAAATTAAATAAAAGAATAGTTCATTATAAAAGATGACTATAAAATCTTTGACAGTTGTAATGTTATGGATGCTAGTAATAAGATTCAGAATATAAAACATTGTTTATGCCTCTTAAACAAGAAGATGAACTAGCATCACATATTTAAGAAGCATGTATGATTATTCCTTCAAAGTATTATTTGGGATAGGTTCAGAATACTGCTTCTTATAGGGATAAATATTTACAAATTGAAGCTGTCCAAGGATAATGGTCTCAGCATTTACATATTCTAACTTCGTCTTAAAAGAATGAAAGAATATTTCTAATTTTTTGAAAATAAAAATAAACATGCTTAAAAATAAGTTTTATACACCCCCGAAAGGAAACAAATCTTCCTAAATTATCTTAGTTACAAACATTATTAGTCCCTGTTCTTGACTTAAAAATATTAATTCCATTTACATCCTTGTCATCTTGAATGAAAAGATGCTCTGCTCTTTATTTCAAATATTTATCTGTCTATCATATCACTTTAATAAATGATCCTGTCCTTTACTACCTATGACACGATCTAATCGAGGCTAATATCTCTATTGGTTACCTCATGATCGTTCATTATAGCGCCCTTATCACCCATATCAGTTGTTTAATAAAGCTCATCTCATATATTGTCGACATGTATCACAAAATGCAACAAATAATTAAAAATGTCCCTTCCTTCTTTCTCAAAAGCTTTTGTCTAAAAAAAAAAAAAAATTCTATTACCATATTAACTTCTCCATATTTTGGTGTATATTAGTCCTCCATAGGTTCTTTATTAATTAAGATGAATTGCTTAGCCAACAACTCTATTCCTCCTCTTCCAAATCCAAGCTCAACCATGATGGAATAACCACTCAAATTCTCTTCTTAACAGTTCCTTCCTTTATTTTTTATTTCTTACTTTTTATTCTTATTTTTTTATTTTTTGAGCTGACTAGGGCAATTCAGCAATTCTATAAATTACGTGCCCATTGATCAAGTTATTTTTTTTTATTCTTTAATAATATGTTCCTACAACTAGAATGTAAATTAACCATTATTTCCATTAACTCTTAGACTATAGAGTAATTAGATACTAGCCAAAACGAATGTATTTGACGAATTATCGGCTATTATTCTTGATTTTTAGTAAAAGCAATACTCCATTTGGCTAAAAAGCTTACAATGTATGGAAAGATGTTTATTTTCTGAGCTTAATGCATTTTTTATTTTATCAATATGACTAAAGATATACTATTCGCTCAGTTACTGCCTTATATTCAATCTTCATTTACGACCTTTTAAACAGCAGTTTTGACAATTTCTCCTAGACAATTTTTGTCAATACCAAGAAGGCACTAATCTCTGTACTTTTATCAGTTTCATTTGCTAAGGATCCTATCTTCTGCCTACTTCTGTCCCGTAGTGATCAAAACTGTGCTCTCCTATGACAGTTTGACTAGTTGACAAACCTAAAAAAAAAAACAAAACAAAACAAAAACTGTCCCCTTTCACTGTCCATTTATCTTGATCAATATTGAATATCGAGTATGATTATTCATATCTGTCCTATACTATTAATGATCCATCTATTATTTCTTCCTAACATATCTCGACATTGTAAATCTATATGTCTTTAATAAAACTTTGTATTGTTCCATTTCAGTTCTTTTACTTTTATTACTATTCATAAAATGGATTTCTTAGTTCGGTACATGATACATTCTCCTACAACTTCTCCCCTCATGAATCAAGACGATATTTACTTGATTGTTTATGGACTGAATAATACAATAACACAACTTCAGTTTTCTTTCTTTTTTTTATTTTGTATTTCTTAAAGGAGTTTTTGGATGTTGTAATTTTCAATTTTACTAAAGGCACTATGTGTTTGCAGCAATCATAATAAAATTGTGCCATTTAATGGTATTATTGACTTAAACATGTATGATTTCTAGGGGAGGAGAGAGGAGTTTGAATCCTTGATGTAATAAATAAATTGTGCTTCTTCCAAAAACAGAAATTTCTACTATTCACGTCATAATGCAAGATAAAACGAAAAGGGATCTACCTGGTTTCTATCGAGGTTATTTATTTATTATTAAATTGTCTAATACAGTTAATATATTATGGTTCAAAAACAAAAAACAAAAACAAACTAAGTCATGAGTATTCGTCAGTGCATGCATTCATATTATTTTATTTCATTTTTTTTTCCAAGAAGAAGAAGAAAAAAAAAAGAGGCTTATATGCAGACGATCATTATGTTATATTCAAGTAGAATGAAATGAATCTATTGCTATGACTTATCAAGTAGCCTTCATTTTCATATTATTTGAAACTAACGTGATTATTAATAGATTAAATGGCTATAATTCCTCTATAAAGTAAATGAAAAATAAATCATTTTTTAAACACAGAAAAAAAAAAAAAGCTAAATCATTAAAAGCTATTACCAAGAAAGAAAAGAGAATTAATTTATACTATTTAATATTCAAATATAATTAAATTGGTTATCATAGACAAAGAATAAAAGAAGAATTTCTTATTAGTTGAAATCTATGTATAATTATTGTATGAATGATGAGAAGCAACATAGAATACTTTCTATTTCTATTTCTATTTCTGTTTTGTTTTGTTCTTGTACATCATAAAACGTTTTTATCAGCATGTGCTGAGTTAAACATTTTATTTATTATTGCCCTTTTTACCAAATAACAGTAATTTCAAGAAAGTATATAAAAAGTGGAAGCAAAGATGATCCATTTTTTTTTCGTCATTAAAACTATATCTTTATTTCTTTTCTCTTTACGAGATACAACCTTTATTCATTCGTTATACAAATTTTCATGTTATTCTCTACTAGTAACCTTCTGGCTACTTTAGCATTTACTCTTTTGGCTACTATCGGTGCCCAAGCTGGATTTATCGATAAACCTAGTGTGGTTACTTATTGGGGTCAAGTAAGTAATCGATGCATATAAATATACATGTATATATATTTTATTTATAACATCTTGTTTTTTTTTCCTCTATGCTATTAGAACTCTAGAGGTGGTCCTAATACTCAAAAGCCTCTCTCACACTATTGTGATGATAGTTCAGATATTATTATCATGGCATTTGTACTTGATTTCCATGATGGAAGCCTTCCTTTACTTAATCTGGCTAATGCTTGTAATGGACCCACTTTTCCAGGAACACAGCTTCTTGATTGTCCCACTGTTGGTGAAGGTACTTTTTTCTTTGTCTTTATTTTTTTTAATATTATGTATATTTTGTTTATCTGATCTCCCTTCTAATTTTTTTTTTTTTTTTATTTCACAGATATTAAAACTTGTCAAAGTCGAGGCAAAACTGTATTGATGTCTCTTGGTGGTGCAGCTGGTATTTATGGTTTTTCAAATGATGCTGATGCTGAGGCTTTTGCTGATACGCTTTGGAATGTTTTTGGAGGAGGACAAAGCTCTACTCGTCCATTTGGCGATGCTGTCTTAGATGGCTTTGATCTTGATATTGAAGGCGGTGGACCTACTGGTTATACTGTAAGTTTTTATACCCATAGCCATATATATGTATTTATAATTTATTCATTTTTTTTTTTTTTGAAATCAAATAGGCTTTGATTAAAAGACTGCGTAAACATTTTGCTAGTGATGACTCAAAAAATTATTATATTACTGGTGCTCCTCAATGTCCATACCCTGATGCTATGTTGGGTGAGGCTTTAAATTCAGCCTATTTTGATGCCGTTAATGTTCAATTCTATAACAACTATTGTTCTGCTACTGGTAGTAATTTCAACTTTGATACTTGGAATACCTGGGCCAAGGATGTGTCTCTTAATAAGGATGTTAAAATTTTAATGGGTATTCCTGGTTCAAGACAAGCCGCAGGTAGTGGCTATGTTCCCTACGATACTCTTAAATCTGTTGTTGAAGATGTATATAATACTTATCCAAGCTTTGGTGGTGTCACAATTTGGGGTAATTTCTTAAATTATTATATAGAATGATGCTGAAAAAAAGGAACTTACCTTTCATCTTTCTTTTTCTCTTTCTCTCTCTCTCTATTTTTTTTTTAGATGCTTCTGCTTCTTATGGTAATACAGAAGTTTATCCAAGTTATCAAGACGCTGTTGCCGACATGATCCACAATCTTAAACCTAGCTCACATCACAAAACTAAGACTACAACCTCAGCTATGACTACAACTACAACTACAACTACTACCGCTATTTCTACTTCTGTTTCTACCACAACTAAAAGCAAGCATAAGACAACTAAGCATAAGACAACTAAGCATAAGAAGAGCAAGCATAAGAAGAGCAAGCATAAGAAGAGCAAGCATAAGAAGAGCAAGCATAAGAAGAGCAAGCATGAGAAGAGCAAGCATGAGAAGAGCAAGCATAAGAAGGGCAAGCATGAGAAGAGCAAGCATAAGAAGGGCAAGCATGAGAAGAGCAAACATGAGAAGACTAAGCACGAAAAGACTAAGCATAAGACTAAGCATAAGACTGAAACAACTTTGTATACCAGCACTACTACTGCATCACCAACCCAATATACAACAACAACAACAACAACGACTAGCCCATCTTCTACTGGAACATCTTCAAGCCATAGTACATGTATTAGAAATGGTGATCCTTGTTCTACTGAAGGTGAACTTGCTTGTTCTGGTGATTCATTTGCTACATGTGATCATGGTGCCTGGGTTCTTCGTTCTTGTCCTCGTACTCTTACTTGTTTCTCCACAACGAATGGTCTTTCTATTTACTGTGGTCAAGGAACAAGTGGAAATACATGCTCTGTTGCATCTCCTACAGATATTATGTCACAGACTCTCAATTCAAACAATTTTGCTGATAATTTTATCAACGATGTTAAGAAGCATCATAGAAAGGGAAAGAGCTCCAAGAAGTCCAAGAACCTTGTTGGTCCAACTGCTAAACCTTATAAAAATGAACGTCTAATTGCTGAATTTTCTGTTGTTCAAGCTAAAAACGGACACTTTGAGGCTCTTATTAATGCTCGTCGTCTCGAACAAAATTCTTTTGGCCAGAACGTTTTTGTTCAATTTAAGGTCAACAATAAGATTAAGATTACTAGTGTTAAACACGGTCATGTCACTCAGAATGGTAATCAAGTTAAGATCCGATACTATAATGGTAACAAGGAAACTATGGGAGCTATTATTAGTATGGAAGGTACATATTCAACAGGTGTCTTCATTGCGCCAAACGTGAATAGCATGAAATTCTCTTAAATCTACATATATTTTTCTTTTTTCTTTCCCCCCCTTTTTTTTTTTTTTTCGTCTGGTTACGAAATAGTTATTTTATTTATATTTTTTAAAAATACTTTCAATAAAGATATACCATTTTTATACATAAATTATGTTTCTTTATCTTAAGAATTTTTTTTTTTTTTTTTTTTTTTTTTTTTTTTTTTTTTTTTTTTAAATCAGAGAGGTAATACCCTAAAATTATCTTTTAAAATTATTCAATCAGAGTTTTCATTAATTTTAATAAATATTTACATGTATACAACTGTATATACATATAAATACTGAATAAAACAAAAACAGTAGTAATTATAAATCATGTAGTATGTAAATATATATATGATGAGAATAGTTAAAGAGGAGGGAGGGAGGGAAGGGAGGAGGAAGGGAGAAGATAGAATAAGAAGGGTAATGGTGCATTATAAAATCTGTACAGTATAAAAAAAAAAATAAAAAAAAAACGTCAAATCCGGATAAAATAATTAAAGGGGAAAATATAGTATATGCGTATAAATGTGTAATATTAAATTACAGATATTACCAAATGAAAAAAAAAATATACATGCTATAGATAATAAAAAGTCTATATCGCCTTAAGTTTTTTCGGATACTCTCATTTCTTTTCTTTTTTTTTATGGAGCTGGCGAAGTGATTTCCTTACTCATATTCACTCTTTGTTGTTGTTGTTGTTGTTGCTGCTGCTGCTGCTGCTGTTGCTGTTGCTGTCGTTGTTGAGCAGCCACAAGAGCCATTTGTACAGCAGTTCGACTTTGACTAGGTGATCCATTTACTACAGCAGCCATATTTGCAGCAATCATTCCATTAGCCATAGCAACAGCAGCCTGCTGAGGGGTCATACGTGATCGACTCATTTGTTTTTTAATGGGATGTGCTGAAACATTATTTGGAGAGGAAGCACGACTATTATTTGCATTACTTTCTAAAGCAGAAGCACCTGTAGCAATTGATAGTCTTTGAGACGAAGCAGCAGCGGCAGCAGCAGCAGCAGCAGCAGCATTATTAGCAACAGTGGCAGCCTGCTTTACTTTAACCGCTTGAATATTCATCATATTCATTGGGGTTAAAAAGGGTACTGTTACTAGGCTTCGGAGTTCAATTTCGGAAAGAAGTTGAGTTCTGTGCTTCAGATAACTATTAAAAAAAAAATTTCGAATAATTAGATTTTCATTCTCTTCTTTCTTTCTCTTTTCTTAATTCTTTACCTATCATTCATTTCATCTATTTCAATATCAGAATCTTCCATATTCAAGTCTGAATCATATTTATATTTATCAATTATATCCTGTTCATAACTTGAACCTGGTTTAGTTTTTCCAAATGTAAATGGTTTTCTGTAACTGGTACGGTCAATAAAGATACGACCCCCACGTCCAATACGTTTTCTATATTGAACACCATTGGACATAGGCTGAAAGAATTGAAAAGGTAATGACATAGGAAATGGCTGGTAAGAACACTAATTGTAATATAATAATTGAACATTAGTTTAATACTATATGTATATGTATGTATATCTTATTTACTTCTGTAACATCTTCATAAGGCGCATCCATTTTCTTTTTCTTTGCTAAATCTGCTTCTATTGCTATTTGAGCAGGAGATTTTTCAATATGGGCTACATCTCTCTTAAGTCTATGTAAAGGAATTTTAATTGTAGCACTAAAAGAAATAAAGTAAGTAATTTGAAAAAAGAAGAAGAAGAAAAAAAAACTATATAAATGTATGTACCCAGATCCGATAGAAGCTTTACGTTTCTTTTTAGATTGAAATAGTAAATCATCATCTTCTTTAATACCAAGTATTCTTTGATATTCACGTAATTTACACCTTTTATCAAAGACAGTATGCTCAAGTATCATGCTTTCTTTTCTAATCTTTTCTCTACGTAAAACCATTTCTAATAGATTTCTTGCCATTTCCATCTCAGAGCGTAACTTTCTTAACCTTTCTAAAGATTGTTGATCAGAACGTCTTGTCTTTCGCACAGGTTTTGTTTCACGACGACGGAAACAAACATATGGATCGATTTCATTTTTTACAAGATCTTCAAATTTTAATTCTGGTATAATAGATTCACCAGTACGATCCTGTTTACGTTTTCTCCAATGATTAAAGATAGGCTCAAGTAGGATAACAGCACGTGAATGTAAAAAAGAAGATTCTGGTACCAACTCCATAAAATGCTTAAAATCAGGAATATGTGATATATCCTACAAAATAGAGATAATTATATTGTTTATATACAGCTACTAATTTACCACATATACATATACATATATATTTATATGTATATACATTTGTATATATATATTCTATTTCTTACCAAATGAAGATGTGGTAATTTTTCTTTAGTTATAGATTCAATTGTATACATAATTTTTTCAAAATCATCTTCAGATAATGTAGTATGATCAGTATTATATTTATTTAAAAATATTTCATCCAATTCATCCATAACATAGGGGCATCCACTTATATCTTCAACTGTAGACGAAAATCGAATTAGTGTAGAAGGCTCCTTAAATTTCTTTTTATAGAGTAGTTCATATTGCTTTTTATCAATTGTACTAGATGCATCAGGAGTAGGAATATAAGTCTCTATTTTTGCACCTGTTGTAACAGCTGCTTGATGTGCTGAAATAGCCGCTTGCAAGTCATGCTATAAAAAGAAATTATTAATAATAGTAAAAAAGAAAAAAAAAAAAAACGTAAAATTAGGGTGTACGTATATGATTGGCATCCTATCATATACACGCAATATACCCAAAAAAAGAAAAATATCATACCTCCTCCTCTTCTTCTTTTTCAACGCCAGTTTCTATTTGAGGTACTGACCTTTGTATACTAGCAGGGTCAATAAGTTCTGGTAGTTGTGATTCCTTATAAATAGGAAGAGGGTGTTTAGGTGAAAGTTTCTTAACTCGAAAGCGAGAGACCATCTGAATTGGCATTAAGCAAAAAAAAAAAAAAAAAAAAAAAAAAAGATGAGAAAAAATTTTCCTCAACTAAAAATTTTTTTTTTCTTCAGATGAGAAAAAAAAAATATGTTAAATTTCAAAAACAAAGATTTAAAAAAAGCTTTGTTTGTTAATGAGATCCCTTCTTTGTTCAGAAAATATGTATTTTCTTTTTCAATAAAATTAAAATAAAAAACAACCCTTTTTTTTCTTTTCTTTTCTTTCTTTTTTTTTTTTTTTTTTTTTTTTTACTTTACTAATTGCGTCTTTTTTGGAAATGGAGGGTGATGGGGAAATTTTTTTATTGAATTTTTTTCATGACTAAATTTGTATTCTGTATTTAAAGCATCTGATTGGATAATTAATTACAGGCATTTTACAGTAAGTTTCACATATCATTTGTGCTAACAAGCACATTATCATGCATATGTATGTAATACATCTATTACTAAAATGATGTCGCAAAAAAAGAAAAAAAAATGCATATTGCATATAACTGATTATTATATAGGACTGTCTGTTAGGCAGCTATCAAAACATTGAACGAAATAACATGTAAACCCTTTAAAAGATGATAACTAAGCAACTTGATTGTTAGCCTCTATGATTATTTGAGAAATAGTATACCCTTTTTTTTTCTTTAAGTATATACTCTCTTTTCATACTACTCACTCTCAGCAACAGACTAAAACTGTTTTATTGGGTTGAGTTCTGAAGAGTAAGGTAGCAGTTAAATATACTTATAGCCACACTCTTTGATTATGTTATTCACTATATATGGACATATAGTCTATAATCAGATAATACTCTTTTATTTCAGGAGACTGACCCATTTTATGAAGAATGACTTTGACAAAAGGAGCAGTTACTACATCCTTTGTTTATTGCCTTTTTTTTCTTTTTTTTTTTTTTTTTTTTTTTTTTGTTACCAACTAACTTTCTTTCCTTTGGAAATGGTATGGGCATTCTTAAGGTATTCTTGATCAGGCCTTTAGCTGATAGTGGCTTCCCATGATAGAAATTGAATTGACTCTTGTAATTGATACTTTGACTTTGATAGCCTCCCGTTTTAGTATCTCCCCTTGAGTCTCTTTAAGATTTGTATAGAACCCTGACTCATTAATGAAAAAGCACAGCTGTCCATATACTTGATGCTTAATTCTTTTAACGTTTCTGCCCATTCTTTTCTTTTCTTTTTTTTATTGGATTCTTTCTAAGAGATGTTTCTCTTTACAGGCTTCAAGTGAACGGTAGAGCGTTCTTTTTTGAAATGCTTAACAAATCATTAAAACTACGAGTCATATAATATATCAATTAATCTATAGTGATAGTGGGATACTTGTAATAGGGACCAGACACTTAACTTTTGGTTGCTCTTGCTAGTTCTCTTTCAGGTTCAATTATTCTTCGGCGGCATATATTCTTGAATAATGATTTATAATCCTCTTTCCAAGTTTTATACCCTCTTAGCACAGTTCTAGGCTCCAACTTGAATTCTAGCCCCACAGCTCTTGACTAGTTCCTGTTCCTAGGATGAATATCAACCAAGTAAGCAACATGGGCTTTAGTCTCGTTACTGACACAATCGCCTTTTGATGAACCTATTAACAAAAACCAGTTTTAACAGTGTTAAATGTTGAATGTTCTCTCTGCTGCTCAGTCGTCACTAATTCATTTCATTTTATTACATTTCCTTATGAATTTTTGTTTATTTGTTTAGATGAATTGTTTTGATAATAGTCGAACTACAGAATAACAAAATCATAGACCATACTGTACTACCATTTTTACTTCCAAGACTTAAAGTCACTGAAATATGATTAAAAAAAAAAAGGGGGGGGAAATACTATTTCTCTAATCGCAAGGGGTTGCAACCAAGTTATTCAATCATCATCTTTTGAAGGGTTTACGTGCTATTTCGTTAAATATTTTGATAGCTGCCTTACAGACCGCCCTATGTAATACACAGTTATATGCAATATGCGATGTATATTTTGAAAGGCATTACATTATTTATTTATTTTTTAATAATTTTATTTGATTTTTTCTTACGACATTTTAGTGAAAGATGTATGACAGTAAGAACTTTTTTTTTCTTCTTCTAGTAAATGGGTATTACTTAATATCATAAAAGTAACGTATTATTAAATGTAAAATTTATTGTTTTCATTTTTGTTTTAATCCTCTTCTTCTTCTTCTCCAGAAGAAGGACCCTGAGCATCTGAATCATATTCTTCAGGGACATCACTTTCACTATCGGGTGCAAAATCCTCATCAGCTAAAGAAAGATTAAAAAAAAAAAAAGTTCTAGTTAGAAATTTATGTTTGTTGGGAGAGAGGGAAAAAAAAAGGTTAACTTACGACTTTCATCTTCATCGCTATAACCATCATCGGTAGGACCGTTACCAGTCCTGCGTTTCTTTCTAGAATCATATTCATCCTCATCCTCATCTTCCTCATCTAACTCTGCAAGATCTGTATAAGTCAAAATTGTTTCTTCATTACCCTCAGACTTGACCTTAATCTTCTTTTGCTTCAAATAATCTTCAATATTGGCATACTCTTCTCTGTTAATACTAGAGAATTGAATATCATTGCCACTCTTCATGTTAATTTTCATATCGAATGTACGCGAACTACCGCCTGACTGACCAACACGGGAGAAAGTAACGATAGAAATCTCGTTCAATGGAATATATGTAGGAGGTTTAGGAATAAATAATAAACATTTATCCAAGGGATAAAGGAAGCCTTCATTAGCTTTCATTGAGCATTTAAGTGCAGTGGCACCATGATGACTTCTGTAAGTACTTTGAGTAATTGCTTTTCTTCCTGTTAAAGCTTGGAAGACATTACTAACGACTTCAAATGTAGGTGCATCATAATGCTTTTGGAGCTTATTCTCATATTTCTCATCTAAAGTTTGATCTTCCAAGTTTAAGTCTACATCAATCTCTTCTTCACGCACAAACTGAAATACAAGGAATGGATATTTTGTTTGTCCCTGTCTAAGAGGTGGATCCAAACCAATCTGGTAAAGAAGAAAATTCGAAAATAAATAAATGTAATATTTTCAATTCTTTTTTTTTTCTTTTTGCTGATCTACGTTACCACAAATAAAACATGCACTTCATCGGGTTTTAAAAGTAAAAATAGTTTGATGATATTGGAATAAAGAATCTTGTAATCGTATGTTTTACCACGCAAGCGAAGAAAGTCTTGATACATATCGATATTGTAACGACCACGAGGTGTCAAGCATAATGCTTCTTGGAATTGTACAATATTTTCTGTTGTCATTTGACTGAGTTCTAGCTTGGATTTTACAGTTTCATAAAATACCATGTCAGCATTTACTTCTTCTTCCTCTTCATCTACATTAGCATCATCCGTCACTTCTTTAGCAACTGTACCAGGAATATAAAAGGTAATGTCCATTAACTCATCTACTTTTTTGGGATCAATGCCATCAGGAGCAGGTTGTCCGGGATCAACAAAGTTGATGGCTACTTCATTTTTACCAGGCTTATTGGTTGCAATAGCTTGTTCAAGAGGTAATTCAAACATAGTTTTATTTCCAACATTAAAAGTAAGATTGGATCCTTTTTTTTTTAAAGAAAAGTTGTTAAGAAAAAAAAACATCTTTAAAAAAAAAATCATTAATCCTTACCTTGAAACTCTGTTTTACCCCAATTCCAACCTTTAACACTCACTTCTTTAATTTCAACTGTGATCTTATAAAATATTCTAGCTGCCTCCTTTAATTCTTCCAAATCCTATACATGATTGTTAGTTGATCGTTTAATTAATAGTGACCAATTCGAAATAAAGGAACTCACTTCAAGTTTAAACCCATCAAATCGTAATATAGTATTGTCCTTTTGTACAATTCTTAATTCATATCCTCTTGCAGCTCTAAGCCAAGTCATTTTTTTAAGATCATCCGTAGCAACAATGATCGTACGATCACGTCCTCCTTTCCAACCAAGACCATTTTGTGATAAACGAAAACGACCCAAGTCAGGTTGAAGTCCACAATAAATAGAGTTGAAATCTACATTTTTTTTATCTGACATTATTGCTGTTGTATATTATAATATATGATTATTTGACGATTAAAAAAATAAAAAAAAAAAAAGATTTTTAATTTGGTATTTTATTTTTTTACGCGCCTTTTTTTTTTTTTTTTGAATGACAAACTCCGCTTTTCGTGTGTATCAATGGTAGTAGTGGAGATACCTGACTTATTTTTTTTCTTTTTTTTCATAATATATCTTTGATTCTTTAAATTTTAACAATTTTAAGGAAATGGATTTTTCACCTTATTCACCATCACCAGATGAAGACAGAAATTTACGCATACCTAATAAAAAAACAAAACAACAATCAAAACAGCCTGTTTATAAGTCATACCAATCGGGAGATCCCGATTCCTATGCAGAACAAGGCCTTTTAAACAATGACTTTGGTGCAGAAAGTAGTATTAATCATAACAGTAGTTTACCTGTTTTCAATGGAAACCAAGATGTTCGCGTTAATAAGTATGAAACTTCTTTACCTATTCGAGTTGATATTGAAGCAGCTTTGGCTTATGTTTTAGGCCCAATTACTGGTACAGTTTAATTCACCTATTACTGCATAATTTTTCCTCATTTAAGACTGATTCTTTTTTTTTTTTTTTTTTTTTTTTAAAAAAAATAATCTCTAACTCACTTCAATAAGGTCTATTATTGTTAATTCTCGAAAGACAGAATGATTATGTTCGATTCCATGCATGGCAGGTAAATAAAACAATATGAAATAAGAATTATTCTGACATAAACTATATATAGTCATCACTTACATTCTCAGCTTTGATGCTTGCACAATTTGTTTTATTGTTTATTTCGACATTTTTATCTTGGATCTTGTTTTTCTTTAGTATTTTTCTTTTAATTTGGTTAACGTAAGCCCAAGTTTATTATTATTATTATTTTTTTTTCCAAGATAAATTGACTTCTAACTGGAATAATATGATGGGGCGGGTTTATTTCATTTTATTTTATTTTTATACATATTCTTAGGTATCGAGCCTATTTAGATGGTGTATCACTGGAAAGATATGAAGTGCCATATTTTGGTATAATTGCATCAGAATATGTAGATACTGAATAAATTATACCTTATAGAACAAGATAATAACTATCATTGTTACTTTGCTTATTTCTTTAATAAAACAAATGAATACACTTCTTTTTATGCCGACACTTTATTATGCAGCTAAATATAATAAATTACTTGATAATACTTTTTACTCCTCTTTATATATATTAAATAAACATTTCTTCTTTTTTTGTTTATGATAGATATGAGTTCATTAAAAAATTAAAACGAATATGTAAATAAATAATTTTAGCTGGTATAAGAACTACAGTCTTTTGAAGATGTTTCATCTGATACAGTAGAAATAGTAGGAGAATTACTTATACTACCCCTTGGCGCTCTATTCTGTATCATACGACGAGTTGCTTGTGCTATTTTCATTAAAATATAAGAAAAAAAAAGAGCATATTATATGTTTACATACCGTGTTTAGCTGCTGCGTATTTGTCTAATTTGTCTATAACATATTCTAATTTCGTTAACCAACTATTTCTTTCTTTATCTGAATTCATATGAAGAATATAAACAGTAGGTCCAGCAATGAATGTGGTATTTAAATTATCTACACCTGAGAATGAAGAAACGATTTCAATACAGTTTAAAATACCATCTATTTCATCCTTTGGTATAGCGCGTACTCTAGCTCGTTCTAATGTTAAATGACCTTTGTATTGCAATTTTATCACTTTCCCTTCAACTTTCGTTTTAGCAAAGACTAACATATCGCTAAATAATATATAACGTCTTTCTTCTCCCAATGATTTCGTACTTGGTACAACTCGAGATAATTGTCCTTGAATGATTAGCCTTCTTTCTGCTCTTACACTAAATGGAGCGCCTTGAAGAGCTTGATGTATCATAAGTACTTGATCTACGTTATTAGCATCTAAAAGTCTGAATAAGAAATGAAAAAAAGGGATATATGAATATATATGAATATATATTAAAATGTGTTATTTTTAACTCTACTAAATGACTAAAAAAAAACATACATACTTGTCGTGAATAGAATGCCGAAAGTGTTGAATCCATGATTTTGAAGCTTGTAAACCTACATAGTCTGGATGTAGAGAAGAAGTGACTTCGGCCAACTTTGTAATTACATCTACATATCGATCAATACATCTAACTGGTAGTTGAATTAAAGAAAGTAAGCTAGCACCTTTTAATGATTTATCCTTGTGTGCAGTCTATGTATATGTATTCAAAAAAAAAAAAAAAAGGTAAAAGAAGAATAGTTTAAATCTAACCTAGCAATAATATATATATTTATATACGTATATATAATATCTATGCAATACATACAGCAATAAACTTTTTAAATGGTTGATACCTCGTCAATCTTTCATAGGTTGTAAGGGTAATAGCATAATTATTCAGATATACACGATAGCATTCCAAGTTCGGAAACTACAAAATATATAAAAATATATATTTTCAATAAATTTTGTATTCCTTTTCATGTAGTAGTCAATGTTACCCAAGCTTGAAATACATCGGACAAAATTTGTGTTGGTCCCCAGATTCGTAATCTATTTTATAATTTTAGTTGATACCGAGATCATTTATTTATTTATTTATTTATTTTACATGCCTTTCTTGTAGACTTTTTAATGTAAGACGATGAACATGAACTAATTCTTCAAAATTTCCAAATAACCAACGAAATTCCCTTTCTGTACACACCATTTTTTTTATTCCGAGAAAGTTGAACGGAGTGTGTGCTGTTGTGTCCTTTCTTAATGGTAATAGAAATAACCGCATAACCAATTCGAGTGACTCTGTGTAAGCTTCTTCTGATGTTAAAAGATTGTTTATCAACGTTTCTCTGCTCCGATGTACATTCTCGTGGTCTAAAGTAAGTAAGTAAGTAAAGAAGTAAATAAATAAATAAATATTTTCTAATATTACCAATTAATCCGTTATCAATGTCTTCATAATCTAATGTATCAATGATATCAAATTCTTCTACTGAATTATTTGTAAACTCAATAGCAGACGAATTTGACGTTGATGCATCACTATGATGTTCATCCATAAAAGAAGAAAAAGTTGATGTGGCTGTTAATCCACTGGTATATTTACTTGTATTTATTGAGCTAGTGATACTATTTCGACGGCTAATGTTGTTATGTCCTATTGTCATATCACTGATGCTATCATTACTACTAATACTGCTTCTCCGTCGTTGTAATGAAATGATTTTTTGCTGCTTCTTATTCATGATACCATTTGATAAAAAAGTCATTTAATTATCTAGAAAAGAAAGAGAAAGAAAGGAAGAAAGATAAAAAAAAAAAAAGTTCCTAGTAATTACAATTATAAAACTAAACCTTTTCAATAAGCTATAAAGCTGATATTGAAAATAAGTGGTGAACAAAATAAAACTTTTTTTTTTTTTTTTTTTTTTTTTTTTTTTTTTTGTAACCAGTAACAAGGGATAGTAGCATCTTTTACTCGAAGAATAAAGAAGAGTAAGTAGCATGATATGATTAAACTTGAACATAGTGTCTTTATTACTTTAATTTTGTAATGGGTAAAAAGAAAAAATGGTTCTCATTTATTAAATACGACAATTTTAAGAATACAAGATAGTTGGCTTATTTTTTTTTTCGGGTTAATCTGATAACTTGTATCATAATGGTATGTATGTTCAAGGTATTTTTTATTAATAATAACTATGTCATATTCTACCTTAACTTTAATAAAGATCGAGTAAAATGTAGATAAAGAGCTATGTCAAATCATTTTCTTTATTGTCCTAAATAAACAAAATAGTAACACAGATAAATACTACCTTACTAAATTATACCGAATTGTCCAAAGCGCTCCTAGTATTTATTTATATCTATTCCATCATTAATATAGTATTCAGTGGGCTGTGCAAAATGATGCTTTTTCTTATTTTATTTTTTTTTCTTCTTCTTCTTGGACATTAAATAATTTTACGAGTGATATAATTCATGATATTAAAATAAGCTTACACATTTATAATTATTTCTAAGCATGTTGCACAGGAAGTTATTTCTGTGATAATAACCTTATTTAACCCCTTCAATCTTTCTGCCTCCCCCCACCCCACTTAATAATTTAAGCTCCAAATCACAGCAGTAGCATTATTATAAATGTGTAATAAAGTTAAATACTTGTATTCGTATTTCTAAACAAACTATTTAAAGATAGTACAAAAAGAAAAGTATATATGAGACTCATTAGGTCATTCATTTTATATGTTTATAAAGTTAAATAGATAGTTTCTAATATAACACTTTTATATAAAAAGGTATACAAATATATGATATGTTGGCTTTTTTCTTTTTTCACATAATCGTACAGTTTTCTAAATCCTTTAAATCAGGCATATTTTCTGGATTTCCTCCTAAATTCATACCAGGGGCCATTTCATCTAAAAGATCGGCTGGTGGTTGACCCAAATTTTGCATCTTTGTCATCAGATCCATAATCTCTTTAGCTTGGATTTCATTTTTTTCATCAAACTCAGGTGCTTCATATTTTGCAACTATCTGTTGACAGATGAGATATTGTTCCTTATAATTTTCATAGTCTGATGTATTAGCATTATCTTTGTGTGCCTCCAACCAAGCAGGATATTTTCCACTGAGATCTTTCATAGGTTCATAAAGTAGTTCCTTTGACATTAATTGACTCATCATTCCTTCCAAAACACCTTCAAATTCCCCATTATCAGCCAAAGCTTCCATTTGTTTCATAAGCTCTGCCATAAAAGCATCCTCTGATTCTTCTGCTATGGAAGACTATAATTCCCCCCAGAAAATAAATAAGTTATTTTGTATAAAAAAAAAAAAAAAAAAAAAGCTCCTACATCAATTTCTTTTGAACTATTTTTCAGTTTATTGAGCGTTTTATCAATTGTTTCTTGAAAAGAAGAAGGAGGCTTGGGAATATCTTTATTTGTTTCTACTGTAGTTGCAGTCTCTTTATCAAATGAAGCCCATACTTTTTCAAAAGCTTCTTTCATTTCATCATTATTTTCAGTTTCCATTTGTCCCATTAGTTGTTCCATACCAACAGCCAATTGTTTTGCAAACTCTTCACTGTTAAATAAATCATCTAATTCAGGTTCAATAGGATCTTTAGCATGAATGGTTGTATTTGTCTTTTTTGGTTCTTCTTTATTTTTTATGGCTTGTGTCTCATGTGTAGACAGCTTTGACATGTCATCGAGAACATCTAGATTAATAAAAAGAATACAAACCAATCATAACATCTTAATATTTTAAACAGAAAAAATAATAATAGATGAGAGTATGTTTACCATCTAACAAGTCATCAATGTCAGATTCATCATCTTGAATTTGCGTTTTATTCTCTAAATTTGAGGACATTGAAATAATTTTCTTGTTTTAATTTACAAATAAATAAGAGGGGAACGTTTGCGTGAAGGAGAGGAGGGATTATTTGCTGGGAATTAATCAAGAAAACGATTATTAATTTTCTCGAGGATTGTCTGAGAAAAAAAGCATGTGAAAACGGGGTGCACATAACAGAAGACGACGTTTTTTTTTTTTTTTTTTTTTTTTGTAAAAGATAATATATAACAATGTGATGTCTCCTCCCTCTTTTGCGTCATAATTTCAGGCTTAGTATTGTAGACTTGATATTCTTCTTTATCTTTTGAAGGCATGCGCTAACTCCGCTTTTTTTTTTTAGTTATTTCAAACATAGAGTTATGTCATAATGATTTTTTTTCATCACTAAACTAAGTGACGTTTTTTATTCATATTATGCAGCTAAGAAATAAAGGAAAGATATAAAAGATATAAAAGAAAAGATTAAATTGTATCTTTTTTTTCATTATTATTTGTATTAAAACAATATGCCTAACACAAAGAAACCTGAAGATTTAGATATTCCTCCTGCCCAAGTAGTTGGTGGTATGAGAGTTAAGCAAACGGATCCCCGTCGTATTCCCTTGAAGGAGCAAACCAAAGATACTGTAAATGATGAACAAAATGAAGATGAGCAACAAGTCCTTGACCAAGAAGAAGAATTCATAAAAGATCAAGAACGTATGCGTCAACGAGCTCTCCAAGAAAGACAAGCTCGTGATATGCAAAGTCATACTGCCTCTCGTCAAGCCAATGTTAATGCAAATCCTGGCACACATGTCTCGCAAACTATTAGGCAAGGTATTCAACCCAGATCTTTAAATCATTAAGGAAAAGAAGAGATGATGAAAATATATACAATTTTTTTTTTTTGTAAATAATTTTTTTTTTCACTTTTCTCTTAATAAACTGTTGTATGTATAAATTTTGGTTTATAACACTGTGAACTTTATAATTTTTATCATATAAAAATAGCCTCGCTTTTTTTTATTTTTTCCTTTTTTTTCCCCTTTTCCTTTTTCTTTATTTTCTTTTTCATTTTTTGTCTCCTTTATATTAATTTATCTTTATTCAGAAGGAAAAAAAAAAGTCAAAGAATACTACTTCTTTAAATTCCACTCCCCCCCTTTTCTTTTTATCATTATTTCTTTGTATATAAAAAGAAAGAAAGATGAATTCAACAGTAGTCATTGAAGGAATGGACTTGCAACATTATTTTGAACAACAATACGATATAGAAGCAGCCTTATTACCTTCAACAGCAAATCATTATATGGAAAACATGGATGAATTTAAAGAAGTAGAAGAAAAGGACTTTGCAGCATTGAATAATACACTATTGATAAAAGAGGTCAGTTTGTATGTAATAATGAAGATGATGAATAAATACATATAATATAATATAGTCAGAAATATTTGCTTTAAAGGAGGTGATATTTAAATGGAGAAATAGAGCTTTAGAAGCAGAATTAAATTATTTTGGTAATGATTAGATTAAATATAATACGTACATATATTAAAATAATAATTTTGAAGATCAACTACAATTATTGCAAGCACGATACGAGCATGAATTGAAGTCGATGAATTCAAGATATCAAAGAAAATTGAATGAAAAAGAAGACATGATCAATAATCTAAAAGAACAAGTAGATTACCTGATAATTCAACGAAATAACCAGCAAGAAGAAGAAGAAGAAGACAATGATAGTCGTATGTTTATTTTATTACTGCTATTACTTTTTATAATAGTCATGTCACTTATTATATTCTGAGTAACATTCTAATAGTTTCATCTTTTGTTACTGATGAGGATTCAAGTATTATTTACAACGAGGTAAACACATATATAACAAAGGCTGTTCCTTAAACTTTTTTTATTTTATTTTATTTATTTTCTCCTTATGATCAAAGAAACAAGAATTTGATGATAACGTTAAAAAAGAAACCAGTGAATCAAAAGTAATTCTTGATAATATTCAAGTATGTAAAATAAACTATCTACATAATATCTATCTACAAATATATGTTAACAAAAAAAAACATGTCTATTATAGAATGCTGTATGTGCTATTGAGAAAGAACTCAACTTTCATTTAACTATGAATGAAGAGCATTATTATTATCCTCGTAAATCTCCTGCTTATATCTCATCTGCTACAGGTCGTTCTTCTTCAACTTTAGTTGATACTGAAGTAGGTATTAATAAAGATATCTCAAAAAAGAAGTCAAAAAATTCTGCTTTGTTCATCAATCGTATCTTTAAGAAAGCATTCCGCTATAAGAAGAAACCAACTAATAATAATATTCTTTCATTATTTGACACTATCCCAAGACATAGCACGTCAAATGAAACTGTCATTCCTGTATGCCACACAAAAATGATAACATCAAGCAGTACTCATCTATGAGATACTATGGCTTGATTATATGCCTTTTTTTTTTCTTTTATAAATATAAATATATGAATTATTACATCTTATATTATTAAAGATGATATGATAAAAACTACGATGTTATATAAAAAATTTCTCCATAATGATTTTCTTATGTTTTCACTGCATAAAAAGGGGGAGGAGGAGGGTGGATACATCTTTGATCCAATCATATTCATTTATTTTGTGACTTTATTTGATTCGGATCGGAGTGACGAGATTCAATTTTTTTTTTATTATTATTTGAAAGAAAAAAATTTTTTCATAGTTCTCTCTCTTTTTATATCAGTTCAGACAGTACCAATATGGTTGCTTAGTAAGTAGTCCATTCGAGTTCAATTATAATTCAAATCATCTTTAGTCACCCAAATAAGTTATGTCTATTACTTCTTTCTTTTAAATGTACTTTTCTTTCAAAAAAAAAAGAAATCAGATATATACATTATTAAAAAAAAGAAAGATTATACATTAACACTAATGTTATTTGGGTGGCTTATACATTTGGATTGATGATCAGTAACTAATACTTTCTCCATTATTTCCAGCAACGTCCCTACTGCTAACGACGTCCTCGTTCCTGAAACTCTCTTGAAGAAGAACAAGGCTGCCGCCAAGGCTGCCGAGTCTGCTGCCTCCAAGAAGGCTGAACTCCGCAAGGCATGTATTATATCTTTATTTTTTTTTTGTAAAAGATGAAAAGAAGGAGAAGGAAAAAGAAAAATAATATGATGATAATCGGGATACAACCCATAAGACTAGATTGCACTCGATGATGTCTTATAGTTAACCATCTTTCGGGACTGATTTTATTTTTCTTTTTTTTCAACTTTGATTTATATATTTTTGTTAAAAATGAATGTACTAAACTTTTTTAATTTATATATATTATTATAGGCTAAGATCGCCAAGAGACGTGAAATCTTCAAGCGTGCTGCCAAGTACCAAGCTGAATACAAGGCTACTGAACGTAACGAAATTCGTCTTCGCCGTCAAGCTAAGGCTCAAGGTAACTACTATGTTCCTGCTCAAGAGAAGCTTGTCTTCGTTGTTCGTGTCCGTGGTATCAACAACATTGCCCCCAAGCCCCGTAAGGTTCTTCAACTTCTCCGTCTTTTGCAAATCAACAATGGTGTCTTTGTTCGTCTCAACAAGGCTACTTCTGAAATGCTCCAATTGATTCAACCTTACGTTGCCTACGGTTACCCTAACTTGAAGACTATCCGTGAATTGATCTACAAGCGTGGTTATGCTAAGGTTAACAAGCAACGTATCCCTATCCACGATAACTCTGTCATCGAAAAGGCCCTCGGTAAGTACAACATCATCTGTGTTGAAGATCTTATCCACGAAATCGCTACCGTTGGTCCTCACTTCAAGGAAGCTTCCAACTTCCTCTGGCCCTTCAAGCTCTCCAACCCCAACAACATGTGGAGAGAACGTAAGTTCCTCAACTACGTTGAAGGTGGTGACACTGGTAACCGTGAACACTTCATCAACAAGTTGGTTCAATCCATGAACTAAGTTTGAGTTTTTTTTTTTCTTAAATAAATATTATGCGTTAAAATAATTTTAAATAAATTATTTTTTTTTAAAAAAAAATAAACTTTTTTTTTGTTGTAAATGTAATGTATGTGTGTATATGTATAATAAACTTTGTAAAATCAGAAACCAGCTTATGAATAAGTTTAAGGTCTTGTTAAAAAAATAAATAATAAATGGTAAAGATGGCTAAATAGATAGATATAATAAAGAATTATTTGTTGGTAAAGAATAAAAGATTGTACTATAGGAACACACCAATTTTTTAGGAAAAAAAAAAAAAGAGAAAAGTAGAGAGAGAATAAGAGATTCTCATTGAAGACTCGATTGTTGCACGAGCAAATTTGAAAAATTATAGTAACAGTAATAGCAGAGTTTGCTGACAAAGCATGAAAAAAAAAGAAAGAATAAAAAAAGAATAAATACGATAAGCAAATAAATATCCATATATGTGTTCAAAGAGGGCAAAGGAAAGAGGATAGTGGTAGTTAAAATTGCAAATTTATTCTTTATCTTTTAGCAAACTTATTATACTAACATACACATTTTCATGATGCTTACTATTTTACCAAGTAGGTATAGCAGCAGTGGTAGTGGCTTATATAATGGGAAAACATAATCCCTCAAAGATAGACTCCGTTTCAAATATCAACTCAGAAAAAGTCAAAGAGACTGCTAAATGGAAGAAATTAGAAATTTTTCAAATAAAAGTCACAGGGTTTATTTTGGGAAAAAAAAAGTATAAATAGAGGAGCAATTTGTGAATTCTTTTTTCTTCATACTTACCTGGGTCGTGTATCTGGTATCAAGGAGGCTGGATACACGGTGGAGCTGATTGTCATTGCACAGCGACGGTTGGTTCTGCTGCGAACATCTTCGGATGTCTCGAGGCCAAAATTTTTGCTTAGGGGGAGTCGGTGGTTCGCCGCAGGTTTCCCTGACCCTATATTAAATAAAAATGAAAAATAAATAAATACCTTCTTTTTTTTTTATAAACTAATGTAAAATAATTTTACGTCCTTTTGTAATAGTTATCTATTCTCTTTTTTTTTTATTCTACTTTGTCTATTTCTTTTGTTGACATAAAAGATATGTTTTTCCTATGATACTTTTTTTTTTTTTATTATTGTTGTTGTCTCCATTCAAGTGTTTTATTCTATATTAAATATTTATCTATTTTTCATTTGTATTGCTTTTGTTTTGTATTAGCGTTGGATCGTTGATGTTTCATATTTTTATCCTTTTTATCTTTTTTCAATGAACCTGATATTTAACATGGAAAACCCTTATTTTATTAGTATATGGGTGTGGTTAGTAAATCTGTAAAACTACTTTTGATAAAAAAAAAAATTAGTTTATTTTTAGCGCAACTATATTACTATTAATATGAATGATATCAATTTTTTTTTCTGACTTCATTTTACAACAATGGATGGAAAACCGAGAATATCAAAGTATTAAAAGTGGACTGCCAAGACATGATCTACGTAATGTTATAGTTTGGAGCCTTTTACTTAAGCTAAAAAAAGAAACATATTTTTTTTTTTAAAGAAAAAATATTGTATCATTATTTTGCCCTGGTTAAAAGAATGTTTGCTAGAAAAGAAAAGCTTTCTGTTATGCCATCGTCATAGATAAATGCAGTGTTATTATTTTTACCTAACAAGTATATTTGAAACATTTATCACTGAAATCTATAATACAAATAATTCTTTTTTTTTATTATATTATCCATATTTAGTTAAAATAAAAAAAAGAAGAATAGTGTCATCGACTCGCTATTATGTCTTTCACTTGTTTTCATTTTATAAAGATCATCGTCAGTATATGTAATAACATAGAGTATGTTGTATATGTACATATACTACCAGAAAAAAAAAAAGACAACAGTCTTGGTTAGCACGTTATCCCCTAACTAAAATATTATCCCGCTGCTTGTTTTGTTTCGGCAAAATTATGTAACTTTTTTTCTTTACAGCATGTGTGTATATATTATTGTATTATTTGTTATTTCTCTACTTCATGTGCTTTTTTTTTTTTTTTTATTAATCTCCTTTTTAAAACGTACATACATAATAATAAGCCCCCCCCTTTTTTTTTTATTCTAGCAAAGCAGCTAGACAATCTTTGTTACACGTACATTAATACAATTATTGTAATGGGCTGAATATACAAAAGGGCTATTTATTATACAAATAAAACTAAGAGTAAAAATAAGCATAAGAAATAAGCATAAGAAATAAGAATAAGAATAAGAATAAGAATAAAAAAAACAATATAAAAACAATATAAAATAAATGTGATTTTTATTGTAATAATGAATATTTATTTACAGTTTTATTTCAGAAATGTTTAATAAACATATACATACATGTAAAAGTTATAAAATAAGGGTATGAGCTTTGTGTATGTGTGTGTGTGTGTATATATGAAGATATATAAAGAGAAAGATGCGTTATAAAATATATATATATTTATACATATACATATACAAATACAAATACAAATACGAGTTATTTATATTCGTGCCATTTGAGCATATTCAATAAAGAAGGCAGTTAAATGTGATTTCTCTGTTCCATCATGGATAGGGTGAATAGCTAATTTTAATAATTTTGATTTAAAGCCATGAATGTTATCTGTGTCACTATTCCAGGGGACTACTTGAAGCACAAATTTTCTATTACTGTTTTGAAGGAAGGCTGAGTTAAAATAAGTGAGAATACCTCTCAAGTCTTCAGCTGTATGTCGTAATAAATCAGGTAATGCCTCTCGATCAAGAACTTCAAATACATGAGCAAGACTATCAGTAACATAGTTATCCAAATCAAGGGCAAGTTGGGCAGCATATTCATGTAAACAAGAAGATGAAACGATATTGTCATTGATTGACTTTCCACAAACAGTTGTAAGTAATTGCTGAATATAAGATTCAATTGCTTGACGGCTTAGCTTATCAGCAAACTTGTCCCATGTTAAAGGCAAATTGCCTTCCGTATGTGCTTGAATAGCAGCAAATATCTGAGATTTAAGAATTTCTAGATCCATCATATCTAATGTCGGTAACTGTTGTTGAAATGTATATTGATTAGCATTGTGTGACAAGAATTTGGACTCTTCTTCTTCTTCTGCGTTAGTAGTCATATAATCATAATTAGACTGCACATTAATTTGAATATGATGTTGGAACTCGGTAGCAATCTCTTTATCAGCACTACTGATAACTGCGTCAAGATGATCAAATTGTAAATGAGTAGAAATGATTTGCGCTAATCTATCTATTTGAACCGGGAAATTATCTTCATCTTCTATTAAATTATACTCTTCAATAGTTTCCGTCAAGTGTGCTTCAATTTCTTCTAATGTTGACGAATCTATTATCGCTTCATCTTCTAAGAGTTCAATTGTTGATGTTTTACTTTCTGATAAAGGTAAAGCCAACGTGTAACTTAGTGATAATACGAATAAAATTGTATATAAAAGATATTTCATTCTTGGTACCAAAAAAAAAGAAATGAAATGAAATGAAATAAAGTAAAAGGTTAAAAGAAAATTTTTTTGGTTGGATCTTATTTTATATCAAATTATCCAATATCGGAGCCACAATTATTATGAAAGAGTATCTTAGTGAGGCTGGAAAAAAAAAAAAAAAAAAAAAAAAAAAAAAAAAAAAAAAAAAGTAAAGAAAATAAAGGGGAAAGGCATAATCAGCTAATATAATTAATTCTTTATTCTAAATTTATTTCTTTGTTAGATATATAAAAAAAAAAGAAATGCAATCAATATACTTCTTTGTTATTAATTAAGTAAACTTTTTTTTTTATCTTTGGGTCATAATCAATTAAATAGCAGCATTTATTTCCAGGCTACTTCGGTCCAAAAAAAAAAAAATGCTAATTTTTAGGAAAATGACCAGTCTTATCGTAACCTTTTTAAGTTATGATGAAAATATCCAAAAAAAGTATAATATATGATAAATATAGCTCAGAAGAACTGTACCGAGATTTATCTAGAGTTTTTTAAAAAAAGAAAAATAATATGGCTTGTTTCTTTTTTCTTTTTTTTTTCCCCCTCAGTACAAATACGTACATGGGGCACGTATAGATACAAACATATTTTCTCTCTTTTAATGTGCTATATTGATACATTATTCTGTCCTATTGAGCATTGAATTATACTAAATATAAATGGTTTATTCTTTTAGCAATAAAATAAAGTGCAGATCCTTTTTGTTTACTAGAAGACAAAAAAATGTCTGTCAACCAATAAAAAAGTTAATTAATATATATATATATATGATAATGTACCACATAGATTTTTCTTTTTTATGCTTATTAGTTTTCTTCTCCACAAATGATGCACGAATTCTGGGGAATAGGGCAAATGCTGCTACTTATTAAATTTGTTGCCAGGCTATTATTTATACAAGATGAGAAAATAAAAGGCAAAAGAGATACGCCGTTCCTTGGTTATAAAGTAAAATAATGCGGCTACTAATATACACAAGAAGTATTTTATTTCTGAAGATTAAAAATATATGCTTCTGTTTTATTATTAATTAATTAGTTAGTGTCCAGGTCTTTTTAGTTTTATTTATTTTTTTTTTCTTTTTCTAGACAACAAAAAAAAACATATAATCTGTTGATTTTGGTTTATTTGATTGAATTATTTTTGATCTTCTTCAATAACACTCATTGACCTCAGCAACTGACATCAATAAAGGAAAATCGATTTCAGCTTAGAAAAAAAAAAAAAAAAAAAAAAAAAAAACTTTATTTTTTTTTTAACTTTGTAATACAAGTAAATCTAAAGGAGAATACAAAATTTCCTTCTAAAATTACAAGACAATAATGGACCATTATTTTAGTAGAAATTACTACTACAAAATTAGGATTGTTAGACATAGTTTAGGTTCATGATAAATGACCTACAATAAATGAATTATTTCCTTTTCTTTTTTTTTCTTTTTTTTTTCTATTTAAAGTCGATACTAATAGAAAATTCAAGTATAAAACGACTATTAATACTAGTTTTACAAATCATAGTAGAGTAGATGATACAAATAGCTCGATCACATGTCTTTTTTATATTAAGTACTGTCCAAGTCAAAAGTCTTTTCAAAGAAAGATTGAAAAGTATTTATCAAGCTAAATGTACACACACACATATATATATATATATATGAAAAAGGAAGAGTAATGGATACAAGTACGGGAAAGAGACCGTAAATTATTGCTTTACATATTTCATTAGTGGCTAGAAATAACTTGTTATAAAAGAAGAAATTTGAAAACTATGTCAAAAGCTTCCTTTATCCTTTTGATCATCAAAATGGTAAGATATAATAAATTTGTCGTGTCAACACTGAGGAATATAAGATATGTAATGCCTCCTTTTTACTACATAATACGTTTTCTTTTTCTTTTTTTCTTCAAAACTAGTGTGCTGTAATGGGGATATAAGATAAAATATACTAAAATAAAGAGTAAAATCGACAATTTTTACAGCTAAGAAATTTAACATTATAATAATAACTTTAAAGTGTCCGGCCCGAAATTAAAAATGACAAACTTTCCGGTTATTCCGGAAAAAGTCTTTCTACTTTCTTTGAGAGTGTGCCCTAAATGTGTAGTTTGACCTTGAACAACTGAACGTTCTTTCTCTGACTCTATAATCCATAACAATGGTTGTATGTATACAATAGAATAAGGTGGAAAAGGAAGAATGTGATGAAGGATGGATAGATTGTGTGTTTTTTTTTTAAGAAAGTGATAAGATTTAGACTGAATAAACTTGGATGGATAAATTATAAAAGAATAAAGAAGGAGGAGAGCGAAGAGAGAGAGAGAGAGAGAGAGAGAGAGAGAGAGAGAGAGAGAGAGAGAGAGAGAGAGAGAGAGAGAGAGAGAGAGAGAGAGAGAGAGAGAGAGAGATTAAAGAAGGGGAGGGGAGGGGGGAGAGATGATGAATGTTGACATTAGACAATGGAAATGAATTAATTCCCTTATTTTATATATATACATATATATTATATAGCAAGGTACTTTCAAGCGTCAAGTCCAAGTTGGCCGTGTTGTCCTCCTTAACTACGGTGCCGATGCCGGTAAGTTGGCCGTCATTGTTGACATCATTGACCACAACCGTGCTCTCATCGAAGGTCCCACCACTGGTGTTGTTCGTCAATCTTTCCCTTTCCGTCGTATGGTCTTGACTCCTCTTGTCCTTAAGAAGCTTCCCCGCAACGTTGGTCAAACCGCTCTTAAGAAGGCTATTGAAAAGAACGACATTGTTGGTGCTTGGAATAAGACTGCTTGGGCCAAGAAGATTGAACAACGTAACGTTCGTGCTAACTTGTCTGACTTTGATCGTTTCAAGTTGGCCAAGCTCAAGAACCAAGTAAGTTAAATATAAAGGGAAGTAATAAGAAATAGATTATTAATCTTTTATTTTTTTTTCTACTTTATTAGCGCCGTTTCGCTGTTGCCTCTGCTGTTAAGGCTGCTAAGAAGCAATAAATGTATTTAATCAATTCCATTTGATCAAAATTTATTGTTTTTTTTATATATAACAAAAAAGAAGCAATGAATAAAAAAAAAATTTAAAAAAAAAATATTACAAGATCAAGAATGAAAGGAAAAAAAAAAGAATTATTTATTTACTTTTTTAATATGTTTACAGGAATACTTTCACTTAATCATAACTCCAATTATTGACCATTTGATCCCATTCATTTACTGTTTTAATCATTAAGCGTTTTCGAGTTTTAGGATTGCCAAATAATTCTGCCCACCAAGCTAAATCCTCATCATTTGTTACTAATACAAGATGACTTGGTTCATCATCCTTTATCTCTTGTTGTTTGCTGTAATAATAAAGTAAGCAGCTAAGGATAGGTCGATATGACTTTGGTACATCATTCAATGTATAAGGAATTTCTTCTTCCGCAAAATCTTCATAATTATATTCTTCTGCATTTGCTTCTTCGTCACTTGCTATTTCATTTTCTTCTATTTCACTATCATCATATTCAGATTCTTCATATTCACTACTTTCATCCTCATCTCTTCTTCTTGATTTAAACAGATCTTCATCAGAGCTAATGGACTCCATGTCTGACTCAGTTTCTGCATCAGGATCAGTATCTTTTTCCTCCTCTTCACCTTCAGATAAGAGTACATCTACTATATTCGATCGACTCTCTTCACCAATCCAAAAAGCCTCTGCTTCACTCCAATTATTTAACTTTTCAGTTACCTTTTGTGTTCTAAGGAATGATGTGGTAGGTATAGCATCCGATTTGTTCTTGCTATTTTCTAATAATTTCTGATCCAAGAAACGAATAGATTCTCTGGCTTGCATATTCATATGAGATGAGCCCTTTTTATGATTATCCAAAGCATCGATGACATCTAAAGGTACAACAACTTCTAAAATACTAGTCTGGCTACGACGATCCACATTTAATGTTTGATTGGCCCACTTCTTGACTTTACTCAAACCATCCAAAAAGGAAGTTACGTCAATTACACACGTATATACATTACGTTTCTTGTTCATTTCATCTTTCTCATTTTCTAAATCAATAGGATGATTACGTTTGTTGCCAAGTGAAATACGATTAACATTCCTTTCAAGTGAGGACACCTGTTCTATTAATCGTTGAGTAGCCAAGGCCTTCATGAAACGATTTTGTTGTTGACGTTTAGCATTCTCATCAATCACACTATAGTTTTGTTCGCTTTGATTATATTGAATAAAATTAAAAGACGATGAATCAGCAAGCTTCTTGATGAAGAGTCTTATTCTTCCCCATCGAACTTGTTTTCTCGCCTCGGGACTATTATCATTTAAAACCTCATATACATTTTCCTTAAAGAAATCTACTTGAGAATGAAAAGGGGAAAGGGCAAGAACGCCAAGGAGAGTTAAATCTTCAGATAAAGGATAAGTAGCAGGAAGTATATTAACAACGGGGTCAAGGAAAGAAGGATGATTGATTAATAGCGACAATAAAGATTGAATAGACTATTAAGAATAATTAAATACATTGTTTCACTTTTTTTTAAAAAAAAAAAAAAAATCATTGTGTACCTTAACAAGTGTTTTCTTTTCTGGCTCTCGATTTCTAGTGTCAGTAGCTGCTGTCATACACCATTGAGCTATAGTTACAATATTTGTATATAAATAAGTGGACCAAATACTGAGACCGGGTAATATTGTTTCTTCGACCAAACTTTCCAATTTTTTATATTTTTCAGCATTTAGTTTAGATTTAACTTCATCTAGAGCTTGTTGTGAAGATCGACAGATGGTTGTGAGAAGTTGAAAGGCAAAGATATACATATGGATCTGTGATGCTAAAATAATAGGTCGTATATTATAATTGGCCTTATCTTTTAAGCGATCATTTGCAATCCATGTAGAAATCATCAAAATTGTAATAGTACGAGTTATAGTAGTACGTATAATATGTAAAGTGGACATAGTTGATTTGGATAATATGGCTTCCTCTTCTTTTTCTAAACTAGTGTTAAGAATAAGTGAAGAGAAGGCATTACCCAAGTCATTTACTATAGGCAGCATAGTTCCAAACTCTTCAGTCTCCTTTTGACTAAACATAACAGTACGATGCATATGAAGGAATGATTCAACAAAGGCTGATACCATTTCCGTTACTGTATCTGCTTTTTGCTGTTTAGAATTAAACCGAATCTTGGAATAAAATGATTTTAGATTATCTCTCCCTACGCTAGATGGATATTTAACAGCTAAACTCATACAATAATACCAAACTATCTCCATTGCATTCCCATTTGATATCGATACAAGAGCTAATTGGGAATAAGGTTTCCCTGTCTTTCGATAAACATCGATTGCTTTCAAATAACATGTCTTTGCCAAGGACCAAAAATCGGATATCTTTTTTGTATTCTTTGATAGTATAGCCTGCTGGGCATGGTAACGTGCCAAATCTCCCATACATATATAATTCGACTGAAGTAAAATGGCCAACTTTTCTTCTATAGTAGCCTTTTGAAGGAAAAGGTCTATACCTAATGCCTTTGTGTCAATATGATAATCAGCTTTAATCGTGTTGTTAAGGTCTCTATAGAATTTGAAAGCACTATCAATACGATGAGAAAGAGTCTTTTGTAACATTTTATATTTCTCAGCATCTTCAGGATTGAGTTTACGTAATTTGCTACGAATATCTTCGATTCTTGCATAAAATATATATCTCCATAATTTATCTTCAATATGATGAGTAATAGCATATATCAAATCAATAGAAATGATATGACGATATGTTTTTCTAAGACTAATTTATAATGTTATAAAATGTAAACTATTTGACTTTTAATATACCTACCTATTACGAACATAATTAATTTCTTCTTCTGTTGCTGCTATTTGTTCAGCAGCAATGGCACTTGCAACACGACCCTGTTCTTTACTAGGAACATTTGAATAATTAATTTTCAACTGTGTCTGAAGTTCAGCAAGCTGTTTCTCTAATGCATGCGCTTCACTATTATATATGTATATATATATATATATATATATAAAGCAATTTAAAAATGGCATTTAAACCAGAAAATTCAGTTGGCAATCCTCTTTACCTTAAAGACTCGGTAAGACTTAAATTCTGTTCTTTAGGTTTTACATGCTTTTGCACATCTTTTTTCCCTCTCTGTTCATTTCGATCTCTTTCAAAAACTCCATTTCGGTTGTGTTTTTTGTTTCTTCTATTTCTTGGGCGTCTTCTTCGACGGTTATTATTTGTTGAAGATGAATTTAACTCTGATGATTCATTAGATTGCATGATTTGTGTATGTGTGTGTGTGTGTATGTTTTTTTTTCTATTCTAAAACTAATGACATAATATTTCTTTTCTCTTTATCAAAGAAGAATAATGTGTTTACTGAATGTTAATTCAATTCGTATTTAAACTAGCTTATATATATATTTATTTACTGTTACTACTACTATGATGTTATTTATAATAACTAAAAAGAAGAAGAAAAAAACAAGAAATTTTATTTCGTAATACAATAAAATTTATGAAAAATGGCTTCCATTTTTGGAATATTCAGCTTTTTTGATGTTTTTTTATTCTTAAGGAAATTTAACAAAAAAAAAAAAAAAAAAAAAAAAAAAAAAAAAAAGCAAGCAAAAGCCAATTTATTGCATTGAAAGCACAAGATATATAATAGAATTTTTTCTTATTGTCCTTTTATAAATATATATATATATAAAAAAAAAAAAAAATACCAGATTGATTCCTGGTTTGCTTAATTAAAATGATATGTCCAAAAAGGTAATATTTACTTCATAACGTGTTTTAGAGAAAATTAAGGAATATATGATTCTCAGTATTTCTATCGAGATTAACTAGATCTTATGCTGATATAAGAAACAAACTGATAGCAGCTGCCTCTACTTTTTATCTGATGCAAATTGCCCAAAGAAAAAAATAAAATAAAAATAGATAGTATATATTTCTTTATAGTATTTAATACTTGACAGAGTTTACATTTATCCTTTTTATAAATAAATCGAGAGTTTTCATAATTTTGACAGATCAGATAATACATTTATGAATTTAGATTTTTTTTTTTTTTTTTTGCAGAATTATTCTTTTAAAAGCCTGCTTCTAAAAGTATATATTTGTAACCCCATTTAATATTATGTTACTTTATATTGAACGTTTTTTATAAAATAATAAATAAGCAGCCTCCGTCTAAGTTACAAAACTATTAGTAATTTAAACATTAAATAATTTTAAATCAATGTGAAATAACCTTAATCTTTTCTGAGGGTATTTTATCTACATGAATGTCATCAAATTTATACCATTCAGAGGTTTCGCTATTTTGGGCAAAGGCAGTATCTTGTAGATAAAGTTATTATTGCTGATTGATTGAAATATATTATATGTCATACTTACAATGACCACCACCAATCCCTCCATAATGGTTGTCCACCGCACAAAGATCATAAATAACTTTTCCGCCATCTCGGTTACTAAGCACATAATTTGACATATCCATTCTAGAGAGTGGGAAATCAATAAATGTGTCAATCTTATTTCTCCCTCTCCTTCCTTGACTAAACCGTTTTAAGTGTACAACCATAATTTCAGGTAACTTCCATATATCTAATTTCTTCAATGCTCGTTGATGCTTCTTGCATCTTGGGCAATACCATAAATCGTCATTCCCAAGCTGTTCATCATTTGTAAATTCATGTAAGCAGTCCTTTAAAGTAATCATCGTATCAGACTTGGATGCTTGATTGTTATTTAATAATAACGTAATATCATCATAATCGAACCATGCCTTTTTAATTATCTTTAGCATTTTATCATCACTTTGCAATGATGAAGATCGAACGCCAAATATTTGTTCTACTTTAGATAGACTCCATTCTATCAACACGCCTTGACCTTGTTGGATTATGGGTGCTTCAGTTCTATCATCATGTTTGTTCTGATCTATTATATGACTGTTTATTAAGCCTGGAAATAAAAATTCATCCTTCTTATCATGAGTGGTGATATCTGATGAGCAGCAGCTTTCAAAAAAATGTATATTAAATAAATTAGATATAGGGATCATAGTATCCTTATCTTTATCATCATGCTGCTTCTGCTTCTGCTTTTGTTCCTGTTCCTGTTCCTGCTCCTGCTCCTGCTCCATCAGGTTAGCTTGAACTGAACTGATGTTGATCTCCTTTTCTTCTTTAAATAATAGTGTTGGTTTGCTACAGTATCTTTGAAGATGATATATGATTTCAGTATAGAGATCGGATATATCTTTGAGTTTATTTACTCTAAGAGCAAGTATCATGGGATACCCAAACAATTTTGGTAGTGATGAGTTACTGAGTCGTTGAGTATGAAGAGTAGCTATAAAACAGTAAACAGGGAAAATAACCCAATTTTGAAGGTTATTTATATCTGCTGGAAGCTGATAAACGTGAAAGTGGATCCTATCATTAGCATCTCCAATAGGTGATAATAAATCATTATTTTTGTAGACTTTCTGTATTTTGCCTTCTTGAATTTTAGTTACCAAAAGCTACAATATATTGCTTAGCACATAAAATATCATATGACAGAAATATATATAAACATAAAGAACTTACATTATTATCTAAGAAGGAAAGATGATAATAAGAAAATAGACTATTGATAATTTCTTGTTTCAAGTCTTTCACTTTAGCTTCCTTATTCAAGCTTATTTTCATTTTAAGCTGTCTTTGAGATGATGAAAAAGGAATATACATGATATTTAACTCCCATTTAGTATCTACAGGAAGAGGTAAAGACAAATACATGAAAGGATCAAAAGCAATAGAAACCTTTGTAATGGTAATAATACATAATAATATGTAAAAAAAAATATATATATGTATACACACATACATATATGTTTTACAAACTAATCATGATTATTATATCATTGTACATCATCTTTTATCACATTTACCTTTTTACATTCGTTACAAATCAGTCTACTTTTATATTGACCTTGAAACAAATCTACAATGATTGAATCATTTCTCATTTTATGATATTCCCAAAATTTGTTGGCAATCTCTTCATCAGAGAGCGTATCATTAAAATCAGGCATTTCAATATATGGCTTCTTCTTTATTCTATTTAAATCCTCATGTAAACCATCTAATAGAAAACTAAGTAGCTCTTGTGAATCTTGCTGATGAAATCCGATAAAATGTGGATTAAATCGCTCGAATGTATTCTAAATATGACATTCAAGATTCTTAAAAACATTTGTATATATATATATGTATATATATATATATATATGTTTATATATATATGTTTATATATTTGTACCTTAAATTCTTCTGGTGAAATAAAGGTAAACTGATTACCTGTAGTGACTATTATATTATCTGGTTTCCATATATCTCTTAAAAGTGACGCATAAGCTTTTGCTAGTTCACCATTAAGACCTAAAGGATTCGATGTATTAATCTCATTCATATACTTTCCATCTTTCGTATATAAATATATGCATTTAATATTCTCGTATTTTCAAAGCTAGTAGTTATGAATATTAAAATGACCATTTACCTAAAAACCATTGCGTTAGTTGAGGTATATTACTTAAACACTGAATCGCAGAATTCATATAACATGTATTCCCCAAGTTTTGTAATCCACGCAAACCTTTTCTTCCTTTTTTGTCATCAGTAGTAGTCATAGTTGATATTAAAGGCTTCTCCTCCTTGTTGGGCAATTTTACTGCCAAGTAGTATACATGATGACTCTCTGTTTCAGACATGACATTCGCTGAGGAAATACTGTTTAAACAGTTTGCAATAGTTGAATGAAAGGAAATAGTGGATGAATCGATCCTTTGGGCAAAACGGTTACTATTACTATATTTATTGCTTAACAAGTCTTCAGTAATAATAAAGTGATCAGAAGAATTAAGTCTCCTTATAAAATGATTATTTCTTTTATTTAGAAGCCATAACTCTACTATATTCGAGGGTTCTACTTTTAGAATACTGTTGGTCAGTTTACTGTAAAAATCGTATACAGTAGAATTAGGTGACATAGTAAATGTATAATAATTGTTGGTAGAATTTTTCACTAAATATATTTTAAATTTTAAAAGATCGTCTTCTGGTTTAATCACCTTTGCTATCCTCAAAGAAGTCTTTTTTTCTATTACTTTGGAGGGTATCTCTATCAAATGAGAGGGATTCCGTATGCCATACCTATTAAATAAGCAATATAAATGTATATATATATATATATATATAAATATATATACTACTACTACTTATACTACTACTACTATATTACCATAATTGATAATGTCTAACAGCTAAAATTGGTAAAGAAAAATAATGTGTATTCTCTATCAAATCTGGTTTTAATAACTCGTCTTTATCTAACAAATTTGAATTATCAATAGGACCAGGAAATGTAGAATTGTTTAAGCCTAAACAGTAAGCCTCTCATTTATTATACCAAGTCTTTGATACCATTGCATAATAGGGTGAATCTTGCTTTTTTTGCTTAATTTTTTCGATCAATTGATGTTGAGTGATTGGCAAAATCATCATTTTTTTACGTTTATTCGAACTGTGAACTATATCGTCATTCATATTTATTCTTTTGTTTCTTAATATAGATTCTTTATTGTTGGTCGTTCCTTCAACAATCCTTGTTGACTGCGACTCGGACTCCAATGTGGTAACAAGCTCCAAGAGCCGCGCTTTATTTTCCTTTTATAGATAAAAAAATAATAATAAAAATAAAAAATATACTAGAATCCCCTTTTTCCCTTTATACCTTCAAAAGCCGCGCATTCGTGGAAAAATTATGAGTGATATCAATTCAACTATTAGCAATGAACGAACATACACCCAAAGCGAAATGGAAGCAATTGTCCGAGATGTCGTCAAAAAAATGGACATTGAGAAAGAAGAAAGAATCAATGGAGTCGAAATCCCAAGACAGGTCTCCGAGGAATTGGAAAACACTCCCACGCATCAACTTACTGAAAATTTCAAAAAGTTTAGAAGAGAAACCCAACGATACGCTTTGGGAGAATGGACAACACCCGAGAAGATCAACAAATCAATTGCCCCTTATCTCAAAAAACACTCAACAGAAACAGCTTTGGTTGTCAACTCCATTTATAAAATCACAGAAAACACCAGATTCCAAGCAAAGGTTGCTATGGAAATCTTTGAACAACTTCAATACGTCTTGGAAGAAGCAGACCATGACGAAGCAAAAGACATCATCAGCAGATGCAGGGAGCAAAGTCGACGACTGGCAGTCTTTGGGTTGGCCACAGCAAAAGCTCAAGAAAGAGAAGCAAAAGAATATTCAGACAAAGCACTTAACATCCCATTTAGTATCCGCCACCTGGAAACAACAGAAGAGGATAGTAAATCTAAGAACGCCTACAGTGACGAATTTCTTAACAAATACCACCAAGCCAACTTTGAACGAAAACTCGTTCAACAAGCCAGTAGTAATCGTGGAGGAGGACGAGGAAATGGATTCTCAAGTAGAGGATATCAACGAGGAAATAGAAGCTTCGGATATGGAAGAGGTAGTAACAGAGCACGAGGTGCTTTTTTTGGACAGGGTACCTCACAACGGTGGGGAACCCCGCACAACAACAACTCAGCCCAACAACAATCACCCCACCAATCCAATCACACATCCAACCCCCAATAAAATCAATGACGAATTACAGCATCCCAGCAGACGGCATAGCGCCAGGGGGTCGACTACAACATTTTCTCAAGAATTGGCAGTCGATTACAAAACACCCATGGCCATTGTCAGTGATACGAGAGGGTTATCAGATACCTTTGCTAAAAAAACCAACACCTTGGAGATTACGTCGTATAAAGCTAGACCAGATAGAACAATTGGCAGTGGACGAGGCAGTCAACAAATTTATCAAAGCGGGGATAATAGAGGTATCACCAACACAGAACACAGATTATTTATCCAATTTCTTCACAATACAGGAAGCGACAAAACGTCGACCGATTTTGGATTGCCAAATGATCAACAACTATATCCAGTGTCATCACTTCAAGATGGAAGGGGTACCTGCATTGAGGGAAATCATCGAGAAAAACGATTTTATTTGCAAATTGGACCTAAAGGATGCTTATGTGGTCACCCCAATTCACCCAAACTCAAAGAAATACTTGACTTTCCAGAACAAAGGAGTTGTTTATCAGTACAAAACTCTAGCATTTGGGATGAGTGTCAGTCCCAGAGTATTCAGCAAAATGATGCGATTTGCAATAGAACCATTACGAATACAGGGAATACGCCTAGTATATTATTTAGACGACATATGTATTCTGGGTGCGACGAAGGAAGAGGCAACGAACCACACACAAATAGTACTGTCACATATGGAATCATTGGGTTTCCTAATAAATTTCCAGAAGAGTGTCCTAATCCCCTTTCAACAACAGGAATTCCTAGGCTTCAAATTCAATACGAAGACCATGCAGATAGCAGTCCCAGGGAAGAAGATCTCAAAACTCATGGTTCGAACCAAACAAGCTATAAAAGCCACACCTCACCAATACAATTGTCGATGGTATGCCAGTATGATGGGGAAGATGACTTCCATGATTCCAGCCATCGGAGAAGCCCTGTTACACATCAGATACATGCAGAGGGATCTCTCCCTAACACTCAACAGACATCTACAGAATTGGAATGCACCAATGACACTATCGGAGGACAGCAAGAAAGAACTGCAATGGTGGACAAGTTGGATGGTGAAGAAGAACGGCCTGCCAATAAAGAAATTAGCACCCAATCAACCGAAGGCGGCAACAATATATGTAGATGCGTCAGACCTAGGATGGGGTGTGAGCTCTGGCACGATGCAAACCACTGGAGCATGGACGAACGAAGAGAACACCATGTCAATCAATGCAAGGGAGCTGACAGCGATATATTTTGCTCTAAAACTACATGCCAAAGACTTCAAGAATCAACACATCAAAATATTTACAGACAACATGACTGCTTTGAAATACAGCAGCAAGTCGGGAGGCACAGCATCTCGAACACTACAGGACCTAGCAGTGAAGATACAAAATCTATGCAACCACTACAATCTCAAAGTCGAATACGAACACATACCAGGACTGGAGAATATTCGAGCAGATTGGCTGAGCAGACAGCATCACACCGCAACAAAAAACTTACTCTACGAGGCCCTATTACCGAAACGGCTATTTCGAATGATCAACCAGAGATGGG